AATATTATTAAATAAATTAAAATAATTTTTAAATTATTAACTTAAATATTTTTAATAATATAAAAAAATATTAAAATTATAATTATTTAAAAATATAATTATATTACTTTTATATAAAATTATTATATTTTAAAGTTTATTAATTTATATTTAATAAATAGTTTATAAATAAATAATTATTTTTAATAATTTAAATATTTATATTATATTTAATAATATTAAATATTTTATTTACTTTATTTTAATAATATAAAAGTAAAATTTATAAATTTATTAAATTTAAGAAAATATTTTCTATTATTAATATTATATAGTTTATTATTTTTAATTAAAAATTACTTTAATAATATATATAAATTTATTAAAAATAAATATATTATAAATAATTAATTAATATTAATATTAAAATAAAATTTAATATTTTATTATTAATAATATTTTATATTTTAATATATAAATATATAAAATTATTTATAATAATAATATTTATTATTATAAATATTAAAGTTATAAAAAAGTTATAATATTTTTATTACTTTTATTATAATATAATTAAATAAATTCCTTTTATAAATATTAAACTTTTAATTAATTTTTAATATATTTAAAATTATATAATAATTAATTAATTAAATAAAATATATATTTAAACTTTAAAATTAAAAATAATATTTATTATTATAAATATTAATTAATATTTTTAAATTAAATATTAAAAATATATATTTTAATATTTTATATATAATTAATATTATTAAAAATTATTATTAATTTAAAAATAAAGGTTTATTTAATATTATATAATAAAAATAAAACTTTTTATATATATAAATTTATTAAAAATAAATTAAAATAATTTAATATTTTATATATAATTAATATTATTAAATAAATTAAAAATAATAAATAAATATTTATAATATTTAAATATATTAAAAATAATTATATTATTAAATATTATAAAATTTATTTTATTATTTAAATATTTTATTATAATAATTAAATTTATTATAATTATTAATATAAAACTTTTAATAATTATTATATTAATATAATTTAAATAAAATTAATATATTTTATTAAAAATAAATATATTATAAATAATTAATTAATATTAATATTAAAATAAAATTTAATATTTATTAAAAATAAATTAAAAATAATAAATAAATATTTATAATATTTAAATATATTAAAAAATAATTATATTATTAAATATTATAAAATTTATTTTATTATTTAAATATTTTATTATAATAATTAAATTTATTAAATAATTTAATATTTATTAAAATATAATAAATATTAAGTTTTAAATTTAATAAAATACTTTATTTTAATTATTATTATTAAAAGATTAACTTTATTATTTAAATTTAATAAATTTTTTTAAAATAATTATTTAAAACTTTATAATTTTTATAAAATAACTTTAAAAATATAAATAAAATTATATATATTTATAATAATAAATTATTTAATAAAAATTATTTTTTAAAATATTAATAATAAACTTTATTTTATTATTAAAAAAGTTTAATAATTTTATATATTAATTTAATATATTAATAATAAAAATAAAATTTTAAAAGTTTAAATAATTATAAAAATATTTTTATTAATAATTAAATAATATATAATAATTATTCTCTTTTAATATAAGGTTAAAAACTTATAATTATAATTTTTAATTAATTTTTATTTAATTAGTTTTTATTATAACTTAATTTAATTTTTAACTTAATTTAAACTTTTTTAAGCTATATAAGTACTTTTATTTTTATAAATATAAATATTAAATTAAAACCTTTAAGTTTAAATTTAAAATTTTTATAAATTTTAATTTTCTTTAAATTAGGCTTATAATCTTTTAGCTTTTCTAAAAATATATTAACTATTTTAAATATTAATAACTTTTCTTTAAAGTAAAAGTTTACTTTTATATAATTATAAATTTAGTTATTAATAGCTATTTTTTTTTTTATAAAGCTATTAAAACTATAAACCTAGATAATAGAGTATAATTACCTTATCTAATTATCTCTTAGTTTAATAATATAGTAGGCTAAGTAACTACTTTTAAATAGTTTTATTTAATAAGTGTTTACTTAAATAAAGCTAAAACTTTAATTAGAGGAATAGTAGCTTTATTTTTACCTATTTTAGCTAACTTACTTAAATTATATAGTAAATTTAATATTTACATATAATACTTACTAATATTAAACTAGGCAACTTATAGTTTATAATAGCTTTAACTTTTAATATATTAGCTTGAACTAACTAGATATAGCTTAGTATACTAGTATAAAAGGCATTTTTAATAATAAATAGTATTATAAATATAAATTATAAAGTTACTATAAAAAGTCTTATATAATAAACTTAATTAAACTAATTTTTAAAAATATATTATATTTTATCTCTTTAAAACCCTAATTATTTACTTTTAACTTAATAATAAAACTAAAAAAAAAAAAAAATATAAATAATCTATATAATAATTATTAAAAACTTAATATATATTTTAAAATAATTAATATTTATATAAATAATATTTTATTTAAAAATAAAATTAAAACCTTTAATATCTTTATATAAAAGTTAAAAATATTAATTTATTTATAAAATTTAAATTTATTATATATATTATTATAAAATAAAAATTAATAAAAATAATTAAAAATATTAAAATATATTAACTTTATTTTAAATTAAAAATATTAAAATTATATATATAATTAAATTAATTAATTACTTTAATAAACTTTTAATTATAAAAATTAAATATATTATAAAAATATTTATATAATAATTAATATAAAAATTTAATAAAGTTAAATTATAAAATAAATTATATAATTAATTATAAAATAAATTAAATAAAAATACTTTATAAAGTATTTTAAATATAAATTAATATAAAAATATTTAAAAGTAAGTAATTATAAAATAAATATTAAAATATAAATAATATATTTAATTATTATTTATAAAATAATAATAAATAAAGTATTTATAATTATTTATAAAATAATAATTAATAAATTATTTATAACTATTTAATAAAAAATAATTTTAAAAGTTAAATACTTTTAATAATAATTAAATATATTTATAATAAAAATAATTTAAATAATTTAATTTAATTAAAAGTAAAATAATTATATATATATTATTAATTATTTTAATATTTCTTATATAATTTAATAAAAATAATAAATTATTATAATAATATATTAAATATTTTATTAAATATTTAATAAAATAATTAAATTAAATATTTTAAAATAAATATAAAATAAATAAGAAATTAATTTTAAATTAAAAGTTAAATATATTTTATTTTAAAAAAGTTTATTATAATTAAAATAATATAATTATAAATATTAAATAAATAATTATATTATTATATTTTAAATTAAACTTTAAATTATAATTTTATTTTTATAAAATATTATTTATATTATATAATTATATTTTAATAATTTTAATTTTTATTTTAAATATATTAACTTTTATTAAATATATATATTTATATATATAATTAATATTTAAAGAAAATTCTTAAAATTTAATTATTCCTTTTAAAGTTTATATTTTTTTAAGTTTTATATTACTTTTATTTTTATATTTTAATATATTATATTTTTAAATAATTTAATTTAATAAATACTTTATTATTATTTAAAAATTAATAAATTATAAAATATATTATAAAGAATTTATTTATAATAAATAAAAAAGTAAAATTAAATTTAAAGTTATAATATTTAAAAATATTTAAAATAAAAAAATTATTTTAAAAGGTTTTTATATTAAAATTTAAAAACTTTATTAAATAATAATATTATTAATAATAAAAATAATTAAGTTATAAAAATAAAAATAATTATATTAATTTTAATTAAAATTATTATTTTATTAAAAAGTATTTAATATTTAGTTTATTATATTATTTATAATTAAATAAAAATATAAATTAGTTTTAAGAAATAAAATATAATAAAAATAAAATAAATATAAAAGGAAATATAAAAGTTATTAAATTTATTTATATATATAAAATTATAATATTTATAATATTTATTATTAAAGTATTAACTTTCTTTATTTTAAAGTTTAAAATATAATAATAAAATAAAATATATAATATAAGTTATATAATTAATTATTAATTTTATAAATAATTATTTTATAAAAATATATTTAATTTTATAATTATAAATATATTATTTATAAAAATAATTATTATTATTTAATATTAATATTAATAAATTATTAATTTTATTTAATAATATTAATTATTAAATAAAATAAATATTAATAAAGTATTAACTTTATTTAATAATATTATTAATAACTTTATTAACTTTAAATAGTTAAAAGTAAATAATTAATATATTAACTTTTATTAATTACTTAAATATAAAAATAAATAAAAATAAAAAACTTTAATATTTTTATAATATATAAAGTTATAATTATTAATTATAATATATAAATTAAAATATAATTATATTATATTTATATATAATATAAAAGGAAGGTTTAGTAATTAGAAGGTCTACTTATAATCTTTAAGATAAGCTTAAAGATATAGTTTATATATCTACTAGCTAATATTAGCTAGCAGCTAGCTGGCCACCTTTTTACACTCTATTTATTTATTTATATGTAGGTATGGCTGTACTCTATTATGCCTGCCATAGTATTAACCCACTTCTTTATTATAACTAACCTTTCTTCTTCTTCTTTAAGAACCACAGCCTTCCGGTATCACTGTCAATCTTATGTAAATTCTTTAGTATGCCGGAAATGAGATACTTTGATGGTAGTTTATTTGTGCGGCATGAGGCTGAGGCCATGTGTCCATAGATGTATTGTATTCTCTGTATACTGTTATTGGTATTGCACTTTTTTATATACTGTGTCCTGAGTGTTTACCACTATATGAAGGTGTCATGTATGTCCTTAGACGTACCTAGCTAGGTGTTATGGCCGCATCGGGCTGGGGGCTAAGGTGGGCGACTGGGCGCACGGGCCACCTGCAGCCTCTAAGGCCCTAAGCTCTTCTGGCGTTGAAACCCTCGAAGGCTTCCTTCCTCCCTTCCTTTCTTTCTTAGACAGACCAGGTATTATTTGAAATTCTACAATCTTGAGCAAGACTTGAGAGCCTCGCCTCTCCTATGTCCCTCCCGTAACACTAGGTACGAAGGCATCCGCAGAGGCAATCACGCTGCACATGCATGTTCACTGCTCATCTCAAGTTTCGTCTGACAATTCCGAGTCCTGTGTGGTGTCGGTGTCGACTGGTCCCCTCCTCACGATGACCCAGTTCGAGATTGCCACCCGGTCGCAAATTCTCAGCCTATTGGCCGTTGGTTTTGAACATCGCCAGATTTTCGACTACACTGGCGTGTCTCCAGACACTCAGAAGATTTGGTGGAAAAAGGCTCTCAAGCGGGGATTTGACCCTTCTGCACGGCCACTCCTGATTCTCGACTGCCATGTCGAAGATGGCAAACGCACAGGTCGCCCTTGCAAAAGAGACGAGGAGAAGGACAAAGTCATTGAGCTCTTTCAGGCGAATCCGGACGGCGAGAAACTCTCGTACAAGGCCATTGCGGAGCGGCTGGACAACCGTATTTCAGCCGGTACTGTGCACCGCATTCTGAAAGAGGCCGGGCTGAAGCCTTGAACGAAGCATTGATTCTTGGCCTGTCGTCAGTTGGCCCTCAAGTGCTTTTTATATGGGAAACGAGTGGTGTATAAGCAACCACGAGATGAGGCCCCTAAAGTACCTGTAGACGTATCTTTGAATAAGGGTTAATTAGTGGTGGTCCTGGCTGGCTTGGCGCTTGCTTATGCATCAAAGCGGTGTACCGAGTTTCGGGGGCTGCTTCTAATGAGACCTCCCCTGACGACATTCAACTCTAATCATGGAAGGCCTAGCATGCCGCACGCACCATACACGGCAGGGTCCTGTGCCAGCATGGATGCGCTCCAAAACCACGACCGTTGATGGGTTTCTTCAATGTTGTCAGCCGCGCATCCGTCCAGCAGGCTGAAGCAACCAAAACATGACACATCCACCTCACGACCCCCAAAATGGTTCATTCCAACCACGGCGCCGGCCGCACTGAGCCGGCCGCTGCCAAAGGCTCCCCCTCAGAAACGGCCACCGACCTGGGCGACCAGCGCCCACCGCCATTGCCTCCGAGGCGCCCCTCGGTCCAGGTCGATGCTGGCCACCTCTCGAAGCCCACCACTGCGCTCTCCTCCATCGACGTGCAGACACTCTCGTTCCCCGATGGCTCCCGAGGCACCTTCGAAGGCACAGCCGTCACCTCCAACCCCAAGCCCATGTCCCGCGTTCCCAGCGGCACCGCCACCCCGGTCGAGCTCGGAGGCTTTGCCCCAGGCTCTGCACTTCCCGGCCGCGGCAGCGACTTCGGCGACGACTCGGTCAGCATCATGAGCTTCTCGCCCACCCTTCGACCCCCTGCCGACCTCGCCAGCCTCGTTGCCGGCGGCATCAACAAGAACAGCAAGGCCTGGGCAATGCTTAGGTCCCAATCCGCCTCCGTCCTACCCTTCCAGAAGGCCAGTCTGGCCGACAGGTTCGGCAAATTTGACACCGAGTTCGAGGAGATACCCGCCGAGGGGGCCCTGAACGATGACGGGAGGCTGGCCCTGTGGAGGTCCAAGCTGAAGCACTACATGATCCTGTCATCTGCTGGGAAGCCGATATGGAGCCGCCACGGAGACCTCGGCTTGATCAACTCGTCCATGGGAGTCGTGCAGACAATCATATCATTCTACGAGGGCATGAAGAACCCGCTACAGGGATTCACAGCTGGAAACACCCGTTTCGTCGTTGCAACCGAAGGCCCTCTCTACTTTGTCGCCATCAGCAAGCTCGGCGAGAGCGAGGCACAGCTCCGGGATCAGCTGAAAGCATTATACATGCAGATCCTGTCCACCCTGACACTCCCAACCCTCACGAAGATCTTCGTCAACCGGCCGTCCACAGATCTGCGGACTCCATTGCAAGGGACAGAGTCCCTGCTGTCATCATTAGCCGACAGCTTCACCAAGGGCTCCGCAACCTCTCTCCTGGGCGCTTTAGAGTGCCTGAGGGTACGGAAATCCCAGAGGCACGCAATCAATAATGCCTTCCTCAAGACACGCACCGAAAAACTGCTCTATGGCCTCATCGTTGCTGGTGGAAAACTGGTCAGCGTCATTCGGCCACGGCGACATTCCCTTCATCCCAGCGACCTGCAGTTGATTTTCAACATGCTCTTCGAGTCCGGCGGCATCAAGGCCGGAGGCGGCGAGAACTGGGTTCCTCTCTGCCTGCCAGCCTTCAACAGCAGCGGCTATCTCTACATGTACGTCAGCTTTTTTGACAACGCCCCGGCAGACGGAGCCAAAGAGGCTACGCTCATGCCCGAGGATGAAATCGCCATCATCCTCATCAGCCCAGACAAGGAGTCCTTTTACGACCTGAAAGAGATGCGCGACAAGGTAGCAAGCAGCCTCAAGAAGAACGGCAGCCTCGACATCATCAAAGCTGCCGCCAAGGCCGGCCGGCCGCAGATCGCGAACATCGCACCCGGCAGCCAGGTCAGCCACTTCGTTTACAAGTCTCGCGCCAACGTGCAGTTCTGCATGTCATCGCTCGACCTGTTCTCCGGGTCAAAGGGGTCCTCGCCGATCAGCGCCGGGGACGAGGACGACGCAGAGGCAGGCGAAGCCGATGGGCTCGTCTCGCGCAGGCGCCTCATGACGCTATACCACCAGTTGCACACCTCGGTCCACGCGCGCCACTCGCACCTCAGGGTATTGCACTGTGCGGGACAGGATGCCACGAGTCTGGCATGGGTCACCCCGATTTTTGAGTTCTACTGCGTTGCGGGGCCGAATGCATCCCGGGCTGTCATGACGCAGGGCGCAAACAAGATCATTCAATGGGCGAAGAAGGAGGAGGAGAGGTTATTCATCATCGGAGGCGGCGTCTTCTGAGTATGCTCACATGGGGTCATACTACTTCAAGTAATACCCAGGTTTTTTATTTATTTCAAGGTCTCAACGCGGTCTGTACTACAGTCTGCTCTAGATGGTATGATGGGTTGCTGGATGGCAGCAACCCGAACCCCAGATACCCAACCATCGTCATCAAATATATGCACATTTTCCAAAAGCCCACCTGCAATGAGCCTGCTACCATTCTTCCATGGCAGGCGTCGCAGGGCGAGATTTTGCATGATTTAAAAGTCTTCATTCAACCAGTCCCCTTCAGTGCAGCAGTGCCGAGACTCTTGCCCCCACTGCTCACCCCTTCGATAGAAGAGTGCCGAACCCGATTTCCTTCTTCCCAAGGCTCCTCAGGGTGCTCCCTTCTCACCCTGCTGGGCTTCACACCCAACGATGCAATCAGAGCCTTGTTCCGCCACTCGATGGCCTGCACCCTCTGGAGGAGCCTTTCCATCTCCGCGTCGACTTCGTCCGATGCAACGCTTGACGTATAATTCGTCGCCGTCGAGCTGCAGCGTGCTTCTTCGCACACCGCCTTCTGTCCCGCCTCCTTCGATGTCGGACCCCACAGGCGCGCCCTGTATCTCTCACCCCGGCTCATCTGCCCGGACTCGTAGACGCCGAGACCCTCATTGCTGTCGTTCTTCTTCTTGTTCTGTTTTCCCTTGCGTGTTGTCTTGGATCGCTCCTCATCCCCGTGCGGGCAGCACGGTGGTTGCTTTAATGGAGGGCTTCCTGGCTTGACTGCGTATCGGTGTCGGCGGAGTCTTGTTCGGATCTTCAAAATGTCTTTGAAGCCTTTGCGGAGTCGCTCGGGGATCTTCTGTATTTCGAATCTGAATAACGTGCATCTTATTGCGGTAGGCGGGGTTGAGGAACTTACCTTTTGCTCTTTTTGCTCATGCTTCTCTTGGTCGTCCCTGCATTGTTGGTACACTTTCTTCTGTTCCTTCATACCTCTCTTCCGAGGCATATCCAGAGTCGATGTGCTTAGACTTCCTGCCAGCCCGCAGCCGAGGAAGCCGTAAAAGATCTTGTGCGAGTTTTGTTTCGATGTTGGCTTTGCTGGCCTGACGGCGCATAGACTCTCATGTGAGGGTGTGCTTGATGTATCCATGATATGTTTTCTATTTGCTTGCAAGTGCCCAGAATAACTAATAAATATGGAGTGGTTCAAGCTTGCATGCAGAGTCAGATGTATGGTTTGCAGTGGTGGAATTTGAGCATGCGACCAGAAAAGTCTAGAGCGAGAAAAGAGGGAAGGTAGGCCTCGCTATAAGCTTGCCATTTCCGCCAATATTTCTAAAATGTCAAAAAAAAATCAATTTTATCTTTTAGGCTCGGGTCCGAATCAGTGAAAACCATCCGAACGAGTGACTTGATTGACTAGATCCGAGCCATAAATCCCACATCAGTGAGTATTGCGACTCACCCAGCCCAAACGGAATTTGATATGTCATCATCTAACCAGACTATGAGACATGAAAGTACTCCGGATGATATCAAGAAAACAGCAATTCTTCGTCGTCGTCGTTGACAACAAGTCCAGTACTGTGCTTAGAGCCCCCATGTATGATACAGAATTTATGAATATAGCATTTTTGTTTTAAGAAAACACTGTCCACGAATACAGAACTAGTGACAGCCATCTTCTATATCAATCTGCTAGTTTCTATACCCTAAGGTACTTAAGTTCTTCCAGTATGAAGATCTCGGCCGCAACCTCACCTGTGATGGTGCGTTGGCGTCACCCTACCACACGCTACGTGTACCTCTGCGCGCGGTGGCTCAGGGCCACAAGACTCCAGCACAAGGATTGTATTCGGCAAAACTGCATTACCAAAGTTAACTTTTTAGTCGTACAACACTAGGCCGCACTAATCCAAAAGGACGCCTCTTAATAACTACTAGGAACACTCTATCCAGACAGTTTATTTGCGGACATCTGGAGTTACCTGGACTGTCCTTCACGTGACACGAACAAATCTCTGACCGTATCTGCAATTTGATCTGAACACCTGCCTAGGTGGGCAGTGTGAAAGGAAACCGTGGCACCCTGGCACTATAGCGCACTCAGGCATTCTACAATCAGTCGATGACCCCCCAGTTACGGTCGGCCATGCCAAGGGTGCCAGGGTAAATTCCAAAAATTTTCTGAAGAGAATAACACAGCAATTGGATTGATCACATGGTTGTCCTGACGTATGGGTATATCAAACTGTAGGCATAATTCTCTGCATATTGTGTTAGGCCCACCATCTTGGCGGACTCGACCACAACTCAGCGGTCTCTGGACAGGGGGCGGACGCTTTATGATACAAGTCTTCCCCACTGCGCATGCATTTCTTTCTCCTCACACCTTGATATACCTGCATAAACAGAACCAGTCAAGTGACACATCATCCATACGTTCCGCATCACCTTTGAGACTGGCAATTCCACTGAGCCTCCCTCAACTTCTAGCAGCAATCTTGATCAAAGTCTAGTCCCGCGTGCATGACCCTTGATGGCAAAAACCAAGATAAGTCAGTTGCCACAGACCAACGTAAGTCTTACCAAACATATTGGCAATCTGAGAATTTCCAATCAATCAGTTCTGCGTTTGGGGTTACCCCAAGTCCGGAGTTTGTGCTTTGCGCCCTTCATGAACTTTTCCAGTCTGCCTCTCAATCGTCGCTTGCCTGAAATGGGTGATTGAGATTCGCGGTCACTCGTTGATGCGAACTGCTCTTTACACGAGCCCGTTGGCTGGTCGTCAGGGGCCAAGGAACCACCAACGAAATCGTGGTGGCTTTCCGGAACCCGGTCATCACGATGTAGCTTGCTCAGCGGAGATTTGTGATGGTTTCGAGACTCTGTAATTCTCAATCTCAGATTGGAAATTCGTTTTCTCAGCCCTTGGCGTGGCTTTACAATGCTGTTGTCAGAGAAGAAGCTCTGCATCTCGCACGCCACACCTGGTTGGGAGTCGACACTTGGTATGCGCATCATGTCCATCTGCGTGTCCAGGGATGTGCCCCTTGTGTCAACGTCGGCAGCAACTTGCCGAATACTCGCCAACGGAGTGATTTTGACGACCGGCGTGTCAGAATGAATTCCATTGGGTGGGCATGATTGTTTAGTCAAGTGCATCTCGTTGTCTGCCACAGCAGCTCTTAAGGCGACGGCGGAGCTGAACAGATCAATCGGCTCCCGCGAAGCAAGCTCCGTCACAGTACTGGACTTTTGTATGCCTGGCCGTCGTTTTACAGTGCCTGTATCGTCAGGTACCAGCGAGTTGAGGGTGGGACGGGAAATCTTGATTGGCAGTCTTCGCTTCACGGGGGCGGTGGAATACTCTGCAGCCGTCGCGGTCACAGTTGAGGTTCCAGTCGAGGTTGTTGGTCGCTTAGCGGAAGTATCAGGCCGGGAGGCACTTTTCGGGATGATGTACTCGCGCCTGGAAGTCTTCTCGCGTTCCGCCGCGAATGACGCTGCGTGTCTCAACTTCAGTCGCGGTTTGTTAGTAGCCCTGTCAAAGATGAAGGCATCGTAGCCTTTGGGAGCTTCGTCTGCCTGAAAAGCATCAATCAGTGTAGAACGAGCATCCGTTAACTGAGATATCTCGAAGGGCTCGAATTCCATGGGCACAACAGCTGGCCCAAAGGGTGATTCCGGAGCCGGAGCGTACCCAGGAAGTGGTGGTAAAGCCTTCATCAACTGAGGAATGCTGTTTTTCACGCGCAACAACTTCGCGGGGGAGATCGGCTGAGGGTTCAACGTTGGGCCATCGCGTGTCGACACAACCTGATACTGGTGAGGCTCGTCTACTGCGGTGTTGACCGTCAATACTGGAAATTTCCTCCTATTTTCACGGAGTGATGACATCCGCGGGGGGTACGAAACCGTGTTGGCAGCCTTTTCTGGTCCTGGCTTCTTATTCTCTCCTAAGCACGGGCTGTTCTTGACAATTGTCGGTTCCCTACTGATTTGTGCTTGATGGTGAGGACTTTGTGATTCGCCACGGGCGGTTGGGGGCTCCTCTGGTCGCGGTGTCTGAAAATGTTGATCAACCTGATGGACAAAGGATGCCAGATCAGACAGGCCTGAGCCTAGAGAGTAGAACCGGCTGCCATGGCGCGGACTACAGCTCACCTTCGGCAATGCCGAGACCTCAGCACTGGTCATGTGAGGCTTCAGAAGGTCAGTGGAGGCGTACTTCGGCGAATTCGGCGAGGTTGCCAATTTGTCAAATTCCTGCGGACGCTCGATGTCCTGAACATTTGCACAACCGTCCTGCGAGTCCCGAAGTGGGCCGACTTTGGACGGCATGCCTGTAGTCAAGGCTGGCGTTTTCGGCTCAGATGGGTCATCAAGAGTAGAAGAGTCCGATGCTGTTTCCGTGAACGTGAATTCTTTCCTCTGACCCAGATTCTTCCTCTCGCTCATATTTCCTAATGTTTCTCCTTCATCCAAAGCTGACGGTGGTTCAAGGCAGTTGGCAGCCGAAACAGCCGTCCCCATGGACGGATGTGACTCTGAGTGGTCGTGCGCTGGTTGGTGCAGAATCGCATCAGGATCACGAAATGGTAGACAAGTCGGCAGGCTTTGGGAATCACTAGAAGCATTGACTTCCTTAGCATGGTGGCTTGTGCTCGTCCCTTCCTGGAGGTAAGCCTCAAATTCGTTTTGCGCATCTTCCATACTCTCGGGGCCTTCAACGCTGCTGTTCTGAAAGACAACAGGACGAAAAGAAGTTGAAAAGCGTTGTGGAATGGGTGCAATTGGGTCAATTGGCGGTGGCTCGATAAGATCCTCGAACTCCTCGCTGTAGTCGTAGAAAAGAGGCTTTTTGGGGGTTGTTGCAATTCCGCGCACTCGTGAGGAAGTCTGACCATAGCCGCCGCTCATTGATGTCAAGCTCATTGTCCTCAAACTCTGGTCCGAAGAGCGAACTTCGAGCCTGCTCCGTGATCTCACGCCACACGCATGAAGGTGATTTGGCAGCGGAGGCCGGTTTTGTGGCCGAAGTGGGTAAAGGCGGGTTGCGACATGATTGTCAGAGACTGATCGCACAGAGAGATTGGCGCCTTGTCTCACGGTCAGTGGCAGTGGATTCCTTGTCGTCTGGTAGGGAAACAAAGTCTTGTGAGGGTGATGCGTCGTTCGCTGTCCTGATGTTAGTTCTGTGTTTAACCCCCCCCCCCCCCAAAGGAATAACGAGACAGCACTGCACAACTCACGTAAGAGATCCTGTCAATCTCCACCATTCTGCTATAGTCTACATTTCCACTCTCTGTCAGGGCTGGAGAGGTAGGACGAACTCCATGACGTGGTAGACGGGTTGGATAGGGGTAAGGGGACCTCGGTCGCTGGATTCTCCCCTGGTAGTCTTGCAAGTAATGGCCGCCATTGGGTCTCTGCATGAAATAGCCTCTTGGGCCGCAACTTGTCATCGAGTACGACCTCGAACCGTATTCATCGCAAGGGGTGGTGAGCGAGCTAGAGAGGGACTTGCTGCTGTGATTTTCCGATCCATACATGGATATTATCTCCGAAGTGCTGTCGCGGTAGGAAGGAAGCTGCTTTCGATCGTCCCGCGCCGCAGGCCTGTCGCTGCTTCGCGACCACGGCCGCGGTGGTTGACGCAAGTCTCCGAGGCTTGCCCGGGCACGCAGACCAATGGGCCTGCCATAGAGCTGATCATGGGTCCTGGTGACATTGATGGAGAAAATGCCGATGTTGCCAGTCTCGGTCGTCTTCCTCAGCATGCCCTCTGCTGATGCGGCAGGGTCCAAGAAAGTGTGCTCCCTAATGCTCCTAAGCGGCTTGAAAGGAGGCAATTGATAACCGCAGTCGGACCCGGCTCGACTCTGAGCTGTGTAGGAGTGACTGAGTGCTCCATGACTGGCTGAGCGCCTGGCGACGCGGTGTTGGCTCATTCTCGATGCTGTGGCGGAACAGTCGGGCAGGAGATGGGTCCTGTTGATCGTGCATGGGGAAATATGATACTGAACCACGCACGAGACGATGCGTGAGCAGATATGGATGATCTATGGTGGTGAGATGATCCCTCGGGGCTTCGTAATCAAAATCCAAGATCGTGACGGCGGCGCGAGGCGACGGCGGGTGGGCACAAGGTAGCTACAGAACCATCATGACCGAGTGCTCTTCAACGGAGACAGGTCGCCATCCGGTGCGAGTGCTGCTGGATTCATGGCACCTAGGCGGAAGGGGAAGGCATAGGCAATTGAGGTGCTCCTTCCCATGCTGGTGCGCTCGGCGTGGAAGAAACGGGCAAGGACGGCAGATTCATCCCCTGCCAGTGAAGCAGATTGCGATTGACGAGGTCGACACTTTCCCCCTCCCACATGCCCGCAGTTTTCCTATCTGGCCAGGGTGGTGGTCACTGACCAGCAGTGACTTGGAGTGGTGCAAACGTTGAGAGCTGCCGGGCCCGTTCAACTGGCCGTGCATCCTCACATGAGGCACATTGCTCGTACAGTCAGTCATATCAGTTGGTCCAGCCTCCACTGTGGTCACAAGTATTACTTGCCCCACCTCCCTCCTGTTCACCGTCAAGGAGTCTCATCTTCGTAGAACGTCTGTTGCCCCGTTTTCTATTTTGTTGAAGGAAAGGGACGCTAACGCTAATAGTTATCTCCCGAGTTCATTCAGCGTATGCCATAGAAGCAAAACAAAGCAAGGTCCAGTTACACAGAGGAACAGTATGCCGAGCATTGACCATGCCCTCCGTATTGGCAGAGAGTTGAATTGAGCCTGAAGGAACTTGCTTGACACCTCCAAGTCACCAGCATAGCATAGCATATCACAACAAGCCAGGAGTAGATGCTGCACAATTCGCAACTGGCATGTCAGATCTGTACATGTGAAAAGAACTGGCATTGGGCCCAAAGTAAAATCTCATCCAAGAATTCAGTGGAAACTGGCTCATTGAGGACATGGTGATCAAGAGAGTTGATCCAGGATTGGGAGCTGAACCATGAATCAGGCCTTGTAGCCCAGTCTTGCAGACAACTGCTCCGCCAATCCGATATAATAGAAATGCCAAGTTTTGCTGGACGTGCACTGCAACGCGGCTTGGCAGCCTCGTAGCCCCAAGACTGTTACCACAAACCTGACAACGGATTACGTTGCCTCACTGACGTGCCTCAGACAAGGGGGAGAAAAAGGGAGAGAAACGTACAAAAAAACAAGGGGGGGGGCTAGATCAAGGTAAGACGTAAGTGATCTGGTGATGCACTCGCTTGACCATCTAGCATGTGGGCGTCATTAGCATAGTATGCCCCTATCGGTAGAAGGCAATCAGCATATGATGAGGATGACTTTGGTCCATGAATAGGGAGCAGGGGACTACAACCCGTAAGACTATCTTATTCCGGACCGTTGTGCCATATAAAAGGCATGGCACATGGTGGAGTACACCTGAACACCTGAACGGAACAAGACAAGTGGTGCATGACCAAGGGCTAAGAGGAACACGGACAAGCACTCCGACGTTGAAGACAGATATCCTCTTCAGTACCTAGGCACGTCTCGACTACACTAAGCAGTGTGGCAAGGGTGCTTACGGTGGGACGGAAAAGCAACAGCGGCGGTCGGCCGAGGCGGCAGAAGCATTAGCGGGCCAGTGGTTCCGTCCAGAGCCGCTGGCCTGATGCGGCTAGCTGCGGGTCCAGTGCCTTGTACTACATAGTATGTCAATCGAATAAGGCAGGCAGTTCCCCCCGCTCAGGTGGGGTGTACCTTGTGGTACCTACTCTATGTGGTGCTCCACCCTGGGGACAAAGGACGGGTGGCCTCATGAACAGCTGCTGTCTGCCACTCATGACTAGATCTGGGTGTCCACTTAGACATGCTGTCTAGACACCAGGAGAACAGCCAGCAGCCCAAGCAGATTGATTTCACTGTAGGTTTGAAGTTAGCGAAACTGAGTTTCTGCATTTGCATTGTGGTGTAATCATCGCCACAGAAGGTTTGGTACCAAAATAGATGACGGACGGCCTAGGGGTCTGGGGGTCTAGCAATGGGGTTTCTCAATTCAGCAATGATCATGTTAGTCTCCCAAGGTTCCCCATGATGTCGGCAGGCTAGGACCCCTGCTCATGGTGGCAACTAGGGTCCTAGGTCGACCCTCCAGCAGGGCTAAATTGGGGTTCCTGGCCCGCCAAGAGCTGGAGGAGCTGGGCTGGCTGGCGGCTGGCTGGTGAATTGGAAAAGACACCTGTTCAATAGCTTAGGGAGCCCTTGGGCGGGCTTAGAAATCGCAGGGGCGTGTGCATCCTGCCCCGTCTTATCGACATCTTTTATCCCAGAGGTCGAAACACCGACACGTCCACCATTCCCTTTCTTCCTCTTATTCCCCCATCCCATCATCGACCTTTCACTGAAGAGGATAGTGCATACTCCTCTCTTCTAGCCATTCACTAGGAAACATCACTTTCACTGGTGACTTTCTTTTTTTGTCCAGGCTGTTTCACGCTTTTCGGTCGTCCCGCACCCCGCTGCCAGCTGATATAAAAGGCCAGCTTCCACGGTACGTCTCCTGCAACCTGGGTTTGCTGCACACACCCATCTCACATCGCTTTGTCCTCTCGCACAGCCTTTCGAAGTACATACTACTTGCATTTCAGAGGCCAACAATTTGTGGCACACACAGACTGACATTCTCGCTTCGGCCAGACCCTCCAGACACATCACGATGCCTTCCGTCAGGAATATGGCCTGGGGCCTGCTTGCTGCGGCAGCAGTTGCCACCGCCTCAGATGTCACCCAGCTGAAGAAGGACACCTTCGAGGCGTTTGTCAAGGAGAACGATATTGTTCTCGCAGAGTGTGCGTCATCTCATCGCTCAAACGCCCATTGCGCTAGTCTGTCAGCTAATCAAGAATGCTCCAGTCTTCGCACCCTGGTGCGGCCACTGCAAGGCCCTCGCCCCAGAATACGAGGAGGCTGCCACCACCCTGAAGGAGAAGGACATCAAGCTCATCAAGGTTGACTGCACAGAGGAGTCTGATCTCTGCCAACAATACGGTGTCGAGGGTTACCCTACGCTCAAGGTCTTCCGTGGCCTGGAGAACATCACCCCCTACAAGGGCCAGCGCAAGGCATCTGCGTAAGTCCAGCAACTGCTTGGCCCCCGCCAGAGACGGTTTACTAACCATGCCCTTTACAGCATCACATCCTACATGATCAAGCAGAGCCTTCCCGCAGTCTCCGTCCTGACTTCCGACACCCTTGAGGACTTCAAGAAGGCCGACAAGGTTGTCCTCGTTGCCTACTTCGATGCCTCTGACAAGGCCTCCAACGAGACCTTCACCAAGGTTGCCGAGAAGCTCCGTGACAACTACCCCTTCGGCGCAAGCAGCGATGCTGCTCTCGCTGAGGCTGAGGGTGTCACCGCTCCTGCTATTGTTCTGTACAAGGACTTTGACGAGGGCAAGACCGTCTTCTCGGAGAAGTTCGATGTCGAGGCCATTGAGAGCTTTGCCAAGACTGCCGCCACCCCCTTGATTGGCGAGGTTGGCCCTGAGACCTACTCGGACTACATGTCCTCCGGCAAGCCCCTGGCCTACATCTTTGCCGAGACCCCCGAGGAGCGCAAGGAGCTCAGCGAGGAGCTGAAGTCCATCGCCGAGGCTCAGCGTGGTGCCGTCAACTTCGCCACCATCGATGCTAAGCAGTTCGGGGCCCACGCTGGCAACCTGAACCTCAAGGCCGACCAGTTCCCCGCCTTCGCCATCCAGGACACCGTCAAGAACCAGAAGTTCCCCTACGACCAGGAGAAGAAGATTGTTGCCAAGGACATCAAGAAGTTTGTCGAGGACTTCGTCGCCGGCAAGATCGAGCCCAGCATCAAGTCCGAACCCATCCCTGAGACCCAGGAGGGCCCCGTTACCATCGTCGTGGCCAAGAACTACGAGGACATCGTCAAGGATGACACCAAGGACGTCCTGATCGAGTTCTACGCCCCCTGGTGTGGTCACTGCAAGGCTCTGGCTCCCAAGTACGACGAGCTGGCCACCCTGTACGCCAACTCCGAGTTCAAGGACAAGGTCACCATCGCCAAGGTTGATGCCACTGCCAACGACGTCCCCGATGAGATCCAGGGCTTCCCCACCATCAAGCTCTACGCGGCCGGTGGCAAGGACTCTCCTGCCACCTACAGCGGCTCTCGCACGATTGAGGACCTGATCGAGTTCATCGCCGAGAACGGCAAGTACAAGGCCAAGGTTTCCGTCCCCGAGGAGGAGGAGACGCCCGTGGCCCCTGCGGCCACCGAGAAGACCGAGGAGGCCAAGGAGAAGGAGACTGAGCACGATGAGCTGTAGAGGGTGCGAGAGACAGGTTACATGCAGACGGCTTGGTATTTCGTTTTATGACTGGTTCGTTCGGATTATAGGGATTCACGGTCACGGTCAAAATAGCCCGTCCAGGCGCACGCGTTAATGGTATCTTTTACTTACTGAACAAATGCTTCCTCGCGCAATGTGATGATGGTGATGCCCACTGAACACAACCGCTTATGCCTGCCGACTGATGGATGTTGTAAGTGTGCCTGCCACCTGCCACCTCTCGTATTTTTACCACTGCTTTCGGCATGGTATTTTATTTTTGTTTTGTTTTGTTTTTTTATTACGGCTGGGTCTTTGAGAGTTTACCACTGTGTAAGGCGTCGTGTATGGCTTCGGAGTAGACGGAAACGAAACAAACCGGTTAACTACGTATATCTAGTCTGCATATGGCATCTACATGTCCGACGACACCAGCAAGCAAACCAAGGTGTTCCCGTCTGGCTGAATCGCTCAGTATGCCAGCAGGGATCGTGCCCTCTAGCATTTTCTGATTGTGGACGGCATGAGGCATTACGCCGGGTCTTGATTGCAGGCCGGCCGTGTCGGCTGTTTGCGAAGTCTGTTTTGAATACACCGGCGTTATGTAGCCCGTGCATACTTGGGTGTATATATATATACATACACACATATATAGATGCGCACGTATCTATCTAAGCAGGACCGGGCTAGACTGACTGACTGGTAGGTAGTATTAGCAATGCCCGAAATTCCTAGCCCAAAGCGAGACTTGTTGGATGAGCGCTGGAGGCCTGGCGGCCCTTCCAAAAAGCGAATGGGCCATGGTAGTCGAGAGCTGTGATGTACATGTTCGTGGTTCTCGAAATAGCGGCACAAGGTTTCACCAGAGTGCTGGACGGTGCTGACAGCTGGCTGGTTTGTTAGCTGAATTACGGAGTACAGCATTGATGAACTGTGCCGCCCTTGCAAGCAACTACCGTGTGCAGTTAGGCCATTGGGCGCAGCGGCCCCACCAGGCGTCAGGGCGCACCGGGAGCTCCAGAGGCGAGCAAGCTTGCGGAGACGGGCTAGCTAGCTACACAGCCTACACTACTACTCCCATTCGAAACCACCCGACCTCCACTCCTCGCGACCTCACGATAGCCACCCCCCGACACACCAAAAATGGCTGCAAGACTATTCTCATCAGGAGCCCGCGCTCTGCGCTCGGGCGGCGGCGCATCGCGACGATCCTTCCAGACTTCGGCCCCGAGGCTCTATGCCGACGCCACTCCTCTGCCGGCCAGCAGGCCCCTGGGCGCATTCCGCGGAGGGTCAGTCGCACGACGGCATTGTGTTGCAGGCGATGATGGAAGGACCGGGTGCTAATGTTGACATGCGACAGACTGTTTGGATTCTTGGTCGGGGCGACCTTCGCAGGCTCGGGGACATACTACTACGTCCTGCAGGACTACAAGACGTCAAACGAGCTCCTCCAGGACGATATCTACGTACGTTGTCGACCTCTATGATTCACTTGGGTCCATCGCACGCTGTTTGCCATTGGCATGCCCGGCTCAGAGGACGATCGCTGACCTTGACTGGCACACCCATCCAGGCCCTGCAGGCAGCCACGCACCGGATGAGCAACTACCTGACCACACTCGAGGAGAAGATTGACACAATGGAGAAGAAGAAGAAATGAGGAACTGTTGGAGAGGAGATGCGGCACGACAATGGACACGGGGCTGGGCTGTATGACTGATTGAATCCGAGCACCTGCCTGCAAATCAAAACGCATATTAGACTGGGTTCACAATGTGGCGCTGTTGCAGCCGTAGATGACATGTGTAGGAAGGCCTCGCTCTCGCTGCCTGGCACCTTCAGAGAGCCCGCCCGTGCTCTAGAGGCCCGGGCCTGCAGCTCGCAGTGGGCCGAGCTTCCTGCCGAGCGCGGGCCGACTCCGTCACAAAAAAGCCCACCTTTGCTCGGCGTCAGCCCTCAGCCCTCGTGCAGCCAACCCAACCACAACCACACCCACACCCCCGAGGCCCTCACACCATGAACAACTTCGGCGTCATCGAGGTCGCGAGCGCCAAGACCACCAACGCCCCGGGCTGGGCCTACGTGCCCGACACGGGCGCCACCGCGACGCCCTCGCAGTCCGTGTCGGCCGTCCACCTGCACGTGAACCGCAACAAGCGCGCCGCCCGCAATGCGAACCACGCCGCCGGGTCGAGCGCCACCGTGCAAAAGGGCATCTCGGCCCGCCGCGACGCAAAGATCCAGAAGGAGCTCGACGACCTGCAGCGCGACAGCCTCGGCGCCCGCGACGCCCACATCCCCATCCCCAGCGGCGGCAGGGACAAGGACGGCAAGATCAGGGGCCACACCCCAAACGTGAGGAAGATACTCGCCAGCCAGAAGACCTTTGCCAACCACCTCGACGACTTCGAGGCCTGGATGCGCACCCAGGCCGAGGCCCCCGTGAGGAGCCAGGCACAGAGCCTCGAGGGCACCCCCGCGCCGACTGGCCCGTCCGCCGGCAGCAGAAGACCTGCCGCCGCCGCCGCCGCCGCCGCCGCCGCGAACAGGAAAGCAGGCGCCTCAGCGTCAAAAGCCAAGACGGCCTCTGGCGGCAACAAGAAGTCCGCCACCCCAGTATCTACACCCACGGCCGACGTCGACGTCGCCATGACAGACGCGCCACCAGCGGCACCCACCAGCGCAGCCGACGACCAGCAGCAGCCGCAGCAGCAGCCGCAGCCCGGGCCCGGGGCCCCCGAGCCCGAATCAGAGATCCTCACGCCCCTCACGCGCTTCCAGCCGCCCCCGTGCGCGGGCGACGCCGACCCGCTGCTCGAGTCGTGGCTGCCGCCCCTGCCGACGGACGACGAGCTGCGGGAGCTGCTGCGCGCCCCCCCGCTCAACTACAACCAGGCCCGCGGCGAGTGGGCCGACGACGACAGGCGGTACCCGGCCCGGCAGTTCTGCGAGGTGTGCGGCTACTGGGGGCGGGTGAGGTGCATCAAGTGTGGGACGAGGGTCTGCGCGCTGGACTGCCTGGACGTGCACCGCGAGGAGTGCGTTACGCGCTATGGACTGTGAAAGTCGGGCCTGCGGGGTAGGGCTGGGTGGTCTTGTTTCATGATGGGGTGGGTGTGATGGGTACTGGTGTTCATAGGCGCCCGGTTGCTGGGTAGGGTTCGACGGGGCATGCTTGACCATGCGGGATTGTTTATTGTGATACCCAAATTATGATGACCTCTCACTGAGGCAATTCTATCCCTACACTGTAGAATGTGATATCTGTTGTCAATGGTGCTTGCTTACGCGTCAATAATCTCGAGAAAGCATGTGTGACGGACGGGCTTCTTTCTGTATGAAGAAGTCGACCACTGTGACGCCCGGAGATTATCGGTGAACGGTACTATGCTGTTTAAAGTGTAATTCCCCTTACTTATTAATTCTTAATATGCACATCCGTGTCTTGCTTTGTTCTCTCAATATGCGGGGATGATGTGTCCATGACAGCTGCCCACATGCAATCAAATAAACCTTGGAAATGCTCTGAAACATCAAGATTGAGCGTAGCAGTGCAAAAGCAGCAAATGTTTCACTCTTAAATCACAGAGTAGCATCGTGTGACGCACTCGGAAAAGACCCTAATTTGTTTGTCAACGTCACCACAACAAAAAAAGTTTGAGCCTCCGTAGAGACAGGTATCTTGAGAAGGTATCTAGCATCATCATCACACAGGTAGTGGTACAACAGGCCCCTCCCCGTCCTTGATCTGATCCTCGCCCGGTCCTCGCCCCTAGTATGGGAGGAAGTAGTCCTAGGGTTGGCATCAAGTGAATGGTGCCGGGACCGCCCCCTTTGCCCACCGAACGCCGCCCTGTCCTATAGCCTTGTCCCTAGCGCACTGTCGAGCCTTTCAATGAGGTCGGAAGAAGAGAAGTCGGCCAGCCGAGGAGGGTGCGATTCCACCGCCCCCCCCCCCCAGCCCACACGCTGGGGACGGGAGAGCGGACACCCCCAAGGCACCCATTCCAAATGATAGGAGGGTTTTCATCGGTCGTAAATTGGTGTTGTAAACTTGATCCGCACGCGCACGCCTCTCAGCGCTTGTTCTCCATCCCCGGGTTCTCCAGCACGAAGGCGACATCTCCGACGGTCGCCCCGCCGCGGCACGTCGCCGAGAGGCTTCCCGTAGGGCATACGGCGCGAGCGGCGTGGACGCACTCCTCCCATCGGACCTTGGAGATGTTGATCTTGGCACCCTCCTTGACCGCTGTCAGGGTGAACTTGGCCGTGCCCCTGCTGCCGACGGTCGTCGCTGGCGACCCGCCGCACTGAGATGTGGAGCCCGATATGCCGTCGCAGATGGCGAGCTGTGCTGCGTTCTCCTCGTGGAAGATGATCTTCCTGTGATACTTGTCAGATACGATCCTGCGGGTGGTGAGGTTCAGTGACAGACTTACTCCTCAGTATTCCAGCAACGCACGTCAGCCACGGCATCGGGGTTCAGAGGGGTGGCCCGTCTGAGAGCTAGAATCTCCAGGTGCTCTGAAAGTTCAACAATTAGCATCTTGCCATGAAAGCTTTTCCTTGCTCACTTCAACAAACATACCTGGGGGGACGCTCCAGGGACCAGGCAGGGCCGCACCGACGCCGGCGAGGACAACGAAAGCCTTCAGGATTGAGAATGCTGACTGCATTGTGAAAATTTGTGTGAACAAATAGTACGACGATACCCGCAGATGATCGTATCCTCGATACTGCTCAGGGTCGTTCTTTCGAGCGTGAGCGGATAATGGGACGAAGTTGAAACGAGGTGATGGGAGTGATAGAGGCGTCGACTCGGTCGGACGGGATGAAGAGAGCACACGAGGAAGTAGAGTAAAATTTTGAAAAGCCGACCAATGTGTTGAAGAAGAAAGGACTGAAACGATCACAGATCTTTGGATCTAAAAGAAAGAGAAAGTTGTCGATGAGCTGAGCGAGTTGCCGCCGACTGTGAAGAGAACGAAGTTGAAGGACGCAAACCTGGCGTGATAGAATGTTTGGTGGTTCCCCTGGCCCTTATACAAAAACTAACAACTGTTCAAGTCTCATGGATATTAATCGAAAATAGCCCACGGCGACCTATCGGCCGGGTTCACCATGCAGGGCCACCATCATACCCCTACTTTGGCACCTCGCGCCGGGGGTTTGTCCAAACAAAGCCCAGAGCTGCCCAGAGATCTGCGCCGCATCGACTGCGAGAGTGATCATCCCACGGTCATCCTCGCAACCCGTCCAACCCTCCCGAAGAATCAGACGACCCGAGCTCTCTGGCTCTCTGCCGTCTGGGAAGGGAGCCCGCGCCCCCGGGCGTCGACGGTAAGGGCAGAAGGGCTAACCCCAGACAAGGGGAGTGGGCGCGAACACCGCTGTAACCTTAATGCTTTGGGCAAACCTTATGCGTGGGAGTTCCCCACCCACACGTTGAGCGATGCGTGGGGTTGCGATAGGATGGAAAGGGAGCAGAAGAAAAAGCTGAAACAGACCAGAGAGGGCGTCGGCAGTAGATCCCAGCCAATCCGTTTGCGAACTAGCACCCCGAGATTTGACCTTCTTGTTCTGGCCAGCAAGCAAGGGGTGCCCATAGTGAGCCTAAATGGTTTTTCACACAAGACACAATGTCAGCAGCCTCGTTTACTTTTGGTTGATCGAAGGGATGAGGGAGGCCGTTGGTGTTTATTGTCCAGCTGCAAGAGCTTAGTAGCATGCAGGGTATCTACCTGCAGGCTGCGGTCTGAGGGCCGAACTTCTCTGGCCAATTGGCAACGGTGCACTTTCAATACTCTGTTCGGGCCTCATGAGCAGATTTGAGATTCATTGTATTGTGGCGTCTTGCCAACCCGCTGAGAGATACTAGAGCCTCAGGTCTGTTGGACTTGGCTCTCATGACACGATGCACAGCGACTGCTCGTCCGTGCACCTATTGCGCCCCGTCAAGGGTAGCGGCAGTACTTCATCCGGTGCTTCGGATGCAGAGCCGTAACGTGGGATGATGAGCTGCCTCAAGAGGTGTGTTCCTTATTACTCGTTTAGGGACCCCGACTGGATCAAGGGCGGCCTCGAACAGCCCACCGCACCAAGCTCCCCTCCCGCCGCGGATCCCAGAAACAAAAACCCCGGTCCACTGAACAAAGATCGCCAGCGGGTCATGCTATGAATGTCGAAGATCATATCGAGTACCAAGAAAGGCGTTCTCAGGGCGCAGCGAGGACATGACTCGGCTAGTTGTCATGCTCTAGCGCTCGGCGCCCACGCCGGGGTGTCGTTGATGTCCGATACACTCCGTACATCGTCCGGTCCTTTCAGCCGGATGCATCTTGACGCTGCCCACAAACCCCACATGTGCCACAGTCTCCGGCGTTGAGATATGTGCTGTCCTTGCACTGGGCAGTCTGGCAGCTCCATGTGCCGGGCACGCTGGCCGGATCCATAACGTTTGAGCACATGCTGCAAGTTACGGCGTACGCCTCGTTCTGGAGTGAGCAAGCTGTGCACGTCTCACCTGCTGCTGCAGGTTTGGCGGCAGCCTGAGTCACCGCAGGCTCCATTTCCGTGCCGCGAGGCTGTGCCTCAGCCTTTATCATGCTAGGGGTCTGCTTGTCTCTGCGCTTCGGCTCAACCTGCTCGGCAGCCTGATAGGGCTGATTTGTTAAATTTCCTTGGGCAGCTGGGGGCCCAGCGGACGAGCTAGGACCCCTGCAATCGCGATTGGGCTGGCTCTTGCTGCTCTTGACAAATCTCGCCATGGACTCTTGCAACTCCCTGAGCTCGTTTGCGGCATCTCGATCGTCAGGGTTCTCGTCGCCGCAGACCCGAATCAAGCCGTGCCCCTTGGTGTCAAGGAGCTTTTGCCCGTTGATGTCAACGGCGTCGGCCGCCCCGCCCTCTGCATCTTCGTAGTCGCTCTCGCTGGCGCTGTGTTCATCCTCGTCATCGAGTCTCCCTTGACCGGTAGAGTCTTGTTTCTGTTGGTCGAATCTGGCCAGAGCGGCCGCGGCCCTCAGTTCCCTCCCTCTCTTGCTCTGTGCGACTCTGGGAGCTGCTTGAGTGGCGCGTCCGTTCTCCAGCCGTAGTTTCACGTCCTCATCGGCTCCCAGAGCAACCCCGTTTTTCCCAAACTTTTTCTCGATGCGCCTTTGCTTTTTCTCCTGGTACGAAAGATCCGACTTTGCCTTCCTCTTCCTCCTGCGCGACCTATAAGTGCCACCGCAGAGATGCTCTGGGAGATCCTCGCCAGCCGTGACCGAGTTCTTCTCGAACTCGCCCGTGCTCAGCAGGGCGCCTCGGCCCCACAGGCCCTCACCTGTATAGCCCCTGGACCAAAGCACGCGCATGCTCTCTGCGTACTCGTTGCGGACCTTCCAAAAGGCGCGGCTGTGGTTCATCTGTTTGCAGTGTGCCAGCTCGTGCATCATCACCATCTGTACATAGTTGAAAGGTAACCAGTGACCTGATCGGGACTTTAGCACGAGCTGGATGATCTCGCCTGCGTTGAAGTTGCGCCCAACAAATTCCCGGTTGGGTTCATACTCTTCGAGTGTTGTGACTGAAAGATGGTGTTCTTTCATGATTGGGACTTTGTCGTGAGATGGTCAGCGTGTTGTTGAATTAGCCGTGGATGGACTGGATAGTTATGTACGTACGACACTGTGCGGCGATCCGTTCGAGGAAGTCCTGCGCGATGGCCTCATCCTTACCCTTGAGAGGCTTGATGAAGACCACCCGGTCATTCGGCTGGGTCTTCTTTGCATTAAGGCGCTGTATACCCAGAGGCATCTTGGCCGTTGTGATTGCGTCACGACTGATGCGCCAGAGGTTGGCAATATCTGTCTGCAAGAGACTTTCCAGTACAAACCAATGAAACAGAGTGCCTGTGGACAACAGGATCAAGCGCTCAATAGCAATCAAAGGAGATTTGACGAGAAAGGTCGTTTCTTAGGTTGTGCTGTTTTGAGGTTTGGTGAGGCGGGAGTGAGATATCAGTGGCGACCCCTGATTAACCCTGGGAGAAGCGCGCAAACCCCGGGGGAGGGGGGTGTGGCGGGGGCTCGCACAATCTTGGTGTTGCTTCTCACAGCAGCCCAAAGGCCATTCAGTTGTAAGTGAGTGCGATATAATATCTTGGTTTCCAACAGGCCAGACTATGGTCAACATATCCGGCTGATCGATCTGTAGCCGTCAAGTCAGAAAGTGTGCACAATTATGTTTCTCTTGAATGCTGCGGCCAACTCCATTCACACAATGCGTTGCCTCTGCTCCCACAGTCAATGTATGTATATATCATGGAAGCGCAACAAGACAGTGAGTGCACGTAATATGGGCCAACCAAAGGGCCCAGTGAGGTAGACTCTTAACGCCGTCTCCCAGCACCACCGCCGCCACCACCAGCCCCGGTCTCGCCTTTGTCGGCCAGCGAGACGACCTCGCCGATACCCGCGGCCTCCTGCTCGTCCTCAAGGGCGGTGATCTCCTCGCGGCAGTCCCACCACTTCTCCTCGCTCAGCTCGAACGCCTTGGCCTTGATCTCCTTGACCGTCAGGCTCTCGGGCTGGATGCCCTTCCACCTGAGGCTCGTCATCAGCACCTCCTGCCACTCGGCCGACGTCCGCTGGAAGAAGTCGCGCCTGGATTCGAACGGCCGCGGGTGCGGCAGCCCATCGTCCACCGAAGTTGCGGCTGTGTCTGCCTCGGACTCTTCCTCCTCGGCTGCTGTCGACGGGGCCGTCGAGTCCGTTCCGGCGTTGGATGCCTCGTCCTGTTGTTGCTGCTGCTTCTTCTTGCGCTTGCTTTCCGTGAACTTGGCGCTGCCCTCGTCGGCCATCTCCACGTCTTCATCTCCCTCGTCATCGTCCATTTCCTCGTCTTCATCTTCATCCTCGTCGTCTTCCTCGTCCTCTGACTCGACCCAGTCCTCCTCCGACTTCCTGTTGAAGATCTCCTTGCAACCGTCCATCTTGCCGAGGTCAATGGCGTACAAGTCGTCAAACGTGAACTCGCGGTCCCCCTTCTCGAACGTCCCACCGTAGATGTAGAGCACATCGTCCTGCACGGTGAGCTGGGCATTGAACCGCGGGTGCGGCAGCTCATGTGACACAGGCATCTCGCGTGCCGGTGCCTCCCCCTCGCTGCTGTCGCCGCCGCCCTCCTTCTTGCCGTCGTCCAGCTCCATGTCGCCCGCGTCCTCGAGAGACTTGCCCGTCTCCAGCGCCGCGAGCTGCTTCAGCAGCTCCTCCTCCTTAGCCGCAGCCCGGCCCCTCCGGCCTACCCTCTCCTCGCCGCCGCCACCGCCACCCTTCTTCTGCTGCCGCGGCTTGCGCAGCGCGAGCGGGAAGAAGCGGTTACGCTCGACGTTCCACGCAAACAGCCCGTTGAAGAACTCACTGTCCATGCCCTCCTCGCTCTCCTCAACGTCATGCACGCCGCCGAACATGATACCGCGGCCCTTGTGATACGCCATGGTGGCCCCGGCGCGCTTGGGCTCCGGCGCGTTGGCGGGCCTCTTCCGGCGCTCCCACCGCACTGTAGGCGGCGTGTTGGGGGGCGCTTCCGCGGCGGGAGGCGTGATGCGCAGGAAGAAGCAGTCCTGGTGAACCATGGGCTTCAGCACGTTGCGCTGGCCCTGGGCTCCGGCCTTGCCACCCTTGCTGGCGGCCGCGGTGGCCTTGACGCGCGAGTACCCGCCAAACAGCACGGCGCCCTGCTCGTGGGGGAGCAGGGTGAAGCTGGACCTGGCGTCGGGCTTGAGCTGGGCGGGCGGCAGCACGGGGGAGATCCAGGAGAAGTTGACCGTGTCGTACAGCCACAGGTCCGCCAGGTACTTGGTGGCGTTGGAGGTGTCCTGGAACCCGCCGAAGAGCACGATGTACTGCTTGTAGTAGGTCATGCGGTGGCCGCTCCGGGCGGGCGGCGACTTGCCCTTGAACTCGACCCGCGTCCACTCGCGCGCGTTGGGCTCCAGCCTCCAGAAGTCGTTGTAGTGGTAGAAGGTCCCCTGCTTGGGGCTGCTGAACTCGCCGCCGAAAAGGTAGACGTACTGGCTCTGGTTGCCACCTCGGCACCAGGCGTGCCCGGACCTCGGCAGCGGCGCGTTGGGGGACGTCACCGTCTTCCAGACGTCCTTGTCGATGTTGTAGATGTGCAGGTCGTTGAAGAAAGTGGCCAGGGCTCCATTGAAGTACTCGCCGCCAAAGAGCAGGAGCTCTTTGGAGTTGCTGGGCGAGGCGAGGAAGCACGACGCGGCCCTGGGCTTGGGCGGGCCGTCGGCGACGACCTCGGTGACCTTGAGGAACAGCTCCTGCTGTCTCTGGTATTCGGCCAGGACCTCGTCCAGGTCGACATCCTCTGCGTCGCTGTCGTCGAGCTTGGACGCCTTGTTCTTTGCCTTTTTGTCGGCCTTCTTCTCCTGCTTCGCCTTCTTCTCGGCGAGCTTGGCCTTCTTGTCGGCGCCCTTCTTATCCTTCTTAGCCATGACGTCGAGTGAAAAACATGAAATAATTCAAATATCCTTCTCCTTCCTTGATGGTGACAATTAGAGGTCAGTGTGGACTCATGGGCGAGGTTCTGCCGCCAAGAGCACACCGAGGAGCCTGCAAAGCGGGCAATGCGTCAGAACTGAACGGGGGAATTCTCCAGACAGAAATTTCGCCAACTTGGTTCACGTGCCCATGCAACTCTGCATCTATAGCGGTGCTGACTGGTACAGCAAGAATCAAGACTACATAAATCAATTTCAAAAGATATATGTGAAGCAGCAACCCACGGTATCAATATCCGCGATTTACAGACCTGGAAAATGAGGTTGAAAATGTGGTGTGTTGAAAGGCCCCACCTCACTGGGCCTCCGTCAGCTTTCAGTGACCTCGCAGTTAGCGGCAGACTGCAGTTCTCGTGTGAGAACGTCATCGCCCTATGGGTTCACGGCCACACATGGTGCAGCAACTTGGTCGCAAGAAAACCAGCAGCAGTGCTTCAAAGAAGAGAATGTATATGTACCAAGAAAATCCCCGAGCTCCAAGTTACCTAGGTAAGCAGCTCCAACCAGCTCGTGCCATGGTTGTCTACACGGTGAAGCAAGCCACTTCGTGCACCACACTCGCTCTCAACAACCTTCGCTTTCCTGAAAGACGAATATTGCCATGCCCACAAAATTTGACTCCTGATATCATGAACTTCGTCAATCTCACCCCTTTGTCCCAGTTGAATCCAAAACAATGCCGTCCCAAGCCCACAACTCCCAAAACCCATCTATTATGCTCTTCCCGACCGCCAGATCATCGCTGACATTGTTCTCATCGTCGCCCGACTTGACCTCCAAGGTGAGAAACGTCTCTCACATGACCACACATTTTTTGTCCTTTTCTGCTTCAGCGGCACCACCATTAAAGTTATATGTCCTCCTGTTCCGGCCCCTCCCGGCCGTGGACCACGTGGCATCGGTCCATGCGCTCTGGCTCATCACGTCATAGTCAGGCTCCTTCTTCTTACCCTTTTTCGCCTTGTCTTTCTTGCTCTTGCTCCTGCCGGGTCGCCATCCCTTCTTCTTTGCATCCGAAATGTTCTTGGCGGCGCTCCGTTCCGCGCGAGACGTACGTCGGTGCACGGATGACACCCTCGAGCTCACACCCGGCCCCGGCGCACCGGATGTGGCCAGGAAGGATGGGTTGAGCTGTACCTCGAGCTGCTCGGCCGTGGGGCGCGGCGCTCCTGGATTCCGAGAGGGCCGCGGATGGCGGGGAATCGGTGCAAAAATGAGAGGTTCCGCGCGCCGTTCAGATGACTGGTGAGTGGGACCATCGTACGCGCCCGACACACCTGTTGGAGTGCTGATGATCAAGGGCTGGTCCGGAGACACCAGCGCGTGGTCGATCGCATGGACCATACTTGATGGGTCCGAGAGGGAACGCGAGTATGGATGTTGAGGCAGTGGCTGATGCTGAAGATCTGGAACAGCCTGCGTGCTCCTACCGCGTGGTTGGTGTACAGACATCGGCCTGGCCCTCTCACTATTTCGATTCGTAGGCACTCGGGGCAGATGAAAACCTGTCGAGAGTCTCCTTGCCAGGCCTGACCGGCTGCTATTATCAGGCATAACGGGTACCTGCTCCTGCGCAGGAATCGCTGGATAATGCTGAGCGATCCTGTCGTTGGCCGTGACTTTTGCATGAGATACCTGTACGGAATAACCCGCCGAAGTCATCACAGGTATTGCTGTCTGAGGCGGCGGAATCGGCCATGTCTGTGAGTGCACAGCAGTCGGATATGAACCGCCGAATGTGTGAGGATTCCAAGAGCAGTTAGGCGGCGAAACTGCTATCATGGTTCTTTCAGCGCGCGGCGCCTCCTGTGGAGACTGACCTGGGAAGGCGGGCGATGCCTGCATCCGTGGAACCAGTGGCATTACACGTTGAGTTCCAGTGTAAGTAGATGCATTTGTGAGTGCCGGCGATGGTTCCGCGCCCGACCGCACACCGCTTTGAGGAGTCGCCGGGCTGGCTGTCTGCTGTGTGCTCGAGGACCGTGTGGCCTGTGGCTGAGGGGTATCAGGGGGCGACACATTGTAGATGTCTTCCTCTTCGTATGCGCTTGTGGGAGACTCGATATGTGGTCCTTGCCTGGAGGGTGTGGCGGCGGCAACATTTGTGGTCGAAAATCGCTGCTGCTGCTGCTGGACAGTGGTTTGAGAGGTGCGTTGATGCGTACCCTCCATCCGATTTGGAGCCAGCGTATGCCGTCTGGTAGGTAGAGACTGCGCATTGCCCGGTGCAATTCCGTCTGACTCTGGCGTTCGATGCGCCATTGGGATAGGTGGAACAGGGGGTAGATTTCGGTCTGAAGACCCGGGTACTGGCACAGCTATCACGGGTGCCATTGAGTGACGCAAGAAGGCGGGTGCTTCCTCAGGGTCCTCCTTTTGATAAGGCGGGGGTGGAGGCACCCAGTTGTCGGCGTCACTTTCATGGGGATGCTCAGCTCGTCCATCGGCCCGTCGATACTCAACCGGCGTCCCTGTCGTCGTAGTAGGGTTGTGTCGCCTGTGGTTGGCAGCCGCCGTGGCGGCACGACGCAGGGTGGTGATGGAGCGAGGGCCAGTATGAGAGTAAGGTAGATCCAAGGCTTCCTGTTCCTCCATGATCGTCGCCGTTTCCGTTTCTTCGGTAGCTGCGGGAGGCTGTGCCGAGCGAGGTGGTGCCTCACCAATCCGACGGGGCACAAGTGGGTCGTCATCCTCCTCCTCTTCCTCCGCAGCCGAGGCGGGTGTGGGTCGCGCCGCCGTTGTTGCCGCTCTCATGATGGCGCTTCGAGGCCCTCGCCTCTGCGCCACAGTCCTTCTTCTGACAATGGCCACCTCGGTAGCCATATCGCGGTGCTCCTCCTCGAGAACCTCGGGTTCTTCTAAGCCCACCTCGATGGTGATCTCAGCGACACGGCCGTCTTCAAGCCCGTAATCGAAGTCGACGAGCGTTAGCCTGCCACCATCCTCAAAGTCTATGCCATCTTCGTCGGTGATAGGTTTTGCCGGAACTGCGCCCTTCGCAGCAATGACCAGACGCTCCTTCATTGAAGAGTCCCCGAAGCCGGCCACCCACTTCACAGTGCTCACACCACTCAGCTCGGTCACCTTGAAGCCTTCTACGAATGTATTCCGGAGCTTGTCGCACAACAACTGCCATTGCGGCACCCTTGCCTCCCCGGCTTCTTGTGTCCTGGAGCGCATGGAGCCCCCGCTGACCCGGCGGTGCACCCCCGGGTTAGCAGCAACGTCCAAGTTGTTACTGGTAGTATCTGGGACGGCCTCAAGATCTTCCGGCACACCATATAGCCACACCTCCTTCCCCTGGAATCCCGCAGACACGAGGTCACCGCAAAGAGACGCTGCTGGCAGAGTGCATGGGATGAGCTTGGCCTGTTGTGGGGTGTTGGGAATAGGTCCAGTGAAATACGTGGTGCCATTTCGTAAGTCATCGATGCGCACAGCGCGGAAAGTCTCGAAACTGCGGTCATAGGTAAAGGCATATGCCGCCTCGTCGTGGGTAGATTCCTGTATAAGAACGGCATGACTGCAGTCACGGCTGGTATTTGGGAAGAGAATCGAGGTGGTCCACAGAGCACTGATATTGTCACCAGACAGGTGACTGCCCGGGTCATAGTAGGGCGCGGTCAGAATGACAGTGTTTGGCTGGGCAGACTGGACGGTGGTACCCAGGATCTGGGTGCCATCAAAAGAGAAGGCGAGGGCGTCCACGGCGTCACACTTGACAGACCTCCTGTCAGTAGGCAAGGCGCCGGAGCCGAGGGACTGTACTTCGATGCCGCCTTCGTAGGCGGCAGCCAGAACGGTACCGCATGGCGAAAGTGCAATGGTGCGAGGACTGTGATCGAGTATAATGGACTGGGAGCGCTTCGGAGGGCGCTGGGTCAGATCGTATAGGTCGACCTGCATCTCAGTCAGGAGGACTGCCAGGAGAGAGCCGTCATCCTTGACACATGTGGCAGCGGGTCTGCGGAGTATCTTGAGCTCCCTCTCCACTCTCAGGGTGGGACCTCGGAGGTCAATGATGTTGATGCGCGAGGAGTTGTAAGCAAGCAGAAAGTGACCCTTGGGCGAGGGGCTGAAGGACATGCCATCGCCGCCAGGGCACGAGGAACTGCTGATGGAGTTGGACACGATCTTGACGATAGTGTGGTTCGGGCGCAGATAGGCGTCGAAGAGGTTCCGCTTGACCTCCCTGGCGAACAAAGTCCTCAAGGCGGGCAGATTATCCTGTGCGCCGTTGGGAGGCTTCTTATGACTCGCGGAATATGACGGGCACCTCATCAACTGGAGAGCATAGAGTCGACCTTGCTGCGAGGCGTTGCGCCATTTTGAATTGACGAGAATCAAAGAGGCGAAAGAGCTGGGGTCGGCGGCTTCCAGGATTCTAGAGCAGGGCATGATGCGGTTAGGAAAGCGGGAGACAGGTGGGTTTCTGGAGCACAGAACAGAAAGAGATTGTCCTCACTGCTGGATGATCTCCTCGGGCAACCTGTCGAGAGCGCTCGGCTCGATGTCATCGTCGAAATCACTGATGCCCCGGTCAGACAATATGGGGTGCTTCTCGATCGAGGAGCGCCTCGGGCGCTGGGCGTCGACAGAAGGCTCGTTCATGGCCTGTGACATGGTTGAGAAGAACAGAGGCCGACCAGGTTGAGGGTATAAGTCGCAAAGACGCTGGGGCAGGTAGTATCCCGTTTAGTCCATGATTCGCGGCAGCCTGTCCTCACGAACTGCTGAGTACGGGATAGGAGAGGATGCGGATGCCGGGTCGAGGTGGTGGCCAGCTGAGAATGGCGAGGAGAAAGAAGAGGCACACTCGAGTTGTGTGTAACCTCTCAGCACCGCCTGTCTGGTCTGTTGAGGGCGGGGGTTGGTGAAGCGGCCAAGGAGTGAGCAGGGCGCGAAGAGAGAGTTGAGCGAGGCACCCAAGGACCGAGGACCGAGGACCGAGAGGAATGGGGGCTTGATGAGAAGATGGTTCAAGCCAGGCAAGCCCAGCTCAGCGGCACAGACACGAGCAAGACATGCACGCACAAGACACAGACAGACAGACACGGCTTCGTTTCTGGAGGGAGGTGCCGTGGTAGGAATATGGGATGCGCCGTGCGGCAAATGAGCTTGGGATGGAAAGGCGGCAACGAGCAGCAATCCATCTCTCGTCAGTGCTGGCCGCCCTGCACTGTACTGTGTGCAGTTGGTACACGCCCGAGGTACCTAGGGAACTAGGCACCTGGGTACCAAGTATGCAGTGTAGTCTATGCAGTTGGCTGTGGCGGAGGGGCGGCGGAACGGCATCGTCCATTGGGCAGGCGAGGGCAGGCCCTCCTCGCTGGGGTATGCCCTGGAACCGCCCCAGCAGGGAGCAGGCTGCCACTTTTTGTTGGAGCACGCCGTCCAATGAGGACTGCACAGGCGTGGTCAGGCTAACCAGCACCTGGGCAGTCAGGCAGTCCAGTGAGCAAGTGCGGTGCGGTGCATCCATCATCTACTGTATCGAGTTTCAAGCAGTCCCTTTCATGGCACCTTGATATAACACCATTGGAACTGACCGTGCATCTAAGGTATATGGATGGTAATATACGTGTTGCTGCAGTAAGGCTGTCAACGTCAAAGCCTCGCCAATCTTGCTTCTGTCCATCTTAATCTGCCTCACGCACAAGCCTTGAAACCTCGAGCCCCCGATCCTCGAACCCTGCGCCTGCCTAGGACGTTGCAATTGTTTCGGCAAAGTTTGTGGCCCCAGCCTTGGAAGACGTCATTGCCCGCCGGCTGCGTGGCCCAGTCGACCGATAGCTTATCTGAAATTGGATATCAGAGCGTGGTAGCAGTTCGGAATATGTATTGCAATCATTGATGGCAATGGTATGATGTTGTCCCCATCTGTATATCGATACACTTTCTCTTTTGTTTTTTTCACGCTCCACACAAATGCACACACAACACACACACGTTCAGCGGGCCTCGGCACTCGACCGGTAAAATTGCGAGACGCTGCAGCTAGGGCCCATTGAGTCGAAGGAAGGCGGAAGGATTCTCTAGCTCCCCTCCCCACCTATGCGGACAGATCATGCCCTCTTCCCCGACCATCTCCCGTCGTCTCTCGCCCGCCGCCTCGTGTCTCGCCTCACACCTCGATTATAGTCAGCCTCCGAAAACCATCGGGAGCACCAAGGCAGCAGCAGGAGGGAGCCCAGAGTTATGTGCTTTGCGAAGGTGCAGGTTCGAGATATTTTGTGTGCCAGTCAGCGAGGCTCTGCGGTGCCGCGCGATGTAATGCGTAATGGCCCCCCAACGTCCCAATCCGACCTAGGGTCGCACTATTGTGTGCACATTTGTCGTGGTAGCTCGAGCCATCTCGGAATCTTCCCTCGCCCTACTGACATTTCTGTTTCTATTTTTGGCAATCCCATCTGCACAGTACGAATGCGTGTAAGCGCCACAGTGCGCACCCACCCGCTATCACGTCTGGCCCAACAGGCCCAAGCCCCATCCATCACACACGCGGCGTATCGCCTCCATCGGTGCCCGCCTGGGCTTCCAGCACTTCCAGCTGTGAGACTTGTCTAATCCTTCTGTCGTGTAATCCCATTCAGTACCACGCCCGGACACCCCTATTACATTGACCTGAGACTGGTCCTTTGCAAACCGTCCATCCCAAAAAGCGTCGCCCCCGAGTCCTTCTTGCACCTGCCGCCCACCAGCTCCATTCCTGCTGGATCAGATTGATTGATCGACTGACTGCTTGCCTCACCAACAGGCGGGATGATATCAAACTACCAGCTGCAGGCTCCAAAAGCCTTGCTGATGTACACCGCCTCGGGGGTCCCGACCGCAGCATGGGAACGACATTTTGGACTTCTAACTACTGTACTGTGGTACGCTCTTGCAACTATAAAATCTGATGCCAGACAGTTCCCACTGCGGCTCCCGATATCCAGAGCCTCTAGGTACACTGGCAGCTGTCCAGTGGGCACTTCCGCGTGGTTGAGGTGGTCGCTAACGCGGCACATCGTCACTAAGTCATGTCCCACACCACCACAAACTTCATGCGGGTAGTTCACATACTGTGGTATCTGTCTGGAGCCTCCACGAGCACTAGGTGGCGGCCCCTGCGGATCGGTCGGTTGCTCAAAAGTGGACCCATCGGCCCTGCCTATAGATCGTGATAATCTTGACGAATCGCCAAGTACTCGGCCACCTTCTTAGGCACACGAGGTCATCCATCCACGTACTCGTCCTACCGGATATAGTCAGGCCTATCTGCATGTGCTGCCGCTTTGGCCCCACACCAAACCAAGTCTCTTGGAATTACGGGTGTTCCAGGCTGTTCTAGAGCAGATCCCTCCACAAATCAAAGTCTCGGTGTAGCACTCATCAAAGGGGACACTGAGTCTACATTATCTGCATGACACTGTTGTCTATTACCCACTTTCAAAGTGTTGTCTTCCACACACACACAAGGCAGGGGTACAGGCCAGTTTTAATTACATTCCTTTAAATTTCATACAATATTTATAAAGGTATTTAATCCATTTATATAGTAGTAAACTCTTAACAACTAAGTGTAAAAAAATAATCTTAATAGTAGTGTTAAAAGACTGCCTCTATATAGTTCCTCCTGTATTTATGATGATAGGTGAAGTAAGGAGAGGCTGTAGTCTTGATGAGTGAGGTGTTGATTGTGTAGAACCCCCCACCCCACCCCCTCGATTTCTGCTCCTTTCAAGCGGTATTTCTAATAAGAAATGACTAGTTGTGTTCATATAGCGTCTCCTGGGTTTTCTAGGTGAGTGATAGTATAATGCACTGATTTGTAGTGATGAAGATATGTGTCTGGGTTTATAAGTCGCTTGTCCTGGGTTGGCAGTGGCCTGGTGAGTAAGAATTCGAGCCCCAATATACTCGGAATTCACGAGCCTTGTAGAATGAGGTATGGTGATTTGCATGCCGCTGTAGAGTGATTCAGCGGATGCGTTATCTCAGGACGAACAGATGCCACAGCCAATGCTGCGACTTGAGCCCAGGGGGTCTTGATGATGCGCTGGTTTGCCGTCTCTTCTCCAGACTTCGAATTTTGAGGTCTCAAGGCTGAGCATCTTGTTGTTGGTGTGAGTCCGACAGGCTTTGGCATCTCATGCTGCTGGCGAAGACAGACCTGACGTTGTTGGGGAGTCTGAGAAGTCTGAGTATTCGAATGACTCGGTATACACCCCGCAGCTCCGGAACACGCATTTAGCCTAGAGCTCGCCTCTCGCAACTCGACAGGGTATTTCCGCTGAATATCAGCTCTCAGTTGTGTTAAGCTCTCTTTGGAGACCCTCAGCTGCTGGGGGGCCTTATTCCAGGAGACCAAAACCGAATATGGCACCGTGAAGAAACTTTTAATATAGACCCAAGATGCCTGCGGCTTGTACATCTTGGCCCCTGGGTTGCAGAGTCGGAGGTGGTCATGGGTGCTGCGTGGAGGTAGCTTTGTGCCGATGAAAGCGTGGAAATCATCGTAGTGCTTGTGCCGGTGAGCAACCATCCTCCAAGGCGGAAGGAAGTCTGTATCGGGCCCAGAGTTGTAGGCGCTGACGGTCGTGACAATAGCATGGCCCGGGCCAGCCTGAAGTATAATAACTGGGTGGTTGGTGGCCCCCCGATGAAGATAACTTGAAGCGATAAGGTCTTTGTGATCTTTGGCACCGAAGGCCTCGTGGCTTCTGAGAAATGCGATCTCGCCGTCTTGCCATTTGCGTGTAGCAACGCTCGCCTGGTACGGACGACGATGGTTCATGGTGAAAAAAATTGAGGAGATGAGAATCTCAGTAGTTTCTAGTTTCTTTTGTTGTGGTTTTGATGTAGTAGAAGCTTGTTGTGATTGAGAGTAACGTTTTGAGAGTAGGAGAGAGAACGTAGGATGGAAGTCAAGGTTGTGCATGAGGGAGAGAACACGACTGCCAGCATAATATATCGCCATTTCGACCAATTTTCCGTATAAGCTCCAAACCGTCCTAATCCCCCGAAGGCCTTCTTAAGCCTAACTAACGTAAGGCAGCTTAGGCGGCGACTAGCCTGTGGGCTACTTGTGTCCACGATTCTAGTTAACGCCGTCGTCAAGACGGTGCACCTTAGCCTTGTCTGTGCGTCGTAAGGCCGAGGCCACAAGGCTGAGGCCACAAGCAGCTATTATATTATGACTATTGTTATCAACATCATATCCTTTTTAAGTACTAGGTCTTGAGTGCTTACTACTATATAAAGGTACTATATATATCCTTAGTATTCGGAATAGAAGCGAAACCACTTATTGAAGAAAAGGACGGAGAGCACTATAAGTAGTATGCTAACAGCCCTTAAAGCTTCCAGATGCTATTCCATCTCCAAGTATATCTATGTCTGATTCGTGAGCCCGGCCAGAGCAGTTTGTGTGTGCTGTTTTTTGCCGCTCGTGAGTCCTGCAACGTAGGCACACCGCGTGTCAGAGTCATGGGCTACTAAAATTTCCAAATTTCCAAGCATTCGGCCGTGTGGCCTAATGGCTAAGGCGTCAGATTTCGGTTGAAATCATCCTCTCTGAAGATTGCGCGTTCGACTCGCGTCATGGGTTAGTCTTTCACATGAATCTTCAATCTCCAGCATGTTCTAACACATATACTAGTCGTGATATCTGAATGATACATTTTTTTTTCTTTTTGCCGCTCTGTTTGCATTCTTTGCCACTGGGGCGGCTGTGGACCCTAATAGATACGGGAACCCCGCAACGAGGTCAGGCTCAGTCTACAGTGAGTTTGTAGTGCTCCGGAAACTACGGCCAATTGTTGTCAAGTTTCGATCAAGATCACAGCACGGGAACAGGGAACAGGCCATTATGGCCCTGACAGTATGCTGCTGAGATGCTGCAGCATGTAACAGCATGATCAGTGTCTGGGGCAAAGAAAGGGAATTGAACCCCTCGGGGAGCTGCAGCTCTGCCTGATGGTTTAATTGCTAGGCTAGCGACACGTGCAGTCGCGTGTTCGTCGTGCGCGTGGACAGGGATCCAGCTCGTCTCACCTGCTCGTCTCACCTGCTCGAGCTAGACCCCCGACGTAATCGGTTTCTGCCAGTACCTGCTGCAACTCGCTCTTGACTTTCACAACGCTCAGTCAATGACTCCCATCTGAGGCCAAAATGCCTCCACGGACATCGCCCCGGAAGAAGGCGACTGCTGCCGCCGTCAAAGTCGAAAAGGAGGTCGTCCAGAAAGTCAACGGTGCAGCGGCGAAGGTGAAGGCCAAGGCCACAAAGACTAAAGCCGAGGCTGCCACTCCGAAGAAGGCCGCAAGCAAGAAGCGCAAAGCAGCTGAGGACACCGAGGATGAGGATCACGAGTGTGATAGTCACAACGAGGAGGAACCAGAAGAGAAGGCGAAGGCTGAGCCAAAGAAGCGCAAGACCAAGAAGGAGAAGGAGGCGGATGCGATGCCGCTCGCGGGCAGAACAGCCGTCAGCTCGCTCAAGCGAGCCATGTACATCGGCGCGCACGTCAGTGGCGCAGGAGGTGAGTAACCCGAGTATTCCTTGACATGGAGTTCCCTCATATTGACATGCCCTCGTCGCCCGCAAGGCTGCCAAAACTCCATCCAAAATGCCACGCACATCGGCGCCAATGCCTTCGCCCTATTCCTCAAGTCCCAGCGGAAATGGACTTCCCCAGCGCTCAAGGACGAAGACCGCGACGCATTCCACGCCGCAGCGAAGGAACAAAAGTACGACCAGGGCGCGCACGTCCTCCCACACGGGTCATACCTGGTCAACCTCGCCCAAAAGGACAAGGCCAAGGCCGAGCAGGCCTACGACAACTTCGTCGACGACCTGAAGCGGTGCGACGCGCTGGGCATCAGGCTTTACAACTTCCACCCGGGGTCGACGGGCGGCGAGACCATGGCGTCGGCGTGCGGGCGCATCGCGGCGCAGCTGAACCGGGCGCACGCCGCCACCGACAAGGTCGTCACCGTCCTGGAGAACATGTGCGGGCACGGCAACGTCATCGGCGGGCGGCTCGAGGACCTGGCCGAGATCATCTCGGGCGTCGACGACAAGTCGCGCGTGGGCGTGTGCATCGACACGTGCCACGCCTTCGCGGCGGGCTACGACCTGCGCACGCCCGAGGCCTTTGGGAAGGTGATGGCCGAGTTCGACCGCGTTGTCGGGCTCAAGTACCTGCGGGCCCTCCATCTCAACGACAGCAAGGCGCCGTTCGGATCGCACCGCGACCTGCACGCCAACATCGGCACCGGGTTCCTGGGATTGCGCGCGTTCCACAACGTCATGAACTACGAAGGGTTCCAGAACCTGCCCATGGTGCTGGAGACGCCAATCGACCGGAAGGGCGAGGACGGAAAGACGGTCGAGGACAAGCAGGTCTGGGCTGACGAGATCAAGCTCTTGGAGTGGCTCATTGGCGCTGATCCGGAGGGCGATGAGTTTAAGGAGAAGGAGCGGAAGCTTTCTGCCAAGGGCGAGGGCGAGAGGAAGAAGATCCAGGACCAGGTCGACAAGAAGGCGGCCAAGGATGGTAAGAAGAGCACCAGGAAGAAGGGAAAGAAAGCCTCTTCGGACGATGAGGACAGCGAGTAAGTGTACCTGTTTCTTGCTCTGACATTGCATGGTGGGACGAGTATTGGCGTTGGGGCAGGGGAGACAAAGCAGTTGTGACGGCTTGTATATATGACGGCACGATGCTTTTGATGTGCCAGTGGAATATTTATGATCGCTAGGAAAGGGTATAATTGCGTTTGTTAACACTGCGCGACAGGGACAATGGGAATCAGCAAAACTTCATGAAAACCTGGATGAAGAAGACAAAATGAAAGTCCAATCCAAGTGCCGCTGCGCCATGTAAACTCCATATGCCAAAGTCGTGACCCTCGTGCTCGTCCGCATATCCATCACACCCTCCTCGCCTTTGCAACAGCCTCCACCCTACCAAGTAACGACCTCAGGCCTGCGCCCTTCTCGCAGTTGGCCTCTAACCACGCCTCCATCCGCTCTCGCACGGCCTTCATGCCCCTCAGCAGCGGCATGCGTATGCCCTCTTCGTCCTCCACGTGCCCGCCCGGGTTGAGCAACATGTCGAAGCACTCGCCCCAGATCTCTGTCTGCCAGTACCTCTTGAGACCCTCTCGGATCCTGTACTTGCGGCCGGCCTGCGTCCCCAGCCCGCCGGCGTCGCACCTGACGGTCTCGATGTACTTGCTAAACAGGAGGCAGTGGATGATACCGGCCAGCCCGTGGTAGTCGATCTGCCACGTCCAAGGGCGGCCCTCGCGCATCTCGGCGCAGTCCTGCGCCGTTGTCTTCCAGTCCGCCACGAACTGCACCTCGGGAACGAACGCGCGCATGTCGATGCCCCGCCCGAAGTCGATCAGCGTCACACCGCGTGAGCCCCAGCCACCGGTCCCGTCCGCCCGCCACTGTGAACTCAGGGCCTCGCCGCCCAGTCGGAGGAGGCAGTTGTCGGCCTTGAGGTCGCCGTGGAGGATCTGCCTCGAGTGCAGCCCCTCGACTGTGCGGAATAGCTCGATGGTGAAGAACATGGCGAGACTCTCGTCCATGACGCCAGAGGACTCCGCTCGGAAGATGTTGACAACGTCAAGGAGCGAGCCGTGGGGGTGGAACGGAAGCAAGAGGAACCCCTCGTCTTGGTAGAGGTGCATCTCAAGGGCGCAGGAGAGAGAGGCTGTTGCGCGTTCCTGTGGACCGAGCCGATCGTGGGCCAGGCGCATCATGTGGAACTCCCAAGCGCTAGGAGGGGTCTCCATCTTGAGTGCTTCTAGGCGCCTGCGTTGGTTATGTGCCAAAGAGAGAGTCCCCTTGTGCATGACCACCGGCGCATCCTCGTCTCCTGTCTCTTCAGGCGACGAGTTCTCGACCAGGTACACTGGCGCAAAAGCACCTGCGCCCAGTTCCTTCTTGACCGTGTACTCGGTCTCGATTCCGGGGAGACGTATGATAGGCGAAGCGCCAAGATTCGCTGTCTTGTCTGTGCTGTTCCTGCTGCTTCTGCATGCTTTGATAAATTTGCGGATTTCGCCTCCTCTCCCATAGCTCTCGGATCGATGGTCAAAAAGCCCTAGACAAGAAGTCAAGGGCGGGTGAGATTCCTCAAGGATTTTGTTTCGAACCTCATCGTCTACTGGGTTGCACTGTGCCTCACTTATGATGGGGCCTTTGGCCGGTGCTGCCCTCGAGTCCGTCTTGGGTGCCAGGGCTGGTCTTGACTTCGGCAGCAGAGGCAGTGATATGTGTTTCACGGGAGAGAATTCCTCATGGATCACTTCCTCTAGAGGGCTGCTGCTCATCGGCTCATAATCCTCGACCCCTCGCGGCGAAGCACCATACTTCCTGCTAGGAGTCTTATTGGTACCGTAGCGGTCATTGTCGTCAGAATCGACCTTTAGCGAAGATTCGGTCTTCTCCGTGATGGGCGTCATAAAGGGGAGGCGATTGTTAGCCATCTCAGACGGGTCCCTGTATGTTCGTGTCACGGCAACATAGTCCTCCGGAGGCAAGGGGACAAAGGTAGTTCTCGTCCTGGGCGGGGACATGTCGTCGTACATTGGGGTGTCCATGTCTTCATCGTCATCATCAATGAATTCAGGCGCGGTGATGGTATGCTCGGTGAAGGCTAAAGAAGGGTCTGCATCCCTGATGTTGATCAAGTCAGACAGGACAGACCGGTCGTCGTCATCTTCTTCGTCGTCCCTGTCAATGCCAGGAATGTGTCGTCCCGCAGAGAAGTCAGACCATCCGCTGACACTCTTGACGTCCGATGTCTCGTCATCTCGAGCTGCTTGGTCTTCTTCTGTATCGCCGGCCTCACTTGTCGTAATTTGTCGAGTCGTGCAGGTACTTTCTCCGACGCTGGCGGTATAATTGCTGTCTGTCTCATATTCGTCGTCATCCGCATTCTCATCCGCCTCCTCAGAAGCGCGTTTCAAAGGTGCGTTGAATATGTCATAAATGTCGTCTGTGGCAGCCCTGGTGTGCATGGTCATTGTCGGCTCGGACGTATGTTTCTTCTTCAAGGTTTTGGGACCAGTTGGCGAGTCTAGCTTCGCTTTGACTACTCCAAGTTAGCTGACAATGTCTTCATGGAGTGACACGTCGACCTACTGATTTGAGTCTCATTGACCTCTGCCATTTTCTTCTTTCTTCCTGCGCGGTGTTGATCCGGGAGACGGCCATTCTCATCCAGGGTAACGACGTCCTGACGGACCAGCAACTTCGCTGCCTCTTTTGGTGGCGGAGTTGGCACGCCCCCTTTGACGGTTTTTGAACGTCGTGCACCAGCTACTGCATCTCTCTGCCATGAGTGGTCAAGCCAGCCACGGTTCGATGCCCATACCTCCTCAAAGCTCAATTCAGTGCCTGGCACTTCAGGGCTTGGATATACCGCCTGCAGGTCAACGAATACTCGCTCCTTTTTGCCATTTGTAGGGTTCACGGTCACTTGATAGTGCGAGGGAGCAATCGTGATATGAGATTTAGAAATTTGGGCCTTGAACTGATACAATACAATAGGCCAGTTGGCCGAAAACAATTAGTCCTGATATTCGATCAACAAACGGCTATGATGGGGAACGTTTGGAGACAGGTAGGCTTACCGGATCCCTGAACACCGACATCTTGGGCCCGGTGCTCTTCTTCCCACCAGTCTGCAAGGTCTCGCCTGCCCATGGCTTGGGCGCCATCACGTTCTCTTTCCTCCTGTCCGCTAATGAACCGATCGAATCCCAGCCCTTTGAGCCGGACTCTCGTGAGCCCATGGCAGACGGCGGCGCAGCATCTGCGTCCGAGAAGATTTGCATCTTCGGCTTGGATGACTTGGGTTTCTGTCCGCCAAGACCGCTTGCCTGGCTCGGTGCTTGGGGATCCCTCTCCAGGGCTGCAAACGGGTCGACCTTGGCCGCCAGCGCAGGTCTGACGGTGGGAAGAGCAGGGCTGGAAGGGCCTGCGTCCTCCGGCTGTGCGGCCAGGCGCTGCTCGAACTCGCCGAACTTCCTCACAATCCTGGCCGTAGGTCGTGCTTCCCTCTCGATACCCAGCTTGTAGACCTCCTCGGCTTGGGCCCATCTTCCTGCGCCCTCTAACCAGGCCGCATACTCTTCATAGAAGAGAGCGAGCGTCTCACCGATGCCATGCCTGGCGAGGAACACAAAAGTCTCGCGCGGCGAGTCGGCAAAGAAAGATATGTAGAGAAGCCAAAGCTTCAGGTAGCGAGGGTCGTTCTTGTATTGGGGTGCGCTGACGAACGCCTTGGTCGCTCGCTCGAGCACGGTATGTAGCTGCGACGCGGGTGTCGCTTGTGCCGACGGGTATGCGTCCAGGATCCAGTGGATGTATCGGTCATATACGTCGAGGGGGTCATCCGCCTCGGCGATGTTGGCAATCTCGGACTCGTACTCGGCACGTATGCAGTCATTTATGGTCTTTGTGTCTGCTGGTGTTGGTGTGGCGAGGCTTTGGAGCGCTGGTCTTGCTGACTTTGATGTGAGTGCTGAGGAAGGGGAAAAGGTCTCGGCGAGCTTCCTTGCGGAACGGCCGCTGGGGGGCGCTTGAATGTTCTCTTTGCTGGCTTCGATCACATCGAAGTTGATGAGATCGTCTGACGCAGCCATTGTGCTGCTGTTGCTCTAAGTCGAGCCTTTACGCTGATTAAATCAATGTCCGTTCGAATGAGAGGCAAGAAACATGTATGGTCTTGAAGAAGTGGGGAAAATCTAGGTTGGAGTTGGCGTTGGCATGCGTGGGTTTCGGTTGTTGTTGGGTGCATGTGCGTGAATGTCACAACAAGCTATGATGAAGGGGCCATTTTCTGTACTGTTCATTTGTTGATGTTGATTTGGGCAGGGGTGCACTGGCCTGCACAGAGAGTGTGTCACCGTTGCTCTGGAAACGGACCAGCCAGAAAAAAAAGTGCCGCCCCACAGCTTCCATCGAAAGTTCAGGCCCCAACAGAGCTTACGTAAAATTTTCGACCGGTGCGATACACAGGACTCCGTACGGAGCAGAGACTGACCCATAGATGCTATGCGGATGGGCTTTATTGCGAGGGATATTTTGTTGGACTACTGTGTATCAGGCCAGAGGGAGAATGGGTGCGCTCACAACTCTGCAGCTTGGTGATGACCGTCAACAGCTGTCAGCCTACATAGAACACATCTACAGCGCACCCAAGACAATCACATCTCACGATCTCACATCTGAGCATGCAGCTGTTGGTTTGGTATATTCATCATAACTTTTATTCGGTCATCTTAGGTCATAGAATGCAGGCTGGTGGCCCGCAGATGATCGAGCCAGGTTTTCGTAACTAGCACTAACGCGTCCTTTTCCAATATGTCGACGCTCAATGGGATATCTCAATTGCTCAAAATCGCCTTCACGCCCTCAGCGTGCCTCCTCGCAGCCAGCTTACAGGTTGACGGACTTGCGGAAGTTGGTGCCAGCGTAGATGGCGTTGGAGCCAAGCTCCTCCTCGATACGCAGGATCTGGTTGAGCTTGGCGAGACGCTCAGACCGGGCGGGAGCACCAGTCTTGATCTGGCCGGCCCGGATACCGACGACGATGTCGGAGATGGTGACGTCCTCGGTCTCACCAGAGCGGTGGGAGACCATGACACCCCAGCCGTCGGCGTACGAGTCCTTGGCCGCCTGGATGGACTCGGTCAGGGTTCCGATCTGGTTGACCTTGAGCAGCAGGGCGTTGGCAGCCTTGAGCTCGATGGCCTTCTTGATACGGATGGGGTTGGTGACGGTCAGGTCATCACCGACGATCTGGATGTTCTGGGTCTTGTAGAAGTAGCTCCAGGCCTCCCAGTCATCCTCGGCGAAGGGGTCCTCGATAGAGACGATGGGGTACTTCTTGGACAGGTCTCCGTACAGGGCGGCAAGCTGCTCGTAGGTGATCCATTTGGTGGGGTCGGACTCGGGGTTCTTGAAGTCCAGGTCGTACTTCTTCTCATCGACCTTGTAGAACTCGGAAGAGGCGACGTCCATGGCAATGTTCATCTTGCCGGTGTAGCCAGCCTTCTCGATGGCATCGGTGATGAGCTCGAGGGCCTCCTCGGCGGTCTGGATATCGGGGGCAACACCACCCTCGTCACCGACGTTGCCGGCGGACTGGCCGTACTTCTTCTTGGCCAGGCTCTTGAGCTGCTGGTAGACCTCAGCGCCCCAGCGCAGGGCCTCGGTGAAGGAGGGAGCGTCGGAGGGGACGATCATGAACTCCTGGAAGGCCAGACGGCCACCGGCGTGGGAGCCACCGTTGAGGACGTTCATGAAGGGAACGGGCAGGACGTAGGGCTTCTTGGTTCCGGCAAGGTCTGAGACGTGAGCGTACAGAGGGACGCCCTTCTCAGCGGCACCGGCCTTGGCGACGGCCAGAGAGACACCCAGGATGGCGTTGGCGCCAAGCTTGGTCTTGTTGGGGGTGCCATCGAGCTTGACAAGGAAGTTGTCAACAGCGGTCTGGTCCTTGACGTCCAGGCCGGCCTTGATCAGCTCGGGGGCGATGATGGTGTTGACGTTCTCGACAGCCTTCAGGACACCCTTGCCGCCCCACTTGGCCTTGTCGCCATCACGGAGCTCACAAGCCTCGTGCTGACCTGTATGGGGGCAAAAAGTATCAGTATTGACCGCCGTGAGAGACGTTTGTTTGCGTGAGGATCCTTGAACTAACCGGTGGAGGCACCGGAGGGGACGATGGCACGGTGGAGGCCGGTCTCGGTGACGACGTCAACCTCGACGGTGGGGTTGCCACGGGAGTCGTAGACGTAGCGAGCGTGGATCTTGGAGATACCCATGTTGGATGAGTGTTTCTGAGTCTGGTGAGTCTCGTCAGCTGGCCGATCGAGGAACCTTGCAGGTCTTTTTGTTTGTTGCAGCGGACTCTGTGAGTTTTACGAAGGGGAGTTTACAAGGTTATATTGTGTTGGGGTAATCCGAAGCTGATAGGCTTGAGGTTGTCCTCAAGAGGAAGCAAGCAGGCCAATGGCCCTTGTGGAATTCCAGTGACATCAGGCTTCGGGGTTGTAAGACGAGAAGCAGCATAACCGAGGTGGTGTTTGCTAATCCCGAGGCGAGAAAAAAAAAAGCCCTCAATTGGGTCTCACCGGCAGCAGGTGATAATGCCTCAGGAGGAGCTCGGTGACGTGAGGCGAGAGGGAGCAGGGGGGGCAGGGGGAGCTCGGGGGAGCTTGGCAGAGCTCGAGGGGGGGACAGAAGGAGGCATACCTGGGGTGAAAATGACTACGTCGAGCTTCACGATGACAATGAGGAGAGAGATGTGAGGATGAGACAAGAAAACAAGAAGGTCAGGAAGGTTGGAAGAAGGGAGGCTCAACGTTTTAAAAAGCTCTCGGCGGGGTTGCTGTCGGGCAAGCTGGGTGTCTAGGTTGCTAGGGTCTTGGTGGGATGAGATGGAGGGGTCCCAGCTCCCAATGGCTAGTGGGGTGATCGCATCTCTCAAGGGGCTGAGGGGCTGACTAGCAGCCCTCCCATGGACTGGCCCATGTCTCCGTACTCCGTACAGGAGCCTACCGTGCGTGCCGGTGCAGGGCGTGTGCATGAGAGGACAACCTTGGAAGGCGTACGAAGGCCCACCGACACACCTTGACACGCACCTTGGGCAGGTCAGTACGACCTCTCGTGCACCAGGCAGGGACCCGCCTGCCCACTGGCACAGTTCACGGCACAGCTAAGACGGGGGATGCGGGACAAGAACCCAGGATCCATTGCTCGGCAGCCTCACAATGTGCTGCAGGCTGGCCTGCTCACTTCTCACCTGAGCTGGGCTCGGCCATGGACATCGTCCGTGGGTGACATCGTTTATCCTGGGCTCGAGCCTCAATCAGCCCAGCCGAGATCTCATGTTTCTGAGCCGCCATCGTCAGCTTCCTGAACTTTGGCTCGCGGACCCGCTGCCGGAGCCCCCTTGGGCATCCAGACAGCCAGAGCTCCATGGGTGCCATGCCGACGCCCTATTTGTCTCGAGAGCCGCTTGCGGCCCGGCGTCGCAAATTCTTGGACCAACAACACCACGTGTGGATTCAACGTCAGTGCGGCCTGGACCGAGACAAAACATCACATCATTACCCAGTGGAGTAGCCGTTGCTTGGCCGGTCAGGCACGGCATTGGCGTGATTGCGTTGCTTTGCTCGCCTAAATTCTAATTCGGGCTGGATGAGGCGATGAGGCTCTCTGGTGCCATGCCTCGGAGCAACACCACATGCTTCCTCTAAATGGCGCAAACCCACCGCTCTCTTCAGCTGGACTCTTGTCCTGGCCGTCTACCAAAGTCTACTCTATGGACTGTGCTGAGTTCTGACCACAGCCAACGCGTTGCATAGCTTTCACCGTCAAATCGCCGAGTTGAAGCCGCCATGCCGCGACTTGGCGAGCAGGGCTTCTGGAACACCACCGTGCAGCGCCTGCGAGATGATGACACGCAGCTTGAGACGGCAAGGAGCAGCTTGCTATTTCGATCGTGAGTACAAGTGTGTGGCAGCTTCTAGAGGCAGTGGGATGGGTGGCGGGGGCTGCGGCGATCAACTGGATCGAGTGGTAATGACAGAAGGGGCCACTGAAGCTTGGGGACCAAGCAGACCGGCCCAGCTGTCATTCAGCCAGTCGGTTGTCGTTGCTGAGGCAGTCAACCGGCAGGCCGAAGGGCCCCCAGCTTGCCTCCCCTGCCTGCCGCTGGGCGGCTACCGGCGAGAGCAACATTTGAAGACTGAAGTCCTGACTGCCAGGACCATCAGACCAGAAAAAAAAACCCCAATCGACAGTCGGCTACGCGCGGAACGGCGAGTGAGGAGCAAGGAAAGACTGCACGAGCAATTAATCCCATCATTCATTAGTCTTCGGTGCAGCCTCGTTCGCCCTGCCGGTTGGTCTCAGGGCCATGTCTCTAGCTCTTTCCTCATCGCTGAGACTGGCCGCCTCGCAGAGACTTTTGACTTCGAGATCCACAAGCGCCTCTGCTCTGTTGCTATGCTCGAGGTTGCCCAGGACAGTGCAGCCGCCATCCTCTTTTAGACCATCGTACGTGCCTTCTTGGGGGCCCCCAGACCCCTCAGACCCCTCACCCCAAGGGCATCGGCCTTTTCATCTTGCCTCTCTCATCCTCTCTCTGTTTGCTGGATCGTAAAATCAATCCCCTTGAGGCTCCGGACTGACCACAGAAACCGAGGCCCCCCTTTCCCCATCTGCAAGGACCCTGTCTTTTACCCACAATTCGTCCCGTCTTAGCTGTGAAACGTCACTGACTCCAACCTGCCCAGAGGTGCAACCCCTCCACCCCTCACCAAGAGACTATACTCTGTAATCAGGACTTCGACTTCAGATTGTTATTATCCGTTGCCTCGCGCCCGGAGGCTTCCCTCTAGCATCAGACCCCAAATTCGTCACTGCTCATTCAGGAGAAACAACATGTGCAGACACGCTGGCGCCACCGACTCCTCGAGCTCGCTCAACGTGAGCGGGAGAGAGCTCCTCCCCACCAACGTCGTCCCGAGGCACTATGACCTGACGCTGGAGCCCAACTTCACCGACTTTACCTTTGACGGTACTGTCGTGGTAGACCTCGATGTGGCTGAGGACTCCAAGTCCATTTCCTTGCACACACTCGAGCTTGACATCCACTCAGCCAAGGTCTCATCCGGTGGCAAGGTCGTCAGGTATGCCGAAGCCCCTTCCCCGCAACCCCTTGGTTCACGAGCTACTGCCGCGCGAGGAACCCGCACTCACGCCTTTCAATGTAGCTCTGAGCCCCAGATTTCGTACGATGAGAAGACCCAGGTTTCCAAGTTCGACTTCTCCGATGCCATCCCCAAGGGCAACAAGGCCCAGCTGGAGATCAAGTTCACCGGCCAGCTCAATGACAAGATGGCGGGCTTCTACCGCTCAACATACAAGAAGTCCGATGGCACCGAGGGCGTCCTGGCTACATCCCAGATGGAGCCTACTGACGCCCGGAGGTCCTTCCCTTGCTTTGACGAGCCCTCGCTCAAGGCCGAGTTCACCGTAACCTTGGTCGCCGACAAGAACCTGACTTGCTTGAGCAACATGGATGTCGCCTCAGAGACCGAGGTTCAGTCTGGCAAGAAGGCTGTCAAGTTCAACAAGTCCCCCCTCATGTCGACATACCTGATCGCATTCATTGTCGGCGAGCTCAATTACATCGAGACCAACGATTTCCGTGTTCCCGTTCGTGTCTACGCGCCCCCCGGCCAGGACATCGAACACGGCCGTTTCTCTCTGAACTTGGCCGCAAGGACACTAGCGTTCTACGAAAAGGTCTTCGGCATCGAGTTCCCGCTGCCGAAGATGGACCAGGTTGCAATTCCGGACTTTGCGCAGGGCGCCATGGAGAACTGGGGCCTGGTCACCTACCGTGTCGTCGACCTTCTCCTCGACGAGAAAGCCAGCGGTGCCGCTACGAAGGAGCGAGTTGCCGAGGTCGTGCAGCACGAGCTTGCACACCAATGGTTTGGCAACCTCGTCACCATGGACTGGTGGGAGGGTCTGTGGCTCAACGAGGGTTTCGCCACCTGGGCATCTTGGTACAGCTGTAACGAGTTCTACCCTGAGTGGAAGGTTTGGCAGACCTTCGTCACAGACACCCTCCAGGGCGGTCTGTCTCTGGACTCCCTCCGGAGCAGCCATCCGATCGAGGTCCCTGTCAAGCGGGCCGACGAGATCAACCAGATCTTCGATGCGATCTCATACATGAAAGGCTCGTGTGTCCTTCGCATGGTCTCCACTTATCTCGGCGAGGACGTCTTCCTCGAGGGCGTGAGGAAGTACCTTAAGAAGCATGCCTACGGCAACACGCAGACGGGCGATCTTTGGGCCTCTCTCGCTGAGGCCAGCGGCAAAGAAGTTGAAGAGGTCATGGACACCTGGACCAAGAAGATCGGATTCCCGGTCGTGACCGTCTCAGAGAGTGGCCCAGATAGGATACACGTAAAGCAGAACCGATTCCTGCGAACCGGCGACGTGAAGCCCGAGGAAGACGAGACTCTGTATCCCGTTCTTCTCGGCCTGCGAACGGAGGACGGCGTCAACAGGGGTCTAATCCTTAACCAGCGTGAAGCAGACTTCTACGTCCCCAACACAGACTTTTACAAGCTGAACGCCGATCACACCAACCCCTACCGAACATCCTACTCCCCCGAGCGCCTGGCGAAACTTGGAGATGCGGCCAAGAAGGGCCAACTGAGTGTCGAGGACCGCGCAGGCATGATCTCGGATGCAGGGGCTCTTGCCCAGTCAGGCTACCAGAAGACTTCCGGTGTCCTGAGCCTGCTCAAAGGTTTCGACACCGAGACAGAGTTCGTCGTCTGGGGTGAGATTGTGGCCCGTCTGAGTGCTGTGCAGGCTGCCTGGATCTTCGAGGCTGAGAGTGTGCGAGAGGGCCTGGAGAACTTTCAGCGGCACCTTGTCAGCTCCAAGGCACACGCGAAGGGCTGGTCGTTCACTGAAAACGATGGACATGTCGAGCAGCAGTTCAAAGCCTTGTTGTTTGGAAGCGCTGGCTTGTCTGGAGACCAAAAGATCATCAGCGCTGCAAAGGACATGTTCAACAAGTACATGGCTGGCGATAGGAATGCCGTTCACCCCAACATCCGTGGCAGTGTCTTCGCCATGGCTCTGAAGTACGGTGGCAAAGACGAGGTAAGTCTCTTCTGTCTCAGGTCCCAGGATTGATCAAAACTAATGCTTGACACAGTACGAGAAAGTGCTTGACTTCTACCGCAATTCCACAAACAGCGACGAGCGCAACACGGCACTTCGCTCTCTCGGTCGCGCTAAGCAGCCCGAACTGATTCAGAAGACCCTGGACTTGCTTTTCAGCGGTGAGATCAAAGACCAGGACATCTACCTCCCCACGAGCGGGTTGCGCACTCACCCGGAGGGTATCAATGCCCTGTTCAAGTGGATGAACGAGAACTGGGATGAGCTCTACAAGCGCTTGCCTCCGGCGCTCTCCATGCTGGGTTCCATGGTCCAGATTATGACCTCGAGCTTCACGAAGCAAGAGCAGCTGGCTGAGGTTGAGAAGTTCTTCAAGGACAAGAATACCAACGGTTATGACCAATCTCTGGCCCAGAGTCTGGATGGCGTGAGGTCCAAGATCCAGTGGCTGGAGAGAGACCGTTCGGATGTGGCAAACTGGCTGGCTCAGAATGGCTGGGGTGCATAGATCGCGAACTTCGGCCAGCGACCAGATGCACAGATGTTAGAGAGGCTTGGAATGGAGGCCGCCTAAAATATGTGCTGAGCAATCAACTCCAGAAACAGGATTATGTATATATGAAAGCACGGCTAGAGATGCCGCAGGGACTTGTACCCTGGAGAGGACAGGGCTCTGCGATGGACGCCGCGTCCTGGATCGACAGACGTACGATAGTTACAGTGCCTGTGTATATGTTATTAGACACCAGCAGCCAAGGCGTATAATGCCACTCTCACCCTGCCTCAACGGGCTTCCGCGAATTGGCGAAGGTGACAACTGTGTGACTCACTCCACTATGCAAGCAGCATTTGGCGTTTTGCAAACCCAGCACGTGGTTGAGGTTACGAGAGGAAGCAAAACCCATGGCATTTCTATGCAGTATGGTCCTTGTCTCGCTGTGCCCCTGCAATGGCTTGCTACAGCCCTTAATCTCCCGGCGTATCTCAACGTCCTGCGGTTTTCGATGAAGGTGGACAATCTACGGAACAAGCAAAGTGCTGATTGCCCAGACTTTTGCCGCTGGCCATGTCCTCTATGACGGTCGCCACGAAATGGTGCCTGGAACACCTGCAGAAGGAGAAACCTGCTCGGAATTGTCTATGTCACCACATTTACTCAGCCAATTGCCCAACATGCAGATAGCCTCGCTTCAAAGCAATGTTAACATCCCGATACCCTCGGATCTGGAAGGCATGTGCGGCTCTGGCTTGTGAGTACAGTTGTTGTGATAGTGAACGGGTTGGTCCAAGCATGGAAACAGTAATGCTTTTGTCTAGCCACTTAGGACTAGTGTGCTCTAACAGATGTATGTATGCATCATGTTGACATTCATCTTCCCGCAAAGAAAAAGAAAAACAAAAACGAAACCTTATACCACTCCTTCCTCGCTTACTCCAGCTTCAACTGCTTCAGCTGCTCGATAGTGGTCTCGAAGCCCTGCAGCTCACCCTCGAGGTCCTTCAGCTTCTGCTTGTCCGCCTCCTGCGTCGCGAGGGCGACCTTCTCGATGTAGGCCGGGTCGTTGACCAGCTTGCGCTGCTTGTCGGCATCGCCCTTGCGCTTCTCCAGCTTCTTGGTCGCGCTCTGGATGGCCTCGTCCAGATCCACGCGGCCCTTGATGAGCAGGAAGACGGCCGCGCTGGCACCGATAGGGTACGCGACACAGCCGGAGGGGCGGGGCTCGTCCGCGCCGATGATGGTGATGCTACCGATGCCCTTGCCCGAGAGGGCCTTGATACTGCTGACCTGCTCCGAGGCGATCTTATGCGATTCGGCGTCGTAGGTCTGGATGAAGACCTGGGCATCCTCCTTCAGTGCGTTCTCGGCCATAAGGGAGCGGATGCCACTGGAGCTGTTCAGGACGAGCTCGTACGCCTGCTCGGCGGCTGGCTGGTCTAGCTCTGGCTGGTGGACCGGGTACTCGGCAAGCATGACAGACCTGGTCTTGTCATCAGGGCGCCTTGGGAGGCGTTGCCACAGCTCCTCGGTCACGAAAGGCATGAAGGGGTGTATCAGTAGCAGGCCCGCCTCCAGTGACGAGTACAGGGTTTGCAGGGCGGACTCGGCCTGTTCCTTGTTGCCGTCTTGAATCAGGCCCTTTGAGTTCTCGATATAGACATCGCAGAGGTTGGCGTAAATGTATTGATAGACCGCGTTGGCAGCCTTCATGAACTCGCGCTCCTCCAGGGCTTCGTTGATCGTCTTTGATGCTGCATTCATCTTGCTCAGGATCCAGAGCTCCGCAAGGGACTCCTTGCCCTGCAGTGTCCTTGTCTTTGCGGGCACGAATCCTTCGACGGCGTCGATTTTGCCAATCACGTACTTCGTTGCCTGGTACATCTTGTTGGCGAATCTTCGGTACGACTGCATAACCTGCACGTCAAAGTTGATGTCACCGCCGCCAGTTGTGTATGCTGCCAAGCACATCCTCAGGGCATCGGCACCGCACCTAACGCCAGGTCAGTATCATGGTACGAGATGATCGTTCTGAAGACATGGTCAACTTACTCAGGTATGCCCTTAGGGAAAGCCTTCTTTTGGTACGCAGTGGCCTTCTTCACCTCGGTAGGAGCGAGATTGCCTGTGAGAAGCTTGGCGTGGAGGGCCTCGAGATCAATACCACTGATAACGTCAAGTGGATCGATGACGTTACCCAGACTCTTGCTCATCTTTCGGCCATCACTGTCACGGATCAAGCTGTGGCAGTAGACCTCTTTGAATGGCACATCTCCTGTCATCTTCTTGCCTAGCATGATCATACGAGCGACCCAGAAGAACAGAATATCCCAGCCAGTCTCAAGGATTGAGGTGGGATACAGTTTTTTGAAGTCTTCCGCTTCCGTGTTGGGCCAGCCCAAGGTTGAGAAAGGCCAAAGACCGCTGCTGAACCAGGTGTCCAACACGTCAGGATCGCGCTCGAGCGTGTATTGCTTGCCAGACAGGACCTTCTTGGCCTTTTCTTCTGCCTCGGCCTGCGTCCTTCCGCTGAACCAGCGGTCATTGTTTGATGTGTCCTGCTCCTCACCCTCAACCTTGGCAAACCAGACGGGGCATTGATGTCCCCACCAGAGTTGTCGTGAGATACACCAATCTTGAATGTTCTCCATCCACCTGTAGAAGCTCTTCTCAGCTGATTCAGGCTTGATCTTGATTTCATTGTTCTGGACACATTTGACAGCTTCATCAGCCATATTTCGCATGGACATCCACCATTGCGGTTTCATGATCGGTTCGATGACATCCTTGGACCGCTCAGACAAAGGCACCTTCATTGGATTGTCCTTCTTGTCGACGTACAGGCCCTTTGCCTTCAGGTCATCTTGAATAGAGTATCGCACATCGAAACGCCTCTGGCCGGCATATGCGCCAGCGTTCTCGTTGAGAAGGCCGTCGTCGGTGAAGATGTTGATGAACTCCAAGTTGTGAGCCTTGCCCAGGTTGAAATCGTTGGGGTCATGACCTGGCGTCAACTTCACAGCTCCGGTACCGAACTCAATGTCGACGTATTCATCAGCGACGATTGGCAGTCGCCGACCCTCAATAAAGGGATGAGTGGCAAACTTGCCGACATACTTGGTGTATCGGCTGTCCTTGGGGTTGACGGCGATACCAGTGTCTCCGAGCATCGTCTCAATACGGGTCGTGGCCACCTCGATCGTTTCATCTGAGCCCTCGATCGGGTACTTGAAATGAACGATGACACCAAACTCGACCTTCTTGTCATAGCCTGGGACGTCGAGAAGGGTTCTGCCAGTGAGCTCTTTCTGGTCAACCTCCAAGTTTGACAAGGCAGTGGTCAAAGTGCAGTCCCAGTTCACCAGTCGGTTCGCTCTGTAGATGATGCCCTCCTCATGAAGGCGCACAAAGTTCTCAGCGACGGCTGCGGACAGGTTCTTGTCCATGGTGAAGGCCTCTCTTGACCAGTCCACAGAAATGCCCATTTTTCGCTCCGCGTTGTTGATCTTGTCATGGTACTCCTGCTTCCATTCCCAGACGAGGTCGAGGAACTTCTCTCTTCCAAGGTCATGGCGAGTCTGTTGTTTCCTCCTCCAAAGCATTTTCTCGACGACACTCTGAGTGGCAATGCCGGCGTGATCGCATCCAGGAAGGAACAAGGTGGTCTTGCCCAGCATTCTCTGCCATCTACTCATGATGTCTTCCAGGCTGTTACCCAGAGCATGACCCATGTGCAGGCTGCCGGTACAGTTTGGTGGAGGAATGACCATAGTGAAGGCACCTTTGGGCTTCACATCGCCAGTCTCGGTGAACTCTGGCTTGAAGAAACCCTCCTTCTCCCACCATTCGTACCAGGCGCTCTCGACAGCAACAGGGTTGTATGCCTTATAGTGAGGATCATCCAGGGGCCGGAGCCGTTTCTTCTCCCCGAGGGGAGTCTCTTCGACATACTTTGGTATGGCCTCCTCGGCAGCCTTCACCTTCTTCTCTTTCTGCTTTGTGGTGGTTTCGGTTGGTGCTGCCTGTTTCGCGGCGCTCTTGGCCTGGAACTTCGCGAGCTTTTCGGCCTTCTTACGTTCCTTTTCGAGCTCCTTGGCGGATTTCACCTTGCCTGTGCCCTCCATTGACGCGGCGCCTGCATCCTGGCCAGTGGCGTGGGTTCCTGTTGCGCCTGTGGCTGGTGTGGTCTTGATTGTTGCCTTGGCTTCTTCTGAGACGGGAGGGGGGGCCTGGCCGTCGACCTTTGGCCCATCGGAGGTGGCAATACTGAGAACAAGACAATATTAGCGCAGGGAATGATCCTGTATTGGTATGTTGCTCCCAGCACGTCGCAAGAGAGCTTCGGAGTGGGGAGGACAAGGCTTTCAGACTCACGGATTGCCTCGGCCAGAGTTGGTAGCCATTGTCGCACGGGTAAATCTTGTAGGATACCGTCGAAGTACTGATGAGTGCACCAGAAGTGCACGAAGAATTGGACGCGACAGCGTGACGATGTCGACTTGTATGTTGTGCAAGGGAAAGAGTGAGTGAGTCAAGCCTGGTGATGAGTCTTGTCTAAAATTCCTTGACTCACAGGTCAGATCTCAAAACGCGACCTGGGTAGGTACTTGAGTAGGTTACCCTTAGAATTGGACTGCAGATGGAGGGGTAGCTCCTACTTGGGACTCGAGGGTGTTTGTGGGGGGGGGGTGCGTAGCTTTCCAGGGCAAAACCCTTGACATTTTCGTAACCACTGCCCGGTCAACTTCCTAGTAATGATCTCGGCATCTATGTGAGGGTTCACTCATAGCCAGCATTACATTACGTCTCTCATTTTTGATTAATAAATGTCATAGCCAACGTCTTAACCAATTTTGGTCAAACCTGAACAGGGACAGGCTAGGTCCCTCGCGATGAGGATGCTGCCGATGTTCCGAGCACACCTCACGGCAATATCGAAGCCGGCTTCCACCAGAGTCGTCAAAGCCGGTATACGAACCCAGAGCAGTGCCATACACATACCTTTGAAGCCCGGGCTGCGACGAAGCCAGAGATCTTCGGATCGACTGACAATATTTACTCAACCCCACGCTACGCAGGTATTGCAATGCCTGGCCGCACTGGCTCCGCATGATCGCTAAACATACTCGCAGGGAACTGTTCTGAAGAAAATCCGCAACAGACTGGCTGTTCAGCCATCCAAACCAGGCGACCCGGCGCGTGCAGCTGTTGTCCTTGCGAGCCCCAGACATGCGTCGTGGCTGACTGACAAGGACTTTACTGGTAACCTGGTCCATGCACTCCATGGGGATTTCGACAAAGGAGTGAGCTTCCACCTGCTCGCCGCCGTCGTCGACGGGCTTTGCGCTCGACCACCCAGCCGTGAGCTACAACAGGGTCTTTCGATCCACATTGGTCAATTAGACGCCCTGCTGCCTGGTTTGTGGGACGACGAGCATCTCGGCGATGCCGCCCAATCCATATCGCGCTCCGCGACGGACTCAGATCAGCCGTCGAGTCTGTCCATACTCCTTCCCCGAAAGATGACTAGCAAAAGCGACAGGGTCTCGGTAACATTGCCACTTGCGAACACTCTCTTCTCCAATGGCAGAAGGTCAACTCTTCTGGCATCCGAGTGGAAGCGTGCAACAGGTTTCTGGAATACCGCCGAAATGGTCCGGAGTGTTGAGAAGCAGAACCAGCTCGTCAGCCTTGCAAATACCTTGTTGTTCCACCAGATCGAAATCCAAGCACCGCTCGTGCCTATCACGCACCCACGTAAGATTTTGGAGGGCTTGGGAAATATCATCGCAAAGGTTCAAGTCGGCGAGGAACCATGTCCTGCCTCAATGGAGCTACAGATGAACATCCCACGCTTGATGGAGGCTCGTCGCGCCCTGGCCCGTTCGTCACCCGTTTCTGGGGCCATCGGTGTGTGGGCCATGGTATATCCCCAACACATGTTTCGTCCTCAGGCCGACATGGTCAGATTTGGACACACGATTCAAACTGTGCACCTGGGAACGGCCAGTGGGAAGCTGGCCTTTGAGATGTCGACTGATCAAGAACGTGTGGCATGGGAGCGTCAGATTGTCCTCCGGAACGCCTTATATTTAGGTGCCCGGCTACACAAAATCCGTGAGTCAATCCCAATCTCAAGACGACGACTTCAAACATGTCGTTGTAGAGCTCTCAGATAGGGTGTGTTTCGGAAGCAACTTATGCGGTGGGATAAAAGATTTCTGACTGAACTTACTCATTCCACAGTGGGAGGTGGTGGTGAATGGGGCGCCAAAGCCAGTCTCCTGTCCCTGGACCCCAAAACCAGCCACGAGCCTCAGTCGGAGGCGGATGAGCTAGAAAGGTTCATGAGATCGTTCAACGGCGAGCAAGGTGCGAAAGATGCCATTGTACAACCTGGGGACTACGTGCAATTCTTCGTCGAGCGGGATGCCATACAACGGCCCCGACAGCAGAATCTGAGCCTCAAGGCAATACGGGACTACCCTCCGATAAGATTTGGTTGCGGAGATTTGCACGTGAGAGACATCGAGCCACCCGACTGGACTGTCTCGAGCCGACCGCACGACGACAGCGAACATCTCATTTCCGATCACTTTGGGGCACACAGTGCGGAGGGCATCTATCTGTCATGCAGTGCTTTAGGCCCAAACACCAAGATGGACATGCCTGGAGCAACAGTAGCCATGGCAACAACGAAACAGAGCGCCACCGGGGTCTATCGCCCATACGCGAGACCAATTCTGAAGAAACTGTCCTAAGGCCATGGTCGTCCATAGGGCATTGGGGTTCGCAGAAAGATGAAACTATCAGGTCTCCAAGGTACGCGGAGAGGGAGAGCGCCTTATGTAATCACCCAACCTTGGGCATTTGTAATGAACGCGTCAGAATGGCTGCCATCAGTGATTAGGTTGCCAGCATTTCTACCAAGTCAACTGCAATCGGTCAACATTTACAAGAATAGCCTCAGCTTCTATCTCATTTGATAGAAGGAGAAGGCAACTTGGCAAACTAAAGTGGTGACGCTGGGGATTTGAGGCTGTTCACTTCTGATTGCCCTTCCCGGCGTTGTGTTACCCCTCCCACGGACGCCGCTGACAATACATACGCAAGGCACAGAGGAGTTCAGAAACCTGGACCACCATGGCGCCGTCCAAGCTTGCGACTGTCGGTATCCTCTCCCTTGGCGACATGGGATCCGGGATTGCCAAGCTGCTCGTGGCCAAGGGTTTCTCGGTCGCGACCAACGGGTCGGGCCGCAGCAAGGAGACGCTGCAGAGGGCGCAGGCCGCCGGCGTCATGAACCTGCCGACCGACACGGACCTCGTCAAGCAGTGCGACGTGATCTTATCTGTAGTGCCGCCGCGCGACGCTGAGGATACGGCGCAGCGGATCATCGACGCCTTGCAGTTCATCACCAAGAAGCAGCTGTACTTTGCGGACATGAACGCGGTGGCCCCCAGCACCATCAAGGCCATGTCCAAGAGCATTCAAAGGGCACAAGTACCCATCACCCTCATCGACGGCTCGATCATAGGAGGGCCGCCTAAGCCTAAGGAGGCGGGCACCGCAGCAGCAGCAGCAGCTCCTGGTACCGGCGCGTCAGCCGGTGGTGACTGGGACATGCCATTGATGCCGACGTCAGGCCCGGTGCAGATAGCAGATATCCCAGGCTACGGAGCCACGCTGGCCGAAACTCTGAACGTGAAACACATATCGCCCGACATAGGCGCCAGCTCCGGGCTCAAGATGTGCTACGCGTCGTTGTCCAAGGGCTACGCCGCGATAGCCATACAGTCCTTCACCACGGCCCAGAGGATGGGCGTTCTGGAGCCTCTGCGCGAGGCGCTGCAGGACACCGTGCCCGGGCGGGTGAAACAGACGGAGAACGCGCTGACTGGTATGCCGCCCAAGGCCTACAGGTGGGTGAGAGAGATGGAGGAGATTGCAAAGACACATGCTGAGGAGGGTGGTTTTGAGGACTTCCTCTTCAAGGGGGCAGCTGGGGTCTTCAAGGCTGTCGCCCAGGACACGGTCCTGGGACAGGAGAAGGTTGGGGATAGGAAGAGGGGGCGGACAGCCGAGGACGTGGCTGCTGCGATGGCGGAGGGCATGGAGAAGAGGAGGAAGAAAATTGACTGAGAGCAGGGTAAAGTGGTTCGCTTAACTCTCAAAGGTTGCCTGCACTGCTGAGTTCCAGCATACGTCCGCCCAATAATGGTGTAAAGAGGTCATGCAGCGCGTGATCCCAAGCACACGAAGAAATAAATGACTTACGGCCTGGCTTGCGGGAGATTCGTCCCCTCGATATAGAGTCACCCCAACATTTCGTATCAGAAACCTGTGGAGTGTCCCCGAGCTCCTTATATCCGACATGTTATTACGAGCAATCTCTGATTACCTTCTACGCCAAGAGGAAGCACTCTTCAGGGCGACTTCCAATTCACAGAATTTCGGAAGCGGTAGCTTTTCGGCGGGGCAAATGTTGGTTCAACAACTACGTGAAATCATAGCAATATCATTTGGTGGACAAATGCTAGGCTGGGCATCCGAGGTATTTATTGCCTTACTTGGATAGGATATATGGTAAATACAGGGGAGACAACAAAACAACAAGGCCAAAATCATGCAACTATGAGATGAGATAGCAGACGTAAATAAGGAACATCACTTAGGAGGTCGACCGTCGCTGTTTGGATACATGGTACGTTCCTGTGACCGGTGACCCTGACACGTGGTTGCTACACGTAGCAATGGCAAGACAGATCACGACAGTCGATGAGTGTTCAAGACTGGAATTAGGTACGTGGAAGATCTTCGGTTTGTGGTTTTGTTTTCGCGGTCCCACGAACATGATTTATGCAAGACGATGACCGTCCCCCACTTACAAGCCAAGAGAGGGTCACATTGGGAGGAATTGCCTCGCTCATGATACTCGGGCAATAGAAAATACTTGATAGCTCTGTGTGCCGTCCCGCGCATATTTGTTAGTGTGCCACTCTCGGACATGCGTGGCAAGCCAGGCCGGAGAGATATTCGGCTCAAGACTGGGCGGGAAAGCAGGTTCCAAGCACGAAACTGGGTAGGATAGGTGGTGGCAGACTGCGATAACCTCGTCTGGACTGGAGGATCGTCAGCGGCCCACGGGTCGCGATTCAAATTAGCTGTTTTCAAACCGGGCAATATTCTATCGAAGAAGGGATACCGATGCAGGAGATGCCAGGAACGACTGGATTTCCACTTGTCAAGGGATGCGCACAAGCCGTCGCGTCTGGGGAGGGAGGCGACACGACCCAGCAGCGCATGACATGAAAAACCAGATCAGTAAGGGCTCCCCGTCCAGGGACGAGGGCATCTCCGACAAATGGAGAAAATCTCGTGTGAGGAGGGCGCCTTCATCTGCGAACCAGGGAAATCTGGGTTGTGTCTGCTACACCACCGCGTTGCCGTGTAACTACACGGTACTCAGAATTCCCAGATTCCAGGCACAATTGTACCACAGGAACGATGGGTTGTGAGAAACAAGGTTTAGGAACGATGTCATCGGCCGCTACCTGGGCCTGACCTGTTCTAGCAGGGTGTGCTGCGGCAACTCCAAAGCCGGTTTTTGGGTCACGCTCCCAGGCTTGCAAGGCCTTGTCGATCCCTGCACGCTGCAGCAGCCCCTACCATGCGGCAATGCTGCCATGCACCAGATTCGAGGTCCCTTAGACGCAGCCTTAAGGAAGCTGATCCCGTCGATCAGCGATGGTATTAGAGTCTGGGGATTGCCGTTTTTAAACAACCCGCAGCTCGACAGTTCCCCATCGTACCAACCATTCGGAAAATGATGTCCCCATAACGATGCACCTGAACCACAATCACAACGGGTGTGAATAACATTTGAAGTGCTTGTACCTACTGTGAGGTACATGTACTCGCCCCACCCCGAACCCTCCTCACGGCCACTTACACGAAAACCGGGGAAATGGCCCCTACACCACCTGCGTCATCACCGGCGGCGAGACCAGACAGCGAGCGCACGAGGAGGAGACGGCCGCAACAACCAGTCGAGGAAGAAGACGAGGATGAGATTTCTTCAGAGGGGGAATCGGGTGATTCAGAAGAAGAAGAAGAAGAAGAAGCAGGGTCTGAAGAGGAAAGTGAGGATGAGGCAGCACCACCACCACGGCCAAGGAATAACAGGAACATTGATACCAAGAACGGGGGCAAAAACGTCAAAAGACCACCACCCAGGCCCTTGAACCCAAAAACAAAAAATAGCAGCAGGACAAGGACAGCCCAGAAACCCTCAGAAACAACAGGCTCATCGGCGCCAAGCTACGAGGACGCCGACGACAACGCATACCGCCAAGACAGTTATTCCTACCTGCCCACACCACCCACGCAGCGACAGCCCTCGCCCCTCCGCCAACCACAACGGCGCAACAAGGCGCCGACACAGCCACACCAGACACCAGGGCGGACGCCCCGGCCGGCGAGGTCCCGCACCCTCGCGGCGCCGCCTGCCGTGGCGGACCTCGCCAGCGCGGCAGAGACAACAGACTCGTCGTACTCGTCTTCATCCACCACCGCCTCCTCCGCCGGGCCCTGGAAGCCCTACGCGCCGCCGTCCTCCGGGCGCGCCACACCGCAAACATCTGCCAGGCGGCCGCCGGTGCCGCCGTCGTCGTCGGCGAGGCGCAGCAGGCCCGCGCCCGTGCCCATCCCGCCGACCCAGGCTGTCGTACCCCGCGCGCCGAGGAAGATGGTCCCAGCGGGAAGGATAGATGACGACGACGACGACGACGACGACGACGACGACGGGCAGGGCGGGGAGGAGGACGAGATCGAGTTTGTGCCACGGGGCCCGGTCTCCGCGCCGGCACTGCCCGCTGGGGGCAAGAAGGCCGCGCTGGCTGTGGAGCTGAAGCTCAACCTGGACATCGAGATTGAGCTGAAGGCCAGCATCCACGGCGACGTCACCCTGGAGCTGTTTAACTAATGGTGTAGTGTTCGGTTGTGTGTAATACTTACTATATAGTCTTCTTTTCTTAATCTTGAGGTTCTAGACTTGGGCGGTGAGGGTCGGTCGGCTTCGTCACTTGGCGCTGGAGGTGCTCTTTGCTTTGTGATATAACGGGCGGGACAAGGCATGGTTTTGTTCGGTTCCATCGACTATGATTGGCACGTAGGGTTACGACAGAACTTTAATCGTCTTCAATCACGGAAAACCGTGGTTTCTCTTGAAGCTCTGCGGAACCACCCGCTGCTCCAACAATGGTCGGCAGCGTTGCTGGCTATAGATGATATCAGGCCCTCCAAAACTCTCAGCGCCCTCATGTTCATCTCTGTCCCTCACTCGATCATGTCGATGTCGTCCTCAGCGGCCTGGGCTGCCGCAGCTTGGCTGTTGTTGTTGCTCGCTGGCTGGGCGTCGCCGCCGCCGCCGAAGTAATCCTCCATCTCCGCGTCCAACTCTTCCTGAGTCTTCTTCGGACGTCCGTCTCTGGCTTTGCGCTCTCCGCCGTCTCTTCCACCAGCACCGCTCTCACCGCGCCGTGCGCCGGGACGGCGCCCACCCTCACGTCTCCGGCCACGCATTGGACTTCGAGAGCGGTTCCTCCGCCCACCGGGCACATAACGGTCGATGCCTTTACGGGCTGCTTCGTCCTCTAGATCTCTGTCCGGCGAGATTGAACGGTTGCGCCCGGGCGGAACGGTGACACGCTCGGCCAGGGGTCGGCCTGGCATAACTGCGTTGTCGAAGGGGTTGCGCTGGCGTCGGGGAGGAACGATCGATAGGCGGATTGGTTGGCCATGAGCATTAGCACCGTCAAACTCCCGGATAGCCTCCCGAGCATCGTGGTATGAATCGTAAGTGACATACGCCACTCCAGTAGAGCGGCCAGCACGATCGTAGCCGACGTCGAGTTTCTGTACCGGCCCAATTTGGTTGAAAAGCCCCTATGACCATCAGTCTCCTATTCGTCTTGTCGCTCAAGGGTATGCCATACCGCCAAATCCTCCCGGCTGAGCTCGTAGTGAACGTTCTCGACGCGAATCTTTGTACCGTTCAATTCACTACAATCTCTTGTTAGAAAGCCCACCCCGTTCTACCAAGACCAAATGTCCAACTCACGCAAGGTCATCGGGCTCATCTCTTTCTGGACCCCGTCGTGACTGGCGTGGCTTGCGACCTGCAACGCAATTAGCTAGGTGCGCGAGGTTGAGAGCAGCGCTGCGTGGGATAATCACCATTTTCTTCAAATCTGTCGTGGACCCATTCACTATAGAAGCTCGTCAGGACTTTTGGCCTCCTTGCGGCTTGTATTCCAGGCTCATTACGTACGAGTCGAGGTTTCTGGGAGCATCGTCGCGGTAGGACTGTTCCGTGGCAGTGGGAAATGTCAGCTTCTGGGGATCGTCTCATGTCATGCAATCCCCCGGTCTGCGACCCCAGGGGTACCATTGCGCATGGTCAAGACAGCTGCAACGGCAACCGAGAACCGAGTAGGAGGTGTTGAGCGGGTGGGTTGCTGCATTTCAGAGAAGGGGGAGGAGGTAGGGCACCTAAGAGCCGTGAATGGTTCTGGTCAGGTTGTGATTCCAGCGCAAGGGGAATGCTTAATGCGTACCTTTCTGACGCCATCACGAGGGAAGTCTTCGCGGGGTTCTCGCCGTCGTTGACCTCCGTGACCTCCACGGCCACGAGGTCTGCCGCCCTTGCGCTGTTGTGGCGGATCCTAGTTAGCAAGTTGCCTCAAGGCGTGGGCAAACAAGGACAGGTCGCGGTAGAAGAGCAGCCGGGGAAGAGACGTACGTCGTCGCGAGCGGCGAGGATTTCGTCGAGACTACGATCCATAGTCCTTGCCGTAGGGATTGGTCGTGACGGATCAGAGTATAGATAGGGCGGGCGATGGGAATGGGCTGCTTGAAAACTGCTGGAAACCTGGACGTGTGAGTCGAGGTCAGGCAATAAAGTACTGGCAGGGCCAACTAGCAACTCTGACGAAGACACCTGGGCTGACAGGTAGTTAGTTGCTGGAGCTTTTTTTAGGCGCTCCGGCACTGTGCCTCTCGGACGTCTGAGCAGTCTAGGCCTGCTAGAGGCTAGGTCCTTGGATGATACTTAGTGGGCCCGTGCACGTCCACGCCCGCCCCACCACAGCTTTGAAACTCGGTACTCCGTACTGTTTAAGCAGGTCAACAAAGCCAGTTCTTCGTCACATCCACCATTAACACAACACAACCATATCTTTAAACAAATCATATGATATCACAACAGGGCCAGTGTGACTAGCTGGCCTACCTCTCGTATGTTGACCCATAGGGAGTTCTCTTATAGGAAGTCAGGAGGTTGCCTCACAAGAGGCCATCCTACGAATGTTGGGAGGGATAGATGCTGTGATCGCGTACCGGACAGCCGAGCAAAGCTCGTCTTGCTCAAAATGCGTATGTTAGAGGTAGAGGGTACATGAAAGGAAGTACTACGGGACACTCAACAAGTAGCCATGAGACAAAGGTTCAAAAAGAGTCAAGTCATGGTCCATTATCATTATCCTCCGTCTATCTGAAGCGTCTGGAAACGCTTGTCCTTTTGCCAAACCATGTCTATGGGGAGGTCTTCAATCGAAATGGTATCCCGAGGTCGGCGGCCGTGGAGTTGAAGAGGTAGGTTTCTAAACGACAATCTCATTGCAGAACCAGACCAATAAGTACAAAACTGGAAAGTACTTCATGCAGATCCGTCCAGTATCCCTCGGTGGGCACAGGCCCAAGAACCCCCCGGCGGATATCGAAAAGCAATCAGTGCAATGAATTCGAGCACCCTTTAAGGAAATCAGAACTACTTTTTGTTGCGCAACCCTTTCCTGTGCTGCGCTCGTGCCTGTCAACTGTGGCAAAGCAGCCCCTTGCCCTCTAATGACCAACTCGACAATTCAGCCCCCTGTTGCGGTGAGATACCAGCGTGTACGAAAGCGGCGTAAGTTGATGTCTGTAGAGGAAAGAGAGTAAAAACGAGTTCGGCTGTGGGTGCGTCTAGATGAGGTCGGCAACGTTCATGGGCATCTCCTCGATCTGGGTGCTGTAGAATTGCTCAATCTCACGCATCATGCGGACGTCGTCGGCGGTCACAAAGTTGATGGCGACACCCTTTCGGCCGAAACGACCACCACGACCGATACGGTGGATGTAGTTCTCCCGGTTGGCGGGGAGATCGTAGTTGATGACCAGGGAGACTTGCTGGACATCGATACCACGGGCCAGCAGGTCAGTGGCGATCAGGACACGGGAGGAGCCGGACCGGAACTCCTTCATAATCAGGTCACGCTGAGCCTGGTCCATGTCACCGTGCATAGCAGAGACGGTGAAGTCACGGGCAGTGAGCTTGTCGGTGAGCCAGTCGACCTTTCTGCGGGTGTTGCAGAAGATGACGGCTTGGGTGATGGTCACGGTCTCGTACAGATCGGACAGGGTGTCGAGCTTCCACTCCTCCTTCTCGACGGCGATGTAGAACTGCTTGATACCCTCAAGGGTAAGCTCGTCCTTCTTGACGAGAATCCTGACGGGGTCGCGCATGAACTTGGTGGTGACCTCGAGGACATCCTGGGGCATGGTGGCGGACAGGAGGACGACCTGGGTGGACTGGGGCAGCAGCTGGAAGATGTCGTAGATTTGCTCGGTGAAACCACGCTGTGGAGACAGATTAGAACAGGACAGGGCCGATGCCGCGTTAAGGTGTTCTCAAGACTTACGGAAAGCATCTCGTCAGCCTCGTCGAGGACGAACATCTTCATACCGTCGGTCTTGAGGAAGCGACGCTGGATCATGTCGTGGACACGGCCGGGGGTACCGACGACGACCTGGGGGCCGTCCTGCAGGGCCTTCATGTCATCACGAACGCTGGTGCCACCAATGCAGGCGTGGCACTCAATGTTCATGAAGTCGCCGATAGCGACGACGACCTTCTGGATCTGCTGAGCCAGCTCACGGGTGGGAGCGAGGATCAGAGCCTGGCACTGCTTCAGGCTGGGGTCGATCTTCTGGAGGACCGAGATAGAGAAGGTGGCGGTCTTGCCGGTACCAGACTGGGCCTGAGCGATAACATCGTGGCCTGGAGCACCAAAAATCAGCCATCGTGTTTTGTGGGCGGGGAACATTGTCCAACTTACCCTTGATGACAGGCATAATAGCGCGCTGCTGGATGGCAGAGGGGCGCTCAAAACCGTAAGCGTAGATGCCTTTATCCCCGCGTTAGCCCACGGGTCCCATGGCGGCGGCAGGCGGCGGCGCAGAATTTCTCACCTCGGAGCAACTCAGACTTGAGTGCCATCTCATCGAAGGAGTCGACGGTCTCGTCATAGTTGGACTCGATCTGACCTGTGTTTGTGGTCGCAGATTAGCCATCATTGTCCTGCCAGTGTCGGTGTTGGGGTGCGATGCAGAGGCCCAGGCTCCCGTGTGGCCAGAGAAAAATCTGTGGGCGCAGGGGGCGGGCCGCATCCTGGCGCGGGGTCGCAGAGGCTGACGATGTCGACGGGGGTCGCTCCGTGCAGTCGCAGCGAGAGACGAGGAGAGGAGTGTTCTTACCCTCGGGGACGTCCTCGAGTCCCTTGTCGGTAGCCATGATTGCGGGTTGTGGGTGATATGGATCTAGATCACAAGCACTGCTTGAGACCTAGGATCAAAGAATCGAAGGTGGGGTTTGTTGAGGTCGATGAAAATCCACAGGACTCGCGGGGAGGCTGTGGAATCGGGTAGTAGTATCTGTAGACTGGAAAGTAAACCAGTTCTGATGCTCTCAGCGTGTTGAGAGCAAATGAATCTAGTTGTGGAGGGGAAGGTTTGTTGTCTGGGTTATGTAGGTGGGTGATGTCGTAGGTAAGAGCAGACCCAAGAGAGAAAATTTGTCTGCGGTGGAAAAAAGTTGCAGTGCCTTCGTTGCCCTGCTCCCTTTTGCCACGCTAAACTTTAGTGGGGCACGGGCACCACCACCAGTCCACCACCGCCTCACCCACTTGCTCCGGCCTGCCAGCCAGGCCAGCCTGCCTAAACTCGTCTCAATTTTTCGCAGGCGAGACATGATGTGCCTAGGTAGGCCCTGGTCGACAGAGGCACACCACGCTACGTACCCGGGCATGCGACCAGGATGATAAGAACGGTGGTGGAACTGCTGCAGACTCACTTCTCGTGGCTCTACTCCGTAGTCCCAACTAACTCTTGCGGCCGTCACCTTGGCCCCGTCCTGTCACATTCATTGTACCACAGTACTCAACAGGCCCTTGCTGATCAACTGGGGTCCAAGTAAAAGTGGCCTCACTCTTCCAATATCCTCCAGTCTCCAGAGTCACCCCACTGCCGCCACACCAGGGGGTCATGCTGCTCAAAGCCGCTCCCGCCCTGGGCCACCAGGACGACTTTGTTCTTCGCAACCACAATGGGTTGGGAGTCACTGCTGACGGCCCGCGCGAAGCCAGGATGGATGAGCAACAAGCTAGCGTCGACTCACGCATTCCTAGTCATCCTCTGGGAGTCAAGCCGTTAGGCAACCAGTACCTATCGTCCGCAGCCAGCGCGCGAGGCTCCTTGGGCAGCTTCCACGTCCTGCCGGACGAGGTGTTGGCCCAGCTGTTTGAGTATTTTGGGCACGACTCTTTGCGCAAACTGGGTTACACCTGCAGATTCCTCTTTGCATTCTGTCATGCTGACGACCTCTGGAAGGCTTTGTTCCTGGAGTAAGTGACTTGCTTCCCTTGACCCGTCAGTTATCCGTTCCTGGGCCGGTGTTTGCCGGTGTAGACCTCATGCCGAACACAAAACCCCGGGCACAGGGTTTTTTTCGTTCTTTCTTTCGCCCTTTCCCTATTGATACTCGGTGCATAGAAAGATATGCACACCCTCTCAACATTTGCCTGGTCTCAATGTGTTTCAAAACACAATTTTGACTGCCGCCTAAGCCAAGGACCCCTAGATGACTATGTGCTGGAATCTTTTCCTGACATGCAAATATTAAATCCAAGGACCCAGAATTGGTGCTCTCCTTGCGCCGGCTCCTCTGTTTTCTTTTCATCAATTTCTTTCGGGCAGCTGCAAATATTAGTGACCTTGGATTTGGAGGTCATATTTCCACAACGACTTGTTGATTGACGGATTTTCTTAGGTCTCATGAAGAGAAAAAGCGCCCCTTCCAGTGGAAGGGAACATGGAGATCAACCCTGCTTGAGTTGTCACCAGAGCACGAGGCCAAAATTGATTGCCACAATGTCTTCTCCGATGTTCTTCATCGGCCATTTGTCTGCAGCAATGTGCCTCTGGGCCGGTTCTGTTCCAAAATCCCCGGCACGAATGAGATCAAGCGTCTCACAAACATGACATACGACGAATTTGCAGACAATTGGAGCGACAGACCCTTCATTCTGACAGACTGTATCCGTTCCTGGCCAGCCTGCAAGGAGTGGGATATCCACCAGCTGTTGAAGGAGTACGCGGACGTGGAGTTCCGTGCCGAGGCGGTGGACTGGCCCTTCTCGACATATTGCCAGTACATGGGGAGCAACCAAGACGAAAGCCCTCTGTATCTGTTCGACAAGAAGTTTGCCGAGAAGATGGGTATCACAATCGGGAAGACCGGAGAGGCGGCGTATTGGAAACCGGACTGTTTTGGACCGGATCTCTTCGAAGTGTTGGACTCAGAGAGACCAGCGCACAGGTGGTTGATTGTAGGGCCAGCCAGATCCGGGTCGACATTTCACAAGGATCCCAATGGGACGTCGGCGTGGAATGCTGTCCTTCAAGGGGCCAAATACGTGAGTGACTTCCCATGACGCCATGCTGGGATTGAGGCTATTTACCCAGTCCGGACGCCTGCTAAATGTTATCGTGCAGTGGATCATGTTTCCGCCGTCGGTAGAGGTTCCGGGGGTCTTTGTCTCGGCCGACCAGAGCGAGGTCACAAGCCCTCTGAGCATAGCGGAATGGCTTCTAGAGTTCCATGAGGAGGCCCGAAGCTTGCCGGAATGCGTAGAAGGCATATGCAGGGAAGGCGAGATTCTTCACGTGCCAAGTGGGTGGTGGCATCTGGTCGTCAACCTCGAGAGCGGAATAGCGCTCACACAGAACTTTGTGCCCAAATCACACCTCGCCGTCGTCCTCGAATTTCTGAGGGACAAGCCGGACCAGGTGACGGGGTTCAAGAGGGATGTCGACGATCCCTATGGCCTGTTTGTGGACCGTCTCAGGGCACAATTTCCGGAGCTCTTGGATGCAGCCCTTATCGAGATGGACCAAAGGCATAGCAAGAAGAAGAGGAAGTGGGACGAGGCTATCGCCGTCGAAGAGACGGAGCAACCCTCGGAGGGTGGAGGGTTCAGCTTCGGGTTTGGATTTGGCGGGGATGACGAAGAGATACCATGAGCCAGACCAGGCAGACATTCTCTGCCGATGTGTGAAAGGTAAAGAGACTAATGCTGTGCGATATGTTGTCCTCTCTCTCAATGCCCATTGCGGCCTCACGACAGAGAATTGGACGCTTGTGGGCAGCACAGGAATGTGTGTCCGTGAAGGACCCTAGTAGACCTAGTTCGTAAGCTGCCAGATAGCCACGAGCGAGTAGTCTACCTAGGTAGGCTAGATATTACTAGGCTCTATATATCCTTAGCTAGATGTACAAAAATAACCTCTACCTATATCTCTTATGTAGATATTATATATATATTATATAAAGAAGTTCTTCTTAGACTTAGAGTAAATATCATTATAATTTGATAGGTGTTGAGACTTCCTAAGTATTGTCTAGACTTTAAGTTGGATTCCTTACGCATGGAAAGAGACAGTAAGAAAATGCGATCCCTTTTATGCACGAATTACCTTCTGTAAAAGCGAACCAATCGGTACCTTCGCCCGGCTACTGTGAAGACTATGCGTCATGGGGGCAACCTGGGTAGAACACGTTCTAAAGTGTTGTGCAGGGCGCTCGTCAGAACCTAGTTGGTTGAAATAGCCACAGCGGCGAGTGAGCTCTGGCTCATTGACAGTTCGCGTTCCCCCTTTGCTCTCAGCCCAGAGATGCTGTGTTTCGACACATCTTGAGAAATGAATCAAGAAGCCTCGTGTCGAAAAGACCTGATCTCGATCGTCCGAACCACGGCGGAGAAGTTCCAGACGAACTTGGCAGCCTTTGCAGCTGACACCACGCTCTAGTTTGGCGTTCTCCAAGCTGTAGTACGGATATGCCGTAGCTGTCATAAAGCGTTGGTCTGATTGCTCTCTCCGGCTTCTCAAATTTGGAATCGAGTCTCCTCTAATGGCCCTGGTGGCAAGTAGCGTTTGTGTGGCCATACTTTGGTCGTCTCGCTGGCCTTTCCATCATGTTATAGATGCCAGGCACGGTCCGCAAAGTTGGTCCCGACAGGCGCTTGAGTCGACTTGACGGAAGTAGAAGAAAGAACGAACGTCGAGCTCGCGGAGGACCATGGACATGAGTTCTGCGGGTAGACGACCCAAGATCCCGAGCTCAGCGGCCGGCAACGTCTCGAAAGCTGCCTGAAGGGACCCCTGAACGAGGTGCATATCGTGTGGGCGCGAACGGACTACGACGAGGTCAAAGTCTCGTCGATGATACGAACATACTCGAAGGATCGTGTCAGCATGTTTCTCAACCTTCGCAAGAACATCGATGCTGCTCATTCTTGCCATCTGAGGAGTTTGTGTACAGTACGGGTGGATGGGTGGCTCGTAGACCGGCCGGACAGAGACAGGGATGGTCCACCGCAGGCTGCAGCCCCTTGGAAGGACCCCACGCTCTACTCTCGGCCTCACCCTTCAGCCCTCTAGTCTACCAGTAACCTCAAGCATGGTCCCTTGAGTGGATGAGACCTCATCTGGCAAGGTCCACGGGTTGGGTACTAGGTAGTACTTACCTACCACAGTACAGAGTCCAGACACCTAGTTGGGCCTACCTTAGGTACCTAGGTACCCCGACTAGTACCCACCCGGGCATTATTATAGTCACTGGCTGCAGCCACCGCAGGGTACTGCTGGGCCAGCCAGCAGGAGGGCAAGGAACGCCCCCCCCCCCAAATTCCCAAGACCATCACCCCCCGTCCCATCCCCGTCTCAGCTGGGACCGACCGACGGCAACCCATGATCAATCACGTCGTATCACCCATTCAGCCGTCACCCGTGCCCATCACCCGTTCCAGAAACACCACTTCCAATATCGCGCATCTCTACCTGTACATACATGCTCTGGTTGCCTTTCTCCGGCCTCGTCAGACCCCCCAAAGACACAGCCCCCAGCACACCGAACGCCGTCTTACTGGCTGACTCAGGAGAGCTCTCCCTGTAAGCGCGAAGCTATATCTATCCAGGTACCCGGCCTTGCTGCAATCGGTCGTGTCACTTCCCAACCGAGCCGGCCTCCTATCATCCCCCCCTCCTACCCCCCCAGCCTGCCGCCTCCAACAACCTGCGCAGTATCTGGGTGCTTGTGCCTGCTCACACCGTCCGTCCGAGCCTCGAGCAGGGCAGGGCGCAGCCTTGATCGTTACACGACGCCGGTGCCTGCATACGTAATGCACTTCAACGCTCGGAAATAGCATCATGCTCTCCGGCCTGTCTCTCCTCCTCCCGCCCAAGCCACCGCCGTCTTATAGACTCAGCTCCGCCCACACCCGAATAAAACGAAGCCGACAGCGTTGTTTGAATCACGTCTAATACTGGCTGTTTTTGATCTTGATCGGTGTGTCTCTCGTTTGCTGCGTATCCACCCCCGAGCCTGATGCGCCCCTGCAGCCCAAGCCAGCGCGCCTGCAGCAACTCGAGGCTGACTGAGACAGCCCTATTGTAGTCCTCGCCCATCATCCATAATTCCGGCAGGACCTCGAAGCAGCCCCTTAAGAAAGGCTACCAGCTCTCCACTTCCCCGGTATCAACCCTTATACGACTTGCGCCCCAGATAGAGCCCCTCACGAGCGCGCCATAATGGTCTCCGACGAGACATACGAGATCTGCCTGCCAGTCCTCCAGGACTCGGCCATAGAAGAGGAGGACAAGACGGACAAGCTAGAAGAGCTTTTGAAAAAGGAGACGTCTCTTACCGGCCAGTCCCTGGAGAACGCCGTGCTGGACGTGCTTTGGCGCTATCGAGAAGGGGGTGGTGGTAACGCCTCTCCCCCCGCCATCCGCCAGACCATCCTCAGGAGACCTTCGCCAGCTTCCTTCAGGACAACGGCTACCCCTCTCTCTGGGTCACCCAGGCTCGGTGTCAGCCCCCTCGCACCTCCTGGCTTCGTGCCCTCGTTCAACCGCACTCTGTCCTCGGCCGCCTCCCCCTTTTCCTCCCCGCGCCCCTCGCCCAGGCTGGCTTTCGCGACACCAGCCATACCTCACAGCCCTAACCTGAACGCCTACGAGTTTGCGAACGACCCAGAGCCGTCGCAAGAAACGTTCGAAGACTACGCCTCCGACAATGTGGACTGGCTTGTTGGTGACGATGCTATCAGTGTCGCGTCCTCCTTTGGGACCTCGAGTGGGTTGAATGCAAATGCGCCTGAGTTCTCGTCACAGCAGACCCCCATGAGGCCGCACGATGTCCTACGGTCGATTCTAGGCGAGTCCAGAACCGACGAGGAAATCAGCCAAGCACTGCTGGTCCACGGCTATGACCTCGGGGCAGTTCTCATGTCCATGATGGACAACCAAGATACTTCGGCGACGAGCACGTCAGCCGAAAGCAACGGCTACTTGGTCGGCAAGTCCATGACACCGGATGTGCGTCCGACCACACCAGCCGATCAAAGGTCCGGAGTAATTTGCAAGTTCTACCTTGCGTCTGGCAGCTGTATGCGAGCAGATTGTCGTTTCAGCCATGACCTGAGCAGCCACATTTGCAAGTAAGTTCGACCGCCTCCGACCAGACAATGTGACAGTTGCTAAACTACCTGCTAGGTATTGGATGTCGGGCAACTGCCTCGCTGGGGATACGTGCATCTTCTCGCATGACCCGGCGCACCTTATGAACAAGCTCAACGTGGACGGGACAGACACCCCGCCTAATCAGAAATCTCCGGCAAACATTCAGGTCCAGGACTATTCCAACTTCCCATCTCTGGGATCTGGAACTCCCGACTCCATCCCTGTGTTCACGCCTTCTCTTGGCGTCACTCCTCCCCCCGGGTTCAAGAACATACACTCCAACGATCTCCGGCCCCGGTCACGTCCTAGCAGCCGCCATCAGCAGGGCAAGGAGAATGCCCAAGCGGCGCCATCCCTTGACGACAATGAGGCTTTCCCCAGTCTGGGATCAGCCGCAGCCAAGCCGGGTAAGAAGCACCACGGGAAGAGAGGCGGTCACGGCCACGGGCCCAAGGAAGCATACACCCCGAGCTCTCTCGCGGATATCGTAAAGATGTCACCATCTCCAGGGCCAACCTCCAGGCCCGATAGTAGGAAGATGAGTCGAAATGGAAGCTCCCAGGGTTCGAGGAACGGCGAGAACAGCGCAGCTGCTCAGGCAATCCCCAGCCCCAAACACATCCCTTGGCTGGAGACGGGAGACAGCTCCAACAAGGCGTATCTCAAGGCTCGCCAAGAAGCCATTCGGCATAGTGCTCTTAGGAACAAGTTCTTGCAGAAGTGAGTTCCACCCCCGGCAAAGCTGTATCAAGCCTGTCCTAACCAGATCCACAGTGCGGCCCAGGCATGGAACCGGCAGGACGCCCGGCAGGCCAAGGTATTCAGTCTGCGGGGCCAGAGTGAGAACGACCTCATGAAGAAGGCACACAGGGAAGCAGCGGAAAAGCTGTACGAAGAGCGCAACAAGAAGAGCTCGTCGAGCCCCGAGATCTACGTGGACCTGCATGGCCTGCACGCGGACGAGGCTGTCGAGTATCTGGAGCGAGTGCTGCTGGAGAACGAGCATGAGAGCCGGCCGATCTATGCCATCACGGGCACGGGACATCACAGTAAGAATGGAAAGGACAAAGTGGGCAAGGCAGTGCGGGGTTTCCTGAACGAGTGGCGGTATGCATTCCGTGAATTCTCGGTACCGGGCGACCGTAACAACATGGGAGGCATTCTAGGGGTGGATGCAAGGAGCTACGACAAGTCGATATCGAAGGAGGGTGGTGCAAGCACGAGGAAGGCAGAAGAGGGCGAGGAAGCGGTGGACATTCTGAGCCAAGGGGTCGAAATCGGCGACGGCAAGATGAAGCTGCTGGTGAGGGACACAACGGTCGGCAAAGAGCCGCCTAGAGGACCCCGAGGCGGCCGATGACATATAGAGAGGAAATGAAGCAAATAAAATAAAGCAAATCCATATCAATAAGCCTTTCTTGGGTATCCTTTACAGCCGTGCGGCCATTGCATGTTTCCCCAGTGGCCGACCTCCTAGGCGATGCCTCTCTGTGGGATGGACACCATACCACAAAATAGTCCCCTCGAGATAAACCAACAGTCAAAGGGTTTCTGCAGCATCGTTTTCTAGTTTTCTATGGAATATAAAGATTGAGGTAGGCCAGCCACAGGGGTGGGGTGTGTGTCCATGATGATGTTTTCACTTCCTCTCTTGTTTTTTTCCTTCGAGAAGGGATATGGCTGTGATACTGAAATAACACATGTGAAAGAAACGATTTTAAAAAAACGCCGTGTCGACGACCTGCAGAGGTATAAATCTCCGTATGAATGAATGCGCCAGCGAGGGAGCTTGGCATTCAATTGCGGCTCACATGCTGCCAACGGCTCTTTGTGTAAGTCTGTACATGACCCCATAACCCTGGATCCCTACCTCTCCCAAGGCCCCGGGCGCGGGGCGGGTTCCCAACAGCTTTTCGGCAGAGCTGCGCAGCGGCTGCAACCCTCGGACATGGTTGAAACACTGCGGGAGCGCACTCGCTGTTCTAGGCACCCAGACAAGACCCGGCTTGCCGTCATTGGCGTCACACAGGCCTGACAGGGAAGGGACCCAATCAAGTCAGAGGCAGCACTGCAGGCCATGCATATACTCCCAACTCCGTAGACTCCCCTGCCCGTCTCCAGAGTAGGGGTACGTCGAGAGCTGCGCCTCCTTCACAAGCGTCTCTCTGTCTGCTCGACTCCGAACACATAGTCAGCATACCTCACCATTGCAACTGAAGCCATGATTCTTGATTCGATGGCAGCAACAAAATAGCACCCAGCCCTCACCGCCGTCGAATGTAAGCAATCCGCCCCGGGCAGCTAGCTGTACTCGGTACATGCATCCTGGCGTCGTCGTTGCAGTGTTCGGGAGGCATACATGGCGAGGTCGCTAACCGAGCAGTAGAGACCCTACATAACTCTACCTGAGATCACAACAGCCACCGATCATGCCGGCCGACTACAGGTCCGCGGCAGTTGGCCTGGCCGTGCCCCCGTCCCCAGACAACGAGACCCCTTCCGCCGCAGCCGCAGCCGCCCAGCTCGCCAACACATCCTCCAGCCGGGACGAGCATGGCGACGCACCCTTCCACGACGACAGCGACCACGAAGACCAACCGCGCGCGCCATCGTCCCCCGATGAACGCCCGCTCCCGTGGGTCCGCGGCGGCGGCGTGGGCAACACGCGGTCATCCCGCCGGCTGTCGACACCCTACTCCCTGAACTCGCGCACGTCATCCACCCGCGATGGCTCCCTCCGCGGCCAGCTGTCAGCCCTGGCCTCCTTGTCGGCCAAGACCGCCAACAGCCTGTACCGGCGCTCCATGACCATGTACAATGGCATGACACCGACGCAGAAGGTCCTGTTCATCGTCGGCGGCAACCTCCTCGGCGTGCTCACCATCGTCGCCCTCATCTTCTCGCACAAGATCTTCACCCTCCTGGGGCCCGTGGCCATCTCGTGGCGCGCCATGCCCGCCGGCTGGCTGATCATCTGGGCCGCCACCTTTGTCGTGGCGTTCCCCCCCATGATAGGCTACAGCACGGCCTGCACCGTGGCCGGCTTCGTCTACGGCTTCCCGCTCGGGTGGCCCATCGTGGCGACGGCGACGGTGGCCGGGTCCGCCGCGGCGTTCGTGGCCTCGCGCACCGTCCTCAGCGGCTACGTGGACCGCCTGGTCGGGCAGGACAAGCGCTTCGTGGCGCTGGGCCAGGTGCTGCGGCACGACGGGCTGGGCGTGCTGGCGCTGGTGCGCTTCTGCCCGCTGCCCTACAGCCTTAGCAACGGCTTCCTGGCCACGATCCCCAGCATCCAGCCCCTCAGCTTCGCCATCGCCACCGCCTTCTCCAGCCCCAAGCTGCTGGTCCACGTCTTCATCGGCTCGCGGCTTGCCCTGCTGGCCGAGAAGGACATGACGTTCGGCGACCGCATGATCAACTACGCCTCCATGCTCATCGGCGGCCTGGTCGGCATGGGCGTCGGCTATTTCATCTACCGCCGAACCATGGCCAGGGCGGCGGAGCTGGCCAGGGAAGAGGCCCAGGCCGGGCGGCCACTCGGCGCCAGGGCGGCCGGGGCTGAGTACATGGACGACGACCTGGGCGAGGGCGGCGAGGATGCGAGGCTGATGGACCCCAACGACGCCGCTGCGCTGATGGTTGATGACGACGACATCTCGCTGTGGGATGCCGCGGGCGACGGTCATTTCGAGGACGGGGATGCGCCGGAGAGGTATCGGGACGAGGAGGAGGCTGTCGGGGGCCACGGAAAGGCCAAGGGATCAAACGACGGCACGCAGGCGTAGAGTCAAAAGAGCGGGCGGTGTTCTGCCAAAGATAGATGTTCTTGTAGAATTAAAGTGCGCACACGGCACCGACTATCATGATTTACGAATGAACCCATATGCATATCTATCAATATTCACCCATTTGACATCCAATGCCCCTCTCCGGGCTGAACATGCACAGCACATCCGACCGTTATAATGGGGCTTGCCCCCCCCACCCCCCCCCCCAACTAGTCAATAGCATCGTCCCGCAGCTTAAAAAGCTGCGGCAGGACCTCGTCAGGCCGCGCGCGGAGGGCGTTGTGGTACATGGTGTTGGTCTCAAGGACCCGTATGAGGTTGATCCGGCGGGCCGTGTCCCGCGCGAGCTCCGACTCGACGTACATATCCTCGATGAAGCTGGCGGCGTAGACGGGGACCTGGTTCACGCGCAGCCGGGCCTCATCGTAGAGGTCATCCCAGGAGTCGTGCTTGGCCAGCGCCTCGGCGGCCCCCTTCATCCTCTGCAGCTCCGGGTAGTCGTCGAACATGAAGGGGAATATCATCTCGCCAGAGAAGCACAGCGGCGTGCGGGCGTCGTCGGCGCCAAAGGCCGAGAACGCCGGGTCCAGCCAGCGGAAGTGCTCGAGCTGCTGGCCCACGCGCTGGGCGGCCCAGTCGGACGCGATGCCCTTCTTGAAGCAGTAGATGGCCTCGTGCAGGACGGCGTAGATGGGGGCGGTGTCGAAGGGGAGGTAGCCCTCGAACTGCAGGAGGGTGGGCCTCGTCAGGAAGCCGAACTGGTCCAGGTCCATGTTCATCCTCAGGACCATGGAGTGGACGTTGTCGAGGCCGCCGTGCAGGCCAAACATGTGGCCGACGGTGAGGAACCGCCTCGCCGTCAGGAGCCCCCCACCGGGCAGTCGGACGCCCTTGTCGGGGCGGGTGTGCAGGAAGCCAGCGACGGCTCGCACGGCGGCGATGTCCTCGGGGAACTTCCTATAATAAGCCATGTTCCTCTCAAAGACCTTCTGGAAGGTGGCCTGGTAGACCTGGTCTGGAGTCTTGGAGATGGGGGCGAGGCCGCCGGTCATGAAGACCTCATTCAGCCCCTCGGGGTGCTGGGAGAGATAGCTTAGGCAGACGAAACCGCCAAAGGACTGGCCAAATATGGACCACTTCCTCTTGCCCTCGTCCAGGTTGTCGGTCAGGCACTTGCGGACGGCCTCGCAGTCCCGGACATTATCGACCTGGCGGAAGAACTTGAGATACTCAAACTGCTCCTCGGGAGAGGCGCCTGGCGTGGGGGCGGTGTCGGCCGTGACTGGGGTGCTGAGGCCGACTCCCCTGTAGTCGAGGAAGAGGACCTGGTAGCCTCTGTTGAGCAGGAAACGGGTCAAGGAGGAGTCCTGGGGCTCAGGGTTGCCAAAGCCCGGGCCTCCCTGCAGGAAGACAAACCACGGGCGGTTCAGGGACGACTGGAACTGCGACTGCTGGGGGTTGATGGGCACCTCATACTTGGTGGCCCCCCTGGCGAAGAGCTGGACCTGCTTGCCCGAGGGGTTTCTGTAGTCCAGCGGCACAGAGAACAGGTACTCGGTCACCAGCAGGGCACCTGGGTCGAGGTATGGTCAGCATTGGCCGGCACTATCCACGACAATGACAGTGACGGTGGGGTTGTGGCGGCGTAATAGGCTCATGTAGCACTCACCTGGCACGACATGCCTGACGAAGCTCTTGAGCTTGGCTTTCGGGATCTCGAGGGCCATGGCGGATACTCGACTCGTCCAGTGACGTCGGTCTGTTTATCTGTACGCTGCCTGGTGTCAAGTTAATTTGACCGAGACAGTATACTTACTATAGCCGAGGAAGCAGGGGTTGAACAGGCTGGCACCAAGGCCAGATAAAGATCCAGCACCGGAGGGAGGACGAGGAGTGAATCGTACGCCCACAAGTGTCCTGTCTGGGCTGCAACTGTCCTCGTCGTCGCCCGCCGCTGCCATCCCCGTCGTTAGCCTGGGGTGCATATCGACCCGTCGACAGGTGATAACGTCCTGCGGGGTTCTAGAAGATAGCTGGGTCCCAGGCTGATCAGCAGACCCTCAGGCCCCAGGCATCCCACCCTGCCACCCGAGCCACAGCACCCCTAACCACCTAGCGGCCTCGGTACCTGGCAACCTGGGCACGCCCCAGTCGGGCGGATCTCCCGGCATCGGCGCAGGAAGGCCCCGGCCAGGATAAAAATAAGGCAAATCTCCTCTACTCAAATTGCAATTCTACTCAAATTTTTTGCACCACGACACCACCTCTTCCCCCTTCTGCCCAACGACACCCGTCGCACCTCCACTGGGCAGGAACCTCGGGGTCGAGACTGCAGTGCCAGATGTGAGGCAAGACGTCGCCCGCCACGGATTTACATCCGCATCCCACATGATGGCTGTGGATTCGCCCCAGCTTGTGCAGACCTTGATTGAGTCCTTCAACACGCTGGCCGACGAGGTGCAGATCCTCATGGACAGGAAAATCATCCTCGAGGCCAAGCTTTCCTTCAGCAGAGAGCAGGTGAGTGCCTACGCTTTCATTTCATTTTGTTTGTTATTATCAGGGCTGTCGGGGCCTGCCTCTACGTGATGATATTTCATAGCTCTAGATCTGCAAGTCGCCTTTTTTGGCGTCCGTGTAGACAACCTTTACCACTTATCTGATAATTCCACCTGGCCCCCACCCGCTACCCGCCACACCCACATCACACTCTCAACCTCTGATTTGCCGCCGTCTCGGCGTGGGGCCCCCCAAACATGCTGACCAATGTCGCATTCACAACAGTACCAGCTTCTCGCCGACAAGTACGCTCCGGCTGCTCCTCACATTGCCGAGACCCTGGCCAAACTCCAACTACCTCCCAACCCAACACCGACATTGTCGAATCAGATCCCCCTCCCCAGGCGTCACCAGTCCGGCAGCTCCCAGGCCGAGCTGGCCGTCTTCATCCGAGAGGGCAAAAAGGTGGCCCGTCAGCTGGCGATGGTGGCGGATGCGAGCAAGGAGGGCGGGTCCAGTCGCGAGACCGCCTCTACCAACATGACCTCCCAGTCGACCTTCCTGGAGAGGGACTTCACGGTCGAGGGCAAGAAGGGCCACCTGGGCTGTCCCTTCTCCGCGGTGAACAAGGACGCCGTCGCACGAGATGAGGTAGATGATGATGATGATGATGATGATGAACATGATGCAAATGGCAATGAGAATCCCGATCCCACCCCACACCATTCCAAAGACCCGATATGTGCGGCCATGTTTGAGGAGAGCATGTCCGCCCCCGCCCCCGCCCCCAATGCTTCCGCCTCAAAGTGCCCCATCAGGTATCTCGACCAGCACTCCCCCGAGGAGATTGCCCGTTATGTCGAGACCCACAAGCACGAGCTGCCGCGGAGCCACGAGGTTTGTCTCAAGAGGAACCAGAAGACCGAGGAGCAAATAAGAAAGCTGGACGCCAAGTATGGCAACCTCGTCTCCATGATTGAGGACCTCAGCCACCTCCACGCCCCCATGCTGCCCGAGTCCCAGGTTGAGGCTCAGGCTGCGGCCGACGCCGACGCCGACCGGGCCTCGAATCGCCGAGTCAGTGATTGGGCTCAGAATGTGAGCTCTAGTACCGTCGACGCCCTGGTCGATGAGACTGTCAAGGATGGCGACGTGCCTACGGCCGAAGACTATCTCGACCGGACCGGCCATTTCGAACGGCCGCTCAAGGAGATTCGGGTTGGCGAGTCGCCCAGCCGTCCATGGGGCATCTCAGTCCCCTTCCCTCCCGACGAACCCGTCGAGCGGCCTACTTCTCCTCCTGCGCCTGTTCGTATGCCTTCTCCGGGCCCAGCCCTAGCGCCCAAGGCTCCCGATGCCAGGCCCTCCAAATGTCCGTTCGATCACACCAAGATGAAAGGACTGGCCAGTGCGCTTGATCACAGCCAGATCCACAAACTAGACGGACCAGGCCTCGCCGAGTTTCCGAAAATGGAGGAGACGCCCAGCCCTCCCCGGCCCAGTGCTCATAAGCCGGCGGCGAGCCAGCCTTTCACAACCCCCATGAAACATCCACAGCCTCCGATCCCAGATAGCCCTCCGCCGTCTAATCAGCCAGCATTCATCAACACGACGGAAATGGCCAAGACAACCGCGACTGGTGGCCAAGCCCCTCAGTTTGTTTTTAATGGCCCGGTCTTTATCGGGTACCCCATGGAACAAGCGATTCAGTTCATGCAGCATTTCCAGCGACCGTCATGATCAAGATTTCGTAGTGTTATTTTTTGTCTCGGCAAGCGAGGGCGTTTTTTGATGGCTTGGTTTAAGTGGCATGGCGTTGCGTCGATTCTCTTTTCATGAAGGGCCGGACGGCAAGGCAGGATTGTGAGGGTCATGGAAAGGGTTGATTTTCGACACGGCGAGCGTTGACAAGAATTTACGGATAGTCTTCAGAAATGTGGAAAGGGGCACTGGCCCCTACTTCATTAATCTTATGAAATTGAAATCACGAGCCTCGGTCGTTGCTTCTTGTTGATGATAAGTAAGTAGGTTGAGCCTACCAAGCCATGGCAGAATGGCGAGTAAGCGTGAGCCCCGGTTGTCTACAACTCCACGATTGACACATCAATTTATCCATGACCGTTTGTCGGAACATCTCTACTATCACAATGGATTTGGATCCAAGGTCAGGCGGAACGGATTGTGACGGCCCGAAAGTACATGGCCGACGTTTTACGCTCAATCGCTCAATGCTACCAGTGCTAGTTGTATTTCTATCTTGGACTTTAATACTACAGGCAGAGCCCGGCCACCGAGCCCATGCGTTTCTATATTGGGATCTTGGGGGCGACGCTCTTCCAGAAATCACACCGCCCCTTGAACTGCGTGAGCTCGAGCTGGGCGAAGCCGGCCGCGTTGATGTTGAACTCGTCCCCCGACTCGAGCAGCGGCGGGACGCCGGGCTCGCCGTCGCCGGTCAGCTTCATCTCGTTGGGGTCGGAAGTCATGAAGAAGGAGGCGAACGCCCCGGCGTAGCCCCTGTAGTGCAACGGGTCCGTCTTCTGCACGGCGTTTACTTGGTTCCACTTGTGTTCGCAGAATCATGTCAGCGAGCTTTCTGGGGGTGCTTTGAGAGAGGGGAGGGAGTGGCTCACGTAGATGGTGTCGCTGCCGTGCTTGGCCGGGGAGATGGAGTACTCCCCGAGATAGTTCCCTTCCGGGGCCGCACCGGAGAACCAGTACGCCGGGCAGGCCAGGACAACATCCCGGTATACCAGCCCAGCGCGCGTGTAAGAGCCATTATAACTAGGCACGGCCTCGGCGCTGCCCGACTCCGGGTACAACGCCTTGGCCTCGTCCAGATCGGCCTCGTCAAGGCCCGGCAGGAACCCAGAGAGCCAGTCTTGAAAGCTTGCCACGCTCGAGTTGAAAGGGGGCGTGCCGCTGTCCTGGGCATTCTGGAGCCCAGGGGGGATAAAGTTCTCCCCCTCGTGGGTGTTATACATGCCCCACGCAGAGTCCATGTTGACCTCCCCCGCGGCCGCGGCCTCGCTCAGCCTCTTGGTCAGGAACCGCCCGTCGATCACCGGCGCCCACGTGTAGCTGCTCGAGTTGTACGTGTGGCTGGCCGCGACGGCGAGCGACGCGTTCCTGAGCGTCTGCAGGTCTGTAGCCTTTAGACACCCGAGGCTCCCCGTGCCTGTCCCGCAGCCCGCCGCCGTCGAGAACATGTCATACACGGCCTGCGCCTCGGACGACTCGCCGCCGTACGTCTTGGGCCAGAAGGGGCTGCTCGCGAGCGCCCTGGTGAACAGCCGCGGCCGGTCCGGGGCCCCCGCGCGCGCGATGGCCTGCGCCACGACCGACCCGCCGCCCGCGGACTGGCCCCAGATGGAGATGGAGTCCGGGTCGCCGCCGAAGCTTGCGGCGTACTTGCTCGCCCAGCGGATGGCGGCGTCCTGGTCCAGCAGGCCCGGGTTGAGGTCGGAGCCTGCGTCGCCGGCGACCTCGGCGCCCGGGAGGAAGCCGAAGGCGTTGGTGCGGTAGTTGGGGTAGACAAAGACCAGGTCCGTCTCGGACGACACGTTCAGGATCGGGTACGCCGGGGGCGGGATGCTGAAGTAGGCGCTGCCCTGGATGAAGGCGCCGCCGTAGAAGACGACGACCACGGGCCGGAGGGGCTCACCCTTGGTCCAGGGCCGCGAGTACAGGCCCAGGTACAGGCAGTCCTCGGAGCCGTTGACGGTGCGCTGGACGCACATGTCGAAGGGCTGGGTCGAGTTGAAGGTGCCGTTCGCGACGGGCAGCGGCGGCTGCGGGCCGCGGAACCTGAGGTCGCCGACGGGCGGCTGGGCGAACGGGATCTTTTGCCAGTACGAGATGTTGTACTGGGCCGAGTAGGCACCCTCAAAGGTGCCATAGTCCAGTTGGGCAACGAGGTCCTGGGCCGTGGCCCCTGGTGGCGCAAGCAGCCCGGACAGCACAAGGAGGAGGGCTGTCACGAGGAAGGAAGCCATCCTGGTGGTTGTAGCGGTGGGTGAAGACGGCGACTGTCGTCACTCTCAAGGCTCAGGCCGTCCTCCATCTTCGGCCAGGGGGGGGGGAGGTGCGCCTACTTATTGTTCTTGTTCGATGGGCAATCCCGGGTGAAAGGTTCGTCTACAGTTGGGCATTTCGACAAGATAACCCGAGGGCGCGGAAACCAGCGTCACTAGCGAACAAGGACCCTGGTGGCAAGAGGATGCTGGTTCACCCCGGCCGACTTATCATCCATGGTTATTGGCATGTCGAATGGTGGGGATCTCCTCCGCAATTTGGGGTTTTACTGTAGCCTGCGATCCGGGGATTGTGGGGAAGAGATAGATAGACAGGCTCGCCGACATTATAAGGGAGATGGTCCAAAGCCGCAGCAATTGATCCATCTAGTAGCGACGACGGTTCCACCAATTGGCTGCTTATACTCCATAACAGTCGACGAGTCACGCTCAGGGGGAGGGGGGCAAACATGGCGCTGTTCTACAGGCAGCGCCAGCTCAGTTTTCGCTCGGTGCTCGTCTCGAATGATAGCCCGAGTGAGATCCGTTCGATCCGTCCCAACTCGTACTTGACAGCCCAATTAACAATACTGTGGTATACTCGCGAGTTGACCATGTCATCTCATCAATCGTGTCCGTGAATTCAAATTGAGGGTATCTTTGATCCTGATACTTGAACCTGCCCATCCTTGGCCAAATGTGGGCGACAACACCAAATCATGGAGTCAGCGAAAGTAGAGGCGAGCTTCAAGAACCCGGGCTGGGATGCCACCCGTGTGCTGGCATACAAACCACGGGGCAACTACAGCGCATTAGTACCTGACGCCCCTCGGTAGAGGTCGAGGCAACATCTGGTGATCATAAGGTCGGCCCGGGGGCATGGTCCAGGTTGCCCTCTCCATGCTGGGAAGAGGGACAGCGCTGAAATCTTCCTCCCTCCTAATCGAAGTCTCCTTCAGCATTAGGGTCGCAACCTCCGGGTTCGTCAACAGGAATTCGCCCGTCTCCTCGGGAGAATTCTTCCACAGCGTCGGCTGAAGGAACCCAACCCTCGCAAACACCATCTTCAGCAGGGAGTCGTTGTCGCCCACGCCGTCGTAGATCTTGCGGCAGAGCCTGAGCACCTCCACCTGGGCCGCGTCCGGGCCTGCGCTCTCGAGCATATCGATGGTGACCCGCAATATCTTTTCCTTGAAGCCCTCGAGCATGTACCTGTCTGCGCAGATGTACACGTCAATGTTCAGCTCGTAGGCGATCAACCAAGTCCGCATGTCCTCGCCCTTGATGCGGGCTTCCGCCTCCGACGGGGATGGCGGCATGGCTGGTGGTGAGCCCGGCCGCGGCGGGATGGGCCTGCCGTCTGGGCCCCGCCTCCGGTGGTGCTGGTTTCTCCACGACCTGTCCCGCCCCTGTACTACAACGCCCGGCGGATACATGGGCGGGGGGACGGGGGGGAATCGTGGAGCCGCGCATGCCCAGCACCTGTGGAATTCAGTGTTAGCTATCGGCGCGGCGTGGACAGCAAGGAAGGCTAACGTACGGGGGTCCATGAGAGTTAGCACACTGTGGACAGGGACAGTTTGGCCGATGCTGTCCGGGATGCTTCTGGCGGAGCCGCTCGAGTTGCCGCTCCTGGCGTCGTCTGCGGCGCTCCTGACGCCGTCGTGACTGAGCGCTACTGTCGCTGTGCCAGCTGAGACCGTCCGAATCCGAGTCCGAGTTGGGTGTTCCGTTGGCCACGTCCTTCCCTTTGCCCTTGTCCGGGTCCAGGACTAGAGCTGTTGAGAGCGGCTTGGTCGGTACATATCGCTCTTCGTAGAGATACGCGACCAGGAAGTGGAAGATGGCTGGGTCTTCTTCCGGTAAGTCGAGGGACTGTGCCTCCGCTTCGAGAAAGTTCCCCAGGAGCGCTTTGCGGAACCACTCGGCTTTCAGGAGAACGCTCTTGTGCACCTGCTCTGTGTAAGCACGAGTTCGCTCAGGCGAGACAAAAGGGTTTCCGAGCCCACCTGGAAAATCTCCTGATGTGGCGGCAAGCCGATGCGGAGAGGGATTATCGCGGAACTGTATCGACTGTGGCGGTCATGTCAGCCATGGAATGCGGCGCGGATACGTCCAAGTCGTGTGACACAGACAGCGCGAGTGTTCGGCCACTGGACCGGACATGACGAGAGCAGCTAGGTGTCTTACCCGTCACTCGTAGAAAGCCACAAGTCTTGGCTTGGGTCCAGCACCTCCTTGCGGTCCAGGTCGTCGGGCAAAATATCCAACACAACAATACCTGGGGGGTTCACCGATGGCGCGCGCATCGTCTCGCCCAGTGTTCTCTGAGAACTCCCCTCACCGTTGGCCCTAGAGGACGAAGCCATGTCCAGTCTTGTAGGCTGTAGCCACCGTGAGACTTGTTCGATACGCGGGGTGAAGAAAGGTGTGAATCCGTGTGTACCGTATCGGTGGGAAGGGATGTGGGTATAGTGGCAGCCTGCACAGGAAACGTTGGGGGTCACAAAGACAGCAGGCTGAAAGATATATATGATTTACGCGAGCCATACGAGCTAGAGGCAGCCGTTCCTAAGCAATCAGCAGCGGGCTGAGACGATTCGGTGTGGGTTGCCTGGCTAGCTCCGTGCTCTGCCACCACACCCTCTTTACCTATTGCGTTGTCGGATGACATGCAGGCGGACCTGGTCCTATTGGCATTGGACGGTAGAAGAACGTGCGGTTTGTGCGATCGGTATCGCTGTGCTTCTATTATGTGTATATGTCTCTCGGTCTGCTTCGGGATCATGTATTCACGCAAACTCTTGTCCCCCTCACGGGTGTGAGGCGCAGAGACCAGCCTCGGACAGACAGCTCGAGAGCCTCGGGCAGACAGCTCGAGAGTGTGTGCGCCGCCGGGCTAGATCGGTAGTGTCAGCCTCTTGGGATGTAGCTCCCTCTCTCTGGGCGCGGGGGCCGACTCGAGCTCGTCCGGCCTGCTGAAGCTCAGTAGGCTGGTGCGCACGGCCGGTCACCAGAGATGAAAACCTCTTGTCCGTTGTGTGACCAGCAGGCACATTGACACCAAAGCTGCATGTTGTTTTGATTGACTCCGCATGGCACAAATCCTGCCCAGGCCTGCATGCAGCCACTTTCTTGCCGCCGCTTGGGGAAGGTTGGGGTCACGCTGACTGGACGGTTGGACCAGGCGTGTGGGTGGTGTGGCAGCGCGGGACCACCGATGTTGGACAAGTCGAGACCGACCCCATAGGGCGGCTGCTACCATGTCTCGAAGGAATATGGGAAGCATGGTGCATTCACGTCGCAAGCGAGTTCATCGACAGATTTCGGTAATCGAAACGAGTTGCCGTCAATCAAGCCTTTACACAACTTCCGACTATCGGTTTCTGGATTGGCGGGGCACATGAGATGAAGGCCTCTGGCGTGTTAAAGCTGCACCCAAAACACCAACCACCAGCATATCGTCATGATTGTCGAATCTGGTGGCGGCCATCTCCGCGTGTCACTCGGCCCGGCCAGTAGAGGGACGAGAAACACGCGGCCTTCTCTCGAGTAGGGCCCTGTTGTAATTGGCAGTCTCATTCGTCGTCTGTCACGCTTCTCCGTCCGCGAGCGTCTCGTTTTCCTTGCCTGCTGCCCTCACAGCCGAGGTGAAGGGGCACTCGTCAAAGCTTCGCCTCGGTTGCAGTATCCAACGTCACATCTGTACTCTGAGCTCCGGCACGGAATCAGGTACCTTGATCAACATGTGTGCCATGTTCTGACATTTCCAAGCGACCTCGGTCACTTTCTGTGAGAGGCTCCTGTCAACTCAAGTCTAATTGTGGAGGCACTTTGCGAGCACTTCTTGGCTCTGGTGTCAGTCAAACCGCCGTCCCACCTGGCAGTCACTACTCTTCATCCAAATCCTGCTGCATCTCGATCTCTGCATTCACAGTCAGCAAAATAGCCCAGTGGCAAGGAATTGTTCGCAAGCTACTCACGCCAGAGCCTGTTTGCCGAATCCGCAATGACTTTCGCTTTCAAGAGCAACTTCTCCTTGTACTTTGACTCGTCCTTAGCCTCCAGGCGGATCTTATTTGGTTGCGCTTGCAGCAGGATAGGGACGAGCTCTTGTGGGTCGGCATTCGCTACAGCAGCGACACTTCGAAAGCCATTGTCCCAGAAGACGCGCGCGGTGCGGCTCTTGACAAAGGTAATCCTGGCCAGCGCAAGCAAATCGGACTTGGCTCCAGCCCTCAGTCGGTCTGAAAAGTGGTCCAACGCGGCCGCCATGACTCCCCAGCCCATTTGCTCGCAGAACTTGATCATGCCGGCCGCGAAGCCCTGACAAGACTGTGCGAAAATCTGGACTGTCCCTCTCGGCATCGTGTACTTTTGCGCTACGCGGTGTACCGGCATCTCGTTGCACAGGTCACGCAATTGTAGAGCAAGATAAAAGCGATGATAGATGCGGGCGACCTCCTTCTCCGCGGTTGTTTCTGTTCTCATCACTCCTCCACGCATCCTGCATCGATTAGTCAAGGTCTCGTCTCGAAAGACAGAAGAACTTACATCCTGTTGATCTCTGTGGGCTTCAAGCCGAGGAAGTTGAGGACCCTGAGACCACTCTCGTCTAGGTTTTCCATCTCGTTGGCGTAGGTTTTCCAGTTGATATTTACCGACATTTCCTGGACAGGCGTAAGGGTATAGAGGATGTGCATCTCTCCATCCAGAACAAAGGCCTGGAGCGCTCTCTTGAGCTCATTATGTATGAAGACCCCGTCGTCTGGGTCTAGAGAGGATGTTACAATAGCTTTACCCAGCTGTGTAGCTTTGAAGTTTGAGAAATCATCGATAGATACGAAACCTCTGTCTTGTAGTTCGGTGAGACTAGCCTCGACGGTCTCGTTCATTTTGATAATGTCCATGGTCTGGTAGAGCAGTGACTTCTGGATAAAGTCGTCGAGCGAATCACGACTAGTCGCCAGCCGCACCGCTATCGCTTCTAACAGTGCCCTCTGAAGACGGTGCTTGTCGCTCATGAGACAGCTCGTGAGCTGGGGCAGTTCTGCTTGCATCAGGTCGGTCACTTCCTCGACGTCTTTCTGACGGCAGCAGAGATACGTCTCCCCCACCTCATCCTTGCCTTTGCGTCCTGCACGGCCTTTCATCTGGCGTAGCATGGACGGTCCGACAATATCGCGGCCCATGCGTGCATTGTGTAGAATGACCCGCCTGGCTGGGAGGTTTATACCGGCCGCGAGAGAGCAAGTGGCCACGCAGACTTTGACGGTGCCGGAATCATAGGCACTCGCGATGAGATCCCGCTCTTCCGTGGTGAGGCCTGCATGGTGGAAAGCCACACCATTGTTTATCGTTTGCTCAAGGGTGGGATCAAGCCCGCCTGGCAGGCTTCTGAGATCACCAAGCAAGTCTGTTCGCCTCTCCTGCACATCAGTGTCCCACTCATGGAGCGGTGGCAGTGCCCGACTGATGATGAGGGCATCCGCCTCGCAGCCCGCGCGACTACTTGCAAAGACTAGTACCCCGTAGCCAGCACGCGCCGTTTCGCTTGCGAGGGCAACGACCGCGTTCAGAACAGGGTCCTGCAGTTCCTTAGCATCCGATGCCGCTATCGTTCCTATTGCAGCGGATGGAGCCTGAGAGACTTGCGAGCCATTGACCTGAGTTGCGACGGCCTTGATGAGCCGGCTGGCTGTCCCGGCGGCATAGATTCGGCCGTCATATACGAGGTGTTCCTCGATGGGGACCGGCCTATAATGAGTCTCATAATGATGACCCTGGAGCCACGTTGCCAATAACCTAATGTTTGTCAGCGTCGCACTCATGCCGACAATCTGAACGGCATGGTCGTCAAGGCAAAGAAGTTTTGTGGCCATGAGTTCCAAGAGGTAGCCCCGGTGATCGTCGTCGATCATGTGAAGCTCATCAAGAACTAGCACCTTCAGCGCGGTTATCGAGCCGTCATCAATGGCGGTATTCACGAGAGAGTTGGCCTTCTCAATTGTGCAAACGGCGATATCAAAGTCGACCCACGTCTGCTTGATCTTGCTGCCGCCGAAGAATCCGACAACCCTGACGGTGTCCTCGTCGGATCGTCTACGCCAGAATTTCTGATCTGATTCGTGGATGGGGCCGGTGATGGATTCTCTGGAAATACCATTAACCAGGTTCCTCAGCCACCGAACCTTTTCTTGGACGAGCGCCACGTAGGGTAGCACCAGGATAGCCTTGGCCTCGCCGTCTTCCAGAACCCTCTTCAACATCAACACGTCTGCGACCAGGGACTTGCCGCCACCAGTAGGCGCGCTGTACACAAGGTTCTTCTCGCCCCTGAGGAGGCCTGGACCCATGAGGCACTGCTTTTGCCAGGGGTAGATGCTGTGTATGCCGCAGGCCTCGAAGTTGGCCGTCAACGGCCTGGGAATCCTGTAGGCAGGGTGTGACAGCTTTAGCAATGCATCGTGAGCTGGGGTCGGCGTGGCCGGAAAGGCTCTCCTCTGGGAGTATTCAGACAGGCCATTGACGGTGCAGCTCGGGGGAACTCGGGGCAGGTGTCTTGTAATCTCACTCGCAGCGAGTGGGGGTAGACCCTTGGAGAGAGCAGCGGCAGTGTGAAACGGAGCGACGCGCTTGACAGAGGGTAGAGCGTGGTCAAAGGAGCCATCCTGATCATAAAAATCAATCTGACGCTTCTGGCTGTGAGTTGTTGTGTTCTCGTAAGCGGCTTGCCGCTCTCTGACCTCTTCCAATGTTGGTCTGCGCCATGTTCCATTGTTGCCCGGACCCATGGTCGCTGTGGGTCAGGTCTATTCCCAGAGCCAAATGGGGATGGCAGGCGTGGGGATTACGGCGTAGCCATTGATACTCTAGATGCTGTCTACCCTTGCGTCGGTCTTCCTCTCCTCAAGGAAACGATAGCCGGTGCAGCAGGGCTAACAAGCAAGGCAGCGATGAGTTTGCGATGAGCTGTTCACCTCCATATGGTCGCCTTTGAGTTGTAGACCTGGAGATGTTTACGAGAGCACAGGCTGTCGGCAGGCGGAAGAGAGGAGAGCGGTATGCTGCACATGTTGATACAGGCCAGGCCTGGAAAAGAAAGGACCTGGTAGTCTGCTTAGTGGCTGCGATGATGGTGATGCGATGCAGTGTAGGTGGATCCCCGGCTTAGGTAAGCTGCAGCGTTGGGTGGATGCCCCGCTAGCTGCATCCTGGTTACCAGGGCTGCCTTAAAAACGACCAACGGTACGGGGGGTTCAGTCCTGGCGGTCTTGGTTGGGGGGTCAGTGGTGGGGTGGCGCATGGGGGAACAAGGTTGGCCGACACGTGCACACATCTGCCCGTGCCTTTGTGTTGTTGTGCCTGTGCCTGCGCCTGCGCCTGCACCCTGCACCTGCGGCAGCCGCCCGCCGGGTCAGTTCCAGTCCCAGTCAACCAGTCCAGTCCAGTCCTGCGTACCTAGGTACGTGGGCAATGACAACGAGAGCAAACCCGATTACCCCATTCTCCTCCAATTCTGACCCCCCCTCATAAGCCCCCTCCCCTTGCCCAAGCCGATCGATTGTTGCTGACAGACCGTCGCGCCCGTTGATGGGGGGAGGAGCGCGCCTGCGGCTGCGGCTGGAATCTGCCAATCTGCCAAATCTGGGATGCAAATTTGCCGGGCCCCCCGGCATGTTTTGTGCTTTGGCTGCCCCCTGCTCTCTCTCTCTCTCGCTCTCTCGTCCCTACGGACCCTACCAAGCAGCCCCAAGCTGAGTACCGTGCCCCCAACCCGCCTGCCCGCTTGCTACTTTTATTAGCCTCGTGGCCAGGGCGGCCGAGAGCCCGACCCGCGGGTCATCTCGAAACGTCATGTCATGTTTCTGAGAAATCACACATCCTCACTTCCCTCGAGATTTGCAGCCTTGATTGCCGGCCGCGCCCTTTGATGGAACGGCTGGGCTGGGCTGCACACGATGCGCCCCGCATGTCTGGTTCCATCGATGCCAGATTGGCGTGGTGATGGTCCCGTCCCGTCGGCGGCCATCTCGTTCGGTCAGCCGGCCGTTGGGCCCCGCGGATTACAGGCCGACATCACCACCCTGGGCTGCAAACCCTGGACGGCAGGCACTTCCCTGGGAGACACTCCCCCTGCGGTACTAACCTGAAGTTTTCCCTATGGCCGTTGCATTCCTCATTCCTCCTTGGCCTGCCCACATTTCCAACCCAGCTGAAGAACCAAACCCCCCCCCCCCCTTCGCCAGCACTAGCACTGCGATGCAATCCTCCCCCGTGTTATATATGCGTGGCCCAAGGCTTCCGACGCCCTGTCATCATTTGCCGATATGTCTGGAGAACTCCCCTCTCCTGGCCCTAACCACGGTGCTGGCGCCAGGCACCGATATGCACACGCCCCGGTCCCTAAGAAGTGTTCATCAGGCGGCTATTGGCTTTACCCACCCTTGTTATGCCTTGGACGCTGGCTCAACGAGCTTATTCCACCCGACACGCCAGCTTACACCCATTTGGCAGTCAAGGAAGTGGCACGCCAGGAAGCCTTGCCCGTGTGACTCGGCTACAGCAGGCGGGCTAGGATTGCACGTTTGGTCCCCTACCGTTGTCCACCATGTCCGGTGCATCCAGAGGGTGGGGTGGGGCGACTGCTGGGAAGGCGCAGCATGCTCCCAAGAGGCACTTCGGATTAGGGTGCAAGACTCCCCGGACTTGTATGCTCGTGCTCTCATAGCACGGGGGGTTTGGGGCATGCTCCCTGATTATGATACATATGTAGGCTCCGGTGAGGGAACACATGATAGTAGCACAATGTGTGCAGCGTGGGTAGGTGGCGCTGCTAGTCACGCGGCGTTAGGCCCAGCGAGTTGACCCGTCTGGCCCATCACGGCTGATCGCTGCAGACGGCGTCATCTCTAGCCTGGAGTGCACATGAGACAATTGCCCAGGATCGCCAACTGACAGGCGGCTCACCAGTCGCGCACCAAGTAGTCCAGCGCTGGGTGTCCCCGACGAGCACCGCCTAGAAGGACGTTGCCCAGATAGCCATGCTGAGTCAGGCAAGCATGACTCCTTTTGGCGATGTCGGCACTTCGCGCTTGGGTTTGTGCATCTTTTGTCGGTGAGCAAAGAGACAGCGGCCTATCAGTCACCTGAAGATTTTCCGCAGACGGTGCATGATGAAGCCCTAAATCTTGACCGGTCCGGCTTAGTATTTGATATCCGGCGGGCTGTGTGTGGTTGGAACTTGGAGCCATGGGTCCATTGGGTCAACAGCAGGCCAACCCACCCCCAGGCTGCCAAGCGATGGCCGGTGGCCGGTTTGACCTTTTGAAACAACACCTGCCATCTATCGCTGGTCCAAAAATAATTGCAAGCAACGTTGTGAAGAAACATGCCCAGGTTTTCAATACCCGACTTGCTTTTACACAGGCCGGAAAGGATGTCCGTCTCTCATTTGCCCTCTGCGATTTTGATGGAGGAAGGCAGAAGGCTTTTACGACGCCGTGTGTAGCGACAGTGCGGCATTCCGAGGCCCGGTATGTCCATGGGAGGCGAATCTGTGCGGCAGCAGTGTATCCTCCCGGGGCTGCTGCGCGGGAGACGAGGGCATGCCAAACGCATCCGCCTCTGCAGTTGTTCAATAAGGGGCTGCCGGAACAATGCACCCCTCCTTGCCCTCCTACCTTAGCCCCGGTCAATCTTCTGACAATACAGGCCGGGGCAGTCTCACCTGTATCATCACACTCGTTTGCGAGGAACGCGGACCATGTCTTCATTCTAAGCCTTACAAGCCTCATGTAACCCTTATCGTCGCTTCTTCCGAGCCGGGAGGCTTCAAATTGAAGGCGAGGCTCCGGCGGCCCAAGTCAATGAAGGTCGGGAGTGCAGCTTGAGATCGGAAGGCGACGAGAGCTGCCCTGGGCCTTGGCGACCACGTTGAATATTTGAAATCTACTACTAGGAAGCTCGAGCCCTGGCAACTGTGGGTAACGGGGTGGCGATCCCGCCGCCATTTGACCACACCGCGGCATCTCAGCGCCGGGCCTCGCGCACACGAGTCTTGAGCGGAGCGAGACTGCGCTGCGACTCCGGAATCCGGAGTCTTGATAACCTCGCCCAAGGTTGAAAAGTTCAGCGTGCAGAGGTAGCCAGTTTACACACACCACATCGTCGATGCAGTCGGCGTACTGTATGGAAGAGACACGATCGGCAGGCATGCCGTGGTTGGCCGTGAGACGCTAACCCGAACGGATGCTCCAACCTTGACTTATGTGGGTGGGCTAGCCCAATCATTAGCAGCTGTGATCCACGCGATTGCGTGCAGCAAAAGCTTGGAGGAGCGTTAGGACGGTGGGAGGGCCGTGGATCTACCTCTGGCCCCGGGAGTTTTGGCCGCTGTGTTTCATGCCCAGCGGCTCAGATATCTACAAGTTTGGCAGCAGACAGGGGACTTGAACGGACAGTGTGAGAAGATGAGATGAAATCAGGGTGTTGCCGTAGTGCAGTTGTAGTGTGCACAGGGTCGATGTAAGGGTGGTGAGGGTGGCAAGCGCGGGCCAGACTGTCCGAGCTGTCGAGTACCAGAATCGAAATGAATGCTGATCAGATAGCACGGCAGTCTGGACACACTGAAGCCTGGCTGGCTGGGTACGGTGCATATTCGACTGCTGCCCAGGTGGTGGCAGAGCGTGAATGCGTGGGTGGGTGAGTGACACGGCGAGTCGATCTCCCCAACGTATCTGGTGTCCACCCACGCAGCAGCAGCAGCAGCAGCTCCTCGTCCGCCCACAGGCAAGCTGCTGGCATCCCGCCAGATAAGTTCTGTGCACGCGTTAGCAGAGCATAACGAGGTTTCCTAGGGTCATATGTACGACAGTGCCGTGTCTAGATTTGTGCCGTCTGGCGGCGAGTCAAAACACTCGCATGCGCCAACCGTCGGGCTGTCGAGTGAATTGCCCCAGATGCAGAGGAGCAAGAGCAGCGGCATCAAGACAGTCAACATGCATCCATCTTGAATGAGGCCAGGCTGGCCGAGGTTTTGCAGTGTCCTCTCGCACGGCACATCGCCCTCCCTGGCTCATCTCGCCTCAATCTCAATACAGTCAATACTGGATGCAGCATGAGCAGCCATGGCAGCAAAGGCAGCAATGACAGCAATAGAAGCAAGCAACATAGCAGCATGCAGCCTGAAGCCGGGCTGGGCTGGGCTGGGCTGGTGAGGGAGGATGCCGAAGTTACCTGGGCGGGTCCACCTGGCCTGGGCAAGTAGAGCTGGGGTAGCGAGTACTTTCCAGCCCATGTACCCACGTACCCAGGCACGACTGGCACATTCGTTTCTGCGCGTGCAGGTCAGATCTCGGCCGTCCCAGCCAGACGGGCAAGATGGGCAGACGGCGCGAGACAAGAGACGAGAGGCGCCAAAAAAAGGACAATCCACACCCAGCCATAGCCCATAGCCCAGCACGGCCCGCGAGAGCCACCTGCTGCCTGCGTAGGATGTCCCTGTCCACTGACCAAGCCTTGTCCATCGTCACCATAATTTGGGGAGGGGGCGACGCAGGCCTTGTCAACTTGACGTGCCGGCACGGGGGTTGTGGAGGCTCCAGGTCGCCATGTGGCATTTGGCAAGTCGAGAGGCAGGGCTGGCGATTGCAACTGCGGCCGCAGGAGCCTCAGAGGTTCGTTGTATCCGGACATGGTTGGATGTCCTGCTGAATGCAACGACATGTCGTCGAAGTGGCCCAACGCAGGAAGCCAGTCTAGGCTTGAGCAAACCCGGAGAAGTCACCACTACATTGGGAGTACCTGGCAGACCCCTGCAGGCTAGGGTGGGCTTGGTGCAGCGGAGGCGTCACGGCCTCTGGTCTGCCCTCCCATGTCAAGCAATCCACCGCGACGCATCTGCACTCGCTCTTGTCCACCATTCCATTCCACTCAAACTCGCCCACTCCTCATCAGTCGCTCACTCACTCACTTGCTCGCTCGTGCTCACCCCCGCGAGCCCCATCTGTGCCGGGCCGCTGGTTGCGTGATACTCAGCGTCAACACAGGGAGCCAACACAACATGCCTTCCGAGTAGATACTGTGTAGTTGGATATACAGCAGCAGGGCCACTCGAGCAGCCCAGCCCTGCCCATTGTCCCAGTCCCAGTCCCAGTCCCAGTCCCAAGCCCAGTCCCAGTCCCAAGCCCAGTCCCAGTCCCAAGCCCAGTCCCAGTCCCAAGCCAGATCAGTCCGTACGTAGATTGGGGGCCTTGTTCCACTTGCGCACACGCCACACTAATCCACACACATGCGCCCTTTCTCACCCTCTCTCTTTTCACGACGGCCGCTCTCCATCTATCTTGGCTGGGGATTTGCATTGCGCATGGGAGGTGCTGCCGTTCCGTGTAGAAGACGGGCTACTCTGTCGCCCATAGCCCATCTGGTCTGAACAGGCCCATCCTGTCTGTCTGTCTCCCTGGCCCCATGACGGCCACGCGGAGCCGGGCCACGCAGCTGTCAAGCCGCAACATGCAGGTGCCGGTGCATTCTGGTGCTGGCCGCCCGGCCTGGTTCTGGCCCTCGATCATTTTTTGACTTTCCTGCTGGCCATCTCATCGCCCTGCTCCGTACACCTCGCCCGTAGGACCAGGCTAACAGATCCGGACTGCCTGACTGCCTGACTGCCTGCCTGCCTGCCTGCCTGCCTTACCTAAGACGTCCCATACCCAAGCCCGTGGTCCATGGTCCATGGTCCATGGCCCATGTTCTATGGCCCATTTGCACGCTCGCATACCCCGTACCTTAAAGCCATACCCATGCATACCCATGCCCATCCACACCCATACCTCGACTCGCCCTTTTCCACACTCCTCCCATTCCCTCCCGATATAACGTCTCTTCTCAACTTCCACCTTGCATCACCCACCAATTTTCCCTTGTTCATTTGTTTGCTCCTCGCGCCTTCATCCCGGCACTGCTCGCAGCCCATCATCCACCATCCACACTGCGGCTCTACCTGCCCGGTCTTCCTTACTCTTGTGCTCTTTATTTCCTTGACCATCCTAGCACCACCACCACCTTCTTCACACCATAACCACCACCACCCTCTCTCTCTCTCTCTCTCTCTCTCTCTCTCGCCCCAGCTGGAATACCTTCACTCTCTCACCCGGCCCACATCCATCTGCACGCTCCAAGGCCTTACCCAGCGTGTTCCATCCACATTGCCGCAGATCGCATTTCTGCCAAATCAGCCAGCTCCGCGGTTTTGGTGTTCCTCCTGTCCGTCCGTATGGACTTCGACCGCCACATGTAACCCTCCCCCCCCCCCAAATTTTTGGACTTGTGCTGTGTGAGTGAGCCGCCCTGGTCACCTCGCGGCGCCGGCAGGAAACGACAAGGTCGGCGCCTCGCTCCCACCAAATCTCTCTTCCTGTGCCTCTCACCCTGCTTTGGACAACGGCGCCCTGGCCACACCCGTAATCATGGCCCCAAAATCCCAACCACATCCCGCGGGCACAGAAAGCCCTTCGCTTCCCACCGCTGCAACATCGTCAAAGGAGGGCTCCGAGGCACCCACCTCCAGTAAGCAATCCAGAAACGCCTCGCCCTCCTCAGCTTCTGGTGTGCCGCCCAAGAGAGCAGACTCTGAGACAGCGCCTGGTAAAGCCACATCCACCTCTCAGCCCATGACCAAATCCTCTTCCTCCTCGTCAGGGTCGAACCCCCCGGACGCCAAGGACGCAGCCACTGGTCCATCGCCATACGGCACGCGCTCCCGCGGCAGGACTGGCCGGGCACGCCCTAATTACGCAGAGGACAAGGACATCGACTCGGACCTTTTCGATGCAGCCCCCGAGCGGAAGGACGATGGCGATGCCAAAAGATCCACAAGACAGGCAAACCCCTCGTCTGCCACGGCCCAGGACAACCTGCAGTCCGGATCTTCATCTTCGTCATCATCTTCGTCACGGAAGCCTCTGCCCTCCTCAGACGACGGGAAGCACGGTGGCTCCGCAGCGGCCGCCGCCACCACCCCCGTCACCACAACCACCACCACCTCAGCAGCCAACAAAGAATCACAACAGCAGCAGCAGCAGAGTCAAGCTAGCGCATCAGCAACACCTGCCCCTTCTGCAAACCCTGCAGCTTCTTCGCAGACATCCAAGAAGCGCAAGGCCGGAAACCCAGGCAGCTCATCAGCTCTGAACCAGCAGGCCGCCCCGGCGAGTTCAGGATCGTCGGGGGCTGCTCACAGAAAGTCGCTTGGTGGTGGCGGCGGTGCTGGTGGCGCCAGCGGTTATGCCGAGACAAACATGATGAGTTTCGAGGAGTGCCAAGGCAGGCCCAAGAACAAGACGCTCACAGCGGATGATGGGACCATCCTGGCAGTAAATGGTAAGTGAGATGCCTACTGTCACCCCTTTTCGAAGCAGCACAGGCTGATGCATCCAAACAGACCACGTCTACCTGATCTGCGAGCCGCCTGGTGAGCCATATTACATTGCGCGGATCATGGAGTTTTTGCACTCCAAGAATGATGCAACGCGCCCGGTGGACTCTGTCAGGGTCAATTGGTTTTACCGACCAAAAGACATTGGGCGCAAGGCCCAGGATACGCGGATGCTGTTTGCGACGATGCACTCCGACATTTGCCCTCTAAACTCGCTGCGCGGCAAGTGCACGGTGAGGCACAAGGCAGAGATCCCCAATGCGGAAGCGTACCGCAGGAGCCCAGACTGTTTCTGGTGGGACAAGATGTACGACCGCTACATCCAAAAGAACTACGACGCAATCCCCACCTCGCAAATCATCAACGTGCCCGAGCGGGTCAAGAAGGTGCTGGACGAGCGCTGGAAATACATCCTGGTGGAACAGGGTCGTGGAAAGGAACTTACCAGCGCCGTGAAGTCATGCAAGCGATGCAGCGGCTACTGTGCAAGGTACGTACCCTCCCCAGCAGTCAGGTGTTCGGGTGGACAGCGTCACCATAGCCACCGTCCTAAACAACCCCCCACCCCTAATGCCTCCTTCACTCTCTTGTTCCCTTTCCCCGGCAGCCCTTGTTCAGCAATGCGCAGTCGGTCCTTGAGCAGGCGAGGCAGGCTAGCAAGGCCCCAGCGGGCCCGAGAAAAACCCAGCTGTCACCCTCGTTCCCTGCTGGCAGACACATGAATCCACGCTAGGACCCTTTTGGGGCTGCCCGTCCGCCCCCACCACATGCGCTAACCACTTTGGGTAGTGCTGATTCGGTTGACTGCGGGTTCTGTAAGAACACCTACCACATGCAATGCGTCCGGCCGCCGTTGCAGAAGAAGCCCGCTCGCGGCTTTGGCTGGGCTTGCGGGCCCTGCAACCTGGCCCAGGAGAGGAAGCTTGAGGCTCTCAACGCACCCCATCTCCATCATGACTCCGCCGGCCATGTCAGCGCCGAGGACGAAGAACTGCTCGAGGAGGAGGAGGAGGAGGACCCTGTGCAGGCGAACACGAACCGCACAAGCCCCGACGTGGAGCACGACCACCCACCCCCAACTCAGGAGCAGATCTACCAGGCTAGCCTCTGGCCATTCAGGTATCTCGGCATGCACTGTAAGTTAGAAGATGCTCTGGACTACGACGACCGCATCTACCCCCGTGCCAGTTCCAGGCTGGGGCCTCGGCATCAGGCCACTGTTGGAAACTGGCCAGGCCGGCCCGTGGAGTTCGTTAAGACCCTGGAGATCAAAAAGACTGGTCGCAAGGATGGCCGTCACTCCAAGGAGATCCAGGCTCTGCTTGAGAAGGAGAAGCGGGAGCGTGAAACGCGGCCCAAATGGGTGCAAGACGAACCATTCTCCGGCTATGTTCCACGTGGGCTCGATGTCGACGAGGATGACCCAAACTCGACATCGACGTGTCTCTGGAAGCCTGCCGAGGACGTAGATGGAGAGCCCGTCAAAGACGCTGACAACGACTTGATCATCTCCGAAGCTGGGATCGACGACTACATGGACAGGGCCAGATCTATGACGAAGGAACTCGGCCTGCCCGACCGGAGTACGAATCTGGAGGATATTGCCAGAGATCTTCTATACAAGAATAATTACAACGCAGAGGAGGCACTCCGACAACTTGCCAAGACGGACAAATCGCTCTTCAAAGAACCCGATTTGACCGCGACGGAGCAGAAGAAATTCGAGGAGGCTGTGGGAAGGTTCGGCTCTGAGCTCCAGAGCGTCAGAAGACACGTCAAATCGGTGCCCCACAAGTGGATCGTTCGCCATTACTATAAATGGAAGAAGACGGCACAGGGCAAGAAAATCTGGGGAAATCACCCGCAGCGGAAGGGGAAGAAGGAGATCAAGCGTGCGCAAGCAGAGGCCAGCAAGGCCGCGGACGAGGTAGCGGATGACCACGATGATTCGGCTTTTGACACCGTCAAGGCAAAAGACCGGAAGAAGAACTTCATGTGCAAGTTCTGCAACACCAGGACATCACGACAGTGGCGGCGCGCTCCAAATGTTTCATCCGCCGTGGTCATCGAAAATGGTGGCAAGAACAAGGACAAAGGCACACCATTCGTTGTGGCTCTTTGTCGGAGGTGTGCTGAGCTCTGGCGGCGCTATGCCATTCAGTGGGAGGATCTGGACGAGGCGGCCAAGAAGCTCGCTGGATCCGGCGCCCGATCATTGAAGAAGAAGATCGACGAGGAGCTATACAAGGAGCTGCAGGCAGCTGACGAGCGGATGAGGGCAACCAAGTATAGATCACCCGAACCTTCAGTACCCCCACCAAACGCAGCGGCAGCCTCCGCGACCCAAACAACAGGACCCCAGGAGCCGCCTCGCAAGAAGCTCAAGTCCGAGCGAGACCCGGAGCCCGCGCTGCTGGAGACAGGAGGCATGGGCAGTGCTGCCGTGACCAAGAAGAAGGAGAAGGAGAAGCCGATTGAGAAGCCCGCCCCCCCGCCTCCGCCGCCGATGCCCAAGCCCAAGACGATGCCCTGCAGTATCTGTCGCCAACTCGAGCCTCTGGGAGACCAGCACCTGTCATGTAGGGAGTGTCGGATGACGGTGCACCGCAACTGCTACGGCGTGATTGACAACCGGCAAAACGGAAGATGGATCTGCGACATGTGCTCAAACGACAAGAACCCGCAAATCTCCCTGGTAAGGACATGTATTGCTCCCCTCCCCACCGAGCAGAAGCTAACTGATGCATGCAGCATTACAAGTGTGTGCTTTGCCCTGTCGAAAGAACCGAGCATGACTTTGTGGAGCCTCCAAAGATATCTCACAAGAAGAAATCCGAAAAGGAGCGCGAGCGCGAACGACTGGAGAAGGAGTCTGCTCAGAAGGCAGCCGATTTCTACCGAAAACTCCAGGAGGAACTCGGCCGACCGGTAGACCCCAGGGAACCGCTGAAGAGGACAGCAGACAACAATTGGGTCCACGTAACCTGCGCCGTCTTCACCCCCGAGGTGAAATTCGCAAACGCCAAGGCCCTCGAGCCCAGCGAGGGCATTCCCTCAATTCCCCGGTCGCGTTATCAAGAAGTGTGTAAAGTCTGCAAGCAGCAGGGCGGCGCTTGTGTACCATGCCACAATCCAACTTGTCGGACGACATTCCATGTAGAGTGTGCCTACCAACAGGGTTATGCTGTCGGGTTCGATATCACTCCCGTCAAGGGGTCACGTCGGGACCAGCACAACATTGTCAGCATTGGCTCTGAAAGTGGGACTATGACAGCGGCAATCTGGTGTAAAGACCACGTGCCAAAGAGCGTCATTCACCACATCGAAGACGTGGTCGATGAGTCCGGCTTGAATGCGCTGCAGCTCTATGTGCGGAACTTCAAGCAGGCTGATCTGGCGCTGTCAGGCTGTGCTCGCAAGGCCAACCTCATCCCGGCGGCTGCGAGGCCGGTCACTGCTGCAACGACCACGCCAATCAACCGCAGGGCCTCCACCACCACGCTTGTGCCTGCAACGTCGCCAGTTCAGGTCAACGGGGCGTTCAAGGAGGAGGTGCCTTACATCATGCAGCCAGCTGGAAAGGTCTGTATTACTTGCGGCACCGACGTCAGCCCCAAATGGCATTCGATCGACGCGTCGCAGGGACTGCTCCTGGTTAATGGCCATAGTGGCAGCTTGGGCGAGGAGGCTCAAAAGTTTGTGGCACAGCGCAACTATCAATGTCACAAGTGCAAGAAGGCCAATCGACGTGTCGAGCCTCAGCCAGTCGTCAAGCAGGAGGCATCTCCCCCACCTGTCGAGGCCGTGAGGTCGCCTCCCCCTACAATCCAGGCCACCGCGAGTCCACAAAACTTGATGAGCGTCAGGAATATTGCGCCGCAACCATGGGATCGCCCTCCTCGCCAGACCTCGTCGGATGCCCCGGCAACACAACCTCCCCCGATAGCTGCAACGAGCCACGGGCCTGCTTTCGGCCCCCCTCCTGGGCCGCTTTCTGTGCAAGCCCCGGCTCCCATTGCTGCCCCCATCGCGGCACCCATGGTGCAGGCTCCCCAACAACATACACAGCCGCCGCCGCCGTTGGCGCAGCCAATCGCTGCCCCGCCGCTGCAATCTGCCTTGCCACCGCGAGGCCCTCCTTCACATCAATATCCACCACCTCACACACCGCCGTATGGTGAATGGCGTCGACCATCATCGCAGCACGGGTCTCATCCTCCTCCGCCGCCGCCGCCGTCCCAGCCACACCACATGAACGGGGCGCATACGCAAATACCACCGAGCACGGTGCCACCGCTGGCCCCGCCTAATCATCTGCGACCGCCGCCACTGTCAGGCATCCCCCCGCCCCCGCCACCTCTGCAGAACAGCCATGCTCTTGGCCACCATTACGGTCCCCAGCCGGCAGCTAACGGTATGCCGCCGTCGCCGAGGGGCATGGGAGGGCCACCGCCTCTGACGAATGGGGGCCCCTACTTGCCTCAGCACCATCAGCCCCACTCGGTCCATCACCAGCCTCCTCCACCTCCTCATCACCTTACAAATGGCGGGCCTCCGCCGCGTGCAGCAGAACACCCGTTCACTCATGGTCTCCATCCCCAAAGATCCCCATTCTCAACGCCTCACGGCAGCCCTCCCGTCACGAGGGATACCGTCATGGCCGGCCGGGAGACAAGCATGCCACCGCGGGCACCAGATAACCGACAGCCCAGTGGAGCATCCGCAAGTCCATCATTGCGAAATCTGCTACACTAAGAGTCCAACGATCCGATTGAGTCATGTCGAGGCTATCTGGTAGGCTAGCCACCTTCAGGAGTGAACTCATCGAGGCAACTCACCAACCGGTCGAAGCAAAAAAGAGAGAAAAAATAGACAACACACCTGGAGCCACAATCCTTCAGCAGCGAATGAGAACTTGGCCTACGTCAGGCTTTTCACGTCTTAATCACAACAAGCGCTGCTTATTTTTGTCGTCTTGTATGCCAGAAGAGGTTTCACAGGTCGCGTGTAGAATTATTGTATCCCAATGAGGGTATTTTTAGATACTGGTCAAGTTCGTCGGCCGAAGACGGAGAGGCTGGAAGCAGACGGATTCGAATGAATGAATCGGTCGTACTACCAGGAGGAATGACGTCGAGAGGACCAATGTAGGCATTGCCTCAAGATGGCATAGAAAGGCGCCGTCAGGGCTTCAGGCCTGGACCGGCAACAATTGAGAAATACTTCAAAATTATGCATCCTATGCATGACCTGTGATATGTTCGTACTCGACGCCAAACCTGAGTCCACGAATCACTCTTTGGAATACACCCTTTCCTCCACACCGATATCCTCGTTCCTACCACAGACAATTTCAATTAGCCAATTCATTGTCATCTGTAGTAGCACAAATGAGGCGGCCAAGGGAGTGTACAGAGCCAGTCTCAAGTAAGGGAACTCCTCAATACGCCCTTTAGAGACAGGCGTAGGTCCTTTCTTTGGGTTTGGGCAATAATGGATGAAGAGGACGGACAGGAACCGGCCAAGGCGTGAGGACCACAAAAAAAAGGAAGTCTTACCATAACTCGGGCTTCTCGGCGATAAAGGTGTCCATCAACTCCTTGCAGCGCGCATCGCCAACGACCACGACCTCGACGCCGCGCGAGCGGAGGTAGGCCTCGCCGCCGAGGAAGTTTGCGTTCTCGCCGATGACGACGCGGGCGATGCCGTAGAGGAGGCAGGCGCCCGTGCACATGTCGCACGGCGAGAGGGTCGTGTACATGGTACTGCCCTGGTAGGCCCTCGCGGGGAGGCGGCCTGAGTTGTAGAGGGCCGAGGTTTCACCCTATATTATATGTTTTTGAGTTGTGAGTTGATGCTGGCCAATGCTCAGGTGGTCTAGTACCGGGAGGTTTGTGTGCTGCCCAGGTGGCGCTTCGACTTACATGGTGGACTGTAACTTGGTCAGTTCTTGTTAAATACAAATTGAAACCCCAACTTTTGTAGTCTAGCGATAGAATGAAAAAGAATTTATAATATGGGTTCAGAATTTTTTCTTCTTCTTTCTCTTGTCTATTGCATGTCTACGCGAAGACTTCTTCTCTCAAGGTGTTTCTTCTTGCTTCTATGAGAGAATGACCAAACTTACTCGCCGAGCCTAGTTGGACTCTCATATTGTGGCCTCGCCCAAGGAGCTTGCCATCTTTTGACACCAGTGCGGCGCCAATCTGTGTATCACCGAGTAGCAGTCAGTAAAAAAACCCAGGATCTTAAGAACGTTGCAATTTAGAAGGCGGGCGTGTGTGTATAAAGAACGCCATTTCGGGCGCCATCTGCCGGTCATTCATACCGGGATTCCGCCCTCCGAGTAGGACTGCTTGGCCTCCTCGAATGCGATGTCCAGACCTTTCGAATCGTCCATTTTTGGTGGCTGTGGTTTGATAAATGGATTGTTTGGTTAGCAGAAAGTTGACGAGGTGGGTAGATTTCTAGAAAGTCTCTCAACGCTGATGGAAAGCCCCTCCCAGGGCCGATCCCCACCATTGCCCGATGTTATCGTTCATCTGCTGATAAGGCGGTAGACACTATCCTGACGTTGGTCGATTACATATATGAACGTGAAGATCCGTTTAAAATTGAGTTCTTGTTGGGCCCTCCTCACATATTGTTTGTTCACAGTACAATTTGGTTCATCCTGTATGTATGTAGGTATGGGATTGCTGGTCTCTTTCTACATCCACAGTGCGGCATCTGGCCGCTCATCTCCAGTCAGCTGGGGCAATTCGAGATGGACTGACACTTGCTGCGATCCTGGATCAGGACTGCCTCCGTAGTCTCAAGTTCGGTGGGATATTTTCGTCACTACGACAAGGAGTTATTGCGCGGTTATCCTACAGGAATTCTCTCATTCCGCATCATATGCCACCATCTTGTCGCCCTCCACATCTCATCTTCCCAGCCGCCTACCAAGAAGTGATATTTCCTTAAAAACCACGGCTTCGGCTCCCAGCTTCTCATGTCCCATGGCCTGGCCGCCTCCATTCCCCGGCTGTTCCCCTGCGATCCCCAGACGATGAGCCCCTCATTGCTGCAGATATCACGGCACAGCTCGTCCTCGTCGAGCAGGGGCGGCTCTTGAGCGATAGCCCTGAGCGCACGGTCCCGGAACGATGGGAAGGGTATGACGTCCAGGTAGACGTGATGCTCGACGGTGATCTGGACGTCGACCGGCTGGAGGTCCCTGGGCGCGCCCGAGAACTTGGACCGGATCTGCGATAGTTGCATCGACCCCTTGCTCGCGACCCAGTCCCTGTTGAAGGGGCTGGCGGCCTCGTCGGCAAAGATGGCCTCGGGCCCAGTCATGACGCCTATGGCAAGGGTGTTGTCCATGACCGCGGCAAAGAGCTGGCTCTGCTGCACGAATATCACCTGCTTGACGTCCGGTACCCGCAGATTCATCAGGCGCTGCATGAACTCCCCCAGGCTGTCCTCGCCAGGCAGTGAACAGGGTTTTGAGACTGCTGATCGTGGCGAAGGCACAATAGTCGAAGATATTTTTGACGAAAATGAAGGTGATTCTACTTGGGAGGGATCTGTTTTGGTATGGCTGCTCTTTCCGGACGTTGGAGACTCGAGGAAGAACAAGGGATGTTGCTGTCCTGGAGTGGTGAAGAAGATGTTCGCCTGGACAGATTTCATTGCCGCAGAGAAATCCCTATCCTGAAGGCTTTGGATAGGCTCGGGTGTTTCCTCAGTGCTGTGCCATTGCTCTCTGCCCATCTCTCCAAGCATGAATGGCTTGCTCGGGGCCAGAGCCGGAGCCTCGAGGTGCGTCTCGACAGCATCAGATACGCCATCTTGGTTCCCCACAAAGTCCCATACTGGATCGCTGCTTGGGATCGGCCACGATGCATCGAATGACAGACCATCCAAGGCTGAAGGCTCCAATGTGCCCAAGTCCTCACTCAGGGGATCCAACGCAGAGGTCTGCGCAAGCTGTGCCGCATCCTCCTCACCAGAGTCTGTCAAGCCTGACACAGGCTGCTCTTTTTCCAGCTGAGATGGAGCAGGCCCTGTCAAATTGTTCTCCTGCGACGATTTTGACAGTGCCTGGTCGACATCCTTCTGGAGAAGGTGGTCTAGCAAGGCCAGTCTCTGCTTCCTCCGTTCTCCTATGATGATAATATCAGCTCCTTGCCGGGCCTGACCAAATTGACGGTGAGTTCAAGGTGACCGACTGTAAATTCGAGAAGCATTCCTATTCTGCTCCTTTCTGACAGCACTGTTCCTCTTGGTTGCCGGTGGTGCTGAACGGGTCTCACCGCCTGCGGTGGCGTCTGGTGCCATTGGGATGGTGTGCTAGAAGCGTCCTTTTGATGACTGATCATGAGGCGTAAAGCCCCCTTACCACATGAGATCAATGGCAAACTTGAGAGTATTGACCAAGGCAATGGATAGCCCACTGGCAAGTACAGACAGGGTGCAGGACCACTTTAGACGTCCCCTCTTTGGGGAGCTCAGAAAAAGACATGTGATGGGTGAGACGGCCGAAGCCAGGGGCTAAGTCCGACGGGAAGGATTCACCCACTGCATGCTGACAATTCAAAGAGACTGATGTAATGCCTTTCTGCACACAGTGGGTTCAGACCAATGGGGAAGATTCCGATGCTGAGGGTATTTCAGGCGCTTCGTCTTCTTCAACGCCGGCAGAGGTCGAAATATGCCTTGCCAGCAGTCATCTCAGCATCATGTACTAACACCGTTGCACGACCGCAACCTCCAACAGTTGTTTTATGTCACACCAGAGTTCCTATAGCTTGTATAGATCTAGCCGTTGACTTCAGAGGGGTGTGAGATGTTCTCTAGTACTTCTATCTTGAGGTATCCATAAAGAGGTTATCCCCAAGGCCGTTGGAAAATAGGTGCAGTGGCTGCTTAGTTGGCACCCGAGCTGAGCTTTTTGCTGGTTCTTGGTCTCAGCCCACAGGTATGCCTGGTCACTGCACATGTGCAGATTCCTGTAGTCATTACAAGCAGAGTGTGCCTGTTTGCGTTGGCTCTGTGGACACTGGCCGCATGCAGGCCGTAGCAGGTAGGAAGGAGAGGCTTGCAGGCCTGGCCCGCTGGTCCCCTGATCTCAAGTGCTGGCTGGGCCTTGGGCCTTGGGAAAGTGGATCCAGGGTCCTTGCCTGGCCAGTGTGCAAGTTGCAATCCCACTGGACAGGTATTAAAGTACCTAGGTACTCGGTACATGCATGTGTGTACTTGGGTACCTCGATACCTATGTACCCAAGTACTTTTTTTCCCCGTGATTCATCCATCTTTCCTGTATTGTCACTGCATTCTGAAGCCATGTCAGTGTCTGGCAGATCATTGAATACACTGGCCCGTGAGATGTCCTGCCACATGCCTACGTAGTGTCAGCCTAGAGCTTATTCAATCAGGAGGACGAACTGTGCTAGGGTGATCTGTCAGAGTTCAAGTGCATGACCCCTGGGAGCTGAGAGTATGTACGGAGTACCGGGACACAGAATCGGTAGTGTGTTTCCCGGAAACGACGTCAGGGCGGCCATCCAGGCGGGACTGGGCCCTGCAGCCTGGCAGCAGTGAGTTCTGGAGGAGAAACCCCGAGCGCTGCGGGGCATCCCTGTCTGTTAGCAGCGACTGGGACTATTTTCAGGTCTGTGTAGTCTGCCCTGCCAGCCGGGCCACATCAAGCCGTCAGGGAAGGCACGCCCGGGGTGGCGCAGGTCTTCCACTAACAGATCGAGCAGCTTCTACGTCCTTCCATTCCATGGATTTTCGATGGGCGGGCTGACAATCCGGTTGGTTCTGCCTCTGCACCCGGCTCCCAATCTCAGCCTCCTCTTGCCGTTGCCGTGCTGCGAGTCTGTGGGTGTTCGTGCAAGCTAAATTCATTTCAGCGTCGCGGCCGCCTTGTCCATTGTCAACTACCCGATCACCACCACCACCACTTTTTTCCCCCTTGCACGCACCAGCAGCAAGTTAGTACTCTCTTGGGATTCGTCCCCTTCATCTGAAAATCCTCTTCCATTTCAGCCCTTGATACCCTTTCCTGTGTTCCTGGCCTTGTCTTGCAGGTCTGGTTATTGTCCCTCCGCTTCTGCGGCAACCCGCCAGCTCTCTCCGGCCCTTATCTCTTTCCTGTATGTCTCTTGATTTTGCCCAGTCTTCTCTTGCGCGACAACTATCACTACCTCTACATGCTTGTTCTACTTACCTCTGGAGTTGTGTGGCTTTGCGCTGACCGTCTGCTGAATCCATAGCCGACAACGAGCGAGAAATCTTTCCGGTCGCCCAACAAATACCCCCACATCTCCGTCTATCGTAATCCGACAATATGGTCCGCGAGACTGCTTTCTACGACCAGCTCGGGGTACGTTAAAGGGCTTAAAAAACACCGTGCTTTGTTCTGGCTTTTGCGCCTTGGACACAGGCTGACACTGCTGTTCAGGTCAAACCCACTGCTACCGAGGCAGAGCTCAAGAAGGCCTACAAGGTCAACGCACTCAAATACCACCCTGGTACGTAATATCTTCCGCTCAAGGCCTTCATATGGACTGCATTATCCTAACAATATACCAGACAAAAATGCCCACAACCCGGCTGCCGAGGAAAAGTTCAAAGAGATCTCCCACGCTTACGAGATCCTATCAGACCCCCAGAAGCGCCAGATCTACGACCAATATGGCGAGGCTGGCCTCGAGGGTGGCGCAGGCGGCGGCGGTGGCATGGCCGCCGAGGACCTGTTCGCTCAGTTCTTCGGCGGCGGCGGCGGCTTCGGCGGCGGTCTGGGAGGAATGTTCGGCGGCGGCGGCGGTATGCCCAACCGTGGCCCACCAAAGGCCCGCACAATCCACCACACTCACAAGGTCTCCCTCGAGGATATCTACCGCGGCAAGGTCTCCAAGCTCGCTCTCCAGCGCTCTATCATCTGCCCCAAGTGCGAGGGCCGTGGAGGCAAGGAGGGTGCTGTTCGCAAGTGTGCCGGCTGTGACGGCCACGGCATGAAGACCATGATGCGACAGATGGGTCCCATGATCCAGCGTTTCCAGACTGCCTGCCCTGACTGTAACGGAGAAGGCGAGATCATCAAGGATAAGGATCGATGCAAGCAGTGTAACGGCAAGAAGACCGTCGTCGACAGGAAGGTCCTGCACGTCAACGTCGACCGTGGTGTCAAGAGCGGTGCCCGCGTCGAGTTCCGCGGCGAGGGTGACCAAGCACCTGGAATCCTGGCCGGTGATGTCGTATTCGAGATCGAGCAGAAGCCTCACCCCCGTTTCACTCGCAGGGACGACGACCTGTTGTACAACTGCGAGATCGAGCTGGTTACAGCTCTGGCTGGAGGCACCATATACATCGAGCATCTGGACGACAGGTGGCTGAGCGTCGACATTTTGCCTGGCGAGGCCATCGCACCAAGTAAGTACCCAACTGATCTGTCGGTCTCTATCGTGGTGACAAACTGCTGACCTCATTTGCAGATGCCGTCAAGATGCTCCGTGGCCAAGGTATGCCGTCATACCGCCACCACGACCACGGAAACCTTTACATTCAGTTCAACGTCAAGTTCCCCGAGAAGGGCTGGATCGCCGACGACGAAGCTTTCGAGCAGCTCCGCAAGATTCTCCCCTCGCCCTCTGTTCAGAACGTCCCACCTGCTGAGGCCATGACCGAGCCAGCTGATCTGGAGGACCCAGACACCAACGCCGGAGCGAGAGCCTTCGGCGGCGGTGAGGGTATGGATGAGGAAGACGAAGACGGTCACCCACAGGCTGAGCGCGTCCAGTGCGCATCTCAGTAAGCGGTGGTGGACGTTGTGGTAGCTGCAACACACGTACGATGTCATACGCATGAGGCTGTGGGATCGGGCGGCGGCGAACCCATTTTCAGGGTCTTCCTTTCTGCAAGAAACCTTAGCTGTGGTTAGAGACGTGCCAGTAGAAGGGGCGGTGTACGGACTAGTTTACTGCCTTGGTGCGCTATGGCTTGCCGTCTACTTGCATACTGGAAGAAAGCGCTTTCATTGGGATTCTTGCGTTTCAGCACACGCGACGGTAAGATTCGATGCGGCGGCCGCGGCTGACTTGGGGGTGGACGTAATGAGGAATGCTAAGGGAGGAGGATAGATGACACCTCGTCTTCTGTCTCTCCTCAGTTACGTCGTGATGAAGCAAATCGTGGGCGTTTAGAGGGGCATAGACAGGCAACTGGGAGCTCATCAGCTCCTAGTGAAATCCGTATTAGGTTTTTTTGGCAATGGATGGTTCGCTTTGAACAGAGTCTCATGACCTGCTTTCCAGCTACAAGTGCCTCGACTACTCTGCTTCTGCCATACCCTCCTCAAAATCTGTCTTCCGCAGGTTTTCCGCATTGAACAGCAACGTCTGCAACTCCTCTTCTGCAAGATCTGTTTCATGCTCGCCAAAGTCTGGGACTTGACCGACCAGGCCATCAGTCACCTTGTAATCCTGTTCCTCGTGTACCACCCTCAGCAAAGACTTGCTTAAATCGTACTCTCCTCCGTGAGTCCTCGTAGGCTCAACCGCAACAACTAGTTTATCGCCATCCACAACTTCAATCTCGAGCGGGTTCCCCGGAAGGCTGATATTGCGCACATAGTCTAGGGTGCCAGTCGGTCTTAGAGTGAACAAGAATATCGCGGGCACGCTATACCGATCAGTCAATCCGCACATCACCACACATGAATCATGTATATGAAAAGGTCACACGTACCGCTCGCAGATCACCAGGATGGCGGCGCCCTGCTCCTCTCCCCCGGCCGGCCTCCCGGTCCAACACGACAACCCCGTGACGGCGAGCTTGCCAGCCCCGGGGACCACTTCCCGGACCGCGCTCAGCAGCGGCGCCCTGGCGAGCAGCCTGCCCTCGAGCCAGCTCCATACAAACAGGTCAGGGTCCCCGCCGCCGCTGACCAGAAGGTTGCCCATGCCGGCGGCGGCGTCGCCCTCGGGGATACACAGGCGGTTGACGAACTCGCCGTGGCCCATGCAAAACGCCTCGGTGACGTGCGCCTGCTCCACCGTTCCCCTGCTGACGCGGATGTGCTCGTCGCGGTCCGCGGTGACGATGTAGGGCCGGCCCTGCGCGTCGTGGCCCAGCGCCACCGCCGTCAGGAGGGAGACATGGCCCAGCAGGAGGGTGCGCTCAAAGAAGGGGACTTCGGCCTTCTGAGCGCCGGCACGGGCCTTGGCGCTCTTGGCCGTGATTTGCTGGTCTAGGAGGGCCATGCGGTTGCGCTTGGTATGGACGGTTAGCTCGTTGGCCTGTGACTTGAAGGGTTTGTCTTCTGCTGGTGCCGGGCTGGGGGAGGCGGTTGCGGGTGAGCCCTCCTTCTGCTTCTGTTCCGGGGCAGTGGCGGTGGGCGATGGGATCAAGGGCAACGAGTAGACGTCGCCAAACTTGTCTGCCGACAGGATTGTCTGGTTGTCGGGCATGATCACGAGGGAGCATGGGCGCTTGGGCATGATCCTACGGCCGTGTGAGTTTTATGCCTCCTTACAATCGCAGTTTCCCTTATTTGGCCTGAAGCTACGTACCTACGGCTGAGCAGGTTCAGGTTACCGAGGCCATCATGCTCGAACACCCAAATAGACTTGCACTGCGTGACTGCGACAAGGTGTCTCCTGTCGGCTGTAGCAGTCAGGATGATGACCATGGGCCGCTCCGACGGCTGGGATCTTGGCCCTGGACGAGGGTTGGCGACCTTGCCTCTCTTCCCATCTGGCGTGTCCTTGTTCTGGTCTCCTTGCGTCTCCCTAGTGTTGTCTCCTGCCTGGCCGTTCCCTGCTGGGGGCGCATTCGACTGGTTCTCCTTCTCCCCAGCGGCTGAGGTGGCGGCGTCAAGCTTTACACGCTTCGCAGGCGGGCCTTCATGGCCGTCTTGCGAGGGATTCGGCGTTGACTCCTCCGAAACACTGATTACCAGCCGGTCCTCTGGCCTGAGAGCACCCTTCTTCTCCAATGGATATCTCCAACTCGAAATGTGAGAGCCGTCTGTGAGTTTAAATGAGTGCAGGTTTCCGCCCCTTGCGGCGAACAGGACGTCGCCGCAGATCTGCACGCTGTGGAATGGCAGCTTCATGTTGGGCTCAATCTGCTCACAGATTTATGAACCTTTCCCCAATTCGAATGAGAGGTTTCAAAAACCCTCCAAAGCCAGCAAGAAAAAGTCAGTCGAGGCTGATGAGCCAGAGGTACGGGGTACCCATGAATGCATCCGCCATGGCCAAAAAAGTCCAGCCTGCGGCTTATCGATAAGGCCCTTCGGGAGACAGCCACAGTTCTGCACAGCCACACCGCTGCCGCCCCGAAAAATCACAACTGCTGTAACAAAATGAAAAACGAGCCGCCGCTGTGTGAACTCTCGCCTTTCCACCCCTCCACCGACACACGTCAAGTCAACCTCGACTCGATCACCACCATTCCCAACCCGTTTTAATTTGCCCTTAAAAACTCCTATCTTCAAGCTTCGACAGCAAAAGAAGAAATGGGGGGCAAATCCGCTAACAAGGCCGGCTACTTCGACAAGCTCAAGGGCTTGCTCGAGGAGTACAAGTCCATCTTCATCGTCGGCGTCGACAATGTCTCGTCTCAGCAGATGCACGAGATCCGTCACGCCCTCCGTGGCGATGCCGTTGTCCTGATGGGCAAGAACACCATGGTACGTGATTGCGACAGCACATCATCGCAGGCGGGCACAGATGTCTGACCAAGCTTCGATTGGATTAGGTTCGCCGTGCCCTCAAGACCTTCATCGCCGACTCCCCCGAGTACGAGCGTCTCCTGCCTTTCGTCAAGGGCAACGTTGGATTCGTCTTCACCAACAGCGACCTGAAGAGCATCCGCGACAAGATCCTGGAGAACAAGGTCGCCGCCCCCGCCCGTGCCGGTGCTCTCGCCCCCGCCGATGTGTGGGTCCCCGCTGGCAACACCGGCATGGAGCCCGGCAAGACCTCTTTCTTCCAGGCCCTCGGTGTCCCCACCAAGATCGCCCGTGGTACCATTGAAATCACGGCCGACCTGAAGCTCGTTGAGGCTGGCTCCAAGGTCGGTCCCTCCGAGGCCACCCTGCTCAACCTGCTCAACATCTCCCCCTTCACCTACGGTCTGGCCATCGAGCAGGTCTACGACCAGGGCAACACCTTCCCCCCCGAGGTCCTCGACGTCGGCGAGGAGCAGCTCCTCAAGACCTTCGGCAGCGCCATCTCCACCATTGCCTCCGTGTCTCTGGCCATCGGCTACCCCACCCTGCCCTCGGTCATGCACTCCTTCGTCAACGGCTACAAGAACGTTGTCTCCGTCGCCCTTGGAACCGAGTTCTCCTGGCCCGAGATCGACGAGCTCAAGGACCGCATCGCCAACCCCGATGCTTACGCCGCTGCTGCCCCCGCCGCCGGCGCTGCCGACTCTGGCGCCGCCGCTCCTGCTGCTGAGGAGAAGAAGGAGGAGGAAGAGGAGGAGGAGGATGACGACATGGGCTTCGGTCTCTTCGACTAAGCGGTGTGTCTTTACGCCTCTCGACATTTGATGACACGTACGATCGATGAAATAAACGGCTTCTCGTGATGGGGAGCCGACTTGAGCCGGTTCTCTGCGGGACATTTGAAAACGGGTAAATTGGTTCGTCGGATTAGGGACCATCTCATGGGATAAAACCCTTTTGGTAGCGAACAACGACGGATCCTTTGCTCCCAACCCATGTGCTTCATGGAACTGCACTGTGACAGGCCAAATGCCGTTGCGTGCCATCAACCCAACTGGTAAGTTTAGAATCCTATTTCCTTACTCGAAGCGAAGGCTTGTCGAAGATTAAAAAAAACTACTCAAGAGCTTTTTAACCCTGAATCTTTCTGATGACCTCATCACCACCCAATGAGACTCGCCTTCATGCTTCATTTTTTTGTACAAGATATCTATTTGTTCTCTCAATCGGGGTATCTTTACTAACAAAATCAAAGATGTACAGGTGGTTTTTCATGTTCGACTGGATGTAAAAGTCTTGACCTCTCCCGTCGGCTCTGAACTTTAGCTCTGGCCAGACATGTGTGCGCTCATATTCCTGTAATCCTCTCACTCACCACCCTCCCCTGCTGGGGTACGAGTATTGCCCTAGCCGTGTGTAGAGCCGCCTCGGGCAGACCCGCTAGTCGCGCGACCTTGAGCGCATGACTCTGGCGGTTGAGGCCCTTGCGTAGCTTGTGAACGTAGACGAACCCTCCATGTTCATCCTCAGCCACATCCGTGCAGTACATCTCCACCGCGCCCGCGTCCCCTCCGTCCTCGACCCGCATCGCATGGTCAGCCACCAAGTCCGCAACGCCGTGGAAGTGCGTCGCGAACAGCGTCCTGCACTTATTGGTATGTACGAGGTGGTGGAGACACGCAAAGGCCACCGCGCAACCGTCCTCGGGTGTCGTGCCCCTGCCGATCTCGTCCATGATGACGAAGGAACGCGGCGTGGCCTGCCGGAGTATGGTCGCCGTCTCGAGCATCTCTACCATGAAGGTGCTCTGGTCCCCGTAGAGGTTGTCTGCCGACCCCACGCGGCTGAACATGGCGTCCACGATGCCAATCTCGGCGTACGAGGCTGGCACATAGCAGCCTATTTGCGCGAGGACCGTGATGAGCGCGTTCTGGCGGAGGAACGTCGATTTGCCAGCCATGTTTGGCCCGGTGATGAGCCAGACCCGGCCGTGGTGGCCGGTGGTGCCCCTGCCGCCACCGGCCCCGACGAAGCAGTCATTGCTCTCGAATGTTCTGCCTGCCTCCCGCAGCCCGCCCTCAACGGTGGGGTGCCTGCCACCAACGATAACGTGCCCCGTGCCATTGTTCAGCACCGGGCGGACGAGGTTCTGCTCCGTCGCCAGGCGCGCAAACGACGTTGCGATGTCCAGCTCATCCAGCACGCGCGCGTTTCCGCGCAGCCTGACAATATTGAGTACCGCTTGCTGCCTAAGGCCCTGGAAAACGCGCTGCTCCTCGGCGCGGATCTGGAACCGCGCTTGGTCCAGCCGCCGGCCGAGCTCGGTCCACTCGGGCAGGTGGAAGGAGCGCGATGACTGCGTCTGCCGGCCCAGCAGCCCGGGGATGTCGGCGATGGCAGACGACGCCGATGTCAGGTCCTTCTTCCCCTTGATATGACAGATGTGGCCAAGGCCAGGAGTCCACTTCAGTGTCAGCGATTGTGCGCTGAGCCGTTCGCGCAAGCTTGTCGTAAGACGTTCCTTTTCGTCAAGGAGGGCGTCGAGTTCGGAGTGAAGTTTCTTGAGGTGTCTGCTGGCGTTTGGCTTCATAATCCAGACCTCGTTGTCCTCGCCGTAGTAATTCTGAAGTGAAACCGGCTTGCGCCTTTTAGCCGATTTTGGGAGCAGTGACGAGTCCTCGGCCGAGCCTTCATTTTCTACAATTTCCTGAGCCAGTGCGATCATGTTCCCAGCCTCGCTATCTTCAATCTGATGCTGCTGCACGATGCCCTCTTCGTCGATCGCCTCGCGAATCCGGCGGGCTAGCTTGCGGGGGGTTTCAAGGTCGATGCGGTCTGTCATTTGTTTTAAAGATTCTTTCGCTGCGGCCGATTCAACATCAGTAGCAGAAACAGTTCCCAGGAGCATAGAGACAATGTCTTCCGTAGCTTTAATTGTGCTCGCGAGGTCAAGGAGATCATCGGCATCTCCCCGACCGAGCGCAAATTTCTGGACAAGCCTCTGGGAGTCATGGCTTCTTCGTAACAGTAGGGTGATACCTTCGCGTAGCGTCTCGTCGGCAATAAAACAAGCTACAAGATCCTGACGGAATCTGATAACATCCAAGGACGTCGAAGGGGCGCTGAGCCACTCATTAAGAAGCCTGGCACCGCTCTTTGTGACTGTACGTCTGATGGCATGAAGCAGGCTGCCCCGGAATGTGCCGTCACGCATGGTCTGCTTGATCTCAAGGGACCGCATGCTATTCCTATCAATGTTCATCACCTGCACGGTCTCGTGACGTAGCGGGGGCTGGAGCTTCATGCTAATGCCCTGCAGGCGATCCTTGACATAGTGCAGTAATAAGCTGCCCGCTCTGATCTCACTATCTGTGAACGACTGCAGAGTGTGGGGTGGTATGTCAGACTCAAGCATTGGTGCCCAGTCAGAGATAGTCATCAGCTCGCCCCCGGGAGCATATGTTACGAGCTGTCTCTCCTCGGCGAGAATTGAGAAAATAGCATGACCAGTGCGTGATTGGAGAGCATCATCCAACACGACTTCCCTCGGGCAGATGCGCGAGAGCATGGATCCTAGCAAGGTCATCGTGGTGGCCTCCGTGAAGAAATGGCCTGTCGACAGGTCCAACCACGCCAGCCCGATTGGGGCGCTCGCGGCAGCATCAGCAGACGCAACTCCTCGGCCGCCATCGAGTGACAGTGTTTCAAGAGCCGCAGATGCCGAAGGCTGCGGAAGATTATTCCCAGACAGGTGAATTGCCATGACATAGTTGTTGGCATAGGGATCCATGAACTGCTCGTCGATGAGAGTGCCAGGGGTGATGATGCGGGCAACCTTACGGTCGTGCATCAAACCACCCGACTTTGCCTGGTCTGGGGCGGCATTTGGGAACTCCTCGGCAACGGCCACATATCGATTCAAGTCTTGAACCAAGATCTTGAGGAAACGGTCTAGCTGGAAGAAAGGGAATCCGGCCTAGTGTGGAAGACAAAACCATTAGAATCCGAGAAGATGGTGCCAGGTCCGCGCAGAAACGTACGACGTCTGACCCGAAAGGGCGGGCGAGAGGGGAGGAGAGGGGACACGGCCGGGCTGAGAATTACCATTGGCACGGGCCCGGCAGCCGTCTTCTTCTGGGCGACCTTGAGGTTCAAGAGCGGGCCGTATTCGTCCGCGTGTTCAAAGTACAGCTCGTAGAACCCACCGACACGTGTCAATAGGACGCAGTTGTCAAACTTCTGCATGTTGCGGCGCGCCTGTAACACCACGGTCGGGTATGAGGGAGCAGCCGGGGCCGCCTGCTCGTCGGCAGGGCTGGCAGGCAGGGAGTCTGCGCGGACGAGCCCCTGGGGAAGATCATCGAGGCTGACAACAGTCCTGGTCCTCTTGCCCCGGATTTGAATGTGGGTGTGGGTGTGGGGGAAATCACGCGGTTGTACATGCGCCCGAGTCGGGATGCCATGGCATCGACTGCTGAGCCTGCATCGTAAGGTAACCGTCGGAGCTGCCCATGTTCCCAATAGGTGAGAGTGAAATCTCCGTTTGTGGAATGTTGCCCTCGACGAGCGAGCGGCCGGACCTAGGAGTGAGGGCAGCATCAATACTCCGTGCTGATTGTCGCTTCTGAACGTCCTTCACGTGCCCATCTCCAGTACAGATCGAATATGCTTGGTAATTGTGACTGACATGGGCGGAGGCGTGAAATCAGTGGCAATGGACGAGCCCGCTGGCGTGAGGGTGGCAGTCGAAAGTGGACTGACTTCTGTGGTGTTGTTTGGTTGTGTTGGTGAAGTGAAGGAGTGCTCCGTAGGGGTAGGGGTAGGGGTAGGGGTAGGGGTAGGGGTAGGGTCCAGAGCGCAAACACCACCCCCAATCTCACCCCCGACCCCAACCTCGTGTAATCCCTATCTAGGCGAGACGGATCACCAACCCATGCCGCCTCCACTCGTCAAATCTTCAACAATCTTGGCAAAACTCGGCTTTCAACTTCTTAAGCTTAAGCCCGTTTAGCTCATCGGTAGAGCGCATCACTAGTAATGATGAGGTGACTGGTTCGATTCCAGTAATGGGCATTACCTGATTCGGCACCTCACCAGGCGCCAGCGTCAAATTTTGTCGATCTTTTTGACTTTTTGCATACGAGCAGCAGATTTGACCTCGGCTGGCTCGACTGCTTGCTCACGGTGCTGCTGGTCCCTTAGATCTCGGGGGCTGACTGTTGACTGATGGTCTGCAGGATGTTGTGCACCTGTCGCTCTACTCTTCACCTTCACCTATATCATGGACCCTGGCACCATGTCCCACCACATTTATTGGCACGCGGCAGATAAATGCAGGCATGGCTGGTGAACGGTACATACACTCTACGGAGTACATCAAGTATCATGCAGGTGTGGCATGAACTGCGGCTAGCGATGAATTCGGCCTCGCAGCCTCGGCGGAGTCGGCAGTCGGAAGGCAATTTTCACTTGTGGATCACCGCCTCAGCCCCTTCAAGCATCGAGAATCGTGAATCGCACATCCGCGATCGCATGGGCGAAATACACATGTCAGGTTGCCGGGTTGCCAGGTTGCCAGGTTGTGTGAACAGGACCCTGGTTGCTTGGGTTCGACACGACCTCAGTGCCTGTCCTCCACCTCGGGCCGCGGACCCGCTCGTCCCTGGGGTCGCAACACCACAACCACCAGCCATGCCACAACCGTGATATGGATTGGTTGATCATCGAGATCACTGCAAAATGACACGACAACACGCTCACTCGGCCGGCCAGCCAGCCAGCCAGCCAAGCTACCCGGTCAGGAACAAGCAACCGATCGACAGCCTGTCCAACATGCCACGCATGATCTGCATCTGGCAGTGGCCATCTCGCGTTGGACCAATATCGGGCAATGAACAGCGGCCACGAAGTAAACTCGGGCACGCACCCTGCATTTGTTTTGTTGTTGGTTTTTCCGCCCGGCCTCTCACCCCGCTCTCTACCTCGGCCTCTCACATTCTGTGTGCGAGCGCATTCGTTTTTTCTTTTTTTTTTTTTTCCCACCTCGCGTGTGTGCGACCGCGGCGCTGGGTCCGACAGGCGGAAGGGCCTCGGGCCCGCGATTTTGAGTTCGGGCAGACGTGTGGTTTGCGCCCCGGATCACTTCCCAAAGAGATGAACTGGAGTCAGGACTGGGCTGATGGTGGCATAAGCTTGACCAAATCAAATCAAAGCAAATCAAAGCAGGTGCAGCGCAGTGCAGGCCAACGGCACATGGCAGCTGGGCAAGGGGAGCGATGGGGCCAAGGGCAGGGCGCACCGAGGACCCTTGTGCAGCAGCCGTCGGCATCGACCGATGCCCGCATTTCTTTCATCACTTCTCGTTCGATGTTTATCAGCTTGGCCCGCTTCTCGCTCACAACTGTCCTAATATCCACGACATAGTCGAAAGACGTCTGCCCGTCCTCTGCAGAGCCCTCCCCTTCCTCTGCCGTTTCTCCAGCGGGGTTCATCCGCCGTCAGCAGCTCCTCGACGATGCGTTCGCCCTTGGGCCCTGCTTCCCGCCAGTGCCGGCTCGCCCTGGCGCCGTTATGGGAGCCTCTCGGTCTGCCACAGTCCTGGTCCCACCGTCCCATCTCGCCCGTCAGGCTGATGATCCCCTTGCCGCCGTTGCCCCATGGGCCCATTGCGAGCTAGATTTGGACCAGCCCATCTTCTCCGCGAAATACCAAACAGCAGGTACTGACGTCTGCACGCTGCCTGGCAATCCCACGCTGGCCGATGCCCTGCCCATTCCCCAGTCTGACTGCCTGCAGCCGTAGGGCCGTGGTCCTTCCTGGGCCCCCTGAGCGGCGTGGATGCGAGTGCACTCATGTTTTGTCCCATCTGCTCACTTCTCTATCTCTGCGTGTTGTATTTATTCAACCCGTCCCCTAGTCTCCACCGTCAGCCTCCGGGGTGCAGGAGTTCCTGTCCCCCTTCCCTCTCGATATCTACCTGTCCAACCCATCGCACTGCTCAGATATTCCTGCCTGCTCCGCTCCTCAAGTTTTATACTTGGCTCTCCCGGCAGGTTTCATTGGAAACAAGATCTATTCTTTGCCTCATACAAGGCTGCAGACCGACAGGGACCTGGTCACCTGCAAGTGTAAACCCGCGAAATCGGCCGTGGCAGTGGCCCCAGAAACGTCGATTATCACGCCACATCTGTCACCGAATTTCTCCTGCTGGGTGTAACCGACAACAACCATGGATGCCTCGACATTCCCTATGATGCTGAACCTTTCCTCCCAAATTCCCTTACCACTCCCACCAGACCACAAGTCTTTCTTCAAACACGGCCCGAGTCACGCCCCTGCAGCAATCCCAGGTCTCACGCACAACCTGACGAACCCCTCGCTTCTCAAAACATTTGCCAGGGAGATGAATGGACCAATGCTCAAGAAGGAACCCTCGCTCCTAGAGAAGCACTTCCAAGAGCAACAACAGCACCGCCTGAACCTGAAGAAGAAGAGTGAGGAGCAAGCGGAGAAAGAGCAACAAGAACAACAGCCACATCCACAACCACAACCACAACCACAATCGCAGCAGCAGCAGCAGCAGCAGTCATTATCACAAGAGTCTGCTAGGTCATCGTCCACGCCATCTAGGAGCGAATCTAGCGCAGAAACAAAGGTCCCACCTCCATCTGCCTCGCCAGACACCGCCGCCCAACACCTATTTGATCTCGGCGGCGATCACCCAGCCTTTGCTGACCCCAAATACGTCCAGATGGTCTCCCGGATGGCAGCCTTCTACCAGCAGAGATGCCAGGCGATTTTGAACTACCAACAACAGCGGTGCCAGACCTGGGCTACCGGTCACAGGCAGAAGTGCCAGGAGATGATGCAGTCTGCCATGCTCGTCGTGGCATGGTACATCCGGGACCGGATCGGGAGGAGGAGGCGCAAGAGCAAGCGGGCTTTCCGCCGTGGCCTGCGCGAGAAAAACACCGCCGCCGCCTTGAGGCGGGCACCAAAGGGTGAGGTTGTCCGCAAGTGGGTTATGGATATCCCGGACGCCGCCCTGTCGCCCAACAACGGGATGCGGGATGACGCGAACCTGGATATGGAAGAGAGGGAATTCGACATTGAGAAAGAGGTCACGCCCGACAAGGACAGTCAGCTGTTCTCTGTCGCGGATCAGATGATCAAGTCTCAGCTGGCCAAGATCGACATCCCGCTGCTGGGGGCGCTGAATCTGGACGACAGCGACAGCGATACTGATGACGATGACGACGACATGGGACGCTTCCGTTATGCGCCCGAGGACTATGAACTAGAGGATGACGGAGAGGATGATGGGGACTATGACGACGACGACGACATCGACTATGAAGACGAAACCCAGGAGCCTACTGAGGACGAGATCTCCCAGGAGGCACTCAACGGGACCGGCAAGGGGTCGCTAAAGAGGAAGCGCAGCGACAGTGAAAGCGACATGGAACAAGTTGAAGTAACCGTACCGGAGCCAAAGCGCCGTATCGCACTCTAGGGGGGGGGGGCAAGGGGCAGATAGAGAAACGCGCACGCGGCATGTTCATTTTTGGCATAAACTTGAAGGGCTTTTACTTGTCAGGAGTTCAGGAACTTTAATTCGTGTGTAATAGTTCGGATACCCGTGTCGGCGTTTCAGTTGGGCGCGGATATACATATATATATGGGAAGGGCATCTGAGTCGCCCTATTTTTGACGCTTGGGAATCGGCATGGCAATGGACATTGGATAACCTGACATAGCTTTGGGAGTCTGGTACGCGCTTTGAGGGCCACGGGACGGAATCATCTGGGCGCAGAGAGTAACTAGGAACATTCTTCAACCGAGTCTGGAGCTCAATCTTCGCAACGAGTGATTCTCACGTAGAAAGACCTCTGATTTTACACCTCGAGATTTGTTTGACTACGCAGTGCGATGGGGCTGCATGGAAGGGACTAGATTGATACCGGCCAGATCGAAGAAAGTGCGTAGACCATTGACTGCTAGAGTTTGATCGCCGAGGCTGCTCTAGACTGTTCCTCGACCTAAATACCGTACACATGATCAGTCATGATCTTCCTCCGTCAACCCAGGGCAGCCCTCCATCTCCTCGTCAGGGTAAGCCAGCTTGCACCAGAAACAGTATCGGTGCCTCTCCCTGAGATACGCGACCAGCCCTGCCAGCTTGTCGCCGACCTCGAGCGCCTCGAACTCGTCCAGCTCCTGGTCCTCCTGGTCCAGGTCGTCCGCCGGCATGAAGACCGTCTTGTTGTTGGTCTCGGTGCGGCCGGCCGGGGGCCCACCGGTGCCAACGCCCAGGGCCATCTTGTCGTCGTCGTCCATGCCGTCATCCTCGTACGCAGGCAGCTTGGCTGACAGGCCGCCGCTGCTCTGCTCCAGGTCGTACCGCATCCTGCGGTCCCGCTCCGCCTCCTCGCGGCGGCGCACGAGGCCGCGGTAGACGACGGGGACTGACTTGAGCGGCCGCGAGGTCACCGCCTTCTTGGCCCCGCCCCTGACCTCACCAGCACCAGCACCGGCGGCAGGGGCGGGTGGCGCGCCCTCTCCGTCCTCGTCCATCTTCTCAGCAATCTTCTGCGCGGCAAATACCAGCTTCTCCTTGCGCGCGGCGTCACGCTCCCGCGCCATGCGCACCCTGTAGTCCCCGATCTCCTCGAGGCGCGCGCGCTTGGCCACCCCGGCGGCCTCGGCGGCCTCGGCGAGCTTCCTCTTCTTGTCGGCGTCGGCGCCGATGCCGCCGCGGTCCTCCTTGGTCTCGATGCGGAGAGGCTCGCTGCGCGCCGAGGGGTTGTCACGGCTGCCCAGAGCGGAGCCCGGGGTGAAGCCCATCTTGGCCATCATGGCCAGGCCTTTGCTCTTGGTCTTTGGGTTGGCTGCTGGGGGAGGCGTCCCCGTGTCATCAGGGCCGGCCCCCCCAGCCGCACCGGTGATGAGAGATCTGGACAGGCCCTCCTCTCGTCTCTGCCGCTCCTGCGCGGCGAGCTCTGCCTTTGACGGGATGATGCCGCGCTTGAGGCCTTCTTTCCGCAGGCGCTGGCTTCGCTGCAGGGAGGTCTCTGGTTGCTTGGCGGGCGGGTCGTCGAAGGTCATGTTCATGTAGTCGTCCTCTTCTTCCTCTTCCTCCTCTGCGACTGCCTTAACTCCTCCCGCATCCTGGCTTCTGTCGACGTCTGGTGGTGGCGATGCTGATGTGGTGCGGTCAGCCTCGTCGACGCTGCTTGGGCGGCCAAGGCTGCCGGCGGCTTTGGTGCCAAAGTGCCGCATTGCCTTGATATTTTGAGTTTCCGAACGGGTCTACAGTAGTGGAAGTTATGTGAGTTATTGCGGGGTTGAGCCCTTGGTGTTTGTGATTTATTTGAAGTGGTGGGTTTTGGTGACGTTCACTTGGGAAAGAAGCCGCGATTTTTCATGTCGTCTCACATTTAGGTAGATCTCACTACGGCGGTATCCCATCAGAACACCTTCAACGCCCGGCCCGCCCAATTGATGTAGGATATTTCCCCAACCACATGCAGTACCGGTTGGTATTCATGCTTGCCCCTTCTAATTCATAGACTTTCTTCACTGCATTGCTACTCGTTCTGAGCCATACGCAGAGTCCTGACGCCCACCAAGTCACCCAACCCCGTTCATGAATAAATTTGTGTACATCAATCAAATCGCATATGAGGCTCACAAATACAGCCCAGGATACCTCACGTCGACTCATCCTCAGGCAGCTCATCGACCACCGTCTCAACCATCCTAATCAGCTCATCGCTGCGGCCACAAAGTCAGTGGGCATTCCGACAGACACCAATAGACCAGGGAAAGGGCACTCACATGTCAGGTCTCTCACTCGGCTCCACACTCAAGCACTTTCTTACCACCTCCTTGATGGGATCACTGATAACAAGATCCTCTGCCGCACCGTTCGCACCACCGCCTTGGCCCATCCCAGTGTTGGTCCTCCTGACCGGCGCCTTCCTCTTGGTCCCGCCAGGCCCTTCGTCTGGGAAGCGCCAGTCCCCGCCCAGCACGCAGATACTCAATGAGCCGCCCGTCTCGTCGCTGCGCATCTCGAAGGGCGACTTCCCTACCAGGCAGGCGTACAATGTGCATCCCATCGACCAGATATCCACCTTTGTGTCGATCACGGTACCCGTCTTGACATCGAAGAGCTCCGGCGCCCGATATGGCATCGTGCTGTGCTCTGCTGCCGTGTCTTGTGTGGCGATGGCCAGGGACCGGGATGTGATGGGGATGGGGGAGACGGCGATGGAGCCCAGGTCCATAAGGATCGGTGCCGAGCCAGTATCGTCGATCATGATGTTGCCTGATGCACGTCAGCCCTGCTTGTGCAGCCTCACGGCCTCAGACGGTCGGCTGGCAGGTGGAATCCTTACCAGGTTTGATATCCCTGTGTGAATAGCTCTTGATCTCCCCATCCGGCACGCCGTCGTTGCCGTGCATCAAGGGCCTCTGCTGCTCCGTCTCGTCATCCTCGTCCGCCCCACCCGACTCCTGGTTCCCATTCCTCTTTGACCTGCCTTGCGCCGCCTCGACATTCTCGTCCACGCCATTGACGCGCATCTCCATCCTCTCGGGTCCTGAGCCGCCCCCGGTGCCGGGGCCGGTGTAGACGTGCATCTCCCTCAGCGCGCGGCAGACCCCGAGGAACAGGTGCATGAGCTTCTTTTCGGGGAACTTTGTGTGGTTGACGAGGTTCGCGTTGATGAGGTCCTGCAGGTTCCCCCTCCTGTAGTACGGCAGCAGGACGTAGACGGTCTTGGAGGCCTCGCCGCCGCCGCGCTCCGAGGCGATGGCGTAGTCGATGCTGTGGATTATGCCAGAGGTGTTGGCAAAGAGCTTATAGGCATCGACCTCCTTCATGGCCTGCGCGACGGACTCGGCGCCGAACGGGCATCGGATCTTTTTAAGGGCGAACAGCTCGGAGGTGGACGTGTCTTGGACGAGGTAAACGTAGGAGAAGCCGCCCTGTTGGGGCATGTGCCCATGAGCCCGTTGTTCTTGTTCTAGCTGGGAATGGGGGCTAGCCTACCTCGCCGAGTAACCTCAGGATCTTGAAGTTGCGACTGTTGATCTTGAGCGACGGAGAGCCGGGGAAGCAGTTCAGGCAGTTCCCGAAGGAGGTGATGAGGTCGAGAAATACCTGCGCCATTGTGACAGCTAGCTAGCTATGTCGGCGCAAGATCTAGGGTTGAGGTGCTGGACTGCTGGGGGCAGGTATCGTCAACCTTGCGAGGTGCGCACGGCGCCTTGTCCACGACCACCTCTCTGGGCCGGCGTCACTTGCGAGATGAGACAATGTGGCGTGTGTTTCAACGGTGCACGTCGGCGTTACTAGCACGTTGGGATTTCACGGACAGGCCGGCATCAATTGATCAAGGCGTCGATGAAAAAAAAAAAAATAGCTGCTTCGTTGTTATAATGCGCAACTGGGGAGGAGATAACGGGGAGATGGGTTGTTTCTGAAGATGGACTACAATAGTTGGAACGGGGCATGTACCACCTACCTTTGGGTACGTAGTACCTTCGGTGCCATGCCGCTGTCTGTCCCTGGCTACGTAAGCTCTCCGTTCCAGGGTTCTTTCCCCAGCACCCGTCAGAGCTTCAAGACGGCACTAGAACCTGAAGAGCTATACCCCTTGCGACGATCCCGTTTCGACGGAGCTAGACCGTGCTATTGACATCAATACTGAGATGAGGACCAGCTAGTCGATCTTGTACAGGATTTCGGCAACATTGAACCACCCTTCGTACTCGACTGATTCCATCGTTTCATCCAAGTCAAAATGGTAGTGTCCGCCTCTCCTGTTGTCCTCAGCACCGTCAGCCCCAAAGCAGTGGGTATGTTCTTTCCTGAGTCCGAGGTCCTTGTCATGACCGGAATGGAGCACGGACAAACAGACCATCGGCGTGTCCATGTCGTACCAGTGGAGCCACCGGTCGACGTCTTGACGGCTCGTGAATGCCTTCTCAGGAAAGTCGGGCATCACATGCATCTTCAACCTGCCCGACCGAACCACAAAAACGCCACCCACACTGATCAGCCGGTCGCCGTAGACATCCGCGAGGCCCTTCTGGATAGCCTCGGTGAAGTTCAGCTTCCCCGTCCTGCCTTTCCCCTTGATGTGCAACAGCGGGCCCGCCTCTCCGTCGCAGCCAAAAAGGTTACACATCAGCGCACAACCTGTAGAGGTGACGATCTTCTCACATAGAGCGCCGCCGTCGTCCAGCACCTTGGCATAGCGGGTACAGTTTCTCAGCTCCCCATCTGCGGCGGAACCGAACGCAATGTTTGGTGCCAGCTCTATGTTGCGTCCCAGGTCGAAGAATGGCCCGGCACCTGCTCCAATCAAGACACCACCCGCCATCTCCATCTGCCCAGAAAGCCTGAGCAAATCGTATCGCTTGTCCAGATCGATCTCGGGGAAGAGGTTCCTCTGCCCGCCTATGTCCGCGACGCGTGGGTTGCCGGAGAGGCCACGACCAGCAAGGTGGAACGGCGGATGGCGCAGGTCGGGCGGGTGGGACACCGAAGCACTTGACGTGCCGAAGTTCGATGCAAGCCCGTTTCGTACTGCGGCAGCCACCTCTTCAAGTGGAGGGGGGTGAAGAAGTACTCTTCGGACAGGCCAGGAGTGTTCGGCCATTTTCCTAGTGTTTCAAGGTGCTGGGCCGATCTGATTGCTTTTGCTCATTTGCACTTCAGGCCGTGATGGCTAGATGGGCTTCCAAAGTCTCTTCTTAAAGGAACGGGGACTTTGGATGGAGGCACGAGACTTTCCGAGACCTCGGGGGCCGAAGATAAAGGCGGGGTTCGGAATCAGTAGTGCAATTATTAGGTCAAGCTGTGGCTCGGGATGATCAGGCCATGTCAACATTTGAACGGCATATTTCATCTTGGTCTCTTAGGACTTGTGGCACTTGTCTCAATTCTATATGTCGCTTGATAGAGCAGGCACTTTGCTCATAATTCTTGAACGTGGCCCTTACAGTCTCTCCCAAAGCCAAGAGGATAGTATATGTACACAACCATTCTTGTTTATCCAGAGTGTATTTGACACACTATAAAAGCAGCATCCGCCCTTACAGTAGCAATCCTTTTCCTTGCTAGGCAGTTGGGTGGAGGGGAGGGGAAAACATACATGTTCTTGTGTTCTTGTGTTTGTGTATGTGTCGACAATGAAAACCATTATTTCTGCAAAATGCTTCCGTTGGTGCACAAAAGTCGGGCTCAAAATTCGGCTGCAAATATGAGAAGCCATTTCCTGTACGTCATTTGCGTATAATGACAAACATACGCTCTCTATCCATTTTCCTCCGTCGCAGAAGAAGTATTGGTTGAGATGACTGTGCCACCACAGCGCCACTGGGTAGCGCTCACGCCTCTTGGCCAACTGCCGATATTCAGCCGTTGACTCTGCGTCCAACCCGAGACCTTTTCTTTAGGTAGACTATAGTTCCCAGCCAATTCCAAATGATCTGTTGAGATCCTGCTTTGTCTCTGAAAGTCTTTGCCCACAGGCTACTTGACAATGGCCCAGTTCCGACTTGACGGGTTTGCCCTTGTCGTTGGCGTAAGTGCATCACCAACTGCCCCGCTTCTCATGAGAAGATCGGAGATGTTAATTTACACCTCTTCGATAGGCGGCCGGGGGTATCGGGCGAGAGGTCGCCTGCATGTTCGCTGAAGCTGGCATCAAAGGTGCATTGCTTGCGGACATCAATTCCAAGGGAGCACATGAAGCTGCGGAACAGAGCAAGGCCCTGGCATCCAATCCTGACTATCGATTCCATTCCACCTCGGTTGATGTCACGGACGCCGCGTCTGTGGATGACATGGTCAAACTTGCCGTAGAACGCTTTGGTCGTATCGATTACTGCATTAATGCTTTCGGAGTGGGTTACCACGCAGGTGATATAGCACAGACTGAGATGAGCTAACTTCAAACTTCCACAGGTGGATGTTTCCTCCTATACTCCCTTCGATCAGACCGATCCCGACGATTACGATCGGGTACTTGGGATCAACACTAAAGCCATCTTCCTTGTGACACGCGCCGTCGGGAAGATCATGCGCTCTCAGGAGCCTATCACAGTCAACCTCGGAAGACACGGAAGTCGGGATACTGGCCGTGGGTCTATCGTCAACGTGTCTTCGGCCATGGCACTTGTGGCCGTGCCTGCAAAAGCGCCCTACACGACCTCTAAACATGCCGTTACGGGCATCACAAAAGCTGCGGGTACGTCTTGTTGGACACTTCTCATAACAATGCCCATCACTGACCATGAAAAAAAAAAAACAGCGACCGACTTGAAAGGGGATGGAATCCGTGTCAACCAGGTATGCCCATCATGGGTGAGGACTCCAATGTACGAGGAGGAATGCCGTAGGATTCCTCAGACACCCGAGATCTTGAAGAAATTAACTTCTTTGGATCGTCCACTCGAGCCAGACGAGGTTGCCTCCGCTTGTCTGTACCTCTGCTGCCCTGCTACGAGGTACATCAATGCAGGTACTTTGCTCATGGATGCTGGAATCACGGCTGCGGTCACCATTTGAGCGCGTGGACAGCCGAGCTCTGTTCCATACGAACCATAAAGAATACGGAAAGGCAATGGAAAATAGGGCACGATTCCTAGTGCAACACGGAGGAACTAAGACGTCTAGTTCGTCGATGGCAAAACAAGTCCTATGGTGAAAAGACTTTGTATGTGGCCGCATATGAATACGTGAAATGCGTCTCCCGAGTATAATGGTATTATCTGCTTCTTCCGGAACTACACAGAAGCTTGTTGGAGAAGCCTGCTCTTCCTCCTTAAACGCAAGCCGAGTTTCCTCAATACAAAGGGGATCGGAATCATGATCACCGCTAGGCACCCGAGAAGAGTAGAAGCCCATTGTACACCGAGATTTTCGAACATCTGCCTGGAAAAGAGAGGAAATCCAGCCGCAACCGCTGAGCGGAGCATGATGTTTGCCGCAACTGCTGAGGCGGCCCTGTTAAAAGTCAGCTTTTCTTTCGTAGTACACGCGAGTAAATCGTTGGCAACCCACAGTGGCAGATATGCGTCTACCAAATAGTTGAAACAAGGTAAGAAGACACATAGAATGCCAAACCCTGTGAACAGGCCTGCCAGGGTGGGTGCGGCCCAGTGAATCCTAGGGTCGAATCCAGTCCAGCCGAACCTATTAGGACGAGAGATTGTTAACATGGACATGTAGTAACTCATGTGAAACGAGGGGTTTACGAACCAGAAAATGCCGATTGCAAATATAGGCGCCCCAATTAGAGTAGGTGACAAACGCCACTCAGGGACCGGCACGTTCTCATTCTCCGCCAGCTTCCTCACATATGCCGAGTGTTTCGAGAGAATGAAGATAAGCGCTAGAGTCAGCCCCGTAAGGAGGCCGAGGAATGGAAGGCCACTGATGCCAGGGGCCATGCCGTGGACCTCCTCGAACACGATGGGGTAGGCTGTGAGGAGGCAGTAGACGATACCGTAGATAAACGACATATACATCGACACAAAAAGAATAACAGGCTCCGTTACCAGCATGAGCAGCGGCCGAGTGAAGTACTTCTCGGCCAACGCCCGCGCGTCAGTCTCAACCCTTTCGTGGCGGGCCTGAATCCCCCAGTTGCCAGTCCGGCGGCGCATAGCCGCTGCCTTTTCGACAAGGATGCACGGCGCGTACGTCTCCCGCAGAAAGAACAGCGAGACTGCCCCATTGACAAAGCTTAGTATCGCAGGGACGTAGAGCGTCCACCGCCAGCCCAGGTAGCTAGAAGTGATGAAGCCACCCACAAAGGGGGCAGTGAACGGCCCACCAAAGACCGTCAGGGCGTAGAGCTGGATGGCGACTCCGCGGTAGGTGTTGTCGAAAACGTCGGCCAGCACGCCCGGCACGACTGTGAGCTGGCCCGCACCGCACGCGCCCGCAAAGAAGCGGCATATGGTCAGCGTCTGGATGTCTTTGGCCACGGCAGAGGCGACGGTGAAGATGCCTCCCGCGAGCATCGAGATGGTCAGGGGCCACCGGCGACCCCATAGCTCGGACGCGGGTGCCCATATGAGCGGGCCGCATGCGAAGCCCAGCACATACAAGGTGGTCCCGAGCGTGCCGACTTCCCTCGACACGCCGAGGTCTCTGCTAACTGCCTGGGTGGCCGGGGCGAAGACGGCACTGTTGAAGGATACTATGTAAGTCCCTAAACAGACTAGGATTGATGTGAAGAGTCTGTGATAGACGAGGAAATGCCATTAGTATTTGGGCTAATTGATTGATGAATCAAGGACAAAGCTAACTTTTTGGAGCGGCTCCAGTTGTATGGATGTAGCGGATCGTCTGCTTCGTCGAATTCGACCGTATATGTATCGGGCTCTGGCAGCATAGGCGGGAGGGACTTGCCCATTCCCATGGACAATTTCTCCATGGAATCCATTCTGTTCACTCCTGTGATGACATTGTTAACAGAGTCAGTCATTCCTCTGTCTGTAAGATGAGATGTGTTTACCTGAGACACAAGAACTTTGCATGTGACGGTAGTTCGTGAATATCTAGGCTTCAGGTCTCAATCTAAGCTGATGCTCGAGGCAACTCTGACAAACAAGATTCACAGTGTGAAGTACAAAAGAAACATGACAGGTCTGTCAAGGAATTGTCTTGCATTTGATGAGTCTATGCTCGCATCATATTCGTTATTTGTCATTGGACACGGCCCGGGTGTTGCGGCTCTCTTGTAGTCTCGAGCATCTGCTTCTTTGGGGAAAGTGGTGGCGGAGATGGGAGGCCGCAATATCCGCACCGCTTATACCGGAGCTCGACCCGTTGAGAATGCTTTACAGCATGGATCCGGCGGGAGATATTAATAATGTTTTGATGATTGCTTTTTCTTCTTCATAATTCTTGTCTTCACAAGTTGATTTCTCAGCTAGACCCGCCCATAAAAGAGGGGCCAGACATCAGATCCGCATGCAGGAATTGGTCAAAGTCTATCCGCTGAAGCCCGGGGAGGTCCGCGACCAGGGCACCAAGCCAGGAATAGTCCTCGGCGCTGGGACTTATTTGTTGTTGTGGCGGTGCTGCCGCCTGCCGCTCGTGATGGTGGATGTTGAGGGCCTCGCCGAGGATGGCAATGTCGTCCTTCCTGCGTTGCTGGTGCAGCAGGACCAATAGACAGGCCGCACTGTGCGCCTCCCTCATGGCTTCCGTGTCGTAGGTTGAGGCAACGAGGCTCAGGGTCTGCATCGCTTCTGGGAGCATCGCAAGGGATGATCGGGTGTCCATCACGAGGAGGAAGCATAGCACGTGGAAAGGGACGTTCGCAACCTGGTGCCACGGGCAGCACTCGGTGACCATCTTCCGTGCGCAACCAAGCCCCTTCTTTAACAAGGCCAGGACCTGCTCTGCCAGGCCTGGCGAGATGTCGAGATTCTGTGTGTGGATGCGCCGCAGAATACAGAGCACCAGATTGCACTGCGCAAGAACCGATGGCGGCCTGGTGTGGACTCCTCCTACGACATCGGAAAGTGTTGACGTGAGATCCGTCTCCTGCTTCAGCCTCCCCGGATCGAGGCTGACTGACACGGGCAAGAGACCCAAGACTTCAGCAGTGTAGTCCCCCGGCTTCGGCTCTGGTGGCAGGGGCAAGTCGTCTGTCCGGAAAGAAACGCGGGAGAGGCCCAGGTCGAAGGAAGTCCACGCATTGAGGTGGTGGGCAACCCCCACAAGCCTCCTCTGGATATCTGGGTCGCATTGGGCACTGGGCAGGAGGACTGACGGGGACCCGGGGTGAAGTCCCGAGGCTTCGACAAGGTGCATCAAGGTGGAACTTGCGAGCCAGGTGGAATGAGGCGAGTCCGTCATCCGGAGATAACAGACCCGGAGGGTCCAACCGGTCAAGAGGTCTATGGGTGGAGGACCAGATAGATGATAGTTGTCTAGACAGGCACGGGCTGAGCGGACCAGATGTAGTTCGGTGATGGTGGCATTTCGTTGCGAGAAGAGACATCCGATAGCAGCGACTCCACCCAAGACACTGTCATATATGCCGGGTGCCTGAGGTGATTCCCATCTTGCGGCCAGCTTTGCGAAGAAATGCTCTTGTTCGATGAACCCATAGCAGGGGTCTACTTTGTCGAAGTAAACCCCGGCCAGGAATTTCATGTGTTCTAGCGAGGTGATCTCAACAACTGGCAGTGGGGAGGTGGCAAAATCCATCTGGGAGGACAACTGCCTTGTCCCGATGTTCCAGCCAAAGAGATTAAGCTTCGGAGCCTTTGTAGGATCGATCTTGAGGCCGAGATTCCTGACGAAGGCCGCCCCGGAGTTGGCCTCGAGGCGCCGGACGAGGCCGGTGTGGTCAGAACCGACATTGCCGGGCTGCTCCGGGGCGCTTGGCTGCACAGGTGGTGACACGACTGAAGACGGCCCGGGGACGGCCTGGCCGGCAGGTCGGGAAGCCCTGTGTCGAAGTTCGGGCTCGTAGTAACAGGAATAGCCCCAATCCGTGCAGGTGAGGCAGGGCTCATTCCCGTCGCACCTCCTCTTGCGCTCTCGGCAGGGCCCACAGGCCTGACGGGACCGCTTTCGCTTTAGCGAGCTCATACCTAGGGTACTGTCAGGCCAGACTGGATCAGTGGCCGGATGAAGGTCGCGACAAGAAACCACATCGTGACGCTGCTTGGTGGAGAGCGGGTGAGGTGGAAAGTGCGGAGTTGACGACTTGACGCTTCGGGCGGGAGCTGCGGCCCCGTCGGCTATTGCGGAAGGCCGGGAAGTAGTCAATGCGGGCGTAGTTCTTAAACAATGAGACAATGATTCAATCTAGTCAAACTAATGCTGCTGTCGCCTACTAACATGATGCCATCAGGGTCATCTACCAATGCAGTCTCCCAGTCCCGAAATTCCATCGCTGATCGGCCACAAAGGCACTCAAAGCCACAAGCGGTAGGTGGCAACCTCAAACGGCCGGAGCGTGATCGGGTAGTTGCCATCCTCGTTCTTCTCCAGCGCAGCCTCGCCGGGGATCTCGTCCTCAAGCACGTTGACCTTGGTGATCTTCTGCACATCCCAGGTCGTCTTGATGGCGGTGCGGGAACGGCCGCCGAGGGACTCGTACATACGTATGATGACGCACTTGCCCTTGCGGGCGGGCAGGTCGCCACGGCTGACATCCACATCATCCTCGCCTCGCTTGACCGCATCCAGAACGATTGCCGAGTCGCCTATTAGCTTGATAGGTGCCTCGAATGACAGCGTCTTGGGCTTGCGGGCCAATACCAGCGGGCTGTTGAATTCGTAGCCGGCGCGGACCGTGGCGCTGCCCAGAGGGCCCTCGTGTGGCAAGATCGCGTACCGGATCTTGTGTGTGCCCATGTCCGCATGCTCGTCGGGAGCCTTGGGGGATCGGAGGAGGGATAAGCGCATCATGTCCCCGCAGGTCGCGAATCCATATTTGCTGTCATTCAGGATCGAGACACCGTAGTTGGATTCCGACAAGTCGGCAAATTTATGGCAGCACACCTCGAATTTGGCCATGTCCCAGCTCGTGTTGTAGTGTGTTGGTCGCTTCACGATACCGTATTGGGTCTCGTAGCTGGCCTCGGTGCTCCTCAAGTCGACTGGGAACTCAACCTTGAGGAACTTCATGTCCTCGTGCCAGTCAACCTCGGTGCTGACCTCGACGTATGATTGCTGACCCTTGAGCGCGGCCGACAGGCTGACGGTTGAGACAAGGTTGCTCTTCTCGCTGATCTTAACACGACTGGTCAGGCTAACACGATAGCTCTTGTTCTCGCTGATCTTGGTGTCATAGACGGGGAGCTCCTTGCGAGAGTCGAGGTGGAAGACCTCGACGTCCCAGGCTTGCCAGTATAGGGGCTTGTCGTCGAAGATGACAAATTGATTTGCCCTCCCTGAGAGGGTCTCACGACCTAACCGACGATCGTAAAGCGATGTAATGACGCCGTTTTCGACCTTCACCTGAAGCTGCTCATTCTGCATGACGAAAACTCCCTTCGATACCTCTTCGACCGAGACAGCAGCCCCTTCCACGGACGGCGCCTTGAAGGGCCTCAGGGTGAGGTACGGACCCTCGCCGCAAGCGACAGCTGGCGTGTTGCCCAGCTCCACAATACTCTTCCTGGGCCAGAAAAGGCTGTTGAGTGCTGTGGCATTCTCGATCGAGGTAGTGCTGGTCGTCTCCTCGCCAACACCGAGCGCTTCCCTCGCGTCTGCGAGGCACTTCTTGCCAATCTCATACACATGAGCATAAAGCTGTCCAGGGTTAATATCATGATTTTGAAGAGCCGAGACGTGGGGTGAGGCCACAGGGCAGAGGAAAAGAGGTGGAATGCTTACCTTGTCAGAGTCGTCATAACACATTTCAATGCAGCTGCCAGGAAGGCAGTCGTGGAACTGGCAGAGAAGAACATTCTCCCACATGGAATCAATGTCCGCCTTGGGGTACTTGTATGACGAGTTCTTCAACGAGGCGATGGTGGCAAAGAGCTCTAGAGCCCTCAACATGAACTCGCAGGTCCGGTTGTTTCGCTTGTTACGCGCCTGGGTGGTGTAGGTGCCTCGGTGGAGCTCAAAGTAGAGCTCGCCGTACCACGTCACGAGCTTGTCAGCCTTGGGGATGATCTTGTCAAAGAAATCATCGACAGAATTGCCCATGTGGACCCGTGGCAGACCACCAGTCCTGTCCGCTATGCCTCTGCAACGACGGAGCTTCTCAAGGTGTTCCCAGGTAGGACCACCACCACCGTCGCCCTTTCCAAAGACGAGGAGAGAAGTGTGGTCTTGATCCATGGACTTGTGTGAGGCGACGCTGCGCCTGACGTCCCCAAACTCAGCGTTAGAAGTGTAGGTCTCTGCTGGCGGCATGTGACAGACGACCTGAGAGCCATCAAGAGCCACCCAGTTGAAGGTGGTGTGCGGGAAGTTGTTGATGTTGTTCCAGCTCAGCTTCTGGGTCAGGAAGCGATCCATGCCAGCGAGTCTGCACAGCTGAGGGAGCTGAGAGGAGTAGCCAAAAGTATCCGGAAGCCAAAAAGTCTGGCTGCGCTGGCCAAAGTGGGACTCGAAGAACCGCTGGCCATAGATGAACTGTCTCACAAGAGACTCTCCGCTGGGGAGGTTCGTGTCGTGCTCAACCCAGCTGCCCCCAATCGGGTGGAACTGTCCGGACTTGACCTTCTCTTTGACCCGGTCGAATACGTACGGATAGTACTCCTTGAGCCACTTGTACTGCTGGGCCTGGGAGCAAGCGAAGTTCAGTTCGGGGTACTCCTCCATCAAATTGCACTGGTTTGTCCAAGAGCGTGCAACCTTTCGCTTGGTCTCGTCCCAAGGCCATAGCCAACATGTGTCAATATGGCAGTGTCCGATTCCGTAGACGACAGGCTCCTTTCCGCTGTCGTAGACTTTCGCAGAGTCGACATTGCCAATGTACTCACGGGCGATCTCACGCGCCCTCAAAATGGAGTCCTGGTTGCCCACCTCAATGGTTTCGATAATACGGTTGATGACAGCAAGGGCCTGATGTTCTTCCCATGTGTTTTTGGCGAGCTCCCTAGCAGCATCCCCAATGATCCACATGTCGATACGCAGCTGTCGGGCCTGGACGTTGACTGCCACAATGTCGGCCTTTTGGAGAGCGAACATTCGGTTCGGGTCGGGGGGCTGAATGGTGTCACCTCCCGTGGGGTTTCCAAACATGCCGTTGCACGCCATCTCGACGTAGAATGTGTGTTCCTCACCATCTCGAAAAGATTCCGGGAGAAGCCATTCAATGCGCTCACCACCACCGGTCAGGCCCTGCAGCGGGTTTCCGTCGGAAGACCAAACCATACCCTCACTGTTGGAGTCCCAGTGGAATTCAAGACGCTCCTTATCCCGAAGCTCGTCGGGAACTGTGAGCTGGACCTTGAACCAGTGGGTGGTCCATGAAGGGCCAAAGGCACGGCCGGTCTCGGTGTCCTTGAACTCGTGCGAGACGGCATCCTCGAACGTGGGACGCTCTTGTCCCGGAGCCGCCCAAGTAGAAAGTTTCACATGTGGACGACCGGAAGCACGACCCTCGTCATACATCCTAGATGCATGGGCAGTCGTCAGCAGTGTTCACATGGGAGCGAAGAGGAGGAACTGACGCATTGAGAGTGACATTGCGATACTGATTATCCTTGTACTCGCGCTCTATGCGGTCGAGATAGATGTGGTCAATCAGCTTCCCAACCGGCTTCCGGGCCAGGAGAGGGTAGTCGGCCTTGGTCTGGGAGAGGCGGGAGAGGTCTCGTTCGCCACCCATGCTGTCCTTGTTGTCGACCGAGGCCTCGCTAAAACAAACGAAAGGTATTAGTTGTTACGCTGCAACAAAATCAAACGGTTCTTGATGTTTGTAGAAATGATGGTGATATAGCCCTTGACCAAGAAACGAGAGCAACGGTGTTTGTTATTGTTGGAAGAGATAGCTTATGTTTCAAGCTCGATGGGGAGCTTGTAGCTGCGAGAGTGATGTAACATGACATGGCCCACACGAGCTCCTGCATTGGGTGTACTGTCTAGTTGACCCCCAGATCCTTGTGGGACGATGCAGGGGCAGACGGGCGCCACCCTTTGGTTCGTGCGGGGTTAGCTGGTTCGCCGTCTTCCTGCCTGGCTGTCCGTTATGGACAAGCCAGGCGGGGATAGGCCGGGAAGCAGAATGCCTGGGGCGGGGAACTGTTGGAGATGTCTTGCCCGCCTGGGGGCATGACCCAAAAGCCGGCCAGAACAGGAATGAGGATTTTATGAGTAGGGAGAGCCAAGAGAGGTTGAGAGGGTGTAAATGAGGTAAACTCAGTGACAGGTGACAGAGAAGCGGGACAACGTTGTTATTGAAGGGGCCATGGCCTGTATTCAGACCTGGACTCTTCTCTATACCAGAACAGCAGTTGGGCTGTGGGCTTTGTAACGCGAGGCCAGCCAGCCAGCCAGCCAGCCAGGATTTTGACTCACCTGAATTTTTGAATTGTCATTTCAGCTAAGTGGCAGTTGTCCATAACAACTGTAAAGTCTGTCTTCCATGTGACGAATGAGACGGGTGTTGGTATGGAGGTTCGGAGGCACCCAAAGCAGAGGAGCAGAGGTTGGAGGATGCTGGCAGGGTGTGATGTTTAAGCTTATGCAGACCAAGAAAACTAAAGAAAAGGGAGAGCCATGTCGTGTGATGGCTCTGGAGGTGATGTTCAAGGGCTGCCAGGCTGCCACTGATAGTGCTGCCTGGTGATGATGGAGTGGGTTGTAGGAATAGGAAACCTTCATCACAACATCGTGATTTATATATCCGTTCCTGCCTGCTTTAGGCTGAAGACGCCATGCCGTTGAGAGTCTGCCCCAGCCAGGCATATGTTGTGGAAAGCACAGAGTAGACACACTCCCAGGCAGCCTTCCGGTCCAGCTTCAACAGGAAAGAGCCAGCATCTCGGGCAACTGGATGCCATCCGAACTGGTCACATGTGATGGCCCATTTTCTGGCAGACCATTTAAGCCTGCAGGCTGTCTTGCCCGGATTGTAGATAGAACCAGGCAGAATGTTACACATACAGCATTGGCAGTGGCGGCTGAGATGTCATATGAGGGCCCATGCCGTTTGGGTGGTCTGATCTGTCTCTACACGGCCAAGATCCCAAGGTCATGCTGTTATAAGATGAGATGTCTGCAGCAGGATGCCCTGCAGAGTAACCAGGTCTTCCTACCACAACAGTATCAGCATGTGAAAAGACTATGGGCTATGTCACACCCATACACCTTACCTTCATCGGACCCCCATTTGGGGCGCATCACTTGATATTCCCAATGTTGTGCAGAGGCGAGAATGTGGACAGTGTGGAGAGTAGTTCCTCCGAAGGCACATCAATGACCTGTGAAGCTGGAGTGTAAGATGTGTGGATAGAATGTACAATCTGTGCTATGTTGCACACCATGGAGCACAAACCCAGCAAACTCAAGTCTGCCGGCCCGCCCTGGTAGGATACTACCTGTTTTTTGACTGCTTCCGTTTCTGCTTCTCCCTCTCGTACTCGTTTGCCGCATGACCTTCCTCGCCCTGGATTTCCGCCACGATCCTCTTGTACTTTTTCTCGTACGCCTCGTCTCTCTCCTTCTTTGCCCTGAGCTTCTCGCGTGCTAGGAAGTTGGCCTCCTTGCGAATCGCCCGCATCTCGCCCTTCTTCTCCTTCTTGTACTCCGCCCGCAACTTGGCACTCTCCGCCCGCTCTCGGTCCGGGTCGTAGTGCTTCTCGGGGTCGAAGCCGTCCTCGAACTTGGGGACAAACGTCTTGATGGCGAGCGGCTTGTGGTGATGCAGCTCGAGTGGTCTCCGCGACAGAGCCGCCACCTTCAGGGCGCGGGAGAGGTGTGCAATCGCCTTCTCCGCATCCTGTAGGAGCGCGTCCGGAAGATGCTGTCGATTGGGCTTGGACGTTAGATGCTCCAAAGTTCTGAGTGCTGGCTCAAAGGTTTCGAAATACGAGGGCTTCCCAGCCCACGTCTCAGAGGCCGCCAGTATCACCGATATGTTGGTGCTCAGCAGTGCGACCTTCCTCTCGCCCGAAAGCTCGCCTTTGGATGCCCGGCAGTCATCGCAGCTGAGTTTGCGGACTGCAGTCTTCTTTGCGCCACCAGTTCTTATCACGGGACGTGGTTCGTGTACTGGAAACAAGCCAAGCCTCCGTCTGGGCTTTTCGGGTGCCAGGGCACAAATGGTGTTCAGTGTAAAGTTCATGACCTCTGGCACATAGCGCTTGGCAAGCTTCTGATACTGTAAAGACTGAATGCAGAGGTAAGTCCCCGTGGCATAGTCTGCCAGGCTGCTAGGGACCTTCTGGCCCAGAAATCGCGCCATTGACAGCATTGCCGGCGTGGCGACTTGGTGGAAATGATCCGACGTGGGGAACATAGTACCAATGGCTGTCAAGACATACAAGTCCCCGACTTCAAGTGCCAAGGGTCGTTGCTCTCCCATATCCTCAAGATGCGACCGGAATTCTTGTGCAATCTCGACCGGGAACATCTTGGCTAGAGAATGGACATGCCGAATCACGTTCTCTAGCGTGGCGTATAGGCTGTCGTCAGAGGCTGTGCCCAGGTACGCGATGTGCTGCACCAGGGCCCTGGCGAAATTGCCCAATTTCTCCTTATACTCACTCCGGAGCTTGGGATGATACAGTGCTCGGATACGTTGAATGACAGTTGGTTGTTTAGACAACGGGATTTCCCGAACGACGTCCAGGAACTCGGAATGGCTTTGCGGGCATGGGAAAGTGTACGGTAAGCCGTCGGTTGTGTCCGTGTCGCCAAATTTGGTTTCCTTGTTAAAGATGGAATCTTTCGCCTCGCTCTCCGTAAGAAGCCCTCTCGTGAATTCATCATCCTCATCGTCTTCGGCTGCTGCACCCTCGTCTTCGCTCGAGGTGAAATCGGCGTCGTCAATTTCACCCAGGTCCGAGCCACTCGCCACTAAGTCGTCTTCGATCACAAAGTCGTCTTCATCGTCGAAGCCGAGTTCTGTCGCAGTCGGGCGTGCTTTGATGCCCTTGCCAAGACCGAAATCAACATCCTCGCCGTCAGTCCTGATGATTTCGAATGCAGGCTTGTTGTCGCTGTTGATGGCCTCGGCCTCTGGCTCGCTTTCTTCTTCCTCTTCCGAGTCGCTTACTTCCTCACCTCTCATCCGCTTCAGTCTCTTTTCTTCCAGTTCGCGTAGCCGCTCGGCCTCCTTCTCTGCGATTTCTTCGTCTGTCTTCGTCCTCATCGTTGGCTTTGCTCGCTTATCCTGCGTCATTTTTCTCACTGCGAGATCGTAGTCCTTTTCAAAGGCCTCTCTGTCCAATCCCGCGACAGCCGGTGGCTTAACGTCGTCCTTTGTGCCGTCCAATGGCGTCTCGGGATTCTTCTTCATACGTTGACCCATGAGGAGTGACCGAATGTCGGCTGTCTCCTTGTCCAGCTCCATTCTGAGGTCCTCATCATCCTCCTTCGCAGCTTGGCGTTCGTACTTGTGGAATTTTGACTTGGCGATAACTTCCTCCATGACCTCCTTCTTGGACTTCTTCCTCTCCGGCTCCTTCTCGTCACCTTCTTCGTTGGCTTCCACTTGATCTCGCAACCGCTTCAGCCTCTTCCGGTTGTGCTCTTCCAGGTCTGACATGTCTGAGCCGTCGTCGGAGAATTCTTCATTGAAGTCGTCCTTGAGTTCCCCCTCCTCGTCGAACTCGAAAGCCTTCCCTCCGTGCGTCAGAACCGGCTCGTCGTCATCTTCCAGGTCGAACATTGAGGTCTTTTTGTGCGCTTTCTGCTTCTCCAACGCGAATCGCTGTGCAGCTGCCGCCTCGGGCGTTAGGGTCGGGTCGCCCTCACCAAACCGTCTGTCGAAGATCCCGCCGACTCGGTTTTTCCTCTGCATGTCGACCAGGAGCGTCTCCTTCAATCTTTGCTCGCCCAGCGCCTTTGCCATCCCAGGACGCCCCAGTATGCCTTTCTTCGAGTCAGGCTTATCGGTAGTCACAGCGAACTTCGGGCCTCGGGCGTTTGTCTTGAACTGAAACGGATTGAACTGTTCGCGGATGTTCTCAAGGGCGGCGCCACGCTGGAGGCGCTTCTCGTTGCGTGCTCGTCCATCTTTGGCGGTCGCCTTTTTCTGTTTCTTCGATTGCTGAGGCCCAATAATTCCCTGGTCTCGTAGAGAGGCCTTCAGCCTCTTGAGTTGTGAGGCAGGCATGATGTCGAAGTTTGGGGGCTTGTGTGAAAGCCTTGCGTGGTAATGCACTTGTCGGGTTTGATTATAGAAATTTCGAACTGCTTGGTTGGAGTCGTCGCCAATGCTTATCTTATCGATTAATTTTGGCGGTGAACGCCCTCCAGGCGGCAGAATGGGAACTAGTGGGCAGGCAGGCGCTACCCGCCCTTTAAGTGTAATTCGCTACCTACTCACGTACCGAAGTGTAAGCCGCGCTGCAGCCCAGCTTCACGGCTGAAGCAAAGCACCAGACAAACAGCATGTCGTTCCTCAACTATGCGCGCGACGAGCGCATGGTGGTGGTGGGACTGACTGCGGCTTTCGTGGGCGTCGTTGCCACAATGCGCATGCTCCTCCAACAATGGCGCGACGGAACCGAGATCAAGCCGCAGCAGCCTACCACGCAGTACATCACGCAAGAGACCGAGGACTCGCTCAAACCAAGCACCCTGGACATGCTCCTGGGCCATTACAACTTTGCGATCCGCGAGGTCGCGGCCAAAATCGTATGCGATAGAGCCGTCAACGACGGCGAGACGATCGACTACTTGCTCTGGGGAATCACACGGCCGGACTACGACGAGCGCATGAAGAACCTGCGAACACTTGCCTTCATAACAGACCCTCGTAAGAATCTCCACCTCAGCTGGAGTACTGGTAAGTGCCGGGGGACCAGGAATGCATCACTGCCCAGCAGAAGCAAGACGCAGAGGGCTTCTGGGTGGACATAATGCTTCTACGCATCCGGCACTTATTTTGTTACAACAGACCTGGCAAACCCTGGTTGAGACTAACCCAACGTATAGAAAGCCTGTCGAAGCTCAATACCGGGCGCGCCTATTCTGCGTTTGTCCGCTCTCTTGAACATTGCCTCACCGACCGCGCCCCGCTGGAGAAGCTCGACGACAGATGGTTTGATGAATATGGGCTTCGCGACATGGCGGAGAAGCTCTGCTTCATGTTCATCTCGCAGCTCATGCAGAAGTATGGGCCAGACAAGTTCATCCAGGCCGGCATCGTAGAGAAGTGGTTAGCGAAACAGAACTGGGGCGACAGGCCTGAGGAGAGGGAGCACAACTTCTTCCAGTACATGTACAAGACGAATAGGATCGTCGAAATCATCCAGAAAATACAGCAGAGTGCTACCGGCCGGGATGCCCTGGAAAAGGCGGGGCTTATGCCGAAGACGGTGTCGCAAAGCTTCGACGTGTTTGCGTCGATACATATCGAGACGGAGATCCTGGACAGCGACAACGCAGAGCCGACGCCGCGGAACATGGAACAGAGCCCTGAAGAGCAGAGGATCAGACACCGACACCGCGAGGCCATGGTACTCAACGACGGGACGAGACCATTAGGGAGGTCGGATATCATCGAGAGAGAGCATCACACGCCACCACCCTGAGGAAGTATGCGGACAAGTCTGTGGTTATCTACTATTTAGCTACTTGAAGGCAAGGCCGATTCCCGGGGGCTCGCTGTGTCCAGGCATACCAAGGCTCCTCCGGAGCCGTAACAAGCACAGTGATAACGCGTCTGTCGAGGATAGACCTAAAATGGAGGGCAATGAGGTATCGAGAGATGAGAAGGGCTACTCGACCGCTGGCACATTGTTATTCCAAATTAACGGCACACAAGGAGCGACTACGCATGTCGAGAAGCGGTTGGAAATTGGTGGCACGAACAGCCCTGCGATGAGCCAGGCGGACTCAGGGGTTGGGAGCAGCTCGAACTGGAAGTGGATGTCCACGAAAATGGACAAACCCGGGCGCCGATAGCGTCAAGAAAGTTCTAGGGCAAGGCCGTCCTGTCCGAGGTTGGCTGGTTGGAAGTGATCTCTGAAGCGCTGTAGAAGCGTAAAAGAAAATAGCGTAAAATAAGATAAAATATCGAAACCAAACAGGTAGCATTGTACCGGACTTGGAGGCCAGGTTGGACAAATGCTGCCGACTACGGCCGGAGGAACGCGGACCCGGATCGGCCTCGATCCACAGGCATACTCGGTACACGGACGATGGCGGCGGCGTTGGTCCCTAGGGTACGTACTGTGGTACTAGGCATCTTCCGAGGACACCAGACCGTGTTGGGCTGGGGCACCAGAAGGTCATCATCTTGGGCTCAAATCAATGTGCCGGATCACTGCCCGAGTTGGGCGCCATTGTCAATGAGGGTCAATGGGTAATCTCCGAGTTGCCCCAGCTGGGCCAGACCCTGTTCCCATGCAACATGCATGTGGTGGTGGGGTGCGCCGGGTCGCCTAAGGCAAGTCTACCTGGTTAGGAAGTAGGTAGGGCCCAGGGCCTGGGCACTGGGGTGCAGGGTGCAGACCATTCTCCATTCAGCCGTTGTGGGTGGTCCCGTCTGCAGGGAAACGTCCGCCATCCCACGAACGCCTTGCCCGGCTATCTGCCCGAGTCCTGATTGTCAGATTGTCCTGAGCTGTGCGATCGACGCCTCACATCAGAACAGATGTACTCCGTACTCCGTACACAGTACCGTACCTGTTACTGGGCAGTGGGACAGCCCTTGTTGGGTAGCATTCTGTCATTCTAGATGAGAAGAGTTTGCCGACGAACCGGCTTCGCAGCTCTGCAGCAGACCCTTCTCCTCATTAACCGCCGCGCACGAGGGAGATGACGGCCAGATGGGGGAAATTGAACGAAACCATGTACCTGCGTGATCCTGGACGCTGATACGACGTGCCACCAGCATCGAGAAGCATGCCTCTTTCTGCAACTGCACCACTTAGATCCCTCACACCTATAGTACCATACTTTAGGACACGGATGCACGTCATTGAGAGGGGGGGCGGGCAGAGACAAGAAGAAAAGATTGTGGCATGTGTGTGTGTGTGTGCTCGTATAATATTAAGGGACCAGCTCCCCATGGCATGTCTATCTGTCACAGCTAGCTGCTGGTGTTATTGTCCAGACAGGCATCCCGCATCCCGCATCCGGCCTGCAGGCGCCTTGCATATAAACAACCACCCCTCCATTTACACGAGAGCAGCGACCGCGACCGCGTTCGCCTGCCACTGTCGGTGGTTTGAGTCCTTGTTTATACCTGGCTTTACTCCTCCTTGGTTGAGCATCGCCATCCCAGCATCATCGGAACACAGCCCAATACTACATCCTGTCCGAGGGCACGAGCCAGACGTTGGATCGCCTGAAGTCAATCAAAAACACACAGACCTGGGAGACGGCGCTACGGAGAGACACTTGTCTTGCAAGCCCAACCTTGGGAGCTAAAGGTCGGGAAGGGGAAGCTTCAGCAAGAGACATCCTTGCGGGACCCCTTGGCCCTCGCTCAGCCCAGCAGTTGAAACTCAACCTTACTGTCGCCTCTCCCCAGTTTTTGTGTCATTTTCCGCGACACGAGCAGACCAGCTCTATCAATCAACACGAGCTGGGACGGCCCGCGTTAGCCTGAGGCTGACAGTCGCGTCAGGAGCGTGTCGCTGCCTGTTGCCCTTGGGATCCCGGCTCAGAAAGAAGTCCTGTCCAAGGGCTGGGTTTTTCAGCGTCTGTGACTCTGTGGCGCCCCCCCCCCCCCCCAAAAAAAAGGAGCAGGGTTATAGGGGCAGTTTTGGGGATCACGCTGGGGCTGGATTGGTAAATGAGATGAGTGATTGAGTATTACACGACAAAGCTGAAGGGACTGTCCAGCCAGCCAGCCAGCCAGCCAGCCAGCCAGCCAGCCAGCCAGCCAGCCAGCCAGCCAGCCAGTACGAATTCGCCGCCTCCTTTTGAACCCCCCCTCCTTCCCCCCACCATGGCGTCCGCTGGGCAAACCGCAACCCTCCTCTCCTCCCCTGCAACCTCGTCACCACAACAAGCACACTCTGCCCTACCAGCAGCACCCCGGGCCCTTCGACATCCGAACCGCAAGCCCTCAGCACTGGGCAAGATCGTGACCGCCTCGACCCCGAATCTGAGCGGCCTCTTCTCTGCCCACTCCAAACTCGGCTCACTGCCCTCGCTGCAGCGCAAGGCCTCACAGGCCACCTTGACCTCGACTTCTCTCGCCGCCGTCCCCGATGCCACCGAGAGCTACGCACTCGCCTCCCTGAACGACTCGCCTTCGCGCAAGGACAAGATGCCTCCCACTCCCAGGGCGGGCGCCCCCGCTGGGGACGACCTCGCTCTGGGGGACGAGGTCGATGTGCCCGGCAACATGCGCGGCACCGTTCGCTTCCTCGGTACTGTCGACGGCAAGAAGGGCACTTTTGCTGGCGTCGAGCTGCACCCTGACTTTGCTGCACGGGGAAAGAACAACGGCGACGTAGACGGGTATGTTCCCTCCGCCTCCGCCTCTGCCCCTCCCCCCACCTTCGAGCATATGCCATAATGCTCTCCAAGGCTAACGCACCCTTTGCAGCATATCTTATTTCGCCACAAATATACCCGGCGCCGGTATCTTCCTCCCTCTGAACAAGGCCGTCAGGCGCGAACCCTCCTCAGCCAGCATCTCGACCACGTTCCCCAAGACTCCTAATGGCCTCAAGGCGGGCACGCAAAATTCTACAAATTTCACACCGCCGACTCCTTCGTTGCCGCAGTTCTCGAAATCAGTCGGTCCCGGACGTCCACCCAGTCCATTGGGAAAGAAATCCAGGCCGTCATTACCACGGCCAGAGTCGCCAACACGAAAGCTACAGATGACCCCTGCCGGACGCCCCAGTATCGGCATCGCGACACCTTCTGGCAAGCCGGCTCCACGATTTGGCAGTCCGACACAAAGCAAGTTCTCCAAGAGCGTGCACAGTGCCATGGCGCCAGGTGACCCGCCCAAGAAAGGGATGCTACAGCCAAGCCGCAACTTCAGTGTGGGGCCGCGTAGTTCATCAGCGCTTTCGGGGCCCACCGCAGGCTTCACCACAGACGAGGAAACAACACCTGTCATGAACGGAAGAGCATCGGCCCTCAAGTACAGGGCTCCGTCGCGGCAGGCCGGCGGCCAGGATGAGGAGATCGAGCGGTTGCGGGCCGAGTTGGAGGATCGGGACAAGCAGCTCAGGGAACAGGCAGCTACGTTGGCAGACATGGAGAACAGCCTCACCGAGGTCCAGAGTCTCATGGAGCAAGCTGAGATGCCCCCGCCTCCGAGTCGGAAGGACAGCCTCGGCGACAAGGAGACAGGCGAGCTAAGAGCACTGATCCGGGAGAAGAACGAAAAGATCGCCATGCTTACGTCCGAATTCGACACGCACAGGGCCGATTTCAGAAGTACTATCGACACACTGGAACTGGCAAGCGCAGAGACGGAGAGGGTGTACGAGAAGCGTATAGACGAGCTGATGCAAGATATACAACAAATCCAAGAACGTAATAGTGACGTCGACGTGGTCGCGACACAGCTGAAGCAGCTGGAGGAACTCGTGCAGGAGCTGGAGGAAGGCCTCGAGGATGCTAGGAGAGGCGAGGCCGAGGCCCGTGGGGAGGTCGAGTTCTTGAGGGGTGAGGTCGAGAGGACAAGGACCGAGCTCAGGAGAGAGAGGGAGAAGTCGGCCAGTACGCCGAACGGCACAGATGGCCAATCCAACGGGGATAACTCAACACTCTTCAAACAGCTGGAGCAGAAGGAGGACGAGATCCGCGGGCTCAAAGCGATCATCCACTCTTTGGGCAGAGATTCGCTACCAGACGACGCTGATAGATCGCAACGACCGCAGCCCCACCGGACCGTGTCGCACGAGTCCCGGTCCAACGCAGATGACCGTATCGCACGCGAAAAGCTCGAGCGTCAGGTCGCAGAACTGCGAGCCGCGCTGGACGAGAAGTCGAGCAAGGAAGAAGACATGGAGCATGAGATGGAGGCCCTTAGAAGGGGCAGCAGTGCGACCTTGCACGGCACCTCGACCATGGCGCAGCGCTCATCTGTGCGTGACTCTCGCGACACAGTCGTCCTGGCCCAGGAACTGGGGAACCGCTCACCAGAGCAACAGCAGCCTGGGCAGAGGCGGTCGCATCAGCGGGCGCACACGCTGGACACGATGGTCGAGAGCGACGCCTTGTCCTCGGTCACGGAGAATAGCACTCTCTGGTGCGAGCTGTGCGAGACGTCGGGCCATGACATCCTGACGTGCACCAACATGTTCGGTAACCCGCCCGCAGCGCCGCCCGAGCCCTTGCCGACCCCCAAGGTCCCGAACCAAGGTGGCCTCGCACCACCTCAGACGCAGGAGCAGGACGAGTACAAGGTGGCCCCGTTGTCACCCCGCCTGCCCGCAGCGGATGAGCCGGCCGGGCGCGTGTCCGAGCCCGTCAAGATGATCCCGAACCTGAACGACCCAGGCCCGGTGGCGGGCAAGGAGTCGGGCGTCATCGACCCGGAGGCGTGGTGCGCCCTGTGCGAGAAAGATGGACATAATAGTGTAGACTGTCCGTTTGAGGATGCCATATGATTATTCTCATGGGTTACCGGTTGTCTGACCTACCATTTTCATCTTGTTGCGAGCGAAATTCTGATAAATGGGATGACAGTATGAGAATATGATGGCTGTGGCATGGTCTCTTTTATCTTTTGGTGCGTGCGGCATTGTCCAGTATCATTAGCACTCCCGGCCTTATCGAGCTGGCGTTTCTCAGGGGCGAAGCGTTGTGGATGTCTGGTGTTTTTATGGGACCACGAAAATACCTAGGTAATACATTAAATGTGACTCATGTCTCGATCTTCGATCCGGTGTTCTGCTGCATGTTTGCAAGTCCTCCCTGCTGCGAGCGGTGAGATGCCCAGGTGAAGCATGGTCCAGAGGGTTGCTGGGCCCTGAAAGCTTTAAGCAGACATTGGGATTTTTGTGTTGGACCGTGAAGTACTTAAGGTTGGTTTAAAGTAGAATGCGCTCATCATAGGTTTTGGATATAGGTAGAGGGCTGATTAGCCCTAAGGACTTGGATCTTGTCTTCCCCTATCTATGACCTTGTCCTCCCCTACCTATGTGGCCCAGAATTTCATCCTATGTTTTGTTTTTGAAGTGGGATATTCGCACAACCCCCTTTGGATCCTTACATAACCAATCTGACTAATTAGGGCTGCAGTTAATTAGAGGACTTTATTCAACCTTGTCCCTAGTGCCCAAGTCAGTGTTTTTACTCCCTCCGCACCACACCTAGTAAACGCTAGCAGTGTTAATAACGATGAGGGTACTTAAGTATGTAACTAGATATTAGAGTGGTTATATAGTTAAGCGCAAATTGCGCTTAAAACACTACTAGCTTAAGCCGTTGTATGGGTTGTTTGTATGTAATTCTACCTTACTAGTAAGGATATAGTGGGAAATGTTAGGGCGGTATAATTAGTTAGATTGGTTGTGTGAGGATCTAAAGGGGGTTGTGCGAATATCCTACTTCTTGTTTTTTTTCTACCACCTACTTGCAAACAAACATCTAGGCCACAAGTTTCGACCACAACTACATTTGACACCACCTCTCTCAACAATCATAATTGTCTTATATGAAAGTATAATGCACCGCTTTCTGATATCAAGACAGTTCTCATAATGGACGACCAAAACAAGACGCTGCTACTCCCCGAGCTGATCGAGCGACAGTCCCAGGCAAAAGAGCGCTTGAAGGCGACTCTAAGAGACCTCGCCAACGCCATTCGACTCATAAGACTGTATTCTCTTTGCACTGTTATTGACACTATATTCCTTTTTTTTAAAAAAAAAAACGCTGGGTCCTGAGCGTTTACCACAGTATAAAGGTGCCACATACATTTTATATGTGTGGGGATTAAAAATGAATCCACCTCAACTTATAAATGAAATCCAGAAATGAAACGATCGAATCCATTCGAACAGCATAGCGGATAAGCTGTTCAACACTGCACAGACAGTTTGCAAGAGCCGCGATACATATGAGCCGTGTTCAGCTTACTATCATCACCGAGTGTCTCATACATCACACTAAGTACATACCTACCTAATAAGTACCTAGGTAGCTTGCCGAAATAATACCAACTTTCCTATGGGCGTTGGCATTCAGAAGTAGTCTTTCATATGTGGTTTCGCTTCTATTCCGTATACATCTAAGGATATATATGGCGCCTTTATACGGTGGTAAGCACTCAAGACCCAGCGCTTAGAAAGAATACGATGCCGATAACGATAGTAATAATACGATAGCTACCTAGGTATGGTGGTGTAGAATGAGGATCCAACCTTCTTTAGAAGTTCGACAGAAGTTAAACCATTTACTAATTTAAATGGACCATGTCAAAGCTTGTTTCAGAGGAACAAGTCCCAAAAGATCATGTCTAAAGACAATGTAAACTATTCTGCAGGAGGTAATTGTACAAGTAGTTGTCCTGTAGGAAACACCTAAAACATACTACCATCCAAGGCTGTCCTATAGGAGGCTGTCCCGTAGGACGTTGTCATGTAGGAAGTTATAAAATTCTCCATCCCAGCCTATCTTCGCATACAATGTCAGCATTCTTTCGGGGGGTGTGGGTGGTCTTCGCTTGCGACATCGAGATTTCTACATTCTCTCCTGCTTGTAGCATGGACAGTCAGTTCACTACATATGTGTGAACTTGAGAGTGCTTACCACCGTATGAAGGCGCCATATATGTCCTCGGACGTATACAGAATAGAAGCGAAACCAAATATGTATGAACTTGAGGTTTTCAGAGGGCGTAATACGTACGACCGTCTCATACATAGCACGAGAGGATAGACCTAGGATTGGTGTGCTTGCTTGCTTGATTGAGAATTGATTCCAGTGGTATTCAATTGAAATGGACTTTTATGATCACCATGGCTCCCAAGCACACAATCCACCAGTGGTCAAACTATCTGCGCTGAAATATTCACGCTTCCTAAGCTCCTCTGAGGCACGAAAGACAGAGTGGTATCTGGCTTTCCTGATACTTTAATGCCACAGGTTATTTTCACGTAACCACACAAGTAAAACAGAATTAGCAAGACCTATGAACGCCCCCCAAGAAATATCCATTGCCTTTTTGTACTGGCCGGCCTCTACCGTTCCACCATCTAGACTTCATCATCTACAAAGGCTTGCCCTTGAGGAACTCAGACCACCGACGGACCTCAGATGGGATGCCCTCGGGCCGGGGCAGCTTCTCGCTCATGCACTGGGCGAAGAGAATCGCAGTCTGGTTGTAACAGTAGAGTCAGTATGGCTGTCCCGCCTAGAAGAAGGCATGTGCTGCTGAGGAATGACAACTCACCTGTGGCTCCATGAACAGGGGCACACCGAAGTCAACAGCGTTCCTCCGCATAACGTAATCTGTGTCCATTGTAGTCTTGCCTCTGGCCAGGGCAAGGTTGAACACTCCGCGGATATCGTACTTCTTGAACACATCACGGAGAGCCCGCTTGTCCTCCTTGGGGAACTCAATCACCTCAACCTTCACATTGTTCTTGGACGTGGACTCAATGAACTGCTTCACCTCGTTGTCGGCGGCAAACAGCTTATAACCGAGGGGCGACAGGTAGTCGACGATCTTGGTGAGCCACTCCTTCTTCAGCTCACCGCCAAAGAGGAGACCCTCGCCTGGCTCTGGCATGCGGAAGTTCATTGCCGATTGCATGCTGGCCCAGTAGGCGTCGACAAGGTCCTTACCGAAGCAAGCCATCTCACCCGTGGAAGCCATCTCAACGCCAAGGAAGGGGTCGGCGCCGGCAAGACGGGTCCACGAGAACTGAGGAACCTTGGTGGCGAGGTAGTCGCGCTTGACAGCCATAAGGTCGGTGGGGTCTGGCACCTGCTCGCCGACGAGCGCCTTGGTAGCCACGTCGATGAAGTTTGTTCCGAGGACCTTGCTGACGAAGGGGAAGGATCGGGAGGCACGCAGGTTGCACTCGATGATCTTGAGCTGATCCTCACCACCCTCGGGGTCCTGCGCCTTGATGATCTGCATGTTGAAAGGCCCAGTGATCTTCCAGGCCTTCGCCACTTTCTCGGCGATTTCCTTGACCCGTGCCATGATCTTGTCATCGAGGCCCTGGGGAGGCAGGACAAGAGTGGCGTCACCGGAGTGAACACCTGCTTGCTCAACGTGCTCACTCACGGCGTGCACGATAAGCTTGCCCTGGGAAGCAACACCATCGACGTCGATCTCTTGTGCACCTTCGATGAACTTGCTGATAACAACAGGGTGATCAGGCGACACGTTGCTTGCAGCCTCGAGCTTATCCTTGAGCTCGTCCTTGCTCCTGATCACAGTCATCGCAGCTCCCGACAGGACGTAGGAAGGCCTGACAAGCACGGGATAGCCGACTTGCTCTGCAAACTTCTCAGCCTCTTGGACGGAGGTCAGCTCCTTCCATGCAGGCTGGTCCAGGCCAATGCTGTCCAGGATCTCGGAAAACTTCTGTCTGTTTTCAGCGCGGTCTAGATTCATGAATTAGCCAACTGCGGTGCTTCTGGAGCATTCCGACTCATGGAGAAAAGGTGCGGAGGGGAAGAGCGGTACGAACCAATATCCTTGGGATCTGTGCCGAGAACGTTGGCCTTGCCAGTCTCCTGGAGACGCAGTGCTACGTTTTGGGGCAACTGGCCGCCAACCGAAACGACGACACCGCTGGCGTTCTCCAGCTCGTAGATGTCCATCACCCTCTCGTAGCTGAGCTCTTCAAAATACAGCTTATCAGCGGTATCGAAGTCGGTGGAGTAGGTCTCTGGGTTGTACTGTCCATTCACATTAGCAGGTCGCCTTTGATGCGTCTTGGTATAAGATCTCTTACATTGATCATCACAGTCTTGTGTCCCATCTTTCGGAGGGCCTGCGTAGCGCTCACGGCACACCAATCGAACTCCACGGAGCTACCAATACGGTACACTCCACTTCCCAGGACGACAGTGCCCTTGTCTTCGAAGGTGACATCGTGAGTCGAGGCGTTGTACGTAGTATATAAGTAGTTGGTGTCGGCCTGTGTGCCTGCATTAGTTCTGCTACGATTTCTAAAGTGTTTCTAGAACATTTCAAACAGGAAGATGGGAATCTGTGACAGGTGAAAAGTGATGCTTACGGGGAACTCGGCGGCAAGTGTGTCGATCCTCTTGACCCATGGCCGGATGCCGTATTCCAGACGAAGGCTGCGGACCTTGTCTTCAGTACTGTTCACGGCGTTGGCGATCTGCTTGTCGGAGAAACCGAGCTTCTTCGCCTTGTGCACGATATCCTTCTTGAGATCCTCGAGACGGCCAATGGCTTGGAGCTCCCTGGTCATGTCAACAATGTTCTGCAGCTTGTGAAGGAACCACTTGTCAATCTTGGTGAGCTCGTGGACCTTGTCAACGGAGTAGTTCTCGTGAAGCATGGCCTGGCCAACGGCGAGCCACCGGCGGTCAGTAGGGTTCTGGAGCTCAAAGTCGAGATCCTCGAACTTGTCACCCTGGAAACCAACGAACTTGGGGTCGACCTGGCGGATGGCTTTCTGGAAGGACTCCTCGAAGGTACGGCCGATAGCCATCACCTCACCAACAGACTTCATAGCACTGCCAATGTCGCGCTTAACATGTTGGAACTTGGCAAGATCCCACCGAGGGATCTTGGTGACGATGTAATCAAGAGAAGGCTCGAAGTTTGCTGTGGTGGTCTTTGTCACCACGTTGGGGAGTTCGGGCAAGCTGTGTCCAAGACCAATCTTCGCTCTGCTTGAGGTTAGTAGCCATCACCAAACATTAGGGATCTCACAAGGGGAGACTTGCGCCGTGTATGCCAGCGGGAACGCCTGCAGAGTTTGGAGTCAGTCATCAAGATATTCAAGGTGGCAATTTGAGTGAGATCAGGGGGAAAAGGGGTTTCGAGGAGGAATGAAATTGTGACCGGAAGCTGCTTACCGTCGCTTTGGATGCAAGAGCGGAGGAACGAGACAGACGAGCGTTGACCTCGATCACACGGTAGTCCAGGCCGTCCGGCTGCAGAGCATATTGGACGTTGCACTCGCCAACAACGCCCAGGTGACGGACAATCTTGATGGCTGCTGACCGAAGCATGTGGTATTCCTCGTCACTGAGTGTCTGACTGGGCGCGACAACAATGGAGTCTCCAGTGTGGATCCCCAGCGGGTCGAAGTTCTCCATGTTGCAGACAGTGATGCAGTTGTTCTCGGCATCCCTGACGACCTCATACTCCACTTCTTTCCAGCCCTTGAGAGATTTCTCGACCAAGATTTGGGGGGATAGCGTCAGCGAGCGAGCAGCCATGTTGCGGAGCTCCTCCTCGTTGTTGACGAAACCGGATCCGAGACCACCCAGAGCATAGGCGGCTCGAATGATCAGAGGGTAACCGATGTTGTTCGCAGCGTCTATTGCTTCCTCGACCGTGTTGACGGCGATAGACCTAGCGATGGGGATGTTGATCTCATCCAGGGCCCTCGCAAAGAGATCGCGATCCTCACTGAGCTCGAGGGTCCGGACGCTGGTTCCCAGGACCTTGACGCCGTATTTCTCGAAGATGCCCATCTTCTGCATCTGGACACCCAGGTTCAGGGCCGTCTGCCCACCGAAGGAGAGGAAGATGCCATCGGGGCGCTCACGCTCGATAACGTATGTGACATATTCAGGGGTGACGGGCACTACACAAGGCGTTGTTAGTCTTCATAGAACTCACTCAACCTCATGGCCGCCACGCGTCCGAGACAAGTCGTGTCGGATGAACTGATGGAGCTTCGCGTAATCGGGGGGAAAGCATTTACGGTAGTAGATTTCATCGGCGATGAAGTGGTTCGTCTGGATGGTTGCGATGTTGGGGTTGATCAGCACCGAGGCAACCCCAGCTTCTTTGAGAGCCTTCAGGGCCTGGGATCCTACAGTATGAACATATTATGTCAGTATATAAGTTCTTGTCATTACGTGCCGTGTGACTCATCTGACTCGACCAGTCGAGCTCCCCACACAAATTCACGATCTGGGAGACGAACCTGAGTAGTCGAACTCTCCGGCCTGGCCAATGGCAAGACCGCCAGATCCAATGACAAGGACCTTCTTGACGTCGACGCTCGCCTTGGGCTTAACCACGCCGCTCTCGAGGTACGCCTTTGGGTCTGGGGCGGACTGAGTGGCGGCGGCGGCCAGACATCTGGCGCTGCTCACAAAGTTGCGCTTCTGGACGAGCTGCTGGGCCTGGGCCTGTAACCTGGCAGAGGCATTGGAGGATGCAACTGTGAAGGTCCTGACCGAGCGGGCGGCAGGAACTGGGGCCCGTCGAGTAGCGGTTCGAAGGAGGGCGGGCGTTCGAGCAGCCAGCGCGATCGGCGCCATGGTGTGTGAAGGAGACTTGGGTGTAGAAAGGGACGAGTCCGGCGACGACGCTGGGCGCTGTTACCCAATTGCAGCTCTGGTAACCCTTTCCGTCCTCTTTATACCCAATTGACAGAGTCACGGAGTTGGAATCGAAAAAGTGAGGGTGTGATTCACACCAGGGACATGTGAACCCTGGGGGGCATTCTTTTTTCTGGCGGGGCGATAAGATGCTAGCATACCGAGCTCGCCCTATCAGTCCAGATCCAGGGCCAAGTTGGGAGCTCCCCTGTCCAAACTTTCAAAGGTCCCCGATTTTTCTTGTCCTCCGCTTGGCCCCGCCCCCCAGCCTACATACTGAAGTACTAATAAGTTACTATTACAGCTTGCGGAAATCTACCAGTCCACTGCACTGAGCAGAAGAGGAACGCGCCAGTTCCGCCCACCCACGCACCACGCCTTGTACTACTGCAAGCCCAGGGGCGTGGGCAGGGACCGGTCACAGACATGGTTTTTGGCTGATACTGTGTAGAAAAAAAATTTGAACCTCCCTCGTGCGACGGGGCTCCGAGGTAGGAGCAACACGTTTTCGGGCATGGGAAGTCCCGCCCATCGGCTCCGCCAGACTGGATCGAAGCATGGGGAAATGACGATGCCCGGATTGAGATGACTCTAGCGTCTCAATGACTCTTATTTTATCTTGGTTTGGGCTTTGGCAGAACAGGGTCGACTCGGGCAGTCGCGATCCCGTCCACACTTTTCTTGGTAATACCTACTGTGATAATAATAACAAGTATTCCATCACGGCAGGTATCTGCATCTGGCATGCGGTCTGCAGTAGATCTCCCACTACTGCCACTGGCAGGACTTCAGGAATGGACGCCGATCTTGGAGCTTCCTCGCTGCCCCCAAGCACTGGCAACGAGTTGCGCCAACCCAGAGCCCGTGGGGTCAATAAAAGCATCGGTATTCTCTCCTTCTTCTCCTTCTCGATCAATTGAGCGATCGAGCCCCCGGATCGTTCCCCGCTGCACATTACGTACTACTGCAATTTACATCTTGGTCCATGCTCGCGACAAGCCTTTCTGTTCTTGAGCCATCTTTCTTCTTCAAGAACGAAATCGACCTCAATTTGGCCATGAGGCAGACAGACCATGCATAATCCGCACTAATCTGCTCCGCTCCTTTTTCCTTTAATGCACTACTCAATCCAGATCTAGCCTCCGCGTTGGGATACCAGATTTGACCACCTCCCTCCGAAATACACGCTCTCCTGCTCCGTACACGCCGTATACGCGCCAACCCGCACCAACGCTATTTTCTTTGTATATTTCCCGCCTTCCCTTCTCGCGCGCATCCATACAGAGCAGCACGTACCATACCATACCATACCATACCGTATCATGGGTATATGCGCATCATGCCTGGGCGGCGGCCAACCACAGGATCCTGTCGAGCAGGACGAGGTTGAGTCCGGGCCACTGCTCTTTAGCGTCCCCAACGGGATGCACTACGGCAGCTTTGCGGAGCCACAGATGGCACCGCACACTGACCCTGCACGCGCTCAGCGCGAGACTGAGGCCCTGCAGCGGGTCGTCGCCCGCACCTCGGACGGCATGATGGATGTATATGACACAACAACACCCGGCGCCTACCCCCAGCATCAACCAGCCGTCGCGCGAGACCGTCAGGCACAGTACCAGTTCCTGCTCACCAAGGTCAGCAGCAACGCCACCTGTGCCTCTGTCGGCAGCTCGCTTTCTACGGACGACGACGACGACGCGCCCTCGCCCGGGGATTTCACACACATCAGGGCCGATGACAGGACAAGTCTGGTTGGCACCTTTAGGGAGGCTGCTGCGGCCATGGCGTAAAGATGCTCCAGGGTTGCTTGAGGGTTCTCAAAGGTCATGTTTGCCAAAAGTTTAGAGAAATGTAATCGACACGGAGCCAGACTCCAGACTTTTTGTTCTTCACAATCCTCTAGCCCAGTGTTTTCATCTCTTGTGACATGCACTCGTGATTTCTTGGAAATTTCTACATCTGATGCTGCCGCGCCCGGTTCCCACATCCATCTAGAAACGAACAGCCGGATTCCGCTCGATGAAGTTGAGGTCCACCTTGTGTCCGAGCAGCTCACGGATGTTCGAGATGCCGTACTTGATCATGGTCGGCCTCTCCAGACTCAGTCCGAAGCCGTATACCCGCATGTCCTTGGGCAGGCCCATGGGCTCCAGCATCTCGGGCCGGAACATACCGCTGTTGCCGATTTCCACGATCTTGTTCAGGCCCTTGTGGTAGCTGAAGATCTCCATGCTGGGCTCGGTGTAGGGGTTGTAGGCAGGCTTGAACTTCAGGTCTGTGATGCCCATCCTCTTGAAGAAGTCCTCCATGAAGGACATCAGGCCGCCCAGTGTCAGTCCGTAGTCGGCGACGACACCCTCAACCTGGTGGAACTCTGCTAAGTGAGTCGCGTCCACTGATTCGTTCCTGAACACCCTGTCGATCGAGAAATATTTCGCTGGCGGTGGCCGTCCGTCGGGGCCCTTTTGTTGGGCCAGCTTGTGCAGCACGGCTGTCGAGATGGCGGTCGTGTGTGTCCGCAGGACCAGCCTCTTCGACTCCTCCTCCGACCATGGGTATCTGTAGCCAATGGAACCGAACTTTCCGTTCTCGTGCACCGCCTTGATATTCTCCACGTACGTCTTGTAGTCGGCCGTGTCGTCTGGGCCCGTCGCCCGGGGAAGATCTGCCTGTTTAGGATCCGAGATGTAGAAGGTGTCCTGCAGGTCTCGGGCAGGATGTTGCTGCGGCACGAATAGCGCATCGAAGTTCCAGAAGCCGGACTCGACGAACTTGCTGGTCGGCATCTCCTGGAAGCCCATGTCGAAGAAGATCTGCCTGAACTCGGCCCGCACCTTGTTCAGCGGGTGCAGAGCTCCCGCTCGCTGGTCCGCCCCTAGTGCCTTGAAGTTGTATGGTTTGAAGGTTGCAGTCTTCCACGCGCCAGATTGCAGCATGTCCGCCGTGAGGTCTGTCTCCTCCTTGGTGATCTCCAGTGCAAACTTCTCGCCCTTTTGTATCCTAAAGTGGATGACCTTCTGCATCTTGACCAGCTTCCGCTTCTTCAGATCGTTGAGAATTTTGGCGTCGGGGAAGGTTTTTGTCTTTGCAATAGTCTCGAGCTGTTCCCTCGTCGTGTCCTTGATCGAGTCGGCCTGCAGCCAGTCAGTGTCAAGCCCTCCCCCCATTGGTAAAATCTAGAGGCACTCACAGAGGCCTTGAGCTTGCCATCGCCGGTTTTGGTGATCCATTTCTCCTTGAAGGCTTTGCCCTGGCCCATCTTGGTGACGTTCTTGTCACCAATGGCCTTCTCGAGGTCCTGGACCGAGAGGCCCTCAACAGCCTGTCGCAGCGCTTCAAAGACTCTTGCCTCGTGACTCCCATTCTTGACGATTCCCTCTGCCTCGGGCTCAAGGATCGCTTCGTCCTTCTCTATCGTTTGGTAGGTAACCATAGACCGTGAGGCAAGTTTGTCGAGTGCTGCCTTGATTTCTGCGAAGGCGCGGTCGGGGAAGCCTTCTTGGGACAGGATCGGGTCGGACTTGGACAATGCAAGGAGGATCTCCGAAGGGAGATCGCCAGACGACGCCATATTGTCGACCGTGAGTTGTAGATGGGCGGAAAATGATCGAGGGGGCGGGCAGAGTATCTGGGTATGTTGTAGGTCTAAAATGCTAATCCAGCCATTTTGAGTCAGAGCGAGGGTCCTCGGAGAGTCCAGAAAATGATCTCAACCCCTGCACGGCTGCAGGTGGGGGTGACTGTCTATACTGCCCGTACCTCTCTGCCCCTCCATCTAGCTAGGTACCTAGGTACGTAGGTAGGCACTGACTTAGGTACCTGGAAGTACGGAGTACCAACACAGCAAGTGAGATACGTACCTAGGTACGCTATTTGTTGCCTCACGATATAGGCTTAGGGGTCCCGTAGTCGACCGTCATCTAGGAAATCCGAACAGCTTCTCAAACCTGAAAACCACTTGATGAACCTGTGGTGACGGTTCTACAAATTTGGCGGTACAGAACGCATCGCTTGGTACCAGTGCTACGCAGCAGTCTGAGCCTATAAACTCCCTTCAAACGGCTGCATGGGTTTGGCACAAAATCGAAGCTATGTCTGACTCAACGATTAAGGGAAAATGAGGCTCTCGTGCATGTAAAACCATGTCAAACCCACACTTGACGGTCGAGTCTTCAAGTACTTTATCAAGTCTATCGCGCTTGAAGCGGTCGCTCGGCACTTCCACGACCACGTGGTAGGCCGGAACTTCTTCCAAGGACCAAAGCACTCGAGAGGCAGACATCAATGACACTGGCATAGATATTGGACGCGTTAACCATCATGGTCTAGCAAACGGCTGAGCCGTGTAAGTCCACTGATAGTCAGAGAAGTACTGACTGACACCTTCTACTTGGACAACGAGGTCTATAGTCTATCTATGGCTTCTTAACAGCCAAGAGTGGGCGACATGGTGCGGCACAATGACACTACTGAAGTTACGAGGGAGCCTACTCGGAAGATGGTGAGTGCCACTGAGGAGGTTGCTCGTAAAAGAGGCTTGCACCAGTCATCAAATGGCTTGGTATCCGAGAGCAGTTGGTATTATTGACTTGGTTGACTATCATTTTCTGCGAAAGATTCGAGAGAAGATGTTCCTTTCCAGCTATTTCCACACCTTGAGGTGGGTCAATCGTTATCGAGGAGTACGAGACATACGTAGACAAGGCATGTGTTGGGCTGCTAAGCGGTGGGATCGATGGCTTGGCGACCGTCGCCTCGACATCCGTCATCCCTCCAGCTTATTAACCATATCTACCACCCATCGTCCGAGCCCAGACTCTTGCACCCAGAGCACACCCCAGAGGCTCCAGAGGCTCCAGAGGTGTCAGTAGTTAATTACACAACACACAGACCGACTACCAGTGACAGCAGTCTTCACCAACATAATATGTGCGGCCCAATCTAGACAAACCCGACCCGACAAGCCTTCCTGACCAGGTGCGGCGGAGCTATGAACGATGATCCCACACCAGCGAGCTCTGCGGCCCGCTTGCCAACCCTCGACGAAAATGACAGCGACGCCAGATCCCAGGATGACGGCGACATTCCGGCGCCATCTACACAGCAGTCCCAGCGGCGGCGACCGTCTCGCACCGGCCGGCGGCGCTCGTCTTCCCGGGTACGCCGGGCAAAAGCCGGCATCGCGAAGAAGCTGGAATTCATGACCCACCTCATGAGCAGCTTGGACGTCCTGGTCTTCGCCGAGCTGTGTGTCCTGTACTACATGGAGTATGGCAACCCCCAGCATCACCCTCGCCGACCCCCCCCCTTCTCTGACGTTTGCTAACCTGTTTGTCCTCGAAGTTGCTCCTTTGCCCGTCTCGTCATGCGCTCCCTCGTGCAGTACATGTACCTGACGCCGAAACCCGAAGACTTTCTCAAACTTATGCCCGCGCCACGGCCTCAGATCTACACCGTCCTCGGCTCAAACATATTATGCATGCTCCTCCACCTCCTTCTCGCCCTCCCAGAAGCAAGCGAGACCATGCGGGGCTATCTACATGGGGGCGTCATCATCGACTTTGTGGGACAGAAGGCGCCGACGTCCAGGCTTGGCCTCTTGCTGTTGGACTGCCTGGTCCTAGTACTACAATGTGTCATGTGCGCGGTGTGGCTGGAGAAGGACCGCCTCAAGAAGATCGAGGTCACACTACGAAGCGTTTCCGCGGGGGGCGTTCCAAAGAGGAACGCCCACACCACGACGATCCCACAAGTGGCCAGCGTGGCCGCGGGAGACAACCCATCGACTCAGGATCTGGATGCCGAAGAGCGAGGCGTCCTAAGAGATGACCCGCTGGGCGAGGACGAATCCCGGGACATCGAATTACAGCCGTTAGTGACCGGCCGGCCGGCGCCCCAGGCGACTGCCGAGAGCAGCAGTACCGGGCACCTTGAAGCTCGTTATCAACGGATCTTGAGGTCACTGGGCGGCTCGGGGTCTCAAGAGCAAGGAGCAGACAGGCCGAGCTTACTGGACGTGCTGATGTCCGGGAACGGTCTTTTGGCAAACTTCCACGTCGTGCACTCCGTACGCACGTTAGCCGCCGAGAGTAACGGCGCCTCCAGCGTGGCCGGCTACCCCTTGCGTTTGACCGGATACACCACAACGTGGGCTGCGCTCGCCGCTCAGAGCCAGGCAAGATTAGAACGCCGTACAAGACAGCGATGATAGGCGATAATAGGCATAGCATGGACTTCTCGACAAAGCATCTGATTTTCATCAAACTCCTTCCAAAGAGATCCTTTGCGATTCTGGGATATTATGCAATCTTCCTGCCCACGTTGCCGACGCCAGTACCTTTCACAGATACCAATATATCGCCGGAATCATCGTCTTCGACCGGCCGTAGCCCCCAGCTTGCTCCGCCGAAACTCCTGAGGTCCCTAGCCAGCTGCAAAACCTCCTCAGTACCCACAGTATCCTTGCTTAACCTTAATCGCCCGACATCTTCTGATCCCATCGCCATTAGTGTGAGGATCGACCTGGCTGCTGACCACGGCACGCATCCTCCCCGTTGTATTATCTCCGCGAGTTGGTATGCGCACCGCGTGCCGATGTCCTCGGGTATCACACCACCCTCCGGCGGTGCAACCACGTCCGCAGAGTACAGCACACCTGGCACGCTGGACTCGGCCACCAGGCTGAGCCCAAAGCCTATGCCTAGCTTCTTCTTGGCGTTCCCTCCGGCGTTCTTGTCCGGCACCAGAGGCGCAGCGTCGTACTGCGCAGCAATGTGTATATCGGAGACCAGCGGGTTGAGTACCTTCCTCGCCTCGTGGATCATGCGGGCGTTGTTGCTCGCCGAAACGCCCGTGCAGTACGCGACGCCGCGGATCCTCCGTATCCGCCCGGGCGACCTGTGGAGGTGTAGGGTCTTCGGCAGGCGCACCTGGCTCGCGAAGCGCAGCTCGACCGAGCCACCACCGCCGGTCCCCCTGGGGCCGGGGCAAGACCTCTGAAGCACGCGGACCTCGATGCGAGCCGGGGGGATACCGAATAGTGCGTAGAGTGGGAGGATGGCTGTGCGGAAGGAGTCGATGGACATGTCGCCGGTGTTGGTCGCGGAGGTGATGACGCCGGGCCCCGAGAAGCGGACGTTCATGTGTGCTTTTGAGAAGGGCGCAAGGAGGGCCAGTGGCAGGAGGAAGTAGGTGACGCCCCGAGAGCAGTTTGCTGGGAGCGTGTGCTCGACGACACCGTCTGATGTGGCCCCTGCCCCAGCTACGCTGCCAGTGATCAGACCAGGGTGGTACGTTATTGTTGTGCCGGTGTAGGAGATCTGCATGGAGCTGCCATTGGTGACAGCCTCGAGGAGGCGGAGGAAGGAGACTTCATGAGGGGCGAGTCCAGGTGCAGTGGGAGATGAGCTGCGGATGCCGGAGATGTGAACAGGTCGGCCGGTCAGTGTCGAGAGGATCAGGCGGTGGGTGAATGATTTGTGGCCCGTCAAGCGTAGGTATTCGGGATTCGGAGTCGACATGGCGCTGGATGGTCGCTCGAACTGCGTTGTGACCTGAGAGTTTGGCAGGCGGAGCGTGAAGGACGAAGGAAGAGATCCAGAAGGAAAATTCTGACCGCCTTTGGCAGAACGGTCCCGCTAGGTGCTTATCGCAAGGCTATCAGCGACAAGCTCCCCAAAATTTGGAGCTTTGCCGCAGGGACGTCACTATAGCCATCTTTTCCCGCTCCCCGTCAAAGTGCTCCAACCTTCCCTGCTCAGATTATACCACAACCTCCTTGCCCACTCCTGTGTACATTCGCGATCTATGGCTGGCGTTGACGATTCTCGATGCCTCCGAAGACTGCTCTTGTGAGGTTGGCAACGCGAAGCAGCCCGTATGTTTGCCACTCCTGCCTCAGCGGCCTCGCCAAAGAGCGACCCAAGCCAAGCGCTGTCCGGTCCTATGCCAGGGGTGCAAAGGGTCAGGCTCGCCAGTCCCGTCACGCCAAACTGCCAACGCAAAACTCGACTCCAGAGAAGCCCCAAAAGCCATATACTGTCAAATACTTCGAAAAAGATGACAAGGGCGAGGTCCGAGAAGTGCCTGTGGGCGAGGATGCCGACGATGTCGACATGGATGATATAAGGGCCCTCGCGGCCAGTGTAAATGCGAAAATAAGGAACCTCGATGCGACACTGGAAGCAATGGAAAAAAAGTCCGAGTTTCTTGAAACGATCCTGTTGAAACACGGTCCTAAAGGCGCCCTCGAAGCATACAGGGACGCGTTAGAAACCTACGAGGAGGAGGAGCCCGAGACCAAGGGCATCCCTCTCCTTTCTGAGAAAAAGAATCTCAGAGGTGGCCACGAGCTACAAAAAACGAATCAACGCCTGAAGAACCTGAATAGGCTCATCAAGCTTTGTACAACCAGTCTCGAAAACAATCAGTTGAATCATAGCAAGATCTCGAAAGCATGGCAATATTTTGCGCAGGTCCGATCTGTCCTGGCCGATCCACAACGGCTAGTGCCAGAAAAAGCTTGGGCTGACATGTGGACTATCTTCTCTTGGGAGAGCGACCAGAATCCTCAACGTGCGGCCCATATCCTTGGTTTGTGTCAGACAATGGTATCGCACGGGGTCACCTTAAGCGATGAGCAGCAATTGTTGCAGATCGACGCTGCATGGGGTGAGGGCTTCGAGAGCGTAGCGGCTGAGAATTGGAAGAGACTCCGCCCTACCTTTGGCGGTAGCCATCCTTCTGCGATGGCTTTCTGGGATCTTGGGGTGCGTCTATGGTCACGCCTGGGGGATATAGAGCGTGCGGAAAGGGCATGCCAAGTTGTGCTGGAACGGGCGAGTGCTTCTACCCCTGCGGACTCTCGCGTGCTCCTACACCTCATCGAAGCATATCTCAGCACGTCAAATCTCGCCGATGCAGAGAAGGGCTTCAGGCTGTACAGGCGCATGAGGGATCTTGCAACGAAGCTCGAAAAGCCGATGGAGATTGACGATTATGACGTCGTCATTTCGATCTTCCTTGCAGCAGGCCACACCGATTATGCGATGTACGCGTTCACGGACATGATATCTGCGGGCGCAGTCAACCTGTACGGCAACAAGAAGTTGCCGAGCTCCGTGAACAACACGTTTTTCTTTGGCAAGTGGCTGAAGAGGCTCATTGGCGCCGGGGATCTTGATGGGGCCTACAAGGTCCTTGTCTACATGCAGGGGAACGGTGTCATGGCCGCAGCTGTGCAGGTGAATGGCCTCGTCGGTGCGTGGTTCCGATCCGGAACGGCAAAGAATCGCGCGAAGGCTGAGCACCTCGCATGGTCTATGATACACGCCCGAAAGGCCTTTGTCCAGCTGCGCCAGCGAGAAAGCAGCATGAATTGGCCCATCAGACTCTACGACGGCCGCCCCAAAGACTCCCGGCACAGCGACGATGACCTGGATTACACGATGGTGCCACGCGCAACTACAGAGACTTTCATCCTCCTGGCCGAGAAGTATCGCGAGCAAGGCCTCTTCGTCCAGCTCGAGGAACTGTTCGTGGCATACAAGGAGTGCGAGATCGGTAGAGACGCCATGATGATGAACGAGTTGATCATGGCGGCAGTAGAACAAGGCAACGCGGAAAAGGCACGAGAACTCTACGAATTGATGGTGCACGAGAATGAGATCCTGCCCAACACAGACACGTATGCCATTCTCTTCAAGTCGCTTCGCATCAACTCCCTCCGCGGGAGACAGCTGCACCAACTCGCCCCCGAGATCTCCGCCGAGTCGCAGGTCCAGGCCCGCGCCTTCTTCAGGGACATGATCAGCACGACCGGGCTGCACCTTGAGAGGCGACGGACGCGCCATGGCGAGCTGTCCGAGGACCAGGTGAAGCTGATCCTGCACAGCTTCCGCAAGTGCGCCGACTGGGCCGGCGTGATGGTCGCCCTTGTGTGCCTGCGGGACCTGATGAGGTTTAACATCACGCGCAAGGTGCTGCTGGAGATGATCGCCGAGTACGAGCAGATCGACCGGCCGTCGGCGCGGACGGCCAGAGTCGTCATGCTCACCACGATGAAGCTGCAGACCCTGATCGAGAAGTACCAGCAGAGGCGGCTGCTGGAACGGAGCCAGGGCGAGCCCTCGGGCTCGGGGTCAGGCTCGGATCTCGCGGCCGAGGCGGCCCAGGACCCGAACGAGGTCAAGGATCCACATATGTTGTATGACATACTGCTAGAGTACTACTTCGAGAAGGCAGAGGCGGACTATCGTGGTAGGGAAAATGTGAACCTTGCGTTCAAGGCAGCACAAGAAGAGATGGGCGCTGCTGATATTGCTCCGTACGAACATGATGCTGTCGAGGACGAGGTGGATTCCTCTTAGCAGGAGTTAGGGGTGCGCAGCGGGGCATGTACGAGCAGATGTAAATACCATATAAACAATATACCTCTCACCCAACTGCGAGGCGCCCTGGGAGTTGCACAGGAAATCGATGGGGATCTGCCACGCCTCACGGTAATGACCTGCGTCAACGCGACAATAACCAGAGAGCCGACTTTAGCATCTGTATTGGTATATTAGGGGCAAAACGAGTCGAATAGACCGTTCTGCGCAGTATCAATGCTTTTACGGCTGACGCACACCCACACATAGTAGCGTCTTTGCCATCGTCCTTCTAATGCTGTCTATGCCGTATGCCAGGAAACGCCGATACGCCCAACCCAAGTCAGCCTATGCTCCTGCTCGCCACCACAAGTTGAACTCTGCCCTTGCCATTCCTGTCTCGACACTTGCCTCCCGTGCCACCGCGTCAATTCGAATCCTTTTCTTTGATGGCGCATTGCGGGGGGGTCGAGTTCAGCCTAACGGCAGCAACGCGTTTAGCAAGATGTTCCGTGTCTGGGTCGTAATGGGGTGTGCGAGAGGAGGAGGAAGAGCCGGAGCTGCGGTCCAGGTCCACCAGCTCCTCACGGCCGCGTTTGGGGATTCTCTCACCAGTCGACTGTAAGATTGCCAGCAATGTCTGCCAACCATCTGTTGATTTGAGCTGGAACGCATCTGCTAGATCGTGGCCGGTTGCCACACGACAGAGGAGGGATTCCTCATCCTGTCCAGAAAATTAGTCAGACGTTCAGGGACGGCCTCGAAAGGTAGGCGTGTGTATCCATTGTTGCTATCTTATTGCTCACCTTGCTCAATATGCCCATGCCGTGGAGGAAGCACAGGAAGTGGAAGTTTGAGACGACAAGTTGTCCATTATCCGACTTTGAGCTGGCTTTGAGCTTCTGGGCCACAGCACTTGGATCCTGAGCCTCGCCCATGTATTCGCGGTTCTCGATGGGGAAACCGAGGTCCGTAAAGGTCGGTTGCGCATTGTCGGGGAAACCGTGAGTCAACGTGACAAAGAGGTATTCAACCGGGAAATCCGGTTTCGCGTTCTCTTGTACGTTGGCGCCGTACTCGTTGATTTTCCGGTAGAACACCTCAGGTATGTACCGTGTGCGGCTAGTTGAACCATCGTCTTCCTCTTCCTCCTGCACCAGCATTCGTCCAGGGTCAGCCGAAGGCTCTATGATGTTGGCCCTGACCATCTCAACGGCGTCGTTCGTCATTTGATATGCACTGATTTCAATGCCACCCTCTCCATTACCCGAGATGACACATGTGACAAAGTCCGAGCCAAACCGGCCCGTGTCACTCCATTTCGAGGGCTTGGGATGTTGCGCTTGCAAACGGGAGGCGAAAGCGATCTCCTGCGATGCGATGTAGTACGAGTCCTCGTGTCGCTTGCACACCACAGTTCCGTCCCCTTGGCCCGCATCGAGGAGATCGGTCCAGATCACACCGACTTGTTGCAAGCCGCACAATCTCGCGACATCTCCAACCTCCTTTTCGTTCTCCCAGGGATTCAGGTTGATCCCGTCTATCTCGTCCACTTGTGGCGGCTCATAGATGGCCTCGACCACAGCTTTGATCCCCAGCGGGACCACATCGTACTCTTCGTATCTACCATACAAGAAGCCAAGCCGCTGAGCGCCGGTCATGCGCCAAGCGTTCAGAAATGTGTCGATGATGGCCGGAGAGGCAAACTCGACGTGGTCGACCATCCGGAATTGTTGGGGCTGCAGCGTGATGGCACTCGGCTGACACTTAGTGCAGATGCCCTCGGGCCACTGCGGGTGGCCGGACGGACAGTCGCGTTTGACACGGTAGTAAGGTTCGACGAGGGGAGGAATGTAGGAGCTTCCCAACTCGGGCTTGTTCTTGTCTGCGTTGATCTTCTTGAGGTATGCATGGAAAGACATGTACTTGATCTTCTTGTCGTTGAGGTATTTGGAGTCGAATGGGTCGAGAGGCTGGCAGTAGTCGCACATGCCCTTTGGCCCGTGACGGCACATGGTGTCCATCTTTCGGGGAATCTTGCCACTCTTCTTGTCCAGGACATCGTCGAGCTTGGACTGCACGACAACCTCCCAAGGGTTCTTAATTCTCTCGGTCGGCGAGGTCAGAGGTGGTGGGTCGATGGGGAGGTCCTCGGTTGGCAGGATGGGCTTCCCGTTCAGTCGGTTCGTAGACGACGCCAACGGCGCCTTGCCCTTGTCTGTGTCGCCGTTCGCATTTCCGTTGCCCATAACCGCAGCGTGTTGGTACCTGATGAAGACTACGTCGCCATGTTTGAGACCGGTCTGGGCAATGCTCACATGCCCAACCTCGTCGACCGCCTTGAAGTCGTTGCCCCCGGGCGCGTTTGAGAAGGTAATGGTGGAGGGATCGACCGTTGGTGGGAGTTCGGCCAAGAACTTGCTGGCAACGTCTGCAAAGGAGTCTGTCTGTTCGACGTTGATGCGCAGCATGCCATCAGGCCCTCTGATTCTCAACAGCATCTTTTCGAGGAGCGGTGGGTGGGATGAGGGAGAGAGGGAGCGGGAGGCTGGGTGGTTGGGTGAGATATTGGGAGTCCACGGGCCTGGGAGGCGGAGGACAAGAAGGCAGCTTCAAAGCAGGCAGCCGTTGGAAGTGGAGGTTTGTTGGAGGCTTGGTCAAAGTGTGAGCAAGCCCAAGAGGTGTCTGATGGTTCAGGTGATTGGTATACCTGAGGAAGTGATGTGCCGGATGAAAGCTTGCCTCACCCCGCCAGAGGAGCCGGTGGACAGGGTGGGGGATGCAGCCAGAGTTCCTGGGGCAAAAGTGGCAGCTCCGAGGTTTCGTCATCGCTATTGCCTGCTCGAGCACAGACAAACACCTCCCTATCCGTACACAGTACAACCTAGGCAGACTGGTTGTTGGGGCAGGGCTCGGCAGGATGCCATTTGCAGAGTCTTATAAATTTTATGTTGCATGTATTGTTTGACACCAAACATTCAAGTAGTGAAGATGTTATAAAAGGTGCCATAACTTTTCCAATACTTCCCATTGCCCGGCTATTACATCTTTGGCAGACCTAGGGTAACACACACCGTGAGTGGGATACGGTGTGGTCAACCAACTAGCATGTAGTACTAGAATGCTGCGGTCTATTCTACAGGCAGTGACCTAGGAATTCATGGTCCTTATTCATGGATGATGAGTACTTATTCCGAATGAATCTGTACGGTTGTCACAAACTGCCTGTTTGCGGATGTCAGCCTCCAGAAGATGACCAGCCTAGGTATGTACCTAGGTACCCCCGTACCTGGTTACCTGGATGGGGCTTGCCAGCTCGGCAGGCACGAAACAGCCAGCACCAGGGTCCAAACGCCGGCCGCACCTAGCCCGTCGGTTGTGCAGTGCTATGGTAAACCTGTCTTTTTCTTTGAATGCGGTCGCGCTGGCTTCCCCGATCCTCACCTTAACGTACCCTCCCTCCCCACCAGCCAGTCGCAGACGTGTTGGCGCACTTAATTCCCACTCCTCTTTCATCTGTCGCTGTCGCTCACTTCTTTCCTTGTCTCCTGTATTGTCCGTTAAACCCCAACTTCTTTTCCAATTCCGCCAGGCTTCCTGCCCAGATTGCCGTGCGCCATGTTCTCCCTCGACTGGAGGGGACTCATCCTCCCCATCTCTTACATACTGGTGCTGGGCGGGACCTTTGTTACGTTCTCCAGCGTCTACAGGAAGCGCAAGGCTGGTGAGTGCTTTGGTTCTCCAATTTGTTCCGTCAGGGCAACAACTGACAGATGCAACAGCGCAAAAAGCAAACCTCGAGCCGTGGTTCGGCCCCCACCTGCAACGAAATGTCTACCTGTCGCTACTCCACATGGAGCCCGAGGAGGGCCAAGAAAAGGCTCCCCAGGTCCCCCAGAGCATCCTGCGTGCTGCCCTTATACGTCGCGCAGTTGAAGATATCCACCGCATCATCCAAATCCGCACCGCGAAGCAGGCATGCTCGACCCTGTTGCAGAGGGGGAGTGTTGGCGATGACTTGTGGCAGAGGTTCACGCGCGCTGAGAGCGAGATGGAGGCTGAGCTTCGTGATGTAGTTATGGAGGTATGTTGAGACATGGACAGGTAGACACAGACGTGGATGCCTCCGTGTGCCCGGTCCTTTCGACAAGCCTGCTTTGTGCTAACCCGGCCTTTGTCCTTGTCCAGGCCAATGGACTCTCTCCAAACTGGGGCCAGAGCATCTTCCAGAGCGCGAACGAGCTTGCCGCAAATGCCATGTTCCAGAAGAAGATCGAGGAGATAACCGCCAAGACCGCCTCCGAGAAGGAATGGTGGGAGAAGCGCCGCGCCGCCATCTCGTCCGATTTCATGAAGGAGCTGGACGAGGATGTGGACGGCGAGAAGTCGCGGCCCACGACGGCCCATAGCGAGGACGGCATCCTGGTCGACCCGAGCTCACCAGGCGATGGCACTGGAGCTTCCAAGAAGAGGAAGGGGAAGAAATAGGAGAAACCCCCTCGCAAGAGAAGATCCAGCGCTCGGAAGAGGGCTTGAGCGTACCACGACAGGGCCGGACGCTGCTATTCCTGGCTATCGGTTGCGCACCTGTGACTAGACAGGCCACGCGTGGACGGCCTGCTCGTGGACATTGTACAAATTTCACATTAGTTCTACGGAATCCTGAGCCTCACATTCCAGCTCGGCATTCACGGCATTGCTACGGTTGCGCGGCGTTCAAGGCTTACTTCTGTCTAGATAATCTGGGAATCAGACACGTTTCTTGATGGGCTCCCGGGGATTAAATGATAAATTCTTGCTGCGATAAAAATCAGGACTAAATCACCGCGACTCCTCGCTATGGATCTCTCTCGATAGTCTCGAGACATTCTATGGCAATCTCTGACATGCTCGACCGGCTAGGAAAACAACATGCGACGCTAGATGCCGATTGGGATGGGGGTTGATTGGACGTGATATAGAGGCTTCCGGGTGTACGTTCGTCATTGATACCATGGTAATTTCCTCCTCATGGCGTCGTCCTCGTCCTGTTTTATTCGGGCCTGTCTGGCCTCCTCCATGATTTCATCCTCGGTCTTGATATGTAATGGCGTCTCGCACTTATTTCACTTAACTGTCAGTCTTCAGCCTCTTCTCTCGCCACTCTCCACGGCGACGTCACCGCCGTCTTGTTCCAGGGGTCTGTCCAAGGCAGGGGAAGAATAAGTACTCACACCTCTGAGCCCGATGAACTTTCCGATCTTCCTCCGCTTCTCCTCGATTCCCAGCCCTTCCTCCCAGGTGATCGGGCAAGGGTAGTGCCGCGTCCACTGGCAAGGCGTCCGCTGGTGGTAGAAGTGCGCGATCTCGTCCAACTGCGCGTCCGTCAGGAGCCAGAAGTTGAGCAGCGTCGGCGGGAAGCTCGGGTGGATCTGCCCGCTCGTCAGCTGGACCAGCGGCGCGAGCGGCAGCGACATCTGCCTCAGCTTGGCCTCCAACGCCTCGTTGCGATCCGCCCGCCGGGTGCCCATGCTGCTGCTGTAGCTGTCGCCCACGGGCACTCTTGGTTGAGACGGTGATGGTGGGGGCTGGTGTTGTTGTGTGCCCTGCGGGCCGTTGTTCCAGTTGCTCATGGTTATTAGATGTCTCTTTGGATGGTAGGCAGAGATGATATGTTCTTCTCGAGACGAGGAAGAAGCGGGTGGGGTGTGGTGAATATTATCAAAAAGAGTCTGTCAAACCGTTATTGCTTAAATAGAAGAAATTTGAGAAGCCAAAAAGAGGGAGCTTCTTTCATCAATAGTCAAAACAGTTGGAAGGCCAAAGAGAATGATGGATGGGTGGTGTGTGTTACAAGAGACTGTGTGTCAGTTGGCTAAGGCCATCGCTGTGCCAGCAGCAACAATCTATTTGTCCCCTGTTTCTGTGTCGAGTGTCGGAGAACCGTGAATCAAATCGGTTCCCTGATTAAACGCCAAATGGTGATCAGTGCAGATCGAAGAGGCATGCGTGTCTGGTCTTGCGGGCTGACGAGTGCTACTTGTAAGGGCGCGGCTACAGGAGTTGGTCTTTGTTGTGTATTTTCGGGTCCCCTTCATTAGAGTAATTCTTGGGGGGGTTGTGCAAAAGGGCCCAGCCGTTTCTAAGAGGCCCTCGGACCTCCTTTGTGTCTTTCATATCGGCCATGTGAGCCACACGGTTCCTTAACTTCTTCGGCCGCAGTGACCGTCAATGAAAGCACCTTTATGAGGTGAGACATCATGACAGCTTTGGCAGTCAAGCCGCCAAATGGCCGGGAACTACACTTAGTCTCGTCCGCAATAGGACAAATCCAATCGGTGCACACCCGTTTCTCATGGTCCATGCCGAAAGCCGTTTCTCTTCACGTGAAAAGCTGCCCGTCACCAAGTCATCCCAATCACACTCCGGCCCAGACCGTGCTTCATAACCACTTTAGTCTAGCAATGTGATCGGCCCTCTTCTTGGTTGGTTTGACAAACCCCATTGCCTTCAATTCCGCAAGTCCCTGATAGAAGAGAAGCAAAGCAGTGCGTTCGTCAAGGCCGCTTTCGACACGCGATTTAGTCGCCTTGGTTCCTGGTCTCGATTTCGGGTTCTCTTCATCGTCGTCATCGCGGCCAACGAGCGCATGGAAGGCAGACCACAAGTCAGCGACGTTGACCAGCGCTCCCGCCTCCCCGTACAGGTGGTACAGGATCGACGTCGCCGGCAACGTGGAGGCGTTCCCATCAGCTGTGCTACAGCAAGCACAAGCCAGATAGTCGTGAGGCTTCGAGAGAGCACGCTCGAAAATGGCTCCGGGCCGCGGAATGAATACATCCTTGTGAGGTGATGTGGATTCATACATCCATAGCTCGTGAAATAGGATTGTGCTGGCGGGTTCGCACGATATTCCATCTGCAAGAGATCCTACAAGACCATTAACTAGTTCTGTGAAGGCCTTGTCTTCGTCTGATAGGCTCGTCTCGTCCCTGCTTAATTGTACTTTCTGTGCAACAACAGTGGTTCTGAGTTGCTTGGTCTGGGCAGTATACTGGCTGCGCAGAGGCTTTCCGGTCAACTGTGACTGAGATTGGAGTGAAGCCAATCGCTCCAGCATGTCGGACAGAGTGCGGATGAACTTCTTGTCTTCAGATGCCCATCCTTTCATGCCTAGCTCCCGGCTACCATTCCGGACCGTATCCAAGAGGCGCTGTAAAATCGCTAGGATTTCATCAGGAGACATCTTCTTGATCGAATCCAGAACGCCGCTCTCATCGGAATGCAGATCAATGCCATCATCGAGAGCATTTGTGTACATGGCTATGAAGCTTTCCTGGAGGAGCCCGCCAGCCTCGAGAAGCGACAGAGACTTGAGAAGCCGCGTCTCCCAATTCGCTGTGACTTTCTCAGCTGTCCTCTGCTGCTCGGCCAGGAGATAGGCGTCGTCATCAAGCATTGATCGCACGTGATCGAGTCTTCCTTTCTCTAGGGCATCCTCGATATGGGACCGGAACGAGGGAAGATTCCGAAGGGCTTCAAGGTGCTCTGGCTGTGGTTTCACCTCGGAAAGCAGAACTGATAGAGGGTTGGCGTAGAAGTGACACATATAGGCGTACTGCGATGTGTGAGCTCCTGGACATGCGTCAAGGACGGGAGACGGACTCACCTTCAATGAGTTCATAAAGATTTGTACGCCGGCAACTTGACTCTGCTGCCGCTCGACCAAATTACGAAGCAGGCCTGGTCCGATAATCAAGGGATTCGCTGCATGAGCGACAGCAGCCTTGAATATGTTCTCGAGAACGGATGACATCTGAACGACATCGAATTGGGCGCCATAGAGATTCTGGCTGGTCGACTTCGGCAAACGCGCTTGGAAGAGTTCAACCGAGGTGGCAATGCCGAAAAGCAGGGTGAACGGGATCCTATCTTTCCATGACCTGAGGTAAGACGTCAGTAACAGGTCCTCATAATAAGTGGGCAGACATCCTCCATACTTGAACAGTGTGACCAAATCGGACAAGAGGCCAGTGTCAAACGCCTCGCTATCCTGGAAAGCCACAATGACTTGTTTTGCCGAGTGGTGTTTCACATGTGTATGCAGCGCCTCCAAGTCATAATCAAGATACTTGCGACCCTGCCATGAGATCCTACCAGTTAGTCATACTCTCGAGCCAAGATCCATAATCGGCCCCCGACTCACATCTTTCCCAACAGACAGTTCAGCATCATCTCCGTGGTCGGGAGACGGCTGCGTGGCATCGCGGATGATCTTTTTCAGCGTTGCCTTTAGGTTCGGCGCTTCCGCCGACCTGAGCCTGACAAAGGGCCCGTTGGCAGTGCCGCCCAAGCCTTCGCCTAACTGCTCGAACAAGAGGCCCTGCGACGAGATGTTGGGCCCCGTGACGATCAGTGCTGCTCGAATCTTGGAATCCTCCACCGCGTGGGCTTCGCCCACGAACGAGGCGACTGCGTCCAAGGTACTGCGGTTCGACTCCTTGAGGACATGCTATAAATTACGGAAAAGTCAACAGGACTGATACTGGTCGAGTGCACGCCTTGATTGCTCTTGGACGCACCTGTATCCGGGCGTCAATTTCGGTCCAGGCATCGGTGAACAGCGCCTGCCGCTGGTTTACAAACTCCTGGTTCTCTGCGCCATGAAACAGCGGCACAAACTCCGACCCAGGCTGAAAATGGTCCCCGCCTCTGGGCTTTACAGCGGCTGCCTTTGCTGAGATCTTCCTGCGTTTCGCCGGGCGTGAGACCCGGTCAGTCTCGTCATCTTGCCCAAAAATGAACGCCGCCTGGAGGCCTTCTGTCAGTGGTAAGTCAACTGCAGACTAGGGGAAACTCACTCTGTGATCATCATGGGCATAGCCACTCTCTTCAGGCTCCATACTGGCTGCTGTCCACGTGTAATTGGACGTGAGGGCGGGTGTGAGGTGAAAGGACCCGGGCAGGTACCAGCCAGCCCCTGGCACACCGAGACGCGAGGCGGTCGCGTCTGCTTGTGAGGCGTATGTTACGTAAGAATCTGCTTCCGTACTTTTCGTCAACTTTGGGGGGGCCGGCACACCGGTAGTACCAAAGTCACGAGCCCTTCAGACACAGTCTTTCTCTGTTTGGACTGTTGTTTTGTTCTGTCATTTGATTCGTTCTTGGTACCAGCTGAGCTAACTGCATTATCCCAATGAATTCACGGCCTTTTTTTCTTGCTCGCAAAAAGATGATGCCTTGCGCCTCTAACAAAAAGCGGCACCCTCCTTTCTCGGCAGCTTGCTGCCTGCCAGGTTGTCGTTCTAGGTCTTGCAGAAGAAACCGTGATTGTTCTCTGCAGTCCGCCCGCTCCCACTCAACCGTCCAACCCAATTTGTTCTCGCGCTAGGGACAACGCTCCCTCCAAGTTTCGTCAAGACAAAACGTATCCCGGTCTTGCCCGGCCTAGAACTGTAGGGGAATGACCGCACTCCCGAGAACACCAGCCCACCTCAACCGTGGCCCCTTTCGCATTGTAAAGCAAAGAACGCAGGTACTTATTTTACAATCAACACCGTGGTCTCAGTCCCAGATCAATGGCGTAATTCACCGGAACCCACTCTTCATTGTTGGGCATGCCAGCCCTCACGCTGTAGCCTCAACAGCTGCAGAAGACTTGGCATTCTGTTGCGAACGTTAGCTTCCTGCGTACCCAGTAAACCTTTGTCGGACGATCGAGCGGGAAGACATGTATGTAGAGCAAGGGAGTTCACACCTCTTCAGTAGCTGGCTTTTCCTCTGGCGCAGCCTCTTCCTTTTCATCCTCCTGCGTATCCTTCTTCCCTTGCTCCTTGACCTCGGCCTTGCTCTCCTCCGGAGCCTCAGCCTTGGTCTCGGAGTCCTCAGTCTCGGCCTTCGCGACACCATTGGCGCCCGTCTTAGCTTCCTCTTTGACTGGGGCCTCAGAGTGACCGTTTACTCCATTGGTTTCCTCAGGTGCTGCAGAAGTAGGGCCCTCCTCCTGCAAGAGCTTGTTCCACTTCTCGAGCAGGGCTTGCGACCGGGGCTTGAAATTGAACTCCTCCTCCTTGGGAATCGAGTCCAGCTTCAGCATGGCCTTCAGCACCTTGTTGATCTTGGTAGCCCGGATGATCTCGGTCTCGAGATCGGGGAACTGCTCAAGCTTCACCAAGTAGTCCGAGAGCACTTTAACCTCGTCCTCCTTGGGCAGCTGGTCTCGAGTCAGAAGACCCTTCTGGAGCTTGTGGCGAAGGAACAGGACCTCCTTCTTCTTGCGCTCGAAGCGGTCTTCAGCGCTCATCTCGGGCTCCTTGGGAGACTGCGCCTTCTCTTCCTCGTCGGCTTCCTTAGCGGGCTTCTTTGCCTTCTTGGTCTTCGCCTCACCACCGGCCTTGGCGGACTTGGGCGTGGCGCCATTGGCAGTCTTCGGCGTCGCATTATTAGTGAGCTTGATCTTGGGCTTCTTCACGGATTCGGAGCGCTGGGGTGTCTCGGAGTCCTCGGTGTTTTTGCGCTTCTTCTCCGATTTCTTCGCCTTGGTTGTGGGTGGCTCGTCATCGACATCTTCCATCTCGACGTCCTCGACGTCGGCAGATGATTTGGCCTGCTTCTTGGACTTCTTCGGCGTCGCAGCGGCGGCGGCCTTGGCCTCGGCGGCCTTTTGCTTCTCAATGAGCTCCTCCTGGAATTGCTGCAACAGGTCCTTGTAGTACTCCAGGTTGTGCCCTTCGGCGGCGATTTCGTGGGCCAATTGGAGATCCTTGCGCATCTTCGGGGTGATCAGGTCAGATACCTTGTCGGAGTCGAGATCAACCAAGTCCTTGTTCGAGACCCAACCACTGTATGCCAAAGTTAGTCTAGACCCTAAACGATTGAGATCACTTCGCAAAGTAGGAGTTTCTCACAATTCGTTGGTCGCGAGGTACATGATGGGAAATGTCCGGTCGGCAGCGCGCTTGCCACCATCGGCGAAGTCCTCACGGTAGGTCCCATCAGTTCGCATGGCACTGACAGGTCGCGTCTTGATAAGTGCGTGGGGCAGCATGTCCTCATCGCAAATGATGCATGGCCACTGCGGGTAGCCCTTGAGCTTGATGAAGAAGTGCTGGCCGGGCTGAGCATCGATGTGTGTTATAGCAGCTCGAGAACCCTTCTTGTTGAGCTTCTTTCCCTTGGCGCTGTCTGCGCCAGCAGTGGACTTCCTCCGAGCGGGGGTCTTGGTCTTGGTCGCGGCTGCGCTGGCGTCCTCTCCGGCGGCGGCGTGCTCTGTCTTGTCCTCGGTAGGAGCTCCCTCGGCGGGAGGGGAGTTCGTCGCGTCTGGGGCGTCCTTCATCTCAACGTCGCCGTCTTCAGCGGGTTTCTCGGCTGGGGCTTTGCTTGAATCTATGAGTTCGATGGGGTGGTCAGCAGACGATCGCATTGACGAGGGGTTGGTGCATATTCAGGAACAGGCGAAGACGACACGGGCTTTCCTTACCTTCAGCTTGTTTGGATGCCTCGTCCTCCTTAGCTGGCTCGGCAGCTTCCGTATTTGCCTTGTCCCCTGCGGGATTGGGGGCCTCGGCGTTTGCCTCAGCAGCTGCAGAGACAGGCGCGTCGGGCACCTTGGTGTCAACAGTGGCGCCGTCAGCTGCACTGTTGGCCTCCGCTGTAGGCGCAGCAACAGGTTGCGCACTGCCCTCGTCAGACATATTGAAGATGGTTGGGCGACGTGATGCCTCGGCGCGTTGGGGGAAACAATGCCCGGGGGTCGATGTGAACCGACGTGAATGCACGCGTTATTCGCGTTGAGGATGGGTGGGGATGGAAAAATTGATGCAAGTTGATGACAAGGGTGCACGGGAAGCCGCCAAGATGATGCGGTGGGAAGAGGGAAGGAGATGGTGACAGTGGACGAGCAGTGTCGGTGCTGGTCCGGTCTATCTTTGTGGAGTTGAAAGTTGGAGACGAAAAGTTGGGCGACGGTTCGATGGCAGGAAGGCGGCGCAGAACTTTGGCTGACGAAAGTCAATGGGAGGCGGGAGGCGGAGACAGACACAGAGGAATCCAGGTGGACGGAGGGCGAGGGAGCAGGAAACGGAAGGCTGGAGACGGCCGCGCGCTCTGTGTCCAGCTTGAATTGCCCAAGTACGAGCTGGGGTTCGCGGTGCTGGGCGTTGGCGGGTGGGTACCTGCCTCTCTCGAGCTTGCGAAATCCTATCTAACGGCCCTGACCAAGGTGTCACACACCCTGCCCTCAGCAAAGCCTGCCTGACGCCCGAGCTTCCTCCTCGCGCCCCCTTCCACGCCACTCCGTCCATTTCGTGGCCCAGGCCACTCGACAGCCTCCTATAGGACAACCTCGTATAGTGCAACGTCTTATCAGCCACCCTCTCTTTGCATAACCTCCTACAGGGCAGCCTTTCATCGCCCATCCTCCCGTCAAAGCACACCAGCACCGCCTGGCACCGTGAATGCCCTCCACACAGGGCATCACCGCCATCGACGCCTCCATTCACACACCAGCGCGACCCACACACCGCGTCTCCTCTGAGATCAGCTTCGTCATTCCCCTCGTCCTTGCCCACCACGGCCTGTGCACAGGTTCGTATCGCCTGTCCTCTCCATTAGGCCCAACTTTTCCACATGCTCTCAGTCAAACGGACAGAGACTGGCAGATCGTAGACCCCGCGTTGAGGCAAACCGGGGGGGGGGGGGGGTAGGTGATGTGGTAGCAGTCCAGGCGGCCCACTGACGGGCACGCAGTCGTGTGAACACTGCGGCGGCGGTCACGAGCGACACGGAATGTAAAACACCTTTCAAAATAACTGGCTTTTCGTTGTGATACTTGCCTACGGTTCTCCTCAATCTGATAATCCTTCCGGCTCTTCAGTCTTTGGGTAGGCGACAACTCGCTGCCCATTCGGCTTTCTGTTCCGTTCGTCAGTCGCCCTTACTCGTCCTCCTCGTCCTCGTCCTCGTCCTCATCTTCATCAACTTCCATGCTTTCCGCCACCGTCACATTGAAACTAGGCTCCTGGTCGACTCCGATGTAGCAATCGCTCATCAAGAAAAGCTTGAGTTCGTGCTCCCCAGGGGTCGGCACCGTGAACTCCAGCTTGACATTCAACTTGCGGCCAACTGTCACGCGCTTGATTGCTAAGAGCGTCTTGGTGCTCTCCTCGCCCACCACAAGCCACCAGTTCTCCAACTTCCTTCCAGGGTAGAACGGCGCATGAACCACGGGGTCAACCTCATCGTCTTCTTCAATCTCACGCTCGATTCTGATGTTGAGATAAGAAGCCTCGCCAGCACGGAGGTTCTCAGGGTCTTCAACATCGAACTCCAACGACACGTCCGGATACTTCTCATTGGTGAACTTGGCCGCATCCTCCAGTTGCTTCTGTGAAAGACCCATGGCCTTGACCAGCTCGCCGTACTGGGGGTTCTCCTCGGGATTCATTGCTTCCATGAAGTCGAAGACATCCTTGACTCCGAAGCTGTTTGCCGCCTTTACGACGTCCGGCGTGAAGTGGGGGATCTGCTTCAGTGGGCTGTCGCGGTCCCACATCGCCTGAACCACCATCTGAGACATTTCCATGGCGTTCATGGCGTTCAGATGCCCGTCTGACGAGAGGATATCGACCGTCGCGCTGAGGAGGCTCACGACCTTGGAGACGATCGTTTCCTGGTCCTTCATCAGGTCAATCGGAAGTTGCATCCTGGAGAAGTGGGCTTGCAGCAATACAAATGCCCTGAAGTGAGGTGAATCATAGTCCGGCTGTGCCATCTTGACAGGCACACGGTCATAGATACGACGAAGCAGGCTATCCTCGTGTCTTCTGATTTGTATTGCCTCAAACTCGGTGGCTGAGGTGACGATTTCGAGGATGCCCTTGAGCTTCGTACGGGCGCTGAGCGAGAGTAGAAACGTCTGCATGGTGATGTAGGAGATGTTGTAATAGGCACCAATCATGGCAGCGTTCTGAGGCATTACCGAACCGTCTTCCTCATCAAACTCGATGATCTTTGACTCGTCCAGCTCTCTCAGTGTTGTTTCAACGAGGTCGGAGAGGTATTGACTAAGCCCATCCTCGGTGGTGTTGGTCAAGCTGTAGAAGCTAGGATTGGCCAGGAGACGCCGGTAGAAGTATGTGAATGTCATCCACGCTATTGCGTCGTCGCCAGATTCTATCATGCGAGTGCTGATCTCCGTAACAAAAGCATCGTGCAAGTATGAGTGCAGGTGTGACTCGACCGGCAGAGCCTCGTTGAGGAACTTCTTGTAGTACTCCCTCTTCACGCCGGGGAGCATCAGAACTCCGCGCCCGCGGCCATCCTTCGAAGACTTCAGAGCTTTGCCAAACATTTGCAGCACGTCCGTCATAGGATAATCCACATAGCGGTGCTCACGACCTTCAAAGTACTGCGTACCCATCACGACGACAAGATGCGCAGTGCAATCAAGCTCCCAGCACACATCACGCGATGCCACCAGGACTTGTATGGCCCCGTTGTCGTACAGGTATTTGACAATTCGTTTGTCATCGGTGCTGAGAGCTTCATGGTAGTAACCGACGCCATGGGACAATGCCTCAGCAAGTGCTTCTTCACTGACACGCTCCAAGAGCGGTTGGATCTGCTCCACTTCGACATGAAGGAACCTATCCTCGTCGTCTTCGGCCAAGCAAGCGGTGAGAATGTCTCGAGTGGTCGCACGCGTTTGTTTCCTGGAGGGAACAAAAACCAGCGCAGGTTTGTCTGGGGACATTTGAGTGATAGCAAGGTAGGTCGGCCGCGCCATCGCCAACATGAGTGAAGGGAAATGGGGGATTGTGTAGCTCTGGATATGAAGCTCCAGTGGTACGGGGCGTACGTGCGGACTGAAATTGTAGATGTCGTGCGCCTTCGCTCCAATCCACTCTCCAATGTCTCTTGCATTAGCAAGGGACACACCAAGACCGACAATCCTCATTGGCAACTCAGTCTGAGTCCGGATGTAGTGCATCCTGGAGACGATGGTCTCGTACACGTAGCCCATGGAGGCACCGAGTAGCTGCAACTCATCCGCAATGAAGAGCTCGACAGTCTGCACGGTTTTTCTACGCTTCCATTGCCTGGAGAGGACGTCCCACTGAGTCGGAGTCGCAAGAACCAGATCTGCGGCGTCCAAGATCTTGATATCGGCTACCGTTTCACCAGTCAACTTCATGATGTCTTTGCCGCCTTTGAGCCCAGACAGGCGCTTCTGCCAATCCCGAAGCCGAATGTCCACCAGCTCCTGGAAGGGGGCAATGTACACGGCGCGACCCGCGTCGGGCTTAGACCAGAGATGTAGCAGGGAAAACTCTGCACACACAGTCTTGCCGCTCCCTGTAGGTGCACCTACGAAAACATTGTTGTCTGTGGTGTACAGGGTGTTGAAAGTCTGCGTCTGGACTTTGTTGAAGTACTCCCATTGAGGATACAGAGCTGTGTACTCCTTGTTCTTGAGGGCTGAGGGTGGTAGAGGCTGCAGATCAAGAAGTTCTGTATGAGGTGGAAACTTCTCGGGAAGGATGAGTTTCTGGAAAGAGACTGCGATACGTGTTTCGGAATGCATCCATCTGTCAGAGATAACGGAAATGAAGTAGTTGGGAGGCATCGGTTCAGTGATCGGCACTGTAAACTCCACGATGTGCTCGCTTGTTTCTGATTCGGCGTAATCTTTGCGTAGAAGGAATGTGTCGTGGAAAAGAATCTCTTCACCATCGCAGTCCTCGACCAGAATCCAGAAGCTCTCAGCAAGACCGTGTATGTCTTCATCCCATTCGAAATTGGGGGAAATGGTGAGTTCAACGCGAAGCATGGACCGTGTCAGCGGCTGGATCTGAGCCTGAACCTCAACTCGAGGGAATTTGTTCACAAGCCCGACGACTGTTCTGCCAGCCTTTGGCATTCCCAAGAGCTCGCCCATGCGAGGCGGATCCAGATCAAAGAAGTTGCTCCATGGAACTTCAGTCCTCTCTGCCTTTTGCACGATGTCCCTCGGGCAACTCGGGAATTGGCGCAATGGTGTCATCGTGGGCCACATTCGTTTCTCTGCCATCTTGCACAGATTCAAAGCCGTCTTCGCCACAGAGGACCAGCCTTTCTTCAGTGCAATCTCGAAGATGGCTCTCAGAATACGTCCTGCGGACTGCGTCACGTACACCATGTCGGCCATCAGAGCCAAGCCGTCGAGCTTAAGACGAGAGATGTACGCCTGCAGAAGTACATTGATCTTGCAGTGCGGCTCTTCAATGCTCTCCTTGACAGGTATCGGGACCCGTCCCAGCAACTTGGCTAGCTCGAGCTTCTCTTCTTGGCGGACGGGAATGTATTTAAACTCAGCGCTGAGGGCGAATACTCGGAAGAGTTCGATGTTGGTGATAGACGGCTGTATGTGTGTATTGTAGGTCTCCATGGATCCGTATGTGATATAGTAGTGCGAGGCAATGCGGCCCAGTTCAGTTGCTTGCATGCGCCCGCTCTTCTCGTCGTATTTGATGAGGTTCGCCTTGCGGAGGACGTGGGCGGCAGAATGAATTAGATCAACCCGTTTCTGCTCCAAACCCTCGTCATCCTCGTATTCGACGCCAACGCTGTAAAGTCCCGGCGATCTCAACATCCTCACGAAGAGATATGTGTAGCCAAGCCAGTCCACACCCTCGTCCCGAGAGCGCACATTGCCCAGAACAACCTCCGCGTTCAAGTTGTCGACCAGACGGCTTACCAGCTGACTTTCGATAGGCAATTGTTGATTCATGAGCGAAAGATAATATTGCATCTCAGTCTGGGTGGTGATGATGATGCCTTCACCGAATGTGTCATACTGGGGCCGTCCAGCACGACCCAGCATCTGAAGGACATCTTGTGGGCTGAGCTCGACCCAGCTACCTTTCTCTGGAGAGTAAACCTGCGTCCCTTTGATAATGACCGTGTGTGCAGGTAGATTAACGCCCCAGGCAAGGGTGGCTGTGCAGACAAGCACCTGAATGTGCCCACCCTCGAAAAGCTCTTCCACGTCGGTCCTGTCAGCTCTACTCATACCTGCGTGATGGATACCAAAGCCGTAGGGTAAGATATCTTTGAGATCCTTGTCGGTCGCTCCATCCGCCGTGACCTGCAGGACCTCTCGGCTTCCGACGTCGCTCTTGAGGATCTGGTTGATGGTGTCCATCTCCAGCGCCTTGTCACGAATGTAGCGGGCAGTTTTCGCGGTCTCCTTGCGCGAATGCACGAAGATAAGCATCTGGTTGCGATTCTTGCCCACATGCTCCAGCACTTTGTTGTAGGTGACGTCGTTCATGACCTTCAGCTGCTTGATCGCCTTCCTTTCGGTCACGCCGATGAATTCTTGACGCAAAGGGCAAGGCCTGTATGATCCATCAAAATGAAACATGCCTTTCTGCGGATCGACTCGAAGGAAGCTGGCGACGTCTTTGTAGTTTGGCAGTGTCGCGGATAGACCAATGATTCTCACGGGTTCTCCAGTCTGCTCCGTCTTTCGAATTGTGCGGGACACGATGCTTTCCAGGACGGGCCCACGGTCATCATGAAGAAGATGGATCTCGTCGATGCAGATCAAGCGTACAAGGTTTGTGTAGGACGTGTCGGTCGCCTTGCGAGTGATCACATCCCACTTCTCCGGCGTGGTGACGATGATTTGAGTCTCGGCAATTTGTTGCTTAGTGAGTTGACGATCGCCAGTCAATTCGGACACTTTGATGCCATAAGGAGCCAAGCGGCTGCCGAAGTTACCAACTTGTTCTTGGACCAGAGCCTTCAGAGGCGCGATGCTGACAATCTTGAACGAGTCCAAGTCGATGTCTCCCGTCTCTGGATCACGATGCTTGCCGATTTCTCGCAGCATTGCCAAGAACGCAACGTTGGTTTTCCCGGATCCTGTAGGAGCGCAGACAAGCATGTTACCGTCGTCTTCAAAGGCTGACGGGAAGCATTTGGATTGGATTTTGTTGAGGGATTTGACCGATTTGAAAGGCTCGCGTGCCCATTCCGGGATCTCGGAGATGGGTATCAGGTTGTCGCTTGGGTCACTTCGCTTTTTGGGCGGCGGAACGTGTATCTCTTCATAGCCCTTACCCGCCCGTTTAGTAGATCCCTCTGGAAGTCGCACCTTCGGATTCGTCATCAAGTGATTCCCCTGATCGAAGACGAGGTTATCCAAGTTGATGAGCTTCTTGGGTTGGAGACCGCCTATGAGCTGGCCCTCTGGGTGCTCCGGCTCCGGCGCCTGTTTGTGTTCAGGCTGGTCCAGGTCCATCTTGATCTCCAGTTTTCCCTTCTTCTCCTCGCCAGTCTTTCCGTGAAGTTCGTCGAGAATCCACTGCAAGCCTTCAGAGACCATTTCGCGCTCCAGCGTCTCACGAGCCTGGGCATTCTCTGCTCGAGCGATTCTGGTGAGCCAAACGACCTTTTCCCTGTTCGAAATGAGTTGTTGTACAATCTCATGGTGGTCCCAGTCGAATAATCCCATGAGATCGTTTTCAATCTCTCGGAGCTGTTTTTCTTCGCCGCCTTCCTCGTCTGGCTCGCCTGACAGGATGCGTAGGGCCTGTATCGTCTTGTCGTGTTGTATATGGGCATCTGGGTACAGCCGGCCTATTTGTCGTTGCAGCCAGAATGCATCTATCTTGAAAGCAGGGATGTAGTTCGTCTCTTGGGTCTTCTTCTGAGCTTTCCCCGCCGGGGCTGATTCGATGACCATGGCGTCGCCGTCAGCCAGGCCGGCCTCGTCACCATCCTTTTCATCTGCGGCACCTGCTGCCCCAGCTTCCTCGTCGAGCCCTGGACGATCCTCGTCGTCATCCTCGTCTTCTGATGACTCGTCTCGAACTTCGTTGACGATGCCATCTGCGTCCTCATCGTCCTCTTCGAAGGCGACGGCAACACCCTGGCGCTCGTCGATCTCTTGGTCGTCGTCAGCACCGTCCATCTCTTCATCCTCATCCTCCGCATCGTAATCCGTGATTTTCTTGCCGAGGTTGACCAGCTCATTGAACTCCTTCGGACTTAGAGACGCTCCGAGGAGATCGTCAATTTGCTTCTTCTTGTCGAAGTCCTTTACATCCTCGTCCTTCAGATACTCCAATACGGCGTCGGCGGCACTGCTCACCACTTCTTGGGACACTTCGCCCAAATTCTTGGCCACGATGGTTAATATGAAGTCGAAAGTCGCTCGCGTCGCCTGGGTTCTCGGTCGGTATCGGATACCCTCGACCAGGGCGTCAGCGCCAGACAGAATGCCGCCGCCTCTTGATGGATCTGCGCCCTTCTTCTTTTGTTGCCGCGGGATGTCCTCGCCTTCCCGCACTGAGCCTCTTTCCACCGCGGGAATGTGGGATTTCCTCTGTTTCGGCGCCGCATCCCGAGCAACACGCGCGCCCATCTCCTGTATCGAGAGACGGCCGGCCAAAGACTCTGGGTCCCCTGTGGCCTCATCTGTCCGGCGCGTAACAAATCGACGGTCCGCCTGGAGAACCAGGTTGGACATCGCCGAGTACTTGTACTGCGACACATCGCGTTGGTAGTTGTCGCCCGACATATTGGCGATTCGTGTTCTCTATTGACCAAAAGGTTCGGCGCCCAGCTGGTCACAGATTATGCCTTTTTTTTTGTGCTGCAAACAGTGATGCTTGTAGTGATCAGAGCCGTCGTGCAAGCTTCGTGTTGGTGGCGGGGAGAAGGGTTGTGCAAGGAGATCGAATATTTGGCAGGCAGCAGGCTGGCCGTAGCAGCGTGTTTGGGTTATAGACACAGAGGCGTCACGAGTGCCACGGTGGCGGCGAGGACCTGGTGGTCACAGGAAGTGTCGATTATCTCATTACAACGCCAGTAGGAAAGCGTCAAATTGGATCTCCAAACGCTCACCAGGGCGAGGGGAGGCTGGCGTTTGTTGCGAGTGGGTTGAAAGTGAAGTCCGGATGCTGTGTTGACGAAGTGCAGAATGAGAGTGGTCGCAAAAGTGTTAATTTTCATGCACCGGTCGACCGGGGTCTTTCCCACTAGACGCACCACTAGACGCACCACTAGACGCACCACAGGTGCACCACCCCTCGCACAGGGGCTGTCGCCTGCCTGAGCCCATCAGTCTTCATGTGCAAAGCAAACACACTGCGCACTCAAACGAAGAATTGCACCCGATGCGCTACGTCATGAACCTCGCTCTCGAACTATTCCATGAGATCTTGGTCTAAAAAAAAAACCCTTCCTGAAGCATGTGTCCCAGCGCCCCCGAAACAGTCGAAAGCATCCAGGCGGCGCTAGAGCCTTACGTTCGGACGCGTGAAGAGGTGTCGCATATCCGACGGGTGCTCGCCCTGCACCTTCTCTCAGCTTATGAGAATGGTCCTCAGCCCGGGTCTCTGGCCTTGCCAGGGCCAGACTGCATCATCAACTCGACAGCTGGCGTCCGTGGCATTCAGAGGGATTATCTGAAGGCACTTCATGCCAACATCAAGGCCAAGCAAGACCAGGAGGTAGTCAGGCAAGCGGTACAGGAAGGCAGATCTTCTACTACGAGAGGAATTAGTACCGCTAACCGGCTGGAAGAGCATGTCACCTCCATCAAGCTCGAGAGAAAGCAGGCACGTCTCCAGGCTGTCGAGAGATACATGGAGGCCCTGGGCCGAAAGCCGGCTGCAGCGCCAGAGTTTGTGCGGCCAGAGGAAATATTCAAGGATGGTCACCGCTTGCCAGATGTACCCAAAACCGTGGTCAGCGGCTTTTCTGTCAACAATGGGCCAGCCAAACCCGACCTGAAAGCCCTCGTCGATCGCTTGGAGAAGGCGGTGCTGAGGTCCAAGCTACTGCTAAAGAAGGAAGAACAATTGCTGGAGGATGTAAGGTCTCGCTCCACAGCAACGCGCGACACAATCACCGACAGTTCGAAGCTTGCGGCGTTGAGTGCGACTCGGAACGAGCTCATCAGCTGGATGGAGGCAGAGCTAAGTAAGGCTTCGCACCTCGATGAGACGGAGCACAATGAACCGGGTGGGAAACAACAACCTACGGCGGACAGGGTTCATGTGAATGAGCAGCTTTCCGTCGTCAAGGGAAAATACGCCAAATACGTCGCAGCGCGCAAGGCTCTCATCGAGCTGGTCCAACAGCGAACAAAACCCGTGGAGATGGAGTCCCCTTCAAGGACCACGTCTGGTGCTCAACCCGAGGTCGCGCGCACAACCCCGGCGACACATCTCATCACGCCTTATATCGAGGGCCTGGTGCAAGTTGGCCAGGCTCAGAGGAACTACATTGCCCAGAAATCACACATAAATACAGTCTTCGCGAGACAAACAGAAGAAACCATACGGGCTTTGGACCGTCTGTCCGAAGAAAGCCAGCTGATACCCGAACATTCCATTCCAGCCGCTGCGAGGGGTAGGACTGGTCTGGAGACCGGCTCATCCAGCAATCACGTCGACAGAGTCTCAGAACGCGTGCAGCCGTGGGTTTCAGCAGCGGACACAGCAAAGCTTGCGACACTTGAGGCTGTAGCGGAGAAGATCGAGCAAGGACAGGTCGCTCTCGAAAAGTCCACGAGGTCACTAGGGGAAATCGACCAGCTGCTAGGTCGAAATACGATCACCGGAGGCGAGCCCATGACCGACGAGGATACAACAATAGACGACATCTGGTTAGCAGAATCTTCCTCCCCACGCAAAGTGCCAACATCGAAAGCATTTACCAAAAACAAGAGCAACTTGGTCAAAGAGAAGGAAGATATCTGGTCGACATTGGATGGTAGTGTCGGGCTGATCAATGCCGAAGACTCCCCACGAAAGCTTCTGTAGTTGCGCATCATCTAGTACTCAGCTCCATAAATAGCCATTGTATTACCATCCTTTGAAACGCCGTGCTTTTCCTATTCCCCGTCCGAGCCGATTCCCTAGCTCTCTAGCCACTCAAGTAACTGTTCCCGTCCACGTCCATCCGCCCCTCGATTTCAGAGCGATGTCACGCCTGCTTGCCGCAATCCTGTATGTCGGCCGCTCGTGAATGTTCGCTAGTAGCTCATGCTGCCCAATGCGATCTCCAATTTAGACCTGCCCTCAAGCCCCCGATACCCATCGTCTTGAAGGATGGCTTCTCAGTCCGTGGTCATCCGCTTCCGCTCCTACCGCCCAGCCATGATATTGGATATGCGGAGTGACAGATCGAGTATCGAGAGGTGTTCGTCAGCACCATCGACCAGGCGCTTGTCGACCTCAGAGAAGACCATGACAATTTGGTTCTTCTGGATATCCGGAACCGTCTCGTCGGAAATGATTGCCTGGTAGAGCTGAGTCACCACCTGGCCAGCGCTCCACCCATCCGCGACCATGTCTTCAACGGCCTTTGACACGGATGCATAAGCCTCTGCAGACGAGCTTGGCTTGATTGCCCTCACCAGCCTGTCGATAGTGTCGTTGGGTATCACGCCAGCAATGTCCTCAACAATTTTCACAGTGACCGGCTTCTTATCCACCTCCATGCTATCACCATCAGCATCACCCTTGGTCGCGACTGCGCCTACCAGCCGCGCCGCGCTTTGCAAAAACGTGATGGCTTTCCGCAGGTCACCCTCGCTGCACTTGATGAGCGCATCCACAGCCCCATCGTCTAGCTGAACGCCCTCCTTCTCGGCGATATCTTCCAGCCTCTTCTTCGCATTGCCCTGGTCCAAGCTCTTGAAGCGGAATTTGCTGCAACGACTTGCCAGGGGGTCGATTATGCGCGTCACGTAGTTGCAGATCAGACAGAACCGCGTGATCTTGCTGTATGTTTCCATCGTCCGGCGAAGCGCGCTCTGGGCATCCTGTGTCATGCTGTCGGCCTCGTCCAGAATGATTATCTTGAAGGGTGGGCACGGATAACGTGATTTGTAGCCCGCGGGTGGGTTGGTCAACTGCATACGCGCGAAGTCTTTGACCTTCTCCCGCACGATGGAGATGCCGCGCTCGTCAGAAGCGTTGAGCTCGAGAACACGCTGCTTCACGAACTCAGGACCATAAAGCTCCTTGGCGAGAGCAAGGATCGTGGACGTCTTTCCAGTACCGGGCGGGCCGTAGAAGAGCATGTGAGGGAGGTTGGATGCCTGCAGCGTCCGCTGCAGGACGGTGATTGTGTGGTCTTGGGCGGTGACATCGCTGAGGCTCTTTGGACGACTGAAATTTGCGCACAGTTAGGAATAGGCATCACATACGGCAAGCAAAGCAAGTGAGGGCACGATCGTGGACGTACTATTTCTCCACCCAGGGCTGCGCTCGAGGCGTGTCTGGCGTCTTCTTGTCCTGTTTGCCTGCGCCGTTGGCTGCAGCAGCCTTCCTGGCTTTGATGTCGAAAAAGCTGGCCATGCTAGACTTTTGTCCGTGTGTGTGCCAATCTGGCCTTTTGGATCGTCAAAAGAGGGGAAACGGCCTAGCAGGAAGATGACTGCGTCAAAGAGGTGAGGCCTGAAGTCCAAAGGAAACCCATTTACGCGTCTTGTCGGCTGCGACGCGTCTGACTGCTTTGTCCCCTCCACTGTAGGGATCCCCACATTCAATTGCCTGCCACACCTGCCTCGCTGCCTCGTTTACCTAGTGCACCTGGTGGAGGTCCCTTGTACTTCCCCACTTAACTAGCCCTGGGGCCGCTGCTGAAAGTCATCCGTCCGGGACAACTGCAGGCAACTTCTCCGCCAACCTTGGGAAACAGACCAGTTCTGGCATTCCAAGTGAAATCCACCACTTCTCCGGCGACTGCTCTATCTCGACTCCCAAGTGAATCACTACCCATCAGTCCTATGCGAATCATTCCATTCCCCGCGCCTTGAGGACTGCCCGCCATGGCGGATCAATCCATAATCAGGATAACCAAGGCATGTCCGCCCGCCTTACTGCGGGGTCACACCAGCTGGCTCAGCAGTGAATTGCGTCGGTTTGCAGCCCACCAACATCATGCTAACTCGTGGTTCAGGAGTTGAGCGACATCCAAAGGAACTCCGATCTATGTATGCGCACAAGTGCCAAGCATCTGGCTCGCCGCGTGTCACTGACTTGTCTCCAGCTCTGGCCGTCGCATGCCGTGATGTCGACGTACGCAATGTGAAGGCGCTGATCATCGGTCCGCACGAGACACCTTACGAGTTTGGCTTCTTCGAGGTTTGTAGATGCACATCCTCCGGGCCTGTTCCCGATCAAAGGCTAACATACCCAGTTCACATTCAAATTTAACAAAGGTCAGCTTGTCCCGCTGCAAAGTGCATCCATCCTCGTCCATCATCTAATGCCTCTCCTGCCGCAGACTACCCTCGGAAGTCACCCAGCGTCAACGCAATCACCACCAATGGTGGCCGGTGTCGGTTCAACCCAAACATTTATGCACAAGGACGTGTCTGCCTGTAAGTCCAGTCCAGAGCCCTTCCTGGAGATGCCTTGGCTAACCTCTGGCCCACAGCTCTATCCTCGGGTATGTTGCTTTCTCGTTCGATCGCCTAGTATAAATGCTGAACGTGGCTACAGAACATGGCGTGGCGAGCGTGGTGAGGAGTGGTCTTCTGCTCAGGGTCTCGAGTCGATACTGCTCTCGATCCAGAGCCTAATGTCGTCTAACCCTTACGAGAACGAGCCGGGGTTCGAAGATGCCAACGAAGCCCAAGACAAGAAGAATCAGAAGGAATACGTCCAAAAGGTGCTTAAATCCTCAGCCATTTTTACAGATGAGCAGCTATTGACCATATCTGCCTGACATTAGATCCGTCATGAGAGCCTGCGAATTTCCGTCATCCAGCGACTAGAGGAGTACTTGGGCATCGGTGCGGATGGTAATGTCGCTGCATCTTCCAACACAGACAAGGAAGATTACGAAGTAGACATGGACGGCCTCGAGGACTCCGGAGCAGCCTTTGAACCTTTCAAGGACCTGTGCAAACGTCGGTTCCTTTGGTACTACGAGTCCTACCTCGAGTCGATCCGCAAAGCCAAAGAGGAGGTCAAGGACGGCCAGGCCTTCGTCAGGATGCCATTCGAGGGGCAGGGCAATACCATGGACGGTAAATTCCACTACACAGAGCTTGAAAGGCGGTTGCGAAACATCAAGAAAGTTCTGGACGAGGAGACGAATCAATGGGCGGCTCAGGGGTTGTCACCCGAGTTCAAAGATGCAACAGTCACTGTCAATCTGCGCCGACAGTATGAACAAGTCCTGGAGCATTTCAAACAGCATGGCCTCGCGCACCATGTAGAACTGGAGGGTGGCAACCCCTTCGTCTGGGTGCTGACATACATCGGCAAGCCAATGACTCCTTTGGAGGACGGTTTGTTCCGCATCACGATCCACCTGAGCCCACGATTCCCAGAGGAACAGCCCCGTGCCAAATTCGAGACAAAAATATTCCACCACCGAATTGCGCCGGACGGAACCCCTTGTTACTACTCGAGCCCCTCTCGCCGGGAGGACATGAAGACCCATCTCGAGGCGATCATCGAGATGCTGGAGGAGGACCGCCCACCCTACGACCCGCGCACTCTCGTTCATCCCGAAGCTTTTAAGCTCTTCTGGGGCAGCCCCCAGGACAAAAAGCAGTACAAGCAGAGGCTGCGCCGGTCGGTGCAGGCGTCCTTGGAACTCTAGATGTGACTCGTTCGAAGCCACTACACCCTATTGCATGTTTGGGCGAGGGTTTGTTTATGCGGCCACGGAATGTTCTCGGTCAGGCGTTTAGGGACAGGACACGATCGGTCAGGCATACTCACGGATGGGGCAAACAGGACTACCACGGAACCACACTTGCACTGATTTAATCTCCCCACCCCTTTTGGTTCTCAGCGGTTGGCATTCTACGGATGGCTGCCTATTCACGTCCTCGGAGGGTTTGCTTGCCAGTGGCGTTCTGGTTCACATTGAGGTTGACACTTGATACCTTTACTGGGCCTCGGAAAAGGGGGTCGGTAGCACATCCTTTTCATGGCCGGGTAGTCGTGCTATACACAAATGGAATTGACATTACGTAACAGATGCCACTTGACCAGAGTGTGGTATATCTTGACGCTGAGAGATAGGATGTGATACATGCTAAACAACAGAAACGCATTTTGTTTGGCTCTATGGACATAGTTCTTCTCTTCGGCTTTAAGTTTGTGGGGTAAACTCCATTCTTGGTCTCTGCTAGCTCCTTGGTAACTGGTTCCCGGCCAGATCCCGTACGGTATAATTCGGCCGGCCGGCTCTCTGTCTCTCTCTATATATATATATGTGTGTGTGTGTGTGTGTGTGTGTGTGTGTGTGTGTGTGTGTGTGTGTGTGTGTGTGTGTGTGTGTGTGTGTGTGTGTGTGTGTGTGTGTGTGTGTGTGTGTGTATGAAGAGCAGCTTTGAGGAATGTTTGCCGGTGATGAATGAACTTACTGCGTGTTGGATCGTGGTGGAAAACGTACAGACCCGTGTTCACTACGCAGGTATGGCCCTTTATTTACTGGCTTCTGATTCCAACACTCTGGGTAAGGATGTTATGGACGCGAGAAATTGTGAACGAGGCGAGCAAAATATCGGAGAATATGATTGAGTGAACAAGTGTGGTGGTAAACTTGACATTACCTGTAGACCTTACCTAATCCTAAATGACAACACCTGCGTTGCTTTTCGGCATGCTTTGGCCCGCTCCTAACCTGACGAACGTCGAGAGTACAAGAGCAGGAGGAGAGTTAGTATGAGACCTACTTGGTGTCATGGAGAATTTTTATTTTACCATTTACACTGTCTCGGGTTCTCAGTATGCTGGATGCTAACGAGGCGGGCTGGTGCCGCGCGTGGATGACGATGTTGCGACGTGAGATTGTAGATTGGATAAATTTGAACATGTCTGCAAATACCAGGCAAGGAAACGTGCATTTACACCATTAATGCAGGATAGTCACAAGACCTGTAATCAGATTACCACATGGCACATGGCTCCCTCTTCGGGACTCGGGAGCAGGTTATCCAGGCAGCGAGTGAGATTATTACTTGGGTATCTTGCGTCTCATAAAACACCAAATCCATGCACAGAAATCATCACCTCACTTCCGCGGCTTCTTAACCTTTTCATGTAAAGGATCGTACGGCGCGGCGATCCCGACGGACTTCTTGCCGTCGTCCGGGTTCGGCCCGCCCTTGAACTCGTAGGCCTTGCCGTCCGCCGCCAGGGTGGCCGGCGTGCCGAGCGTGGGTTTTGTGAGCTGCTCCCGGTGCAGCCTTTCGAGAGACTCGCCCACGACGGCGTACTTTGACCAGTTGATGGCGGGCATGCGCACCACGTCCTGCGGCGTGGGCAGGTTCGTCCATGGCGGCGGTTCCTGCCTTGGTGGCTGTGGCGCTACCGCGGCTGCTTTTCCCTTCCCTGGCGCCTTCATCGGTGAAGGCTTGAGGCCGCTGCTGGATTCCCCGCTCCCGCCGTCTTGCCCCTCCATCTCAGCATCGCTCTCGTCGTCCTCGTCGTCTGAGGACGACGACGAGTTGCCATGATCAGCGGCATCGCGACTTGCGGGTTGCACGACCTGAGGCCCTTGCCCTACTTTGCCACTGGCCAAGTCCTGGACAAACTCGGCAGGTTTCCTGACTGCCTCGTTCTTGATGCGCTGCAACTGGCGGATGTCGTCCTCGGCCTTCTGCTTCTGCCTCTGGAGGAGCAGGATGGCCGACTCCAGGGCGATTACGTCCACGTTTTCGCTAAAGTCGACAGGCTGTGGCGGGGGCGGGGGCTGTGGGACGGACTCAACCTGAGGGGGGTGCTGCTTGTGGGTGAAAGTCTGGCGGTGGAAGGTTGGGATGGTTGGTGGCGGGATGGGCGTGGTCGAGTGGATGGGCCTGAACTGAGGCGAGAGGGGCTCGGGGACTGGCGCGGCCGGCTCTGCTGGCCTGGAAGGGGAGGCGCCCTGCGTTGTGGCCTGTGGTTTTTGTCCTGCCATTCTCATGTACGGAGGGATGTTGGCGGTGGGTTGTCGGAGGATGGATAAACGAAACAAGGTCCCGCCCAGAGTCGTGTTCCCGACGTGGAGGTGCTATAGCTATAAGTTAGTAAGGCAGCCGCAGTGAGATGTCTAATAAGTTTGGGGTTGACGTGCAGATCGGCAGGGAAGGCACGGCGGACGCAAGGGTCTGTCCATGGTAAGCCATGCAATGCAGGTGGGCTGCAGGAAGGTGGGGTTCACATTCTAGGGAAGGGTCCTGCAAAGACACCAAACTCGCTTCCAAAGCCTCCCTCCCCCAATTCGTGATCAAAATATTCGACCATGTACTGTGTATGTACGCCCTTCACTGCCGTTGTGTACACACCACACCGGCCTCTCTTGCATCGTGCGTCCCTGAAAACCCCCCAGGTGGTCACTGACTGGAAAGAGCGGGGTTGGTGGTAAGGGGTACGCAAGGCGGGGCCAAACCAGAAAGCTGGTCAGAACCCGTGGACGGCTTCCACCCAGGCCAAGGGAGTAGCGGGCCCGTCCGGAACCCAGACCGGACAGGAGCCGGACCCAGGATGGAGGGAGGATCCTGATTCCTGGGGCGTTGGCTCTTGTTGGCGACGCTGGACCACTGGAGTGCCACTGAAGTGCGGTTGTACACTAAGCCATGGCCTGCAAGGCTCTTCTGTTCGCCGGCCCAATGCATGCATGCAAGGCTTATACGCAGAACCAAAGGAGCAACTTCTCACAAGCAAACAGGACACCGGGGCGTGGGTCGCTAGCTAGGTACGGGCTTTGGTCCCACAGCGGAGCGCAGGTCAGCGGGCGACCCAGGCAGGGGTCCAAACCGTCGGCTTCAGTCGATGACCAGCACGCGACACCTAGTTATTCTGTACCGCGAGCTGGACTGACCTAGACGGAAGACCAATAAGACAGAGCTCCCTCGTTCTCGCCCAGCACATGGTTGGTGTTGGTAGAGAGAAGCCTGTCAGCCTGTGCAGCCAGGCAGTCGAGTGTTCATGCACTACTAGAAAGGGGCGTTGCTGCCCTGCCCATGTCTAGAGGGCCTACCTATAACGTGGGAGAGGCATATAGCAATCTAGAACGCTTGAGCTGGGGCTATCTCTCAAGCTGCCGTTGTGCGGCTTGTTTGATGGGCGTAGTCAACTAGTCCACAACATCACACCAGAGGCTCGACGTTGGGTGCTGAGGTCACTCACGTGTCGTATCTTCGGAAATCGGGCTGTTTTCTTGTTGAGCAGTCTAACTTCCCAGGTTGTCTCACGACGGGTCTCGGGAGGCTGCAGGGCAACCTCTCCGGCCACGCGACGAGGCGTAAGGTCTAGAATCCATAGCGGCAAGGTATACATGTTATGCAGTAAGCTCTCTCGCGGGGAACTATGTTTGTCCACCACTAATCCAGTACTCTCCCGCTCATTTCCCAAGCTTCCGGGCTTGGGATCATTCACACCAGTTTCTCTCCTCTCTAGTTACTGCCTAGGCATCGATTCCTTCCCCTCCTCCACAATGGACTTCTTTGTCGCAGAATCTCGTGTCTAGCGGACCGCGAGTCTGGCTGTTTATCAGCGATGTGACCCTACAGCCCCTCCCTACCGAGGTACCGAGAAAAGAGGCAGATACTGAGCGGCAACACACATATTCACGCTCATGTCCCACACTAGATTGAATCTTTTCTTCACTCTACCCGCCGACACGGGGAACTGCACATAACACCGCGTAGGCGGAAATGAGAACGGGGCTGGGAGCAGCAAAGACAGTCGCAATCTGCGAACATTTCCGGCTCCAGGCCTCAAAGAATTCATCGTTCCGTCGATTCTGTCCGGCTGGTCCGGGATTACAAGTCTATGACCAGGACTTCCGCCCCGGAGCAGACACAAATTTGAATTCATCATCGACGAGGCAGGCAGAACCTCTATACCTAAGGGCTGCAGGAGTCTGGCTCGTGTTCGCCTGTTTAGTCAGAAGATGAGTCGCGAAAACTGCCAATCCACCGACAAGGCCAAGAAGAAAAGTGGCATGGCTCGGTGGCTATCACAATTCAAGTCGTGGGTTGCGGTGAGTGAGCCATCAGGCCAAGCGTTTGAGCAGCACCGCAAGGATATGTTCAAGAACAACGGAGTCCTGCCCCGCGACCCAGACGCAAGCATGAAGCTGCAGTATGTAATTATTCTTGCTGTGAGCAATTGCCGCCTCCAACAACAAACAACTTTGCTAACATCTCATGTAGCGTCCCCCCAACAAGAATACCGGAGGAGGCAATAAAGCCATCCGGCCTCGGCCCGGATCCTGAGGACCTCGCGGCAGCGAGGAGAAGAAACCGTCAAGCTTGTGCCGGCTCATCTGCCTCTCGCAGCGTCCAGTCGTACTCGACCACCTCATCAAGGCCCGGCTGGAGGCCAGAGCTGGGAGCGCAGTCGCCCCGTTCTCCAGGATGAACAAAACGGCCCACTTCAACATATAGAAAGGGCGGCCTTCAGCTGAGCCAATCCTCGACAGTTTCCCCCCCCCCCCCCTTCCACCAAGTCGACAGTGACACAACCAGTGCGACATGGCGCACTTGGATGTATTATTGGTGAAACAAACAATGCATGCTTCATGGCAAAGTCAGATGTAAACGCCATCCCGGAAGGCCTACACAACCTTACGGCAACATGAGCTGGCATCTGGTGTTACTAGACAGGGGACTTTTCCCCGGACGTGCTCAATAAGGTGTCGCCCACAGGTATTCCATCCCGGAGCATGCCATGCCAGAGGAGGCCCATTTCAGAAGAGCATGATCTTGTTAGGATTTAATCTAGAAGAGGTCATCCTTGAAATTTGTACCTGACGAGGACGTCCCAAAGGTAGTCAGTCAGTCAGTCAGTCAGTCAGTCACCTCTAGCAGAGGTTAGCGTTAATGGGCCCTTGAGGTACGAACAAAAAAAGAAGCTGCCTGCCAGAACAAGACAGGACTATTGATATTTGGGGCTTTGAGTACTATGAGCCGTGCTGGTATACGCTTGCCCTGCTTGCCTCGAGGAATGCCTAACAAGTCGGACAAAAGATGATTGTTGGCAGCTAGACATGTGACGGTTGGTCCAAGCCGTGTCTGTCCGTGTCTGAGTGGGAACGCCAACCCCGCGCCAGTTCGGGACCTCGATGATGATTTCGAATAAAGCCCGCAAAGGAGGCACCTGGGCACATGGGAAATCGAGATAGGCTGGTAACCAAGGTTGAAACGTCTCCCGCCCAAGATGGCGCTCTAGGCGACATCGAAAGCCGTTAGCACGCGTCTTAGGGCGCCTGCTAAGCAGACAAAACCTCGCCTCGACCGCTGAGCCTAGCGCACGCCAGACAATTGGGCGCTTCGACCTACGTCATCGTCCTTGTGTGGTGTAGTAGTGACACTTGACGCTCAATTGTCGCCTCATAAAAGAATGAGGCGTCATGCCGTAAACACTCGAGGGCTCGGCGCTGTTGGCATTGCACGTAGGTAGGAAGGAAACAAAACCTGGCCAATCCACTCGGCCTGCCATCTTGTCTGCCATCTTGTCTGCTACCAATCGCGGCTTCAAGCCTGCCTGAGAGGGCATCCGAGACACCGTTGTGGTAGATATCCCTATCCGGCGGCACCATGAAGCGAGTATTCGGCGGAAGAGACGACAACGAGGGGGCCTCCGGGGACAGACACTCCGAGTCCCACGACAATGGACCACCGCCCGACGAGCACACGCGACTACTTCCGAACAGGGTCGACAGCGACATCAGACCAGGTTATCTCAGCCCGGACGATCCAGCCGTGTCTCCATACAACCTGTTCACGGTCCGGTTCACCAGATACCTTACTATATTCTTCGCCATCATCACCTTCCTGTGGTGGGTGCTGCAGCTTGTGTCCATATTCGTCTCGCCTCCCGGGCTCTCCACCAGAGGGTCAGGGTTCTTCGGCCTCAGCTACTCCAGCATCGCCCTGTCCACGTTGATTGTCACCCTCCTCTTCTTCGCCGCCCCGTCCAAGGCAGCCCGGGTCCTCTCCGCAGTGGCGTCCGTGCTGTTGCTCGTTAACGTAATCATCAACGTGTCCGTCCAGAAGACCAGGCATGAGGAAGCATGGACAGGCATTGCGAGCGTTGTCTGGGCCTTCTTGATGGCGGTCTGGTCGCTATCTGCCGACCGGATCGTCCAGTGGGGTAAGTACAGTACTTCTCCTTTTCTGGCTCCCCATCCGTACTGTTTTGGAATATTCCAGAATGCATCACTCCAGGCCCCGTAGCAGGTGATTGACACGTAGTAGGTAAGAGGGAAGAAGAAGAGCGATTGACCGGGCGCGAGGAGCCGCGGCGGACACTGCTCGAGTGGACTCAGGTACTGCTCTCGACCATTGGCTTCGCCGTGCTTGCCGTGGTTGCGCTGCTCCTGACCTTCGCCCTCATCCTGAGAGCCGTGGATGCCAAGATAGCGGCTCCTGGCGAACTCTACTGGGTGGATGGCGACAAATATCAGATCCATCTTTATTGCCGTGGCAACGAAACGGACTCCAAGGGAAATAAGCTGCCGACCGTGCTCTTCGAGGGCGGAGAGGACCCAGTGGAGGATGGACTGTGGCAATTTGCAGACAATGCTCTGAAGAATGGGTCCTTTAGCAGATACTGCTTCTCAGATCGGCCTGGCTACGCATGGGTAAGTCGATGCCTGTCCAGACTCGCAGCACCGACCGAAGCTGAAGATAGTCCAGAGCGACAACGCCCCGTCACCATTCTCTGCCAGCCAGGCGACGGAGGCTCTGAGCGAAGCGCTCGCCCGTGCCGGCGAGACTGGACCCTGGGTCCTCGCCAGCGCGGGCATTGGATCCATCTACTCGCGTGTGTTCTCCTCGCGGCATGGCAAGGAAATCAAGGGTCTTGTCCTGATTGACCCGCTGCACGAGGACCTTCTTCACCGCATTGGTACACCCGGAAGAGGCTTCACGCTCTGGTTAAGGGGAGTCATATCCCCTCTTGGCCTCGACCGCATCCCCGGTGCTCTATTCAACGGCCGCACGAGCGAGGACCGAGTATACGGAAGAGCCTCTTACCAGACTGGGAAGCAGATATTTGCTAAGCTGCAGGAGAGCCTGGTGGCCGACTCCCTGACGAAGCGGGACGTCACATCGAGCCGGGCCATCCAAGCACCCGATGTTCCTCTCGTCATCATTAGCTCGGCCATTAAGGTCCGGACCGACAGCCAGTGGGAGGGCAAACAGCGTGATCTCACCCATCTGACCGAGAACTTGCACGATTGGGATATTGTGAACAAGGCCCCGCATCAGGTATGGAAAACGTTGGACGGGAGGGAGGTCATTGAGAAGAGAATCAGACAGTTGGTTCAAGGGAAGTAAAAGGCTCGGCGAGACCAATAATAAGCAGCAGCAACACACTTATCAGGGACTTGTTTTGGTTGGCAGGAATGCCACAAGTACACCGGGGTCTGCTAGTTCTTCCGCGAGTGGACTGAGCAGGTATAGCGAAGGAGTACTGTATCTACTGTGCATGCTTGAGTTTTGAGATTCTGTGCTTCTTCTGTTTTCCCAAATTGGGCTTCTTCTTGGTTCCTTTGCTTTTCTGAATTCTTCTTTCATTTTCGCCTCCAATTTCTAGTGGTGCAAGCAAGCAGACAAACAAAATACGTGCCCGACTGGGAGCATATTCATCTAGTCGAGCGCGTAAAAAATGCAAGACAGCCCTGAGACCTGCATACTCTTCATGTGCGATGGGAGCTGATTGCCATCAAGCCGTCGGGTGCGCCCTTGGGGGGGGGGAACCTCGGAATGGTCTGCGCGTACTGTGACATGGGTAGGTACCTAGGTACATACTTGATCAATGCCCTCCTGGCTCCTGGGTCTCAATAGGTACCCAACGGCGGGAGGTAGCATGCAGGTGGAAACAACATTGCCACAGGTGGTTTTTAGGGGCACACTGGCACAGGGGCACGAGGCAAGGAGCCAATGGCAGGGCCTGGCCTTACATTGGACCTGCAATTTCAAGTACCTGTCTACCTGCTCCACCTGGGCAAGCCCAAAGCAGGTGGTGTCCTTTGGGGGGAGGAGGGGGGGCCGTCACGTCTTGTCCAGACGCCGGACGGTTTTACCTGCCAGGACTACCTAGGTACCCAGGTATCCGGCCTGTGTGCTGCTCCTGCTGGTGATACCGGGCCATAACCGCCTGCTGAATGGCAGTGCGGGCAGACAGGCAGACAGGCTCATTGAAGCGACTTGCTGCTACATACCTGCTCCGTACTTGTCCACCTCTTTCACCACCTCCCCCTTCCCACCATTCCCTCCTCCTCCCCGAGTCTCTCGTCTGTCGTTGCCGTTGTCGTCAGCATTGACAGGGGAGTTTTGTTTTTTGTGCTTTTTACCTATGCTTCTGCCACCCACGTCCTCGTCCTCGTCCTCGCCCTTCGCCCTCGCCCACTTCCGCCCACTCTCGCCCACTCACATACCGGCCGACCTTGACTCCTATTCAGCTAGTGCGCAGGAAGCCGTCATTTACGGACCGTACCTCTGAAATTACGCTTCGCTACCACAGGCGGGGACTTGTCGATCGCTTCTTTCTCGACGGGCCAACCGTGGACTTTTCGAATCGCATCCCAACTTCAATCTGTCTCATCAACTGCCACAATTCCAACCTCGTGTCGGGCTCCCGACCCTTACCCGCCTGCATCCACAACCTCCCTCGTTCCTGGTGCCAAGACCGTCGTTGAACTGTCCTCGTCGGCGGCGGCCACCCATACAGCCCCCCCCCTCACCCCCTCCCAGTGATGCCAGCGACGGCCCCCGGGCCCCAATAACTCACGCCAGAAGGTCCGCCTCCCAAAGTCCTGCCACCGGTCCGCACCTGGCGTCTCGAGCGATCGACAACACCACGCCACACGCTTTGCGACACGGCCTGCCGAATCGGGCGCGACCATCCTGGCTCCACGACGTCCATGCCACAGAGACGACGCTGGTCTGTTACCGACCCTTTGTGAGCTGCATCCCGAGACAGCGGGCTCCATACTCGCCAGTGCACCGTCACCTAACACGCCTACGATTTCACGGTGGAGGAAAGAAAGAGACGGGTAGCACAAGGCAGAGCGGGTCACCATGTTGGGGCCCGACTATGAAGGCGGCCCCCCTGGCGATCGCCCTGCACGACATCGAACACCAGAGCGGAGTTTTACCACTGACGATTCGAGGACCTACTCCCCTTATCGACCGCCACGGCAGAACGGTGGCCCTCGCGATGGCCGGCGGCCCTCCCTGTCCCCCTCTGCCGGCGCCGGCGATCGCAGCTGGGACGAAGAAGGGGAGTCACGTCAGAGCCAGGAGCGGAACAGGTCACGGGGCCGGAACGGACGACAGGCGAGCGGAGGGCAGCGTATCTGCAAAAAGTGTGGCGAGCCCCTGACAGGGCAATTCGTGCGCGCCCTCGATGGCACCTTCCACCTGGACTGCTTCAAATGCCGCGTGGGTACAACGATCCGACTCGAGGCGGGACTGTGAACTAACAGGTAATGTTTGACAGGATTGTGGGCAGATAGTAGCCTCGAAATTCTTCCCCGCGGACGACGAAGATGGACAGGGACAATATCCCCTCTGCGAAACAGACTACTTTCGACGGCTCGGTCTGCTTTGCTACCAATGCGGTGGCGCCCTCCGAGGGTCTTATATCACGGCACTCGAGCGGAAGTACCATGTCGACCATTTCACGTGCTCACTTTGTTCGACAGTCTTTGGCGCCCAAGACAGTTACTATGAGCATGATTCCCAAGTCTACTGCCACTACCACTACTCCACCCAGTTCGCCCAAAAGTGCAACGGATGCCACACGGCAATTCTTAAGCAGTTTGTCGAGATCTTCCGCAACGGGCAAAATCAGCACTGGCACCCCGAGTGTTACATGATTCACAAGTTCTGGAATGTGCGACTGGCTACTCCCAGCGACGTTGCAGATGAAGAGCCTCCGCCGGACGACGAGAAGACGCGCGACAAAGTCCGGGAAGAAGAGGAGAAGATGGAAGAGAAAGTCTACCGCATTTGGAGCGTGCTCTCCACCTTTGAGGAATCATCTGCCGCATGCATATCAGACATGCTGCTGCATGTTAGCAACGGAGCTTACGTTGACGGCGTGGTTGTCGCAAAGAGGTTCATCTGGCATGTCGATATTCTGTTCAGGTCTGCTGACCGACTGGATGAGACTATGCAACGCCTTGAAATGAAACGTGAGCACCCCCTATGCTCGCAGGCACTGACTGAATCTAACATATGGACAGCTCTGTCGTACTCGCGAGAAGCAAAGCTACTGTGCAAGAAGATTGTGCAATTCTTCTCCCTCTTGTCTAAGACGCAAGACAAGAACGCGCACAAGCTTGGTGTCACGCAGGAACTACTGTCTCTAGTAACTGGTCTTGCTCATTATCTAAAACTCCTGATTCGCATCTGCTTGCAAGGTGCTCTTCGAATCGAAAAGGACCAGACAAGCGCGGAGGGTTTGTACGCCTTTCTGGACGATCTCAGTGCCCTCGAGACCCTCAAGAACGAGGACGGATCCTTGCAGATCACAGCTGCCATGTCGCGGCTGGCAGCCAACGAGTCCGACCAGTGTGTGCTTTGTCGAAAGCCTGTGGAAGACGAGTGCTGCAAAAATGGCGACAAGAGGTGGCACATAGCCTGCGTGACTTGCACGAGATGTGGAAAGGAACTTGGGCGGAACCCTGAAGATGCACGACTTAATACTTACGACCAGAAGATCTTCTGCAGCGGATGCGAATCGTACAGCTCAGACTCGACACCTCCCTTCGAGCGGATCACGAAACTGCAACAATATGTCTTCCTGCTTCAAGTGGCGCTCGCCAGGTTGCTGGATATACTAAAGAGCACTGGTGCATTGTCTGCTCTGGATGAGGCATCTGTGAATGAATATGAACCAGCGAATGGGCACGCAGCGGGCGATGCACCTCGGCTTCAGTACGACTCGCGGTCGAAATCATACGCTGGAGACCGAGAGCATCACCGGGAGTCATCCTACGAGAATACTTTGAACGATGTTCGTCGCCTGAGGAGCACACGGCTTGATAAGCACCTGTCGGCGAGCTTTAGAAAAGCGCGGGCGTCTCGTCTTATGGATGACCCTGGGGTGGAGGGTGGCGGTAATATGCAAGGTCAACGCATCGAGGAGGATCAGGTTCCCGGCGAGGAAGGTGGCTCCGACCTGATGTTCGGCCACCAAGATGCCTTGACTCTGGACGACATTCCTCGCATCGTTGCCGCGGAGCAAGCCCGAGAGCAACGCCCTGCGTTTAAGCCAGGACGTCAAGAGCTCTTTAGGTCTCCCGCGACTGAACCTTTCATTGGTGCCAACCAGAGGTCGAGATCGGCAGGCCGCGCTGGCGAGCCCGGCTATGGAGAGCCTTCACCTCAGCGAGGTGGACGAAAATACTTCTCCGAACTGTCTCCGATGGAGTACTTTATCGCCCGTCATCTGGCTGTGCTCACCATGCACCCCATGGTGCAAGATGAGTTCACACTCGAGGAGCTTCTCAACCTCATCGAATCCAAGAAACCCGCGACTTTCTGGAACAAGTTCGGGAAAGCATTCAAGAATGACGGTAGGAAAGGGGTCAAGAAGAAGGGCGTCTTCGGCGTTCCCCTCGAGGTTGTCATCGAAAGAGACGGCGCCGAGTCCACTGATTGCATTGGAGGAACTACATTGCGTGTACCCGCCATTATTGATGACCTGATATCCACCATGCGGCAGATGGACCTTTCCGTGGAAGGTGTCTTCCGAAAGAATGGAAACATCAAGAAACTCTCGGAAATGGTTGAAAAGATCGACCGCGAGGGCTGTGACAACATCAACTTGATGGCCCAGCCTGTTGTCCAGGTCGCGGCTCTGCTGAAGAAGTACCTTCGAGAGATGCCAGATCCGTTGATGACAAACAAGCTTTACAGGCTGTGGGTTGTCGCGGCTAAGATCCAAGACGATGACAAGAGACGCCAATGCATCCACCTGGTGTGCTGTCTTCTCCCGAAGTGTCACAGGGACTGCTTGGAGGTCCTCCTGTCCTTCCTGAAATGGGCCGGAAACTTCCACCAGGTCGATGATGAATCTGGGTCCAAGATGGACGTGAAAAACCTCGCAACCGTCATTGCACCAAATATCCTCTACAACCCCATGAAAGGGCCTGCCCTCGACAGCGAACCTATGTTGGCCATCAATGTTGTTGAGACGCTGATCAATGATGTGGAATCCATGTGTTTGGTAAGATGATCCCTATATCATACATTTGGCCTCGACTAACATCATACTAGGTCCCTGACAACTTCGTCGACGTTCTCAACGATCCAACATACAAAGAAGGGAAAGACAGCGATATTACTACCAAGGAGATCCTGAAACGCTATGGTGGCAGGGTGAATGGTGGTCACGGAGTGCTTGGCGACGCCAGCGATATGAACCCATCAAGGCCTCTCGCTAGAAGGGTAGAGACCGATCCCGAGGCAACGCGGCCGCCTGGCTGGCAGGAACCAAATGCTTCTTTCTCGCAGCCCTCGAACCCAAGCACTCCGCCTAGATGGCGGAACCCAGACGAGACACAACAGCCAGCTTATGGCAGCTCCTTTGAGGGTTCCGACTCGGACCACAATCGACGGTCGTATCACGGGCGGCCAAACAACTCGGTCGGTGTTAGTGGCACAGGGTAGTGCAGCTCGTTGTCTCGCCTATAGTTCTTTGTCTACCTCATCTCAGGAGTCCGCTTCTTCACCACCCAAAGGGTAAAGGCTGTTTGTAATCCGTTGAAACTAGAGTACGCACGACTTGGCCTAACAGGCACGGTGGGGGGGGGGGAGGCATATCCAAAGCATCGCTGGACGGCGTTCGTTCCATGTGCTCCGTCTTTTCCCTTTTTCTACGCTACATTCGCATCATCTTTCTACATTTTCGAATCTTTCTTGGCCATAGCGACCAGAACACCCTTTTCTGTTTTCTCTTCACTGTTGCCACATTCACTGCGTGCGTGTCTCTTTATTTCCACCCTCGAGCGGAAAGCAAGAAAAAAACCCCAAGGGGGACCGTGGACGATTTTACGCTTACATGCGTGCATGGCTTCAATTCGACAAAAACAACAGGGCAGCGGCGTTCCATTTCCGCTTCTGCTTTGGTCTATATTATTCTTCTTCTCTTCTTCATGTTCCTCTCGCGGATCCAGTTATTATATTTCCTTCACTGGATGAGTGCGATAAAAGGAGAACCTGACTGAGCTGCTCGTTCTGAAACAGAGACGGAGAGAGGGGGGAAGTGGAGTCTTGAGGAAGAAGGGATGTATTTGGATGTGAGGGGTTTGACTGTTGATACCGACGGCGGTCGCTTGCCATTGAAGAGGAAGCAGAGAAGAGGATTTTCAGCCGGCACTTGCTGTGCGAGAATATCAATGCACTGTTGTTACGGATACAATCATACATTTGCCGGGCGCGCGACTTTAGCAGCCAACCCAGTATTCCAGCTTTTGCCACTTGGACAAAAAAAAAGAGTGCAGATTTCCTGGAACCCCCAGTGATACTGTTGCACCTGTCTAACCTACTTGGACCCATGCATGCTGCGTAGGCTGAGTACGCTTATGTACAAGAAGATGATTATTAAAGCTAATACATATACTCCACGACACCGGGCAGGCCGCGCCAGAAGCTGAAGACCTTGTCGCTGGACCCCTATTTTGCTCAGTTCTTGATCTTGCCTCGAGCCTCTTGCTCCAAAGTCCACTTGACAGACCTCCTCAGCCCTTCTTCAAGGGGCACAATAGGCATGTAGCCCAGCCTCCTCTTCGCCTTGTCTATGCAGAAGTACCTCGTCATGCACGAGTAGACACACCTCTGGCGGGTGAAGGTCGGGGGCTTCCTGATGATGGCGAAGAAGATCTCGCTCAGCCAGCCGATGACGAGGCCGACATCCCTGGGGATGACCCAGACGTGGTCCTTGCCGTGGGGGGAGCCTGCGGCGTTCCAGATGACGCGGCAGAAGTCCCAGAAGTAGGTGGGGCTGTCGTTGGTGATGATGAAGACCTCGCCGTCGACCTTCTCGTGGTCCAGCGGCTGGGTCTTACTGGCCCAGGTGACGAGCAGCGCGCGCAGCGCCAGGATGTGGGCGTGCGCCACGTTCTCGACGTAGGTGAAGTCGAACAGGTTGTTGTTGTCGCCCAGCTGCGCGCCCGTCTTGCCCGTCCTGTACGCCTTTATGATCTGGTGCAGCGCCATGGTGTCGCCCTCGCCGACTATGCCCGCCGGGCGGATCGCGGTGGTCAGCAGCTTGGAGCCGTCGGCGCGGTTGGCCTTGATGGCTAACTCCTCTGCTGCGGCCTGTTGAGAAGAGTCAGCATGGGTTTCTCGAGCTCCCAGGGCAGGAACGCGTGTGGGCACGTGCCTTGGTCTCGGAGTAATACTCTGACTGGTCCTTGCCCCTGGGGACAGGCCACCGCTCGTCCGCGTTGATCAGGTCATCGACGTTGTTGCTGATGACGCTGGCGGAGCTCGTGTAGACCAGCGCCTTGACGCCAAACTTGTTGCAGGCGTCGACGATGACCTGCGTCCCGTCTATGTTGACCCTCTTGAACAGGCTGTCGCTGACCTTGCTATCCGACTGTGGCGCAGGCGATGCGGTGTGGATGACGGCTTCGGGGCGGATTTCCTCGAAGACGGAAGCGATCTTGTCGGCGTTGGTGATGTCCGCCTCAACATACTTGACGCCGTCCGAGTCGGGCCGTCGGTTGTGGGTGCAGCGCAGGTCGACAACGGACACGTCGCACACGTAGTCTCGCAGGAGGAGGTTGACGATGTGGTGGCCCAGGAAACCGCATCCGCCAATGACCATGACCTTGCCGACGTCGACCTTGCCCTCCTTTGATGTAGCCATTTCTGCCGCTTTTGACCTTTTGACGCCTCTATTGCCTCGGAAGAAAGTGAGAAAGGAGGGATACGGTCAATTGGCTGGCCAAGTGGTCTTTGTCGAGAAAGTCCAGCATGAATTCAAGTGATTTGACCACCAAAGCTCCAGGGTTCCTCCTGGGGCAAGGATAAGATCCTCTGCCACTGGTTTGGCCATGATCATCCTACGCTACTGTAAAGCCTGCCCCGGCCTGCCAGCTGCCCCCGCAAAGTCAAAGCGTGCAGCAGCACTCAATTGCTGAGACCCCTGCATGGGGCCACCCGGAACCCTGGGCCTGCCTGCCGTGAAGTATTCACGCTCTCTTTCAGACACCACTACCTAAGTTAAAGTCAAGCAACACTGCACTACGTGAATGGAGAATTTGACCTTTGTCACTTCCATCAGACTCATACTTGGTATTGTCCAGATTTGAGAAACAAGAAAAAGGAAAAGGAAACAAGGCCGCACCCAATGGAGATCTCGCACCAGCCGACCAGTGCAGTCAACAGCTATGGGGAGGAGTAAAGACGGCACTGAGATCCTGGTGCACATCACTGCACCAAGTGCCGCAGCAGACGATGTCAAATACCGAGCGCTTGCCCAGGCCTACCTAGACTTCGAGCCAGAGCGGACCGTCCCTCTTCCCCAGGGCTCTACTTCGAATTCCAGGGCTGTCCCTTCCGACAATAAGTTCATCTCCCCGCAAGCATCATTCGGAAGCGTATGGGATAATATCGGCTCACCCCGCCTGGCACGAGCAATCCAGCCGTCAGCAGAGTTGCCAGGCATACAACCCTCTGTGCCTGCTGTATCATCTCAACTCGATGATGACACCCAACACTCGTGGGTTGCCCCCCCGAGCGAAATTCCGGATTCTATGCCGGATAATGATATCAGAGCGCCTGCCTTCAACACGCCCACAAGGATACTGAATTACTTCCTCCAATCCACCGAGCCGCCCTTGCTCTCATCTGGTGGACGTTCTAGCGAGGCAGTCGAGGTTGGGAGAAACGCCGTCCACAGCACACCCTCACATGCAGCTGATTTAGACAGCTTGCTGGGCTGTGAGTCGGCGCTTGATTCGAGTCCATCTACTCGACGGCCACGCAGCCGGGCGCCTCAGAGCCCAGGTCCTGTCAAGACTGTGCTTAGTGTCCAAGAGGTTACAGAGGCTTGTGCCGCGGACCATGGGCTCCAATGCCCTGCTCTGGCTGATAAGCCAGAGGCTCAACAGGCAGCGAAAGCTGACACTCTGAGCGGGAAGCAGCTTGCTGTTCTGCTTGCCACCAGTGATTGGGCCCACGAAACCCAGCTGGTCTCACACGAACCAGCCGCAGCGAACAACCGCCTGGGGCCTAGGGCTCCCCAGCACTTGGAGAAACTGGCGACGAGCATGCAGATGGATAAGAAGTACAGGCCGGAATTCCAGGCCCGGGAAATGCGCCCCTTTGAGAGGGGTTACTGGCTTATGGGGCTGGACGGCTGGGAATTCGAGGAAAAGGTCAAGGCGTGGGGCTTCCTCGGGAATTTTATCCGCCGGGACAGCAAGGCAGGATGGGGCACCAGGGCATGTCGCGACGAGTCGTGGGGCTGGATCAGGCTCTATGGCTGGGAGCACATCGCCGCGGAGCTCTACACCCTCCTGTATGTGGCCAGCTACAGGAAGCTCAAGTTCGTGGAGACCAAGTTCTACGGCGCGGCCGGGGACGTCTTAATCGTGGTTGGCCCTAGAGGGACTCGATCAAAGTCCGGTTGAGATTGGATTGAATCCCTAGACTAGGAATTGTTTTGTCTGGTTTGGTCATGTGCAGTTGTATTGGAGCATCGTTGAGGCCTCGCCATACATACCCAGGATCGCATGAAGTGGAGTGATTTGGGACTTGAAAGACCTGCTTGCTTTGCAAACCCCTTCGACACAACAATGGCAGTGATGACCGAGGCCAAGTCGCCATGGCCGCTTGAATGATGACGAAAGGACGGCGTCTACAGGCTAGCAGCCCAATCAGATAAGCCGTGTCCGGAAAACTGGTGCTGGAAGCATTTGACATTGCCGAAGCTACAGACAGTCCTAAAATACTCTCACCAACAGTTGTGTACCGCACGAAGGACACACCGAACCGCCTCGGGGGAATCAAAGGATAACTAACATAAACGTACAGTTGCCAGAACCCCGTACCAAAAAAAAAAAAAAAATAGAGAAAGAGAGAGAGAGAACCATTCCTTTTCCCGCCGAGTGCCTTACAAATACGCCAGGTCAGTGGGACTGATCCCGTCTGTCACTCTTTTTAGGCCGAGCGGATCTTGTCCATCTCCTGCTTGTACTTGGTGAATTCGGCAACCGCCAAGTCCTGGTACGGCTTCTTCTCAGCGGCGGAGAGGGTTTTCCACTGCGAGGCCAGCTCTCTCGACAAGCCAGCTCCGCTGTGCCTGGCCTTGATGAAGTAGCAGTATGCGTTGTTCGAAGGACGCTTGGGGAGACGATCGTCATGAAGCTTCAAGGGAGAAGCCTTTGTGTTGAATTCACGCTTGAGGCGCCTGCGGGCCTTGTTCGCCTGCTCAATCTCGACAGGAGAATGGCTCTCGACCCAGGTCTTGAAGTTGCCCGCATTGATGGCCTTGTTCTGCGCTACAGTCTCATCCAAACGCTAATGGGTGCTTCAGTTAGTAAGGCTCTTCGACATGGGGCGTGTCTGGGGTCGACCCATACCTCCATCTCCGCAGGCGATAGGGCCTTGAAGTCAGCGGAGAGTGCTCGCAATTTTTGGTGCGTGTCGGAGAGCCCGGCGGACGGCTGGCCCTTCAGAGCGTTGCTGACGTAGAGCAGCCATGGGGACGCAGGCAGTTGCTTGGGCTCCTTGAACATCAAGGCCACCTTCTTTAGCTCACGCTTCACCAAGAGCTCTTTTTTCTCCGGACTCATTGCATTCTTCCTGGCGACCGGTTTCTTCGGCTTTGCGACAGCCTTCTTTTTGGCCGGCGCCTTCGTGGCCTTCTTGGCCTTTGTCGCCGTGGCCTTGGCCTTGGCCTTGGGCGCGGCCTTTGTCTTTGTCGTGGCCTTTTTCTTTGTCGCGGGCTTCGCGGCGGTACGGCCCGTGGTCTTGCTTGCGGTGGCCGTTGCGAAGCCGCGCACGGCGACCCTCGCCTTGTAGCTGGGAGCAACCAAGAAACTGTGGCGGACGAGGGCAACACGTGAGGGAAGCGCCCTGGGCGGCTGTCCGCGTGCGCATTGGCGCAGGGCCTGTGTGAGGGTTGATCGCATCGTCGCCGAAAGCATTTTGGGCGGTCGTGTGTGTGGCGACTCTGGTGATTTTTGTGGCTGTCGCTGTGGGGTCGATTGAAGTGCCGGAGTGACGTCGAGGTCTAGGGACAGGTCCAAATAGAGATCGAGGTCGGATGTCCTGGCCCTCTCCCTCGCCTGCGACTGCCAGCCCCCGTGTTTTAAGGACCTTGGTATGGCTAGCGCGTCCCCCCATCCCCCCAACAGCCCAGGCACAGCACGCCAGCTGCACGCATGAAGCTCCCCCGCTAGTGCACCTACCGATGCTACAGCTGCAATCGTGACCGAGCTCCATCATTGGCCTGTCCCGCGGTATAAGTGGGGCCGTAAACAGAGAGCACAGGAGGGCAGTGCCCCGTTCTCAATCCGACATCCCTACTGGGCTGCATTGTTGCCTAGGTACTCAGTAGCACTCAGCCCACAGCGGGCTGCCCCTTTGTCGTGATGTCTCTCGGTGTGTATATTGCAGTAGTGTCTTCTCAACGGTGTGCGCCAAGTTCCCAGAAAGCCGTGGAGATAAGATGTGACATGGGCAAGTTGCTATGGACAAACAAAACACGTCTGGCAAAGCTGGTAGGATTGGCTTTTATTCCATGACCTATGCAGCGTGCCTGCGGAATTCCGAAATGTCTGCGAGGTACTTGACGTTGTAACCGTACGGAGTACAGACCCAGCTTCCACGTTTAAGTGGGTCGACACCGTGACGGTCTACGGAGTAGGGAGTACTAGGTCAAGGGGCGACCGGACAGAAATTGCTAGGGCTGCTAACGCAGAACAGCCAGCCTGCAAGCGATATCTGTTAGGGTCAACACCCACCCACTTTAACCCAAGACCACCGGTAACGCATCTGATCGAAGTGTTGCAGCCTAGGTCTGATCACTGACCTGCTACTAGACACGGGCACACTTGCGCATCTCATCGAGGCTCAAGGCTCAAGACCTCGACTGGAACACAGTCCTGAAGAACAGTTCTTTTGCTTTTCTAGAGGATCTTCTGGCCCCAGGCAGATAGCCCTATCACAGAACGACTGGCCTTGAGCCGCGATCGAGACGTGGCCAACACTTGAGGACCCTTAACTCGTCCAAGTTCTGACCAAAAAAGTACTACTCACCGCGCTTGAGCCGAAGATTCGATGATGGCTCGCCACAGAACATCGCGCTCACCGTCTCCTGCAGGAAGTCGAGGAAGCCGCCATGACGACAGACGGGATCGTGATCGTGACCGTGACCGCGGCCGACGGGATGCCCCGAGGGATCGTCGACGCAGCCGCAGCCCTGGTCGCTACCGAGACCACTTCGACAGGGACCGAGATTCATACCGTCGCCGGGACCGCTCCGTAGACCGGAGAGATCGAGACGACGACTATTATCGTGGCGGCCGAAGAGCTGGAGCCTCCTACAGGGACGGGGACAGGCATCGCTCCCGGGAGCGAGACAGGTCTCCGCCACGCCGTCGAGACAGAAGCAGGGAGAGGGAGAGGGATGCTCGTGGGAGACGCGATGATTCCCAGCTTCGCACCCGGCGAGAGGGCACCGCCGACTCAAATGCGTCACGAAGCAAGACTGACGACGGACGCCCGCGAGGCCCTACCTCCGCAGCAAAACCAGGCCCAAAGGATGCTGAAGTGCGTACTCGTTCAACATCCACGTGTATCAGCCTTGCTAACCAATGGGCGCAGGCCGCTAAGTCTACACAAACCCAAGCTCAGGCCCAAAGTGATAAACAGGCGGAACGACTTGCTAAACTTGAGGCTTGGAAAAAGAAGACCCTGACCAAGCAGGCGACCAAGGAGACAGATGCCACGAGCACGCGGAAGCTCCTTGCCGAGATGGATGGCAGGGCGAGCGGCACTCCAACTGTCATAGCCTCGCCGTCAAATGGCACGCCCGGAGCTGCCTCCCCCAGCACTCCGCAAGCCGCGCAGGAAGCATCCCCTACTGTTCCTTACGCGGGCAAGTTCGACCCTAAAGCGATCGCGAAAAAGTCAGCGGCCCGCCATCACTCGCCTGTACCCCTGGGCGACATACCAGGAGCACCGGCGACATCTGGAAAGGCAGCCAAGAATGTCTCGTCTACAGGTCAGTCTCACGCGTCCGAGCACTGGTCGCCGTTCGGTGTGCCTCTACCACATACAGGAATCACCCATGCTAACATACCGCGTGCAGCTTCCGCACTACCGACTGGCAAGAATATCAGCGGCTTTGGCTTTCAAAAGGCGAATGGGGATGGAGAAAAGCCATCTGCCAAGCGGAAGCTGCTTCTGGATGATGAAGAGACATCAAACCGCAAGTTAGCAAAGCTTCCCGACATTTCGTTGGAGGATGCGGATGCCACTCCGTTCGCTAATCAAGAAGATGAATCCGATTCCGATGGTGATAACTTTGCTGGCACTGAGGAAGAAGCTGCCGCCGCCGCCCGAGCAGCACATGACAGGCGGGAGGAGAGAATCCTACAGCAGAGCATGGCTATGCAGACAGACGAGACTGAAAAAGAGGCCGAAACAGAACCCACACCTGCTCCAGCAGCGAGTGAAGAAGCTCCCTCGGCTCCAGCCCAACCAGAAGCCGTCCCTGAGGCCATGGAAGTTGACGACGATATCGACCCACTGGATGCTTTCATGGGAGATCTCGCAGACGACTCAACCACAAAAGCCGCCAAACCCCGCAGCAAACAAACCAATAAGCCCCAGGAAAAAGAGCCAGAGGTCTACTTTTCAGACGACGAGTACGACTACATGGACAAGGCAGAGGCAAACCCTGAGTCAATTCTAGCTATCACAGCCAAGAAGAAGAAGAAGGACATCCCCAAGATCGACTACAGCAAGATCGAGCTCAATCCCATACGGAAAAACTTCTGGTTCGAACCGTATGAGCTCAGCCAGATGACTGAGGCAGAGGTTACCGAACTGCGTATGGACTTGGATGGTATCAAAGTCTCCGGGAAAGACATCCCAAAACCTGTCCAGAAGTGGTCGCACTGCGGTCTCACCCATCCCATGTTGCATGTCATACGTGAATTGGGATACGAAAAGCCCACGCCAATTCAGATGCAGGCGTTGCCAGTCATCATGTCCGGCCGCGATGTCATTGGTGTCGCTAAGACGGGATCCGGAAAGACGATGGCGTTCCTGCTTCCTATGTTCCGTCACATCAAGGACCAGGATCCCGTTCGAGATGACGGCCCGATCGGTCTTATCCTGACACCGACACGAGAGCTTGCTACCCAGATCTTCCGTGACTGCAAACCTTTCCTTTCGGCATTAAACTTGCGTGCTGTCTGCGCGTATGGCGGCCCGCCAATCAAGGATCAGATCGCTCAGCTTAAGGCTGGCGCAGAAATTATCGTTGCAACTACAGGGAGATTCATCGACCTCCTGGCCGCAAACCAGGGTCGTGTCGTTGGCCTCAAGCGCACAACCTTTATCGTGTTGGACGAAGCTGATCGAATGTTTGATATGGGCTTCGAGCCTCAGGTTATGAAGATCTTCGCCAATGTCCGGCCAGACCGCCAGACTGTGTTGTTCTCCGCGACCATGCCTCGCATCATTGACGCATTGGTGAAGAAGGTCCTAAAAAATCCCGTCGAGATTACTGTGGGCGGTAAGAGCGTCGTAGCTCCCGAGATCACACAGATTGTGGAGGTTAGGGAAGAGAAGGACAAGTTCTTGCGTCTCCTCGAACTGCTCGGCAACTTATACGCTGATGATGATGATGTTCGCGCGCTGATCTTTGTCGAGAGACAAGAAAAGGCGGATGATCTGCTCCGGGAGCTGTTGCGAAAAGGTTACGGATGCATGTCTCTCCACGGCGGCAAAGATCAAGTGGATCGTGACTCGACAATTACCGATTTCAAGAGCGGAGTGTGCCCTGTCCTGGTCGCAACCTCGGTCGCAGCTCGCGGTCTTGACGTCAAGCAGCTCAAGCTTGTGGTTAATTATGATGCACCAAACCACCTGGAAGACTATGTTCATCGTGCTGGCCGCACAGGCAGGGCCGGCAACACCGGTACGGCGGTGACCTTCATTACTGAAGAGCAAGAAAATTGTGCACCGGGCATTGCGAAAGCTCTGGAGCAGAGTGGCCAGCCTGTCCCGGATCGGCTTGAACAGATGCGCAAAGCGTGGAGAGAGAAAGTCAAGGCTGGTAAGGCAAAAGACCAGTCTGGTTTCGGCGGTAAAGGTCTGGAGCGTCTGGACAAAGAACGCGAGGTTGCACGCCAGAGAGAGCGCAAGACCCATAAGGCTGAGGGCGACGACGAGGACGAAAAGGAGGAAGCACCAGCTGATGACGAGAAGAAGAACAAGGCTGCGTCAGCAATCCAGCAGGCCGTTTCTGCCGTCGTCTCTCGCGATGCTGCCAAGGCCGCCGCCGAAGAGGGCAAGGCCGCCGCGGCGGAGGCCGGCGCGACAGAGGCCGGAGGCGCCAAGGGAGGCGCGCTCGACAAGGCCGCCCAGGCGGTCAACGACATCAACGCGCGTCTCGCCCGCGCCGGCCAGCTCCGCCCAGGGCAGCCCATCGACAACAAGGGCCCTGACGCCGGCGCGTTCCACGCGACGCTGGAGATCAACGACTTCCCGCAAAAGGCAAGGTGGGCCGTCACCAACCGCACCAACGTGGCCAAGATCCTCGAGGCGACGGGCACATCCATCACGACCAAGGGCAACTTCTACCCGGCGGGCAAGGAACCGCCGGCCGGAGCCGAGCCGAAGCTCTACATCCTGATCGAGGGCGACACCGAGGTCGTCGTTAGCAACGCGCTCACGGAGCTCACGAGGTTGCTGAGGGAGGGTACGATCGCGGCGGCGGACGCGGAGAACCGCGCCCCGGCCAGCGGGCGGTATACCATTACATGATCGGCTGGCTCCAGGCAGTTCCCACCGACCGCGGGCAGACTATGGGGTTCGAAGGGTGCTTTGTCTCTCGCGCACAAAGACCGCCCTATACACGATGCTGTGCAATCTGTACTACACACCTCAAAGGGAGGGGAGTTTCATGAACCAATAGCTTAGGCGCATAGGCATCAACAGGCAGCAAGTCAAATACGTATCTACCGTCCTCGTCGTCCGAACAATTGACCGCCTTTCTGTGTGCGTGGGCTTGTGAGCTGCGTGGTTTCCGTACGCCCCCCGTGTCTAGTTTCGTTTGGGGATTGCATGGTTCGAGGCAACCCCCAGCCATGAGCTGTGATCGTCTGATTGTTTCTGCCCATCAGACCATTAGGGGCTGAAACGTTCAAAGTGTCCCGATTGAACGCCCTGGCTGCCTCCCTCTCTATTCCTAAACTGCCAAACAGGTCCGCATATAGGGCTATTAATTATTATAGTCATTGGCGCGACGTGCGACCTCTCTCCTCTTCGCAGACTTCGCTTGATCTGTCGACGCGTGGGACTAATGTCTCTTCTTGTCTTGGCATTGAGTGAGCGATGAAGCGAACGGTGCTGGCTAATAAGTTGATCTCTTGTGCGTTGTCGTCATTTGCTCTGTAATCACTTGTGGGCTTTCATGTCGGCTGGCAAGGCACGGTTGGCGATCAAGGATATCTTGTTTGCACCAAAGCAGCAAGCACATCGGTTCACACATGAATAAATGGCAAGTGACTTGCACATGGATTTGTAGGTAGAATGTATTGAATGCTAGCCCCAGATTATGTGCAGTTATATACTACGAAAAGCTCGCTTTCCCGTAGAGGAAATGGTACATGTATTTTGATCTGTTTCTCGCTTCCGCTTCAGATCTCTCCCCCGTATGTATCCTTACACCGGCTTTCTCTGGCCGACCCACCCCGCACATCTTGTTTCCGTGGTATCTGGTTTCAAAAGTAGAAGAAGGATGTAGCGGATGGATTTTGCCACGAGTCTCAAAGGAAAAAGAATCATCGCAATCGTGGTGGTAGAAGGTGGTGTTTGGCGAAAAAGTTGTTAAATGACAAAGAGAACACATTGCTTGCCCGGGATCTCTTGGGATCCGCGTGCCGGTGCTGATCATGACGCCAGGCTTTTTAATCAATAAAGTATTTCCGCCGACTCTTTGTCGAAGGGGGGAAGCCAGTGTGTACTATATTTAGTAACCCCGGTTGTACCCATTGTTGTAACCACCGCCGTAGCCTGTTTGTTGGCTATAGCCGGCTGGTTGGCCGTAAGGACCATGGCCATATGAGTTGTCGGCATATGGTGCGGGTGCTGTGGAGTGGTCTTCGTAGCCGCCTGGTGGTGCGGCATGCGAGACCAAGTTGGCGTGGCTCTGGTCTTCGCCCGACGGGCTCAATGGCCTGTAGTTCTCCTTGGCGTCGAACTTTGTCTTGGCCAAGGAAAAGTTGTCCGAGTCGGGGTGAGACACCTTGCGGTCCAGCAAGAGGGAGTTGCGGGCGTCGAGAGGAGTGAGGTTGTCGAGGTCGCGCATTTTCTCTGAGAAAGTGTTAGTATCTTTTCAATTAGATGCATGGTGTTAAGGGGCCCCAACTTACCCATCTCCTTTCTGCGCTTGCGGTGAGGGTTCTCCTTGCAGATGGCAATGATAGCGTTCCATGCGATCAGGATAGCCAGGACACCGGTCAGAGCGGCCTGGATAGCGATGAGGACCACGCCAGTCACAGTAGACGTTGTCTCGGAGACAGCAAACTCGTCAACGAAGATCAGGATGCAGGCAACGGAGAGGACGCGGACCACGGCGATTGTGATGTTGATAACGTTGCCGGACTTGCGCTCGTAGGGTCGGTTCCAGAGAAGAACGCAAAGCATCAGGGCCTCAACGATAAGCTGGGCAATGCTTTGGGCCATTCCGTGGTTATCGCCAGCGGCCAAGATGATTCCCTTCGCCAACATGTAGAGGATGGTGGGGACAAAGATCCACCAGTAGTCCTTCTTGTAGTTCTCGTAGAACAGACTATACTTGATCCAGATGTTCTTGTTCTCATACAACTGGCTGGCGTCACCGTCCGTCTCCTTGAGCTTCTTCGCCGTGGTGAAAATCTTGTACGCGAAGAAGGCCAGGATACCAGTGAAGAGAGCGAGTGTGACAGCCGCCAAGGCGGTGGCGGCCCACGAATCGCCAGTAGTGAACTGGAAGATACAGTACAGGACCCAAGTACCGTACAACAGGAGGATAAGCTGGGTGATTGTTCGGCCCATGGTCAGCCAGTAGTGCTTTCGGAAACCGGTCAAGCTCTTGGGGAAGCTGCCGAACAGGGCCCAAGTCTCCAGGATAACCTTGACGAGAAGAATGATGACGGCGATAGAGGCAATGACAATGGCAACGATCAGGAGGACAGTCATGAATGTGCTGGAAGAGGGAATGCTCAGTTCCTCAACGTAGGCCTTGATGCCGCTCACGGCCACTCGCACCTGGGTCTCGATGCCGCTGTCGTCGGAGCCGGTGTCAGTCTCGTTAATGCTGGTGTTGATTTCACGGGCCGCGAGCCGGGCGACGACGTCCATGGCGCGCTTGAACTTCCTGTCGGCGAGGGATTCGGTTGAGCCGTCCTTGAACACAAGCGTAGCGTTCTGCAGGTACTGCACGCTATCCTCTGTCAGATTTCCACCGGTGGCAACCCGGAAGTCTTCGATTGCCAGCTGCAAGTTGGTCCACGGGATGAGGCCGACTGAGAAGGCAAAGTTCTTTGAGTAGCTTCGGTAGACCTGGGGCAGTGACACAGCTGACATGCCGTTCATGGCCATGCCTTGGAACCAGCCGAATACCTCAACAAAACTTGGGCTCGGCGCCACGCTGCCGGCTCCAGCACCACCAGCAATTGCCGAACTGGCAGCTGTGACTCCTCCCATCAACAAAGCAACACCTGCGACGGCGGCCGCGACGTATGTGACGGCCGGGACATCGGTAGTCTTGCCGTTCGAGATTTCGGAGGTGATACAGGCGACGTCCTCGTTCGAGTCGATGGCGATGAGTTCGAGCGTGGCGACGGCCGCAATATCGGGAACCTGGAAGGCAATGGCTGGGATTTGGCTGGCGTACTGGGAGGAGATTTCCTGTGTTCCTGACGCAGCAAAAGTGCCCGTTGGAACTGTGACGTGTTAGCCAAGTCACGCAAAACTGGTCGTTAGGGGCTGTTTCTTACCAGGGCAGAGCTGTTCCACAAAAGTCGAATTGTCGCATGGGTTGAACTGGTTCGAGTAGACGTCGATGCCATAGGCTGTGACGTTAAGCTTGGCCATGACCTTCTGTTCCTTGCTGCTGGAGCCCGCGACGTCGAATGTGACAGTTCCGGCGGCCTTGTTGTACTCGATATCGACCTTCTTTACCTGGATCGCAGAGTCTTGTTGGCAGTTGGTGAAACCCGAGGTCCTGAGCACATCTGCTGCCAGAGCCCCTCTCGTCATTGCCGTGGCGGCCAGTGCCGCGGCCCATAATAGTGACCTTGCCATGTCGGAAGGCTAGACTGTGTCGATTCCCCTTGTTGGATGATTTTCCCGGGTGGGTGTACCCTTCTCGGAGTGGAAAAGGTTTCGTGCTTGTTCTCGCGTCGTGCGTCCTCCAAATTTCTCAGACTGTTTGGTTGGGTCTCTTCCCAATTGACCTTGTTCTGTGCCCTTTCGAAAAAAAATGATTCGTTCCCTTCTCTATATGGTATCAGATCTAGATGGCGTATCGATGTGTAGGAAATTCGTCGATGACAATGTCCGAGGTTGAGCTTAGATTAAAGGTGGATAAGTTCGTCTTAAGCTGGCTGGCAGGGACGACTGGAAGAGTACTCGATACCGGTCGGCGAGAAGGAACAGCAAAGGGAGTAACAAAGAGACAATGGCACCACAAAGCAGGGTCCTTTTCGCAGGAGAAAGGCCGAGGGTCAACCTGGAGCAGAAGGAGAAAGAGGGTGTTGGGGCCCTTTCGTGTGATGACGAAGGAGGGCTGGTTGTGTTATGTGTTGCTGGAGGTCTGTGGCGACGAGGCCAGAGTATAGGCTCCCGGTCGTCTCGTCTCGTGTGCGTCTCTCTCCGTGTCTAAGTGTTTCTCACCAGATGGGGTAGAGGCAAAGAGCAGGAAGAGGCATAGGCTAGCGTCAAGGCGGGAGGGGATTGGTGGTGAGGGAGAAGATGGGTTGAGCAGAGCGAGAGGCGGGCGGGTATGTGAAACGAGCGTACGGGGTAAGGAGGTGTGGTGACTGTTCCTGGCGACGGCGTCGAGACGGTGAAGCCAAGGAATCGTCTGACAAGTCTCCGAACTCCCAAGTGAATATCAAGAACTGGATGGGACGAGGGGTGCCGATTGGGCTGGATCACGGACAGGAAAGAGCGAAAAGACCACGATGGATCAGCAGTTAGTGGTTAGAGAAGACGGGGTGAGGGCACGGAGGAGTTGAAGGAAAAAGGCAAGGTCCAAGGAGGAGCATAGCGTCGAGACGGGCCTTGGCTGGTGCCGGCGGAGGCCCCTTGGACGTCGAAATTGAGCGCTCATTGGCGAGATGGGACCATCTGGCCTGCCTGGACACCTCCTGGATGTGCTGGCTCGAGCTCTCGTCGCTCCTCTCTCGCCCTCTCAGCCCTCTCTCTCCTCTCCTCCCGCCCATCATCAGGTGTGGGTGGGCGGCCAGGGTCTGACCTCGATCTGGCTGCGGGTCAGACGGCGATGTCGACGACCAACCAGGCCCGTCGGCCTTTGTCGACCAGGCGGGAGACCAGGCAGGCCCTGGCCTGGCAACCTGGGCAAGATGAGGTCGGCCCCACAGGGAAACCAGGCACTGGCTGCCACTGGCTGGCTGACTGGCTGGCAGGACCTGGGCGGGCTGGACGGCTGGACGGCAGGTGGTGGACGGCAAGGGACGGGCGCGACTGGACACGAGGAAGGGCTCGCAGGCGGCTCCTTGGTTGGCAGGCTCTTTTTTTTTTCTCTCTGGCCGGTGGAGTCGAGATTGGGACAACCAGACAACGCGAGCGCTGGCGAGGTCTGGCCCCTGACCCCAATGGCCAGTAATTATTCGACCTGCAGGGGCATCCCGAGCAGCCCCCACACTAAATGAAACGTCCGCGGCTGCGCCATTCTCTGTCCGTACCTCCCCTGCAGTAGCTCCACTCTTGGGATTCGTCCCAACCCAGCCGAGCCCAGCAGACGGCGGCCATTGGCCCCTGCGCTGACACACAAGCTGGCTGGCTGGCTGACTTGGCAAGCAGGACTGCAAGAACTGTAGGACTGCAAGATAGGCAAGACTGGCAGTGCCGTCCCAGCGTCCGTCCTCCTTTCCTCCTGCCCTTTCACGAACATGGCACCGACACCGAGGAACCAGTGCTAGCGAGTCCCAGCCAGAAGAGCTTGGGCCTGGGCGCCGTTGCGGCAACCCGCCCCACATTAGCTGCTATTTTGAAACGGGCTCTTTGGGCCAAGCTCCACGCGCCCGCCATTAGACTTGCCCTCCTGGCCGTCTTGCCCTGATTTTCGGCTTGTCTGCCTGTGATTGACCTTGGGACTGACCGTCAAGGACCCGGCCGGCTGCTCGATCTGTTGAATGTGCCGAAAGCATGCGATAGTACTATGTGGCATGTGTGCACGACACACTGTCTTGTTGTACGTGCTCCCTCGTGTGCGCCTAACAGGGACCGTGTGAAATAGCTCGCTGCACGAAATCCCTCGCCCTGGGCACTTGGGATAAAAATACGAGCTGATCGGACCAAGATTGGGGTCTACCAAGAAGAGGAGTCGTCGTCAAGCTTCCCGGGGCCACAAGTCAAGGCGTCGCTACGTCGCCACGGAGTAATTACCCTGCCTAGCCTGCCACCCGCGCAACGGGGCGTCCATCTTGTTCTGCTTGTGTGCTTCTTCTTTTGGCCCTGCTGCTGGCTGGCTGGCTGGGCTGGCTGGCTGGCTTGCTGCTTGACTGATGCAGTAAGTGATCCTCCACAGTTGGTTGTACTCCGTATCCCCAGTGAGCCACCCCCTTTAGATAGTGACCCATTGTAGCATATAGCAACAGGCCCCGGGGCGATCATCGTGGAGATCAAGACACACACACGTCAACAGATAATCAATCAATCAATAAATCAATCAATCCTTGTCGGTCCCTGCCCGTGGGCAGCGGAGCACTGCCCAGTGCCCACCGATGCGCAGCCAGAATTGAAAAGAAAAGGCTCGGCACGTCGCAGCAAACTGACGACGACCTCGCAGCCACCCATCCATCGCCTCACTCACTGTTTTACCCGAAAAACACGCCAGCACGCCAGCCTGCCTGGTTCCTTCTAACAAACCTTCGAGAAGCCTCCTCGCAGGGGTCCTGTCTGAGACAGGAATTCGGGTTCACTCGCTGTGCCGCGCAGTTGGGAGGCTGTGCCGCAACTCAAAAGCAACGGCATGGTTCCGAGCAGGCTGGCGGGCAATGCATCATTGCATGCACAGTATATAGACCCCCACCACTGCCCCAGCCAGAGTCGAGCCCAATTTGCATGTTCATGCGGATGGGGTTTCGCCTTCGTCTGTCCCGTCATGGTACAGATTGCGTTGAAAGTATGGACAGCTGGGGGGGGCCTGGCACCCAGCACCCTGACGCCCTGACGCCCTGACGCCCCCAATGAGGATTAGAGGGGCCTGGAGCAGGCAGGCAGGGCAGGCCATACAGCTATCATTATCGGCGCAGGCCATCATCTCATCTTCGAAGGACCCCTGCCGTGGCGCGGCCTGCTTTCGGGACTTGGACTACTGATCGCACCCGTTGGTACAATCTCGTCCCGCGCCCGGGGCCCAATCCATCCCGTCGGCACGAACAGGTTGCGGCCATGCACAAGACCCGGCCAACTGACTGGTCTGCTGGTCTGAACCGAACAACTCTAACTCGAGACTGTGTGTGCATAAACACGGCACAGTCGGCAGTGGGTACTGACATTGGCCGAGGCCTTGCGCACATTGATTCCTCAGCCTTATCATGGGTAGGAAGAATACCGGTCTGCAGATGCCGTTTTATCTTGCTTGCTACCAAGGCCCGGGATCCAAGGTGAAAAAGCCGAGAATCAAGGCAAGCCTGGCGGCGCCGTGTTGCTGTGCCTGTGTGCCCCGCGGGCCGGGCTGGTCTCATCAGGTGCCATCGGTTTCAGTGTCTCTGCTGGCTCTGCCTCACACACGCCCCCTTTTTTCTGCTAAACCCATGGCCGCACGTAATTGGCTTCAATCCCCTCGACATATTCTTGTGTGTGCATGCTCCCTGTCGTTGCCAACGAGTCTTGCCAGGGGTGCTCGACAGCTTCGACACCTGCCAGCCTGCCCACCTGGTGGACTGCTGAGACTAATAACTACCCTCTTGTAGGCCCGCGGTGAACTTCATGTAGGATAACGTCAACGCAAGACAGCAGCTTTCTCAAGTATGATCCTTCGGGACATCGTGTTGTGGGGGAATACCTCAAACAAGAACCGCCCGTGAGATGCCCTCTCATATAATAAGGCACTCTGAGGGGGGAGCCACCTACAACGCAGCCGCTTATCATGGGATAAAACCAACAAGGCATATGAGAGCCAAACAACAGGATGCTCTGCAAGGATGTGCTTGCGATTTTGGATGATGGTTACTGTATTCATGTATGTGATTGCTGTTGCCGTTCCAGTCCCACGCACGTACCCTATGAGCCAGGAGAAATGCCTCGGCAGAAATGATCAAGACAAGTCTATCAAAACAACGCCAGTTTCCGAGATGGCCCAAATGTCCCTTGGTGTGTATAACACTCGTGTTTCCACCAAAAGACCCACAAATGATCATTGCAAAAGAGCAGCCTCCATTTCCTGGCCAGAGTGTACTTCCGGCCTGTTGCGGGCCCCTCGACCGAGGTACAAGATGATGGGTTCTCACCATGAATTGGACAACACACAGCAGCATCGTGATAAAGGGCAGGGGGGGTATCTAGGGAATTCATCATCACGAAATGAAACTTGAGAAAAGAAATGTTCGTTACGTCATCGGTGTGTGTAGAAACCACCCTGGCCCTGAAGGGGTGACCGTGAGTATGGTGATGCTGACCCCTGTGGCGTGTAGTGTCCCCCGCCGGCGTGCCCAGGGTCGAGCGTGGTGTCGTAGATCTGGTTGCCCGAGGCATCTTGCAGGCCCAGGGGGTTGTTCATGTAGGTCGGGAACGGTTCCACGTGATGCGGGATCGAGATGAATTGTCCGCCTGGTGCCATAAACGAGCCGGTCGTCGCGGGCAGGTTCTGGTAGCCCGTTTGGCTCTGGAAGCTGCCGCCCATCGTTCCCTGCTGCATCCCAAGGCTGGTGGCCCCGTGCTGGGCCATGTCATGCACCGACGAGCCATAGAAGGGATTGGCAAAGGTCGTCTGCGACGGGTAGCCATAAGGTGAGTTCTGGGGGTTCGGATAGGCCAGAACGCCGCCCGTCTGGTGCTGCATCGGCGAGTGGCTGGGATTTGGGGAGTGGTTGAAGAGCGGAGCTTCCGTCTTGACTGGCGGGGCAGGAGGGAAGTTCCTGGGTGGGGGGTCTTGTACCGGACTGATGATGGAATCAGGCTCGAGTTCCTTGCGAGCTACCAGGCGGAGGACCGGCAGTGTCATGTTTTCCATGTGCTTTGCCAGGTGGACAGTGAGCTTCTTCCAAGTGGGAAGCGACTTGCCGCAAAACCGGCAAGGCTCGTCCTGTGGTCTGTTTCTTGTATCTTCATGGCATCTCTCCACCTTCTGCCAGGTAGGGTCCTGTCCCCCAGCGCGCTTGATGGCGGCCTTGGTCTTCATCTTTGGCTCCGGGAATTTGTGCTCCCGCACGAGGTGCTGGAGGAAGTTATCCCGTCTATAGCAAGTATGTTTACAATCATCAACATCGCAAGTCCACCACTCCAGGTGACTAGAAACCCCAGTCAGTCATGTCAATAATCAAAGCTCATAGTTTGGGGTGTACGGAGCACGGAGGAGGTCCAATAGGTGCTTACCGGTGGCCCTCATTCTCATGTCGCACCCAGTCTGCTTTTCTCTTGAAGATCTTGGGGTCCCTGCATCGGTCCCATGTGCAGCAGAACGGTTGCACATCTTCGTGGACATGTTTCGTCCAGTCCGATGGCTTGGTAAACTTTTTGGACTGGTAGCAAAGCTGGCACTCAAACTCAGCCGGCAGTGTGCTGGCCGGCGGCATCGGGATATCTGGGGGGAAGCTTTCTGCTGTGACCAGCCCCTCTAGTGGGGTCACATCTCCTTCAGATCCATCGTAGACAGTGGACAGAGGGTCCAATCCGCGACCGTCACCCTTTGTGTCGAGCAGATTGGCCGATCCCCCAAGGGCGATGCACATAGTGCCGCATGGGCAGTTGTTAGATGAGATGTGCTGTAGGTGTTTGACTTTGTTGGTCAGAAGAGCCTTGTAGCGGATGACCTGCTGATGTGCGATCCGATCAGCAAGGTAGGTGTTTTGCTCCTTTAGTCTTGGGTTCATCATCAGCGCATGCTGCCTGAATCCGGCGAAGTTCGGCGTGATATCGTCAATGACGTTGCTAGGCTGCGTGCTGAGGCCAGCTTCCTCGAACACATCATCATCATCTTCCTCGTCGTCGTCCAAGTCCGCTGCTGGAGCGGGCTTCGCCAGCTGAGCGACCGGTGGGCCACCATTCTTCTTCCACATGCCCACGAGATTTGGATGAGATTCATCTTTGGTTCCCTTGGGGAGTTCCGACTTGCTCCTTGGCCGCCTGAGAGTATTCCTGACTCCGAGATTGAAGGGACTCTTGGGCGAAGTTGCGTTGCTGACAGAGCTGGTTCGTGCATGGCTGGTGCCGATTGTTGCAGCACCCGCGGCCATCGAGACAAGGGCGGTGTTGAGGGAAGGCATCTTTTGCTGCTTCCCCCAGCTGCCCGTGCGTCCAGGAGGCACCAGGCTATTCTGGCTCTCTCGTCTGTCCAAAGCCTCGCTATCACCGGAGCCGACGCCTTCGTGGACACTGCGATTGCGCTTCAACAACTGGCTTGTACTAGATTTCCGCACAAAACCACGAATCTCCTTGAACAGCACGCTGGGCTTTCTCTCGCGACTGATGGAAAGCTTTTTCAGGAAGCTGCCGCTGGTGATGCCATCCATATCTGCGATACTCGGCAAGCTTCGGCGACGCGTGCCCCAGGTCGCTGCCCTTGAAAGGATGGACGAGTTGTCCTGACACATCTGCTCAAACTTCTCCATCGCAGCCTTTGATGACTCCGGCTGCTGCCGAGCTGAGTCGTCTTGGCTTATGTGGAACATCGCAGGTGCGTCTGCCCAGACCCGATGTTGCCGCATCAGATCGATGTCTTCTTGTGTCAGGGCTCCGCTATCTCCCGTGTAGTACGTCTGGCCGGGCAGTGGCTTATTCTCGGTCTCGTTGCCCATTGCAATCTCTTTGGAGCTGATTGAGTCGCCGCCAAAGTCATAGTAATCTGGGAACGCCGTTGTCTCAGGAGGGACTCCCTCTTTGGAAGATGCGATCCAGTTCCCAACCTCCTCGTTGCGTTCTGCAACCTTGCGGCGCGAGGCCTGCTCATTGATGCTGACAGCTTCACCGGTAGAGCGATTCTCGGGGCCCCAGCCCCTATAACCGGTTCGTGGGTCCGCGACCAGCGCTCCATGTTCGTCACGGGCGACGGACGAGCTTTGGTACGAGGCTTCAACAAAGTTGTCATCGGTACTAAGCCCGGCTGCCCGGACGGTCGTAGGACTCTCTGGGATCTCGGGATAGAAGTTATCTTGATCCCTCCCCCACATGGAAACGGTGACCCGGGGGCTCGAGCTGGCCATGGCTGCGGTGTCTTCGGTAGACCACGAAGCGGAGTGAGTCTCTGGGCTGGTTTTTGTGGCAAGCCGTTCCAGGTTTGTGTGGGAAGGGGCCGATCTCGGTGGGTTCGAGAGCCCGTGAGACGATACAGGCTCCAAAAATGCTTCGCTGATGGTCTTGGGGCTCTTCTTGTCACTGCTAGGGGACGTTGTGTGGATGGAAGGCGTTGAAGGGTCTGGGCTCAAGGGGTAATTGTGAAGTTCAGTCGCATGCTGGGATCTCGGAGGTAATGTCTGAGGGAGGGACGAGTCGCTGTGTTCACTGGAGTTTGGGTCTTCCAGAAATGATGGCGTGCCCCCGTCGTTACTGAAGTCAACGCCAAAGAATGGGTCGGTGTCGACCTCGAGCTCGCTCAAGTCGCTGAAGACGGATTGAGAGTCTGCGGGTGTGCTCGCGTCCTGCAACACTGGCGACGCAGAGCTCTTGTGGAGCTGTGAATAGGGCGATAGATGGTTGGAACCGAAGGGGACCGAAGGAGGCTCATAGGTATGGTCAGCTGTTTCGCGGTTGACAGCGGGCCATGTCCTGTCCCTCCCGTTGCTGCTGCTAAGCAGAGATGGTTGTATGCTGTAGGTCGAAGAAGACATTGGTGTTCAAGTGCAAGGGCGAGGAAGTGGGTAGGTGTCGGGGCGCAGGTATGTATTGATTCCGAAGGATGATGTAAAGCAACCAGGCAGGCAAACATGTGGGAGCATCCGTCACTTTCGGCTCAAGAACCGCACCTTGCACGCACGTCGCAAGGGCCACAGGTGCTTGGAGAGATACGCTCGAGGCTTCGGGATCCGCTCCGGTGTTTTGCAGGTGCGGGGACGGTCTTTTGAGAGTTGGGCTTGAGTGCCGTCCAGACTTTGACAGTTGTTTCGTTTGAAGACGAAGTAGGAAATCTTTCGAGAGGAAGAGGTGCAGTCTGATCTTGGGGGCGAGGCGCTGTTCCTGTACCCGCGAGACCAATCCGGCACAGCGCTTATTCCATATGTTGGTGTACAACGTACCAATCAAGAAAGGCGCGGGTGCGGAACAGCAGGGGCAGGGTTGGAGGCAGAGGTGTAGATCAAACTGTCCGTGGGCAGGCCTTCCAGGGCAGTTTGAGGATTTGGCACCCAAACTCGACGCCTTCGGTCATGTGGGTGTTTGTTTTGTTCGCGTGTGTCTGGCAGTGTCTGGCAGTGACTACATGGAGGAGGAAGGGTGTCATTCCATTGCGGCGGTGCAGAGAATGAAATGGAAGAAAGGCAGCCGCTCGTGAGAAACACGGGCTAATGCAGGTCACAGCTGCCTGCTCCACTGCGTACCATGCCGCGGGATACTAGACCATATGGTACATATGGTACATATGCCGGTGTGTCCAAGCATGTACCGATCGTCGAGGTCAGCTTGGTGTTGATGTCAGCAAAACGAGCCGCCTGGTAAGGGTGGTTGGGGCAAGGGAAGCAGGACAGGTCGCGCCCTGCGTCTCGTGCGATGGCGCAGGTTCGACAGGCAGAATTCGAGACCTGCGGCTCAATCACCAAATGGAGCCAGAAAAGGGACGAGGCTTTCCGCTGGGCGCACTGCCGAACCCCCCCTCCCCCAAACGAAACAGCCCAGCGCAGCCCCGTTTAATGTTTCCTGGACGGCCCTTCAGACCATGGCAAATCGACAATTGGATCCTTGTGTAGTGTAGTGTGCTGAAATGTCGTACCGCGCGCTTCCTTGGATCCACGCCACGATCAAGCTTTGTAATTACAATACAAGCTTGCCCAGGATTGTAAGGGTGCTGGTTGACAGCCTGACAGCCTGACAGCCCGTTCTTTAGACGCCACGGGCGCGATAAGCGACCGGGCCGTACACCGTCTCGCCCGAGTTCTACCCTGCAAGATACACCACCGAGGTCGCGACTCAGTGGCATCAGACGGCCATTCCATCGAGTTTGGAAGTGCACAAGGCTCTGTGACGCAGTGGCAGAACCATGATCTGCATAGATCATGAAGCCACCCCGTCCGATCCAAGGTGGTCAGCCTTTCAATCAAGTGTCTTGGCGACGCGGGAGCTCCGCCCTCCACCTGCACCGCCGCGGGGCAGTGTGGGCAATGTGTACAAAGTCCCGCAATGCTCTCTGTGCGCCCGGGCGACGAGAGAGACATGACATCCCTGATCGTGGCCGAACTAAGCCTGGTCTCAGGCAAGGCTCCCGGCCTGATGACGGGCGTAGACCGCGGCATTGGCATTGGCATTGGCATTGGCACGATGCACCAGAGCTTCGCCGGCCAGGGCCAACCATCGGGACTTGCTTACTCATCAGCCATCCGCATCCGCTTCTCGTCCATGTCATCTCCCGAGGTGGCCGAGGCCCAAGAGCCAAGTGCAGCCTGCCAGTGAGCTTCAACATAACCCGCACGACGTCTACAAGGACAAGCTTTCGCAACAGCTTAGCTTGAGGAATCGCCATTGTCATCCAGAGCCAAGATTCATAATGGTGAGTCTATGATTGAATCAACTTTGGTCGACCCTAGGCTAATACTCGACAGGGTCTCGAAGTTCCGTCCTATGTCCTGGGCGCCCTGACGGTGAGTGAAACCTCGCAGCGCGGCAGTAGTTGAACTGTCCATCCGCTCGGAACATGATGTGTGCAAACCTCGTTGCAAGATGAAGTCTTCCAACGATTGCCGTTTGGATGGAAGCGGAATCATTTCTTGAAAATCTGGTGCAATTGCTAAATTATGTCCGCGGCACTAGGCGTCGGGCGGTATCATGGGCTATGCGAGGACGAAGAGCTTGCCATCAATAGTCGCGGGGTGCACCGTCGGCTTGCTGTGTAAGTCGAATAAGCCTATGCTGAGGACAACAGGGTGAATGTTAACCGCTGGCGACAGATGCGCTTGGCGGATATCGCACGCAGAATCATGAGCCCTACGGCGTCGAACTCAGCCTCCTCGCATCCATAGTCCTGGGTGGCTCGTCGATTCCTAGGGCGATCCGGCTGCGAAAACCCGTCCCGGTGGTTCTCAGCATCCTGGCAACCGTTGGCGCGCTGATCTTTGGAAACGGGGTGTACCAGCAGAGTAAATAAGTACTTGGACAGCTGGAAGTGTACCGGGCCGAATGCCAATATTGAGCAACACAGCCATTCCCCCGCCACCATTTTGTTGAGCAGGCCGTCTGCCGGCAACCCGCAAGGCAATCACAGACTGTAGGGCCATCTCGTCCGATCAAGCGAGCGCTGTCGAACATGTGTTTTGCTTGGCGAGCACCGGACCCAGAAACTTGGGTGTTGCCCGCTCCGGCCTGCTCGAGGTCGTGCGACGTAGGATATTGAAGGTCATTTGCAAATTCATGGTCGCCGATAGTTGTGAACAATGCTCGAGTATTTAGGAGTTCTCGTCGATGTCCTTCCACTTCTGCCGGATGGCATCCCTCTTCTCCTGCGTCTTGCTGCGGTTGGTGTCCTGGCGCTTCCTTCTCTCTGCTCGGAGACATGCGCTGAGGGCATCTTTCGCACCGTTGCACATGCCCATGGACTTCCATAAGAAGCCACGTTCATGGCATTCTTCGAGAGCGACCATGAGGTCCTCGCAAGCTATGTGACATGGCGGTCAGTAGAGGGGGGGAAGGGGAAACGCAAAAAGGTTGCCGCGTACCAGTATTGTCCTTGGTGTGCAGGTGAGGATGCATTCTGCAAAGGATTGGTGGGACTTGCGCTGCGCTGAGCCGAGTATGCGAAATCTTTGTGGATTTGTTCGCGTCGATGACGGAGTACTCTGGTGGTTCGACAAGTTTCTGCGATCCTTGCCGTTTGAAGGCGACTCACTGATTCCTCTAGCGGGAGCTATGACCACTTTCGACCGCCTCGGCGCCTGGTACCCTGCCGGTGGAGTAACGCTGACAATTTTGGACAGATCCAACCGCCCTGGGGTTCGCAGTAGTCATCTCACTGGCGCCCCATCCACGCCAACGGATGTGTGCGACTGTGCATGCCGCTTCAGCAGACACTTCTTCTCACCTGGTTGATGTGAACTACGCCTTATTTTACCTCGCCCGACTATCCGCTCTCCCACGCACACGGGCCCGACCCGGTCGTACCGCCAGAATCCTGCGGACCGCTTTCACACGCTGGATCATCGAAATCAAGAGTGACCATGGCGGCCCCGTCAGCAGCTTCAAAGAAGCAACAAGGTGAGAAGAGCATCACGGCCTGCTTTTGTGTCCCGAGACTGAGGCAAAGCCACAGATCTTCAGCTGCAATACAGCACGTACAAGAACACCTTGCAACAACTCGCTCAGAAGATTGGCGACGTTGACCAGGAGAAGGAAGAACACAAGTGCGTCGTAGCTCCACACTCATTCTTGCTGCGCTACAATTCTCGCGGCCACACGCCAGCCCCAAGAGCTCACATGAGCTCGAGATCACCACATTACTACACCGCTCCGTGGCTTCCTTTTCACCGCCCACACACTGACCATCGGGGTGTAGAGCTGTCCTAGAGACGCTGGAACCGCTCTCGGGGGACCGCAAGTGCTTCCGGATGATCAATGGTGTGCTTGCTGAGAGAACCGTCAAAGATGTCATCCCGGCGTTGAGGACGAATCTCGAGGGTCTTGAGAAGGTTCTGAAGGAGCTCACTGAGCAATACAACACGAAAACCACCGAGATGGAGACATGGAAGGTACGTCGTGTCTGTGTCTACTTGGCATTATCGCAGGCCGTATTTAACTGACCAAACTGCCCAAACTGTAGAAGAAGAATAATGTCCAGGTAGTCCAGTAGGACTCGATAGGACGACGCACGTTGCAAGTTGATCATGATGCCACAATATGCTTCCAGGGGCTCCAATAGCATGGAATCATTGCGGCAAGTGAACCGTTCTCTGCTCCGCACCACTCGTGCCCATCATCACGAATGACGTACGTTGTGAGTGAGCAGTCACGGCCCGTCGACGCAGACATGGACCGAGAATGAGATTTCTACCCTACCTGCAGGACACCCTTGCACGGCAGATGGGCGACCAAGGCCCTCGAATTGGAATATGACGCTGGCCATGTCATGGGTCCTCGGGAACATATGAGGGAAAAGGTGGTGTGAACTGAGTTGTACAGGTCTCAGTGTCCAGAGAGGGCAGGCGGCAACGGCGCCTTTCTACCCAAGCGGCAGTCCGAGATGTTTTTTGAGGCTGTCGGGCTCTGATAGGTTACCAATGTACTCCATGGCCTCGCATACGGCCGCAGGCTAAGGCACCGCTCCAAAGCGCCTAGGTTGCACGTGCTCATGGGCTCGTCAGGCACTTTTCCTGGCCAGGCACGATCGCATCGCTCGAACGTCACGCTCATAGATTGGGTTTCAATGGCTCCTGGGTTGTAGTTCGTGCCTGGAAACACCCGTCGCGAGCAATGGGACGGACCGCTGCCATGGACGCTTGTTCCCCAAATACTCTCCCGAGTCGATCGCCCTTTGACCCCGCCAAAACTTATTGAATGCAACTGCCGGTCCTGTTCGCAAGTCACCCGCGGAGTCAGGGAGTGCTGGTAGGGAGACTAAGCCACAATGGTGCACGTCTGACGATATAGGATCGTGTCAAGTTTCCTTCAAGAAGATCTGTGCAACGCGTGACCGCATTGATATCTTGCGGTGTGCGAATGCAATCGCAGCCGCGACAGGGGGTTAGTTGATGCAAGTCGGCGCACTCGTCGACTAGCCCATGGGCGTGAAAACCCTACTGCAAACTATCTACATCGCATCGAAAGCCATTGTGCCCGCCCCGGCGACACCTCTGGTGGATGGGTGTGAGTTGGCAGCGGAAGCAGAGAAAGGGCAGCGGGCCTGATGCATGCCCAGCAAAGCTGATCGTGGGTGCCGCATAGCGTCCGCCAGGATCACATCGCTTCGAGGCATTAGCTGCCATCTTCGCTCGTGGAGGCCGTGGGTTGCGTCCGAAAAAGTCCGGCCTGCCCATCCCGGGCCGCGGAATGACGACCCGCATGCTTCCATCAGGACCTCGAGGGCGTTGAAGGTGTCCCATTGGCCGGGCGGCCGGTGGAACGGGCGCAATGTCTCCCAGCCTTGTCCGCTGCAGTGTTTGGCGGGGCGAGCTTATTTCCACGTTGATGATGGCCCTGCGCCAACCATCCTGGTTTTGTGGGACAGGGGGGCGCCGTCCACGGGCTCAGCCTTCCTGCCTTCTCGTCGTCCCGCGTTCGTGATGCACAAAGACCACTAATAACCCCATTCCACTTGCGGGAATTGAGGCGAAGGTGACACCCATCCTGGCAAAACCTGTAGCGAGCAGAGGAGGCAGAGCTCGTTCAAGCCGCAAGGCCCCCTCAAATACGAAGTGTGTCGCAGAGCAGCCCAGCTGCGTTTGTCCGCCGCATAAGCAGCAAGGCAGGGCGGACAAGTGGTTGGCAGCGGATTCACAGTTGCTCGTGTGCTTCTCATCGAGATGGTATGACGACGCGAGGGTACTTGGCGGGCCTCACCGCCGTAGTAGACAGCACGGGGCGTGATCCGGCAGGAACGGATGCTTCCCAACCTCAATGCCCTGCACCGCCGTTGTGTGCGGCTGTCAAGGCGGGATACGTTGAGCTTGGCATCTCTAGGGGATCATTCCGGAGACGGCAACCTTGAAAGCATGCAAGCTTCAAGGGTTGGGCAGCTGGGGCACAAATAGCGGTATGGCAGGGCCGGGCGTGACGGATCGAGCTGATCGAGGCCAGCCCAGCAAAAGACGTTCCTCGCATGGGAAGCGAGCGTCCTTGGGGGTCTCCGGTGCTTCCCACCGACGGCACTGTCGTCGCAGTCTCGGTCGCATCTGGTTGTGGACGAGGTTCGGCAGCCCGTCCACGCAACCCCGCGTTTTCTCAGCTGTGGATCGCATGCGCCTGCAGTCAGCACTCGGTGGGTTGGAGCCCGATGGCCCATGGGGTTCCATCCCATACAACGGACCCCTTCCGGCGGGCACGCAAGCAACCATCCAGCCATCTACCGTTCGAATGGTGCTGAGCTCGTTCCAGGGCCTGGACCCGGGAAAGCTCGGGATCAGGCTCCCACGATGGGTGTCCCGAAAAGACCATGGCAGGTGTGGCTCGCTTGTGCCTCGAGGCGCCGTTACTGTGTGGATCACGCCTGCACGCCCCGTCGCGGTGTCAGAAATGTGACCTGCCGCCATCTAACGGTAGGCCTTGTAGCAGACGTGCATGGCCTTGGCGATGGCCGAGGTGGGTGGAGGTGTACATCGGGGGTGAGCGCATGCCATCCCTGCTTTATCGATAAAAGCTGAGCAGCGAGAGCTGGTCGAGATGGGATGAGAGATGGTCGTCTGTCGGTTGGTGGGCCACCCTGCATACCTCTCGAGGTACCTGCCCCGGCCAGCTTTGTTGGGTGGGCGGGTGCGGTACCTGCCAGCTCCAGACGCCGTACCGGGACGCGTCTCAAGCTCTCTCTTTCCCTCTCCCTCCCAGAGCTGGGACCGATCTCTCGCATCTCCCTCGCCCTTCCAACTTTCCAATCCTTCCTCCCTGCCCCAACGCCCCGCGTCCTCATTGCAGCCCGGCCATCCTCGAATCACCTGCCACGCAGCTTTGACACCGACCCAGCTGCCCAGGTCAACCAGGTGTCTTGTCCTTGAGCCTTTTCCGCGCCGACGCGCCCCATTCCAAGGCTAAGGTGATTGGTCCGACCGCACCAGCCCACGGGACAGCCTAGAACCTGCGCATGTTCTGCAGCTCTCTGGAGTCGAGGCAAGGCGAGCAGATCCAGTCGCTTTCGGCTTGTGCCTACCCGTAACGTACTAGGTGGCCCCCAGGTATGTAGGTCTCTGTCGTATGCGGCAACGTCACTCGGTGTGCCCCGTACCCCGTGCCCCGTGCCCCGTATGCCCTGCCCCCCTCCCAATAGCAACAGCAGGAGCATCCGCATGAGCATGAGCACCAGCAGGAGCATGTGGGCGAGGACGTGGGTGGGCGTGGGTCGATGGGAAATGTGGATAGGGCGCCGGGGGAGATGGGGATTTTGAATGTGGCTGGTGCGCTGGAGATCTGGGGGCGAGGTGGTCCCTCTTTCGTGCCTTGCCCCCTCGGCCGTGTCGTTGCGCGCGACTTGAAACCTCCTCCACCTGCCAAAGCCCGGCAGAGGACCGCTTTCTGACGCGATTTTGCAGACTGCCTACACACAAGGCACGCAGGTTCCCAGCACCCGCAGCCAATCCTCTCCAGTCACTCGTCCGTCGCCCGCGCCGCCCGCCCATCGTCAGCAGTATTCCTGCCGCGCACCCTTTTCATATCCTGCCTGTACATGCGCCCGTCTGCTCGCGCAACACATTTACTTGTCTCTATCTAGTGTGTCTGCGCCCCAGCCCGCGGCTTCTGGCCAACCAGCGCCGCCTAAAATCCCCGTCAGTGTAACCCGCAAAAGGCAAGACAACAAGCCTTGCCTGAACACGACGCCTCGGGACGGGATATTGATCAACTGCCACCCGGGGACCAGCTCAGGAAGGCCAAAACTCTATTTCTCGGTGCGCCCAGTCCCAAACCGTGTCTGGTGCTTCTGTCCAGGACAGGGCCGAGACGACATCCTGCAGCCACGCGATCCAGCAGCACACGGCCAGCGAGCTACACAGTACATCCAGCACTATACCATCCAGCACTAGGGGACCAGTGACTACTGTGGGTCCCGCATTAACTCATCCCACCCCTCTCTTCGCGTCCCGCCTTGAATCCCCGTTACAGCCTGAATCCTCGACCCGGCCTGGTGGACGACAAGTGCACAATAACAGCTCCAACCCATCCACCACTGTCACCCTCACCATCCCGACGGAGGCTGAGCCCACCATCTGCCGTACCAGGTGTTAAGAGGCCTGTCATTGCTAGCCCTACAACTCCTTTCCGGCAAGGGGTCAAGTAAAAAAAAGTAATCCTGCCACGCGCCGACGAGGCACGATTGACGCATCTCTGCAGCTTAAAGCAGACCCAAAAAAAGTTGCACGCCTCACTACCCTGCAACGTGTCAGGGTGCCAGGGACACATCATCTCCCCCAGCATTTGTGCGAGGGACTCAGGCCAAGGAATTTTCAAGAAGTCTGCACCCGCTGCAGGTAGCCAAATATGTCGGATTCCCCCCAATCCCCTCCCAAGGAGGTCGAACAAGGTGTACAGTCACCAGACGAGGAAGCACAAATGAATGATCCTCAAGACCCACAGGCAAGCGGCCTCGCCTATGAATTCGAGGTCAAGGAACAGGACCGGTGGCTGCCGATAGCGAATGGTGCGTCTGACTTCCCCTTCTGCTTCATCGTGATTCGTGAGGGCGTGCGCTGCTTTGTCCATCTCTGGTTTGCGCTGCATGGCTACTGGCTCTCGCTTGGGTGGCATGCTCCTGCTCTGCCTCTAAAAAAGCACCGCGCATATCTATTCGTCCATGTCCCACGAGTCGTCCCCAAAGTCGCCGGATGCGCCTCGCGCTTCATCCAAGGCCGACAAATATGATCTCTACGATGCTAACATTCGCAACTTTGCGCCAGTCGCCCGCATTATGAAGAATGCACTCCCAGAGAACGCCAAGATCGCCAAAGAGGCCAAGGAGTGCATGCAGGAATGTGTGAGCGAATTCATCAGCTTCATCACCAGTGAGGGTAAGCCAGAGCCCATCGTCCCGTCCCGTTGGGAGTGAGGGAGTGCGTGTGTCGGTGGGAGAGTGACAGGTCACCTGGGCATGCAGTAGGCTGATCAGACACAGCTTCGGAGAAGTGCCACCAGGAAAAACGCAAGACGGTGAACGGCGAGGACATTCTCTTTGCGATGACCTCTCTGGGCTTCGAGAACTACTCGGAGGCATTGAAGATCTACCTGTCCAAGTACCGTGAGGTAGGTTTCCCCTTGTCGTCTCAGTGGTTGAGACTCGGGCAACCCGTGCAGGCAGACTAATCACTACTTGCAGCAGTCGCAGTCCAACAGGAGCGAAAATCAGCAGGGCCGTCCAGGTAGTCAGGGAGGCTACGGCGGCCAGGGCGGCGCGGCAGGACCGTCCAACTCGGGGTCGTCGACTTTCCAAACCGGTGACCTGGCCGGCCAGGCCACTGATGGTGCAGACACCAACTACATGTATCAACCAGGACACAATGGGACCGGAGCAGGCGAAGGCTACTAGTAAACAACTCAAGTCGGTCGTCCAGCGGCTCCGGCTCAGTCGTCTCACCTGCTGGGCACCCAGTCATGCCGCAGAGCCTGACGGAGCGACTTGGCCTCGTTCGAGGCCCCTTGAAGGATCCTAACGGCGCGCCATTCAGCGTAACTCAACAGTAAGATACAAGGTGGTGGGCAGGAGAAGCAACACAGATAAGGGCAGGGACAGTTGTGGCAAGGACGGATGGAAGGAAGGAAAAGGCGTGATTAAAAGGAAAACCTCCCGATAGATTTACCCAGGACTTCATCTCTACTTCAGCGCGTCAGAACAGGAGCGGTCCTGGAATGGTGCAACCTCTTATATGCCCCATCAAATACAGGTGGGGTTCGAGAAACAGTCTCGAGGTAGTGGGCTATATACAAATTTAATCACGGTTCGAGTTTCTTGCTATTTGCTGACCGGCTTCGCAGTACAACTAAGTGACTCGCTCGCTCTCGCATAGCATCCGCGTCGGATTCCACTATCTTCTACCTCGCCGCCGTTTTTTTTTGCCCATTCCCTATCAAATCCCAATGTACGACTGCCTCTGCAATTCATCACTCACTGCTATCTTTGGCCGCGCCTAAATATTTGTTTATCCTGTGAAGCCCCGAGCTTCGTTGTCGCTTTCCGCCTTTGCGCGCCGTATCCTCGTCCCCACCTCGACAGGCCTGTCCCTCATTGTATATCCCGAGATTGCCATTTTCCGGTCCATGCAACTACTGAGTACATGTTGATGTTTGCCTGTCACAAATCCATTGCGCAAATTGTGTTACGCCGTGGATCCGTCCACCCGTGTATAGCGCTCCACCATGTTGATCTTCCCAACGGATCGTGGCCTCCTTGCCTCCACCCAAGCATTGACTGCCATCAGATTCGACGGCCCGGAAAGCTTGAGCCCACATGATGCCTCCAGATAGCAAGCTGACGCCGTCCAAAACCAGGGCATATACCTCTGTCTCTGCTGATGCGCCTTGTGTCTGGAACTTGTCTGCCTGGCTACCGAGAAACCCGGCCTCAGAATCTCAGCACCACGACTTCCTCGGTGACTCAAAGCCTGTCGCACTTCATGAGCTGCCAGATGCAACCTCTGAGACCGACAAACACTCTCGAGTGGGTCATTCTAAAATGACGTAGCTGCCATCAGGGATTCCCCATATCCGGCGAGCCTGTCGTTGCACGACACTGGCTGACGGGGAACAGGGGAACATCCGATTAAGTAGGTACCACTGGCAAGACATTTTCCTCCACGTCAACAATCTTTGTTTTCTAAAAAAAAAAAAAAAAAGACACCACCCTCTGACTTACTCGGCCTTAAATCAATGGCTATGATCATCAAGACATGTGAGACCGATATACCGTAAAGCGAGCATCACACAGTCGCAACAGGATGGAACAAAATGCTGTGAAGGCCATGAATACTTCCGCCCTCTTCGCGTTTGTCCAATTTACACAACAACTAAAGCCACCAAAGCAGGACTCCCATCATTCAGAACCCTAAAGATGGCGTCCACAAGTTCAACGGATACTATCAAAGTCATAGGCATTTCCAAGTATGGCCCACTCGAGAACCTCGAAGCCAGACGCCTCCCCAAGCCATCACCGCCCATCGGGCACCATATCCTCGTCCGATTCAGGGCAGCGGCTGCCACAACGATCGAAATCAAGCTCCGTGGGGACGTATACGACGACGCGCCCGACTAATATGAGCGCCGTCAAGCACCTGACGCAAGAGGGGCCGCACTTCCACGTGACGAGCTATGACGGCGCGGGAGTTGTCCTCTACGTCGGGCCGGCCATGAAGCACTGGGCGAAAAAGATATACTGCCTAGGGAGACCGATACCTAGGTAAGCCAAGGCTGCTATGAGGAAGAAATACTGATCAACGGCCGACAGTCAGTGCCAGCTTCTATCATTGATGTCTATGTCCCTCGGCGACATTTAATCTTCCAGAGTCCGTCCCGCAAGTCATTGGCTTATTAGGTATGGTACGGGCCACAAACCCAAGAGTCTCGATTTCTTCCAGGCCGTTGTCGACAGGCTCGAGATGAATAGGGGCGACAAGGCCGGGATCCTGATCATTACAGACGAAGATGGCTCCACCGAGGCGTTGTGTTGATCAAGCTGACGCCTCCTCTCTTTCGGAGTCAAAGTGTATTCTCATTTTAGCAAGCGTGCCGGGATGATCTTTGTGAGCCCATGTATTCTGGATAAGGCATGATCTGTACTGCCATCAAAGTCTTGAGCCCGAAGGTGCAATCAATTACTCTTATTCCATAGCAATACACACTTACAATAATATTCTTAGAAATGTGCCACGCTATAGTGCCATTTTGATATTCGGTTGCCGAAAAGATAAAATGCCAGCGCCACTCCGTCGGTTACGATATTGTGTGGCAGTGTCCATGCCGCAGTCTCAGTTTCTCGAACCCACGCTATTGGCTCGATGCTTCTTCTCCTTGCCGCCACCCGCTATGTTGACGGAGATGCTCGACTTGCGCCTCAACCCTCCGGCCTTTAGCCTCCTTGCCATTTGGTACGCGCGATCCAGCTCCGTCTCGATGGCACAGCGGATCTTGAGCGCCGCGACTGCCGGCCAGACGCTCCTCTCGCCCCTCAGTATCCAATAATCGAGCGTCTCTCTTGTTGGTGTCTCTAGGAGCCTGATAAAGTCCCCGGCCGTGACCTCGGGTACCAGCATCACGCTGGCGCCAGGGATGCGCTCGTCAACCAGGAACCGCCTGATGCCAGTCGGCAGAAGTCCCAGCGTATCAAGCTGTCTGAGCCTGTGCCTAACCTCGAGGCCGACCATTCTGACCAGGAACGCGGTGATGGATGTTGTTTTACTGCGAGTCTCATGTTGTGATGGCCCGTGCATGTCTGATTGTAGGAAAGGGATGAGATAGGGGCGGGCTTGTGAAACGATAAAGTGGTTGACGTTGAACAGTTCCGCTACACGCATCAAGGGCGAGTCCCGGTCAGAATAAGATACGTGTGTCCAATGGCGGAAGTCGATGGTGTTAGCAGGGGCCCAGGGGACAATCTTTCCGTCTTGGTCCTTGCATAGGATGGTGGTCTCTCGGTGACCATAGAATGTTGGTGTAGAAGCGTTGGAGGCTACCGCAGCCGTCCATATCAACTAAACAAGATCTTTAGCCAGGTATGCAGATAAGAATCAGGGGCATCGTGACATACCACGTTCGGCGCGGTCAGATAGTTGAGCAGCGTGGGGATGCCACCCTGGCCGGTCGCTGCCACGGTGATATTCAAAACCCTCTTACTCCTAACATACGCCTCCTCAAACGTGAGATCGCCAACGTTGGCACGCACACACTCCTCGAGCACCTTGACGTCAAGGAAGTAACCCTCCCGGTAGAACCTCTTGAACCGACGGAGCAGCGTCTCCCACCTAGATGAGCCCGACTGCGCCCTGTTCTTTGTCGCGAAGGCACTCAGGTCAATGCCATCGCCCTTGAGGACCGCAGGTAGCTCCTCCTCCTTGTGGATAGCCACCAGCGCCGCGATCAGGGCTCCCGTCGCGGTGCCGGTGATGATGCGGGGGAGCAGGCCACGCAGGAAGAGAGCCTTGACGACGCCCAGGTGGCAGAGGCCAAAGATGGCGCCGCCCTGCAGGACGAGCGTGCTCCGCCCAAAGGCCTGCCTGGTGTCATGCACAAAGTCCAGCTTCATCTGGTTTGACATGGTCATCGGGGCCTTTATGTTAGCGGCGACGGCGCTGCTGCCATTGCTGACGTTGCTGCCGGGGGTGGTGGAGCTGTTGTCGCTGAAGTGGACGGCGGGCGTCGCCGGGGCCGGGGCCTGGGCCTGCGGCTGCGGCTGTGTTGTGGGCAAAGGTGCCTGGCCAGCTATGTTCCCAGACGAGGGGTTGCTCCCGAGGAGGCCGACGCCGCTCGGTGGGACGGCCGGCAGGGTGCTGACGAACTCTATGGCCTCTGCCACCTGCGTGATGTACTCCTCGATGAGGAACTTGGAGCCGGCGAAGCTGCGGTTGTAGAGCTTTGTGGCGGTGATGTTGCCGAGGTTGCGCACCAGACCGGAGCGGAGGAGGTTCACCAGCGCGTGGATGTCCTGGTCCTCCCTTGCCAGGGCAAGACTGTCGAGGCGCTCATTGATGAGGCGGTAGTCGTAGTACCGTGACACCTGGTTGTAGCGCCACAAGTCGAGGCCCAGCAGGTTATCCAGGTGGAGGGCGGCCTCCTCCCACTCCTCGTACATCTCGGCATGGCGGAGGACGTCGAGCCACAGCTCGGTCGGGGCTCTGCGGCGGTACCATTCTAGGAATCGCTGGGCGTCGGGCCCTGGTCAGCGTAATTGCACATGTGTTGTCAGCTCGTCCATGCCTCTGGATGCACACATACCCTGCGCCAGAAATCAATGATCTCGACTATCACGCCCCAGATGCCTATAAACACCGACATCACCGACCCCATGTTGCTGGTGGCTCCCGCCTCTTGTGGAACATCGAACCAGGGGCGGATAAAGACTGAGTGGTTCGGGATTCAAGCTAATGGTTGTCGGTGGCAGTTGGGACAAAAGGTAGAGGGCGCATTCTGGTACAGCTTTGAACAAGCTGGCTGCCTGGTCAGCACCGTTGAGTGGAGTTTATTAATGTCGAGTCCAGGGGTGCGTCATTCTGGGCGCGACGCAACATTGCACGACAAGTGCCCGAGCGTACGGAGTACATGTGCTGCCAGCCAAAAGCAACAGAGAGTGCGGATATCGCGTACTACGGGTACGGGTACTCCTTATTATTAGTGGCAGCTGACATGTGAACGTGACGAGCTGTGGGGAACCCCCAGTACGGGATGCCGGACCCAAGCAACACCGGCCGAACGCCAACCGACTCGGCCGGTATCTTCCCAGACCGGCCCCTTGTAAGCAATCGCCTCGCAGCAAAACACGGCAGTGTGAAGAAGTTGGCGCATATTAAGGTGTCGATCGGGCCAGGGGCCTTGGAGTTTTATCAGTGCACATTCCTGTCGATTGTTGGGACTTTATGAGCTCGGGACACTGGCCAGCCACTCTCATTTTCCAGAGATCCGCCCTTCGTAGTATTTCACATCATCTCGCGGAGAACCGTCGATACATTCATGTCATGAACTTATATGGTCTCCAAGGCTTGCCCGCTCCGCGCTACTGCCCGTCTACTTCTTCCCCAGCACGGTCACTTGGCCGTCGTCGTTAGAAAGCAGTGTGATAGGGATAGAAATGTCTGTGTTCAACCATTTTTGAGGCATTGGACTTGCTTAAACGCGCTGAAAAACGACTGCTTAGCTTGACCTTGGATGACCAGCGCAGGGAGGAAGAAAGGCCGTACGAGGCCTTCCTCCAGGCAGATTGAGACTTTGAAAAGAGCCATTAGAAGATCCCGAATGTCTACTTGCTTCAAGCTGCCGGCCCAGCTCATTCACTGTCATCATCGTCGACAATCCGCCGCATCCTCCGCCGCCCATGCTCTGCAGACGTGCCTGCAGGAGCCGAATCCTCAGGCTCACCATCAGCATCCTCGTCATCCGAAGGTTCGGCTGTTCTCTGGCGCTTGGCTCGGGGCCGGTCGCGATCCTCGCGGTCAACAGCATCGAGGATGTCGTCATCCTCTTCTCCGGCATCCTCTCCGCTCTCCTCGTCGTCGTCGGACGCCACGATGAATCCATCCTCGCGGTCGTACTCATTAGCGCCACCGTATCCTCCGGCAGGAAGATCGTCGTCCGAATCGTATTCGTCGTTGCGACGGCGACCGCCGCCGCTACGTTTCGATGACCCTCCCGGGCCACGCTTCCGCCCACCTCCCGGACGCCTGCCCTCCAGGCCATCGATGGTCAGATTTCCCCTTCGGAAGCCACCGCCTCCTCCTCCGCCGCCGTCCATCCTTGCTGCCGCATTCTCTCGTCTCCGTGCCGCGCGGATGCGCTCCCTCTCGGCCTGCTCGGCCTGCTTCTTCTGCAGCTCGGGATCCTCTGTGGCGGTGATGATCATCTCGCCTTCCTTCATGCCGCCCTTGGCCTGACCCATCTTCTCCCTGAGGATTTCGGTGTCTTCATCTATACGCTTCTTGTCCGGGCGAATGGTCCACTCCTCGTTGATGTGTGCGACGGTCAGCAGGTGGGAGTGACCCATATGTGCAGCTGCAAAGTATCGATGTGCGTCACGATCGGGGATGTACGGCTTGTTGGCAGGCGGCACTTGCTCCTTGACCTGTATGTCGAAGTGCTCCTCGCCGACTTGGAGACTCAAAGAACCATCACTCCATCTGTAGATATTTGCATTGCTCTCGAGCGCGCCGGTCTCCGGGTTGTGCCGGTATCGAACGACATTGGTGGGAATCTTCCGTAGCGAATTCTCGATCGCCCAGCCAGAAGGGTGGAACTCCTCCGACTTGTACTCGGTGGGCAAGAATCGCAGGAAATTGGGGACTTTTGCAGCTTGCATCTGCGGACAAGTCAGACACAGAAACACCCAGGAAGGCAAGGGCAGCCGTGGGAGCGGGCCCAGCTCACCTTTCCATCGTCCATTTTTGGGAGCCCGTGACGGTAGATGATCTCCTCTGCGACGGTCTTTTCTCGTCGCTCGCCGTAGACATCGCCGCCGGCGGCCTCGCGCGTCTCGCTGCGCTGGCTGCGTTGGCGATCTGGCTCCGAAGCGAGGTCATCATCGCTGGGGAGTGGGGGGTTGTCAGCGATCAGTGATGCATCGCTGCCGTCGTCGCCGAAGAGATCGTCGCCTCCGCCGTCCGAGACGTCAACGTGGTCTTCAACGTCTGACATGGCAGCTTCGTCAGCTCTGCAAAGTGCGGCGGGCTCGCGATAGAGATGCGTCGGTTTGTCGGTCTGTGGGGTCGGTATGTGATCTATGAGATCAAGGCTTCCCTATTGTGGGGTTTCTTTGCGTTCGGCCGTCCTTGAATGGCTGTGTAGACAGCAGATAGAGGTGTTGCAGCTGCAGGCAGTACCGGAATCTTTTGACCGATGCTGCTAAACTGCTGGTTCAATGGCACATGGGGAGCAAGGTTGCTTGCTGTGCTGCGCATGGGCGAGCTCAATGGATTTTTGGCTAGATGGGTATGCTGGACAGGGGTCTTGCCGCGGTACTTTGGATCGCGCAAGGCCAAGCTGGCTGAGATGGTACTTGACCGCCTGAGAGCCTTACAAAGGTACCTACCTGACTATACCTGGATAGTAGGACGGATACTGGGAGGGTGTGCTGACGTATGTCCTTTATTCTACTAGTGCTTCGAGTTTTTCCTCCATAATATAGAACACCTATGATTTTCACATCGATACGTGAGGCACGTTTTGGAACAGTGGATGATGGCCCTAGGTACGGAATATGTACATCGAGCTTATTATTATGGGCGCAAGTCGGAAACCTCAGTCACAGTTATTAGGCTTGCAGGCAGAGGCTGGGCTGCAGGGGCTGCAAGGGGGAAGCGCAACACCTGCGGGCTGGTCCGTGCGATGAAACGGCCCAAGAATAGGGGCTCTCTACCCCCCCAGGGCACTTTGGAAACCAGCAATGCGAATCTTGACTGGGAACCATCCCGAGGAACCACGGACCGTCAACGGAACAGAGATCAAAGTCGACACCTGCGTGCCGCGGCCTAGCGACCTACTTCCAGAGGGCGACGCGCAATTCTTCCCACGTCAATCGACACACACGAGACCAGCATTGCAGTTGTCGCATCGCCGCCCAACAGCCCCTCCCCCACCATGTCCAACCTCTTCTCTGGCATGTGAGTACCGGTCCTCTCTTATTCGTTTGCTGCCCTTGCTTTCACCCGCTGTCTTCGTCTGGTCCGCCCTACCGCCCTCGAGCGCGTCGATAGCCTGTCCTCAAGCCGAACCATTGGGCTCTGCGTCCTGTCATAGACACCACCAGCATCGGAACTCGCCGCAAGCACAGCATGAGCACGTGCCTGCTGCCCGTCCTTGGGATCACTGCGTCTCGAGTCTTGTCCATGCTACTCCCGTTATCCCTTGCGACGGAGAGGCCCTTCTGAGCAGGGTGACATGCCTGAGGTATACGCAAGCCAGTGCTGCCGATACTGTGACACCTCACGGCACATGTTGCCATAGCCTCGCCTTCGACCAGCTGCGTAAGGAGGCTCGTGGTCCGAAGCCCAAGCCACTTGCTGCCTCATTCTAGCCACAGAATAGCCCTTGTCTTTACCCTCCTGCCTCCGGTCTCATGTTCATCGAGAACCAGTCTATTAGTCTAGTCCCACATTTCCGCTTTGCGACCTGATCTCGTCACATATGACAGGCACTGATCACTTCTCAATAGCAACGCCCGTTTTCGGGGCTCCAAGTCTCCCGGCCCGGGCAAGAGTCCCACTAGCAGTTCTGGCCAGCCACCGGTCTCTCCTTTGAACTTGGATAGATCTCATGGTAGCCAGTCCCCAGCCTCGGCTGGCCTCTCTGCCAACCTTCCACCTCTGCCCAAGTCTCCTTCCCTGGCGCAGACCATTGCCATGGATGAGCAGAGCGGCCTGATGGCCGGTGGTTATGATGCCCTTGAGCAATATCATCTCCCGCGGCCCATGCCTCTGTGGCTCAACCCAAATTATGCCAAGCACATTGTCAAAGGCAACTTCATGACCCTGAGTGCTAGGCCAAAGACTGTCGAGCAAGGAGAGTGGATCGCTCACCAAGGTATGTGAAACCTAGGTTCATACAGCAGACCGATTTCTTCAGTGCACCATCGATGGCAGGACCAGTCCAAGTGTGTAGATATTGCCCGGCACATCCACCGCTGTTCAGTACCTCCCAAATCTTGGATGAGGTCACGCCCAGCGAGGAACAGGCTTCGTTAAGGCTGTGAACGCCAGGCTGAGGTCATACTTGTCAAGCGCTCGCCTTTCTCTCCCCTTCAAGCATCTGGCCTGCTTCAAGAAAAGAAACTAAGACTGACTCTACTGAAGTCATTGAGCACTACCGAAATCTCTGGAACTTCGTTCGTGTCATTCACGAGAAGGAAGAAGATGGCACATCCATATGCAACCCGAACAGTTGTCCTCGGATGTCGGCAGGCCAGTACGTAAATCACCGTGTTTATTCGCCGCCTTCTCGTCCACTGACATTATGTTCTCAGGAGCCACTCTTTCACCTGGCTCAACAGCCGCAGAGAGCCTGTGGAGCTTCCTGCTTATGAGTATATCACGCTTATGCAGCGGTGGATATCAGGCAAGATCGACGACACGAGGATCTTCCCCACCGAGGCTTCTGGAGTCTCCTACGCGCACAACTCCAACATTACTACCACCCCGTTATCTCAGTTGACGAATCCCGGGGAGCCAGACTGGGTCGGTAAAAGATCTGGATTCCCCCAGAACTTCGTGGAAGTCTGCCAGACGATCTTCCGGCAGATGTTCCGCGTGTATTCACATCTGTACTGGGCACATTTTGTCGAGCCATTCTATCATTTGAACCTGGAGAAGCAACTCAACAGTTGCTTCAGCCACTTCATCCTCACCGCCACCGCGCTGGACATGCTCAGACCTCATGAGCTTGAGCCCATGCAGCCCTTGATCGACCTCTGGGCTGCGAGCGGCACATTTCCGCCCGAGTCCAAGGCGTACGAATACGCCAACCTGAGTTGTGGCCAGAAGCTGCTTCAGCTCGGTAGCGCATCCGCGGCTCAATGATTTATAGGCATGGTGTCAAGGTGCGGGAGGTAATGAGTCGGGTCGGGTCAGATCGGATCAAGTCGGGACTTTCATAACCATGACCCGACGACAGCGCACGATAGGGTGCTGCCGTGGTATATGAGCGATCGGGCTTATAGATGAGCGGGAATCAGATATTGCACATTCGGAGTTGGCATGGACTTCATAAAGCCCTGCGATATTTAGTCCAAGGATTTGGCTGGGCATGGCAGGCTGGCAAGGGGGCTACAAGGGCTATGGGCGGCATTCTGTCGATTGTTGAATCGCATTGCTTAGCATAGGTGGCCAGGGTGATACCATGTCGTGTGCGAGTCGGAATGGGCCACCGGAGGCGTTGCTGGGAAAAAGTGTTGGGATAGAGGGCGGGCGGGTCGGAGGCTGGGGATGCCATCAAGTGCATCAGACGAAGCAAACGACAAGGCAAGGCCATTTTGGGACAAGGTAACGGCAAATGGGCAGTCATATCCGCTGTACTTGTAGTCATATAGAATCGTTTTCTCTCAAAAAGAAAAAGGGCAGGAACCGGATTCCGTCTGAAATTAGGAACTGAAAAGGCCGGAATGCATTGCCTTAGATGGACACCTCGCTGATCTTGTACTCGACGGTGACAGGCTTCCCAGCCTCGAGGATAAAGCGCCCAGAGCCGACAAAGACCTTGTTCTCCAGGGCCTTGAGCTCGGGATGGCCCGTCTCGAACTTGACGTGCGTGTCTGGTTTGCACGGTGCGCACACGGGCGCATAAAATTAGACCAGATGACTTCATAAAGTTCGACCACCTGCACTTCCAGAACGACTGGCCACGGCTGTGTGAGTACTCACAAATCCCGCCAAAATCCGTCGTGGCGGCGTCCGAATCACCCCTCAGGACCTTGCCGGCGGGGCCGCTCATGTCGACGACGCCCGTGTACCTGTAGCGCACCAGGCCGCCGGTGGCCGTGTCCTTGACGAGACTGTCAACCTCGAGGCGCGAGTGGCCGCCGTCGGCGTCGGTCTTGATGTAGTCGGAGCCGTGGACCCAGGTGCCCTTGAGCGAGGTGGGGTAGCCCGCCTCGGAGGAGATGGCCTCGTGGCCGGCTACGAAGGATACATGGGTCAAAGGGGTGCCGGTGGAGAGCACGCCCACCGCGTTGGGTGGGTCGATTGGGATCTTGGGGAAGAGGAGATGTTAGTGAGCGGCTCGGTGGATCTGGACTGTGGATTTTATAGAGACGGTTGCGGGTCAGGGGAGGGGGAGGCATCCACGAAGGCGCACGCACTTTGGCCGTGAAGGCTGGTGTGAGTTTGGCAAATCCGGACATGATGTCTGTTCCTGCAGTGATGATGTGTGATCGTCGTGACTCTCGATATGGAAGATGTATTCGGAGATATCGCGGAAGGCTGGCCAGCAGCAAACAGCACGGGATGTGCACCTTCTTTAAGTACCTGGATAATAGATAATAAGGATGATGTTGTAGGTTGTACACTGCACCTCCACCTCCACACTACACTACACTGCACTGCACCATACTAGGGAGCAGGAGGAGGCGGGGTTTGTCATGCTTCTGTAATTGGCAGAATAGCCTCTACTAGCGGAGGTCATGAGGGTGTTTGGATCGGCAGAGGGTTGAGCTCCCCTGAGATGGTGGAGACGGCAAGTCCCTCCCTACGCGTGCAAGGAGGGCTCGGAGGCTGGTCCCTCAAATGACTATCAGAGACTTATGAAGGCTGCTCATACATACAGCTTGCCTACCTAGGTAGAGGTATTCGACATGTAGCCCAAGCAGAATCCCTTCCAATGAATATTTTCCAGTGTAGTCTGATTTGGGAGACCGAATCTGGAATTAGCAGCTGTAGGTTGGTATTTAAGGATGGCCTGCTATGTATACGGTGACGTCTCCTATGACAGCTTCCTACAAAATATTGACTTGCATCCTCGGATGCACCGCACAACACATGCGGGGAAGCTGGCAAGGTCGAAGCCAAGCAGACAGCTGCTACAGAGAACCCCGCAGTGAAGTCAGGCCGGGGGTTAAATCATATGCTCAGCAAAAACGGACGGGGGAATTGGGTTTCGTTATTGGCTTATTATCCGGGTCAAGATGTGTGCTTGCATGGATACTGTCTAAGTACTTCCCTAAGTTATTTTTGATCGGACGGGGGCTACTGTATGCCAATCAGGAACCAGGCCCCCGGCTACTGAATCGAGGTGTCGTATTCTAGCCAGCCCTGCACTGCTGATGTCACTCCCTCCCGAGCTGTCTCTTCAACTTAATCCCAGCCGCTTCCTTGGCCTTGTTCCCGAACATAGCCTACACAACCCTCCATTTTGCCCCTGCAAATTTCTCTCTTCTATCAACGAATAACAAGTCCTTCTCCTATCAATTGTCCCCTGAGCAGTTCCAAATCGTCCTGGTGCTGCTTCTGCGAGGTTCACATTGTTCACGCTGCAGCAAACCCGGCTTATCGCCGTGGAGTAGCATTATGGCTGACATCCCCGGGCGACCAGGCCCTTCTGCGCCTGCGCCGACGAATGCGCCGACTAAGAAGAAGAAGACGCATCGTGGCACCAAGGGCAAGAGGAAGAAGGACAGAAGAAAGTCCTTTGCCGTCCATAACGACGACATAAACGAAGAGGAGCCCGCCGCAACCGGGCCACACCCCAGCAGCTTATATGCACAAGACCGCAACCTCAGTGGTACCAGTCTGGATAGCGAAGCTCTGCTTGACCACAGGTAGGCTCGTCATCTGCCCCCCCCCCCCCTTTTTTTCGATAGGCTCCTGTACTGGGCTTTGACGCTGAACATGTGCTCTTAAACATAGAGATCAGCCGCGGTTCATGCGACCACGCCGAAGTTCGACCGTCACTCAGATGCACAACCCTCAACCACCATCATCACAAGGCAACACGAGGCTCCGCACCGTCCGCGATGGAAGCCCTACTGGAGATGAGAATGACGGGTCCAATACGGACGAGAGGGCACCGCTTCTGTCCGCCTCGACCCGTATGCGCTCCGAGCCGGCCATGACCTTCCAGGGGTTTGGTGCAATCGATACCAGGAAGGATCGGCCAAAGACTCGACGGGAATCGAGCAGGGCCAGCGGAAAGAAGGACTTTAGGAATGCCCCATTCACCCCCATTGGTGGCGAGGGCTACGATGTCAACTATCCACCATCGGTGCCCGGGTCTCCGAGGCTCAGTGGGATGGACAGAGATATGAGGTTCGAGGATGCCATGTTGATGGATGAGCTCACCTCTCCACACGAGGGTAGCTTTGTAGATGATCTCCTGCACTCCCCATCCAGCCAGCAGGGCCAGTCGTCCCCGTATGAACGCCGGCATACCTTCTCCTTCCAAGCCGAGGGAGATGTTTGCTTTCCTCAGGAGGGAATGTCAGAGCTGGCAGATGAGGAGGTTCGTGAAATGCGCGAGCAACGCACACGCACCAGGCGCCGCAAGAAGAGATGGCCTGTTCTCTCCGTCCTGGATGAATGGAGCCGGCTCGAAAAGGAAGGGCGCAGCGAAGAGCGGAGGACCAAGATGATCACAGAGCCGCAGCTTGTCAACGGCAGACTGCGCCCTGTCCATAAAGGCTGGTTCCAGCCCGAAGAGGATGCGCCCTACCGCTTCACATATTTCAACGAAGAGTTCGACAGCACGATACACAGCTCCACCATCTCCGAGCTCGTACAGGCAGAGGGGCAAGGAGCTAATTTCCGGGAGCTCTTCGTGCCGGACAGACCCATCTTGGATGACTCCTCAGAATCGGAGAGCGAGGACGATGACGCCCAACAGCAGGCTACTATTATGCGAAGGACCCTGAGCGGCCAGAATGGCGAGTCAAAGGCACCCACCCGCCAGGCCTCTGTGACCGCAAGCATGCGGGGAAGCTCAGATATGGCCCGAGACGAGACAATGTCCCCCAAGACCTCTCAGGAGGGACAGCGGCCCCCCAGGCATACGTCTGGTGAAGCCACCCCTTCACAGCCGAGGTCCGTGACGTCCGCTCCGCAGGTAAACGAGGAAAAGCCTGTTCGGTACGGAGAGCGACCGGTATGGTGGCTCGACATAATGTGCCCAACGGATGCGGAAATGCTGGTCCTCCGAAAAGCCTTTGGGATCCATCCGCTCACGGTCGAAGACATCATGCTCCAGGAAGCGCGGGAGAAGGTTGAACTCTTCCATAACTACTATTTCGTCAACTACAGGACCTTCAACCAAGATGCGACGAGCGAGGATCATCTGGAGCCTGTCAACTTCTACATCATCGTCTTTAGGGAAGGCGTTTTGAGCTTCCATTTCTCCCCCACCCCACATTCCGCAAATGTACGGCGAAGGATCCGCATGTTGCGAGACTTCATGGTACTCTCGTCGGACTGGATCTCATATGCAATCATCGACGATATTACCGATGTTTATGGGCCCCTCATTCAGAACATTGAGGAAGAGGTCGATGAGATTGATGCTGCCATCGTCAGGCTCCATTCTGAAGAGGACCCTACCAAGAAAGAGGGCTCATCAAAGAAGGAGAAGTCACACCACGATGCGTCCAAGTCCGAGGCAGGAGCTACGACCTTCGACTCCGGCGGAGACATGTATCGCAGGGTTGGAGAGTGCCGCAAGAAGGTCATGGGGCTGTACAGGCTGCTTGGCAACAAGGCAGACGTCATCAAGGGCTTTGCCAAACGGTGCAACGAGCACTGGGAGGTTGCGCCGCGTTCGGAGATTGGGCTGTTCCTGGGCGACATTCAAGATCATATCGTGACCATGACTGGCAACTTGAGCCATTATGAGATGTAGGCAATCGGTGACCCCCCCCCTGTCCAACAACGGCTAAGGCTGACACCATTACAGGATTCTTGCCAGGTCGCATCAAAACTACCTCGCCCAGATCAACATCCGGATGAACGAGCGCGCGGAGCAGACTGCCGACGTCCTCGGGAAGCTCACGGTGCTCGGCACCATCGTCCTGCCCATGAACATTATCACGGGTTTGTGGGGCATGAACGTGTGGGTGCCTGGGCAGGACTACGAGGACGACCTGACTTGGTTCTGGTGCATCACCGGCGGACTCGTGATGTTTGGCCTGGCTTGCTACCTGATCGCCAAGAGAGTGTACAGGATTGTGTAGGTATGACCTCGGCAGGCGGAAGTCACCTGGACTTCCTGGAAAACTGCGTGTAGGGGCATCCTCCTAGCTGTTGATGTGGTGGAGCAGATGGAGTCAGGGCCATGGTGATCATGGCGAGCAAAATTCTCGAAACATATTTGTCTTAAAACCCTGAGCCGGGTTTGTCTCGGATGATGGGGGTGTAAACGGAACCCATATCCGATACTTCACAACAAGCGGATTGTTATAAGGGCATAAGCCACAGCGGAGCTAGCTCAAACGTAAATAGAGACACGGGCAGTTTGTACCTAGTCGACACAGCTTAAGCTGTCTCAAATAGAATGCATTGCATTGATGTGAGGGATTCGCCAAAGACAAGGACGACATGTCCCATCCGGTAGTCTAAAGTCCCATAATCTGAGTACCCTCGAGCGCACGCCATAACGCCATTACCGGTCCAACCAGGCCTCATCCTTCCTGTTCCTAAAGATGAGATCCGCCATACTTTATTGTGCTGGGAATCATATTTGCTTAACACACTTGATGTGTGCCTGGCCCGTATGTCGAGAGCAGCCCCGGTGTCAAATAGACGACCGCCTAGCGTCCGGCTTTGATGACCCCATCCAGACTCATCTCATTGCTCTCTTTCCACTGTCCATCCTCTCCCTTTTCCTTGACCGTGGTATCTGCCCATGCCTCTCCTGCCTCGTCCTTCACCGCTGACCGCTGTACTGCGCCCGCAGCTGGAGAATAGTCTGCTTCTCTGCCTCGGGAAGCTGCGCTATGACCTCCTCGGGGAGCGAAAGAACCTGCTGGATCAGGTCGTCTGGGTTCTGGCCGGCGGCGGCGCCAAAGGCACCACCAGCAGCAGCCGGGGGACCAGCAGCGGGGACCGCGGCGGGGGCCGGCGCCGCAGCGGCAACGGGGGGCGGGGCGTAGGGGTTCGGGGCGGCCACGGGCGGGGTGTTTGTCGCGCCGACGCCAGGGAAGCCAACGGGCTGCTGCGCGGGAGGAGGGTAGCCAGCAGCGGCGGGCGGGTTGGCGCCGGGCTCGAGGACGGCGTTGATGGCCTCCGGGGAGACGAGGCCCATGAGCAGCAGGGCCTGGAAGACGGCGTAGGAGAGCTGCGGGGCCTGGTTCAGCAGCTCGGTGGCGCGGGCCGGGTCGGTGGTGGCGAGCTGCTTCATGGAGGAGAGGATGTCGAGGAGCTGGGCCGGGGGCAGGGTGTTGAGGGTGCGCGAGATGGCGTCGGTGCAGGTCACGCCGGGGGGCAGCTCGCGGCCTGGTGGCAGAGGGGGAAGGGCTCCACCGGCGGACTGGGAGTCGTTGCCATTGGGAGGGCCCTGGTTGTAGTTGCTGTTATTGTTGTTGTTGGCGTTGTTGTTTGGGGCGTAGTTGTTGTTGCCGTTGTCGCGGTCGTTGTTGCGGCCAGAGTCGTCTCCTCCCGCCCCGCCCTCGTTGCTGAAGTCGACACGAAGCTTGCGACCCATGATCTCGTGGTCGTTCAGGTTTCTTACTGCCGATGCGGCGGAATCTGAGGAATTGGTGCGGTCTGGTCAGAGAAGAGGGCCAACGGGGCTGCGCGCAAGCGAGTTGCGAGTTGCGAGTGCGAGTGGTAGATGGGTGGGTTGGTTGGTTACTGGTGGCTTACCTGCGTCGGGGTATTCTGCAAAACCAAAACCCTTTGGCCTGCCTGTGTCTCTATCGTAGACAAGGCGGAAGTTCAGAACCTGGCCAGCACTGCTGAACAGCTCGCTGATCTGCTCCTCAGACAAGCCTTGGCCGAGTTGTGGTCAGTGGTGGGCTACCGTCGTGGGTTGGCACTGCCAGTGAATTGGACGGGGGTCTCACCATAGGGGATGTTGCCCACAAAGACAACCCGGGAAGGGGTCTTGGTAGACATTGCGAGGGAGGCCTTCAGAGTGACTCCGTCGTCGGTGCTCAAAGTGTCATAAAGCTTGCAGGTGGGACGAGGTTTCCGAGATGCGACCAATTTGGACCAAGGCTCTTTGGCAGAACCACCCACATGCCAGAGGCAGATCGGCTGGCCTAAAATGGCCCCTAGTCTCGAATAGCTTTGTACTGTGGTAGCTGCGGCCGGCAGGGATCAAACACCCATCCAGGGCCCAGGCAGGGTTGACTGACTTGTATGTCAATAATACTTGCTACTTTTTCCTGCACATGTGGATCCGTAGTTAGTTACGTAAGCAGGCCCTACAGGCAGCCAAAACCACGCTTCTACAGGCGCCCTTCAATAGCTAATTCTTCTAATCAATAACCTAACTACCTATACCTTTAGACATTAGATTTCTTATAAATTTTAATATTTTAATATATAGGTATAGGGTAAGATATATAAAAATAATTATTTTTATTAAAAAAATCTTATTTTACTTTTATATTTAATAAAAATAATTATAATTAACTTTAATACTATTAAATATACTTTTAAGTAACTATTAATCTAATTATTATTTAACTTAAAATAAATATTTATACTTTAATTATATAAAGTTAGATTACCTTTAATAATAATAATAATTATAAAAGAAAACTTTATTTATTAAATTAAATAATAATAATATTTATTTATTAATAATTACTATTTATAAGTAAATAATTCTTAAATTAATTAAAAGTTTTAATAATAAATATTATATTTTTCTTTTATATTATTATTATTAATATAATTAACTTATAATTAAGTTAAAAATATACTAATAAATATTAATTTTATTATTTTATATTAATTTCTCTATTTTTAATTAATTTTTTATTTAATACCTTATAATATCTAATAAAGTTAATTTAATAAAGAACTTTCTCTTTAAAAGTATTTATTAACTATAAACTTAATATTAATAAATTTATAATTAAAGAAATACTTTAAAAGTTTACTAACTAATATATTAAGTTTATAAACTTCCTTAATACTTTAAATATTTATCTCTTTTAATTTAATAAAACTATAAATAATAACTTAAAAATTAAATAAAAATATAATATTAAATTTAAAGTTATTAAAATAACTTATATTACTTAAAATAATTATATTAATTAAAAGTTTAACTTAATTATTATATATTTTAATAAAATATAATTTTCTATTATATTAAGTAAAGTAAATAAAACTATTATTTTAATTAACCTATACCTTTTAATAATAAACTTTTAATAACTTTAAACCCTTAAAATTAATATAAAATAATATAATTAACCTTTAATATTAACTATATAACCCTTTATAAAAACTTATTATATTAATAAAAGTTTACTTATAAAAATCTTTTATAATAATTCTATTTAATAAATTTAACTCTTTTAAAGTCTTTTAATATAAAAGGTTTCTTTTTAAAACCTTTAATTTAATATTATAAATACTTTTATCTTTAATAAACTTAAAAATATAAATTTAACTTTATACTTTTATAATCCTTTATAAATTATAATTAAATAGAGTCTTTATAAAACTATTAAATAACTTTAATAATTTTATTAAATAAATACTTATTAATAAATTAAATTAATTTATTTTTATAAAAATAATTATATAAATTTTAAGTTAATATAATACCCTTTACTTTTAAATTATACTTTTTTAACCCTTCTACTTTATAAAAATAAATTATATATTAACTTTATTTAATACCTTTAAAATACTTTCTTTAAACTCTTACTTTTATAATAATAATTTATAATAATCTATACTATTTTATTTAAAAAATCTTTATTAATTAACTAAATATTTATATTAAAATTATTAATAAATTATCTTAATTAATAATTATAATAATTATAAAAAACTTATTAAATATATTAAAATTTATATTAATAAAATAATTAAATAAAAGATTTTACTACTTTTAAAATAATAATCTAATTTTATAATATAACTACCCCTTTTATTATATAAAAGTTAATTAAAATATTATTAAAAAGCTAAAAGTTATATAATTTAAACTAATTAATATTATATTAATATAATTAATAATTTTTAACTTATAAATTAATAAATAAACTATTTATCTTACTTTTAAAACTTAACTTATAATATATAAATAATAAATAATAATTCTTATATTATTATAATTTAAAAAAAAATATTTATTTTAACTATAATAAATAAAACTATTAAATAAAGAACTATAAAGTTAAATTTACTTTTCTAAAAATACTTATAATTTATTAACTAATTAAAATATTACTTTTAAAAGTTTTTATAATAATAAATAACTTAATTTATTTAATTAATTATATAATATAATTATAAATTAATATAATAAAATAATTAATTAAAGTTATTTTAAAGTAAATTCTTTAAAAGAATACTTAAATTTACTTTATTAAAAATAACTCTAAATAAAAAGAAAACATTATAACCCTACTTCCTATATAAAAATAATAATAAAATTAAAAACTTTTAAAAAAATCTTTAATAATATTTACTTAAAAATTAAAACTATTAAAATACCTTTTATATAAAAATAGGTATTAATAATCCCTTACTTCCTTTTATAATAAACTACCTTATAAAAATATAAAAATACCTTATAACCTCTTTTATATTTAATTTATTAATAATTATAACTTTTATATTTTTTAATTATAACTTTTAAATTTATTACTACTTTAAATCTTTAATAGTAAAACTTAAATTATATTTTTTATAAACTTTATATAAATAAATAATATTAATAATATTAACCCTTTAATTATAAAAATATTTTTATTATTATAAAATTTATTATAATTAATAAACTTTTAAGAAATTTTATAATTTCTATAAAGTAATTTTTAATAATATATTTTTAAATAAACTTACCTTAAAAAATAATTTTCTATTAATAAATAATATATTATATATAAAATAAAACTCTTTATTTATTTATTTTTTAATTAATTTAAATTAATATTTTTAAAATATATAAATTAAAGCTTTTAATTATAAAATTATATTTTAAATATTAAAACCCTTTTTCTACCTTTAAAATAATATTTAAATACTCTTATAAATAATTTTAAATTACTATTTATATTAAAAATATATTTTAAAGTTTTTTAATTTATTTAATAAAAGTAATATTATATAAATATTTTATTAAAAATTATTTATTATATTAATATAAATAATTATAAATTTTTACCTTTTTTAAATAATTTAATTCCTTATAAAAGTAAGTTATATATAATTTTATTAAAATTTATAAAATATACTTATTTATAAAAATAAAAGTCTTTAATTTTTACCTTTCTACTTTATATTTAAAAACTTATAACTATATATAAAAAAAAGCTTAACTTAAATAAACTATTTAATATTTTTATTATAATTATTATTAATTAAATAATTATATTAAAAGTATATATATTTTATATTTAATATTATAAATTAAATTTAATATATAATAAACTATAAATAGTATATCTTTATAAATTTAAAAATAATTTTTAATATATTTAATTAAATTTTAAAACTATAAAAACCGCTTTTATTATACTATTTAATCTATATAAGTAGTTAATAATACTATTTAATTTTATAATATTTTAATTATATTTTAAAATTTATAAAAAGTTTTTATAAACTTTATAAGTTTATATATAGTTTAATAAATAATATTACTATTTAAATAAATATTATAAAGTAATTTTATAAATATATATTAATTATATTTATTTAATTAATAATTTATAATTTTATTTTAAATATATTTAAAATTAATTTATTTATTAAATAAAAGTTTTTAATTTTTTATTTTAAAAATAATATTATTATTAACTTAATAAAAGTTATTATTATTTATAACTATTTTATATTAATAATTATAATTAAAGTTTATAACTTTATTAATATTATTAGGTACCTTTATAATTTAATAAATAATTATTTTAAATAAATTAACGCTTTTATAAACTATATTAATAACCTTAAAGGTTAAATTATTATATTTTTAAAAGGTATAAAAGTAATAATATAAAATTAAAAATATTATTATTAACTTTTAGTTATAAAACTTTTAATTAATAGTTACCCTTTATAATTAAATTTAATATAAATAAATATTATATTAATATTACTTTTATAATCTTATTTTATAATTAAAAATTTATTTTATATTTAATTTTATATTTTTAAAAGTTTATTAATATATAAATATAATATTTTATTTAAAAATAAAAATTATTTAAAATTCTATTAGCTTTATAATATTAATCTTATTAAATTTAAAGTATTAAAATTATAATCTTAATAAATTATAAGTTTTAAAAACTATTAATATTAAAATAAATTAATTTTTTAAATTATATATTTTTAAATATTATAAAGTATTATAAAATTTATATTATATATTATATTAAAAGATTAATATTCTTATAAATTACTTATTTTATTTATTTAAAGATATAATTTTTAAAATATTACTTTTATTTTTAAATAAAAAAGGAAAGGATTTATTAAAGTAAATTTATAAATTATATTAACTTAATAAAGTAAATTTATAAATAATCTATAAGTACTTTTATAAAAGAGTTAATCTTTTAAAGTTATTTAATTTAAATAAATAAGAAAATACTTTATTTTTTAAATAATTACTTATATAAAATCTAACTCTATTAATACTCCTTAAAGAACCCTTTTATAAAGTAGGAGTTACCTTTTAATAACTTTCTTTTTTAATCCCTAAATTTAATAACTTATTAATAATTATTAAAAACTTTATTTTAATTATAATTATATTATAATTAAAAATACTTTTATAAAGTATTTAAAAGTATTAATATTTAAAGATTACCTTTATTATATAATAAGTAATTATAAAGTATAAAAGTATTAATTAATAAAATCTTTCTATTTAATACTTTCTAACCTTAATTTAATTATACTATTAATACTCTTAACTTATTAAATAATTAACTTTATATTTATAAATAAAGTCCTTATTTTTATAATAATTAAATATATTATTAATTAAATTAAAGTTAAGTTTATATTTAATATAATTTATAAAATTATATTTATATTAATAAAAGATTATTAATATTTTTAAAGCCTTAAAAAGTAGATTTTAAATAATATAAATTACTTTATAAATAAAGTTATTATAAATTAGTATTATTATTATAATTCCTATTTATACTTAATTATATCTAATAAATTAAAAGGAAATAATAAGGTTAAAAAGTAAATAATAACCTAAAAGAGTAATCTTTTATAAATAATTAATTAATTCTAATTATAATATTTAAACTTTAATTTAATAAATAATTATACTATATAATTATATATTAAAGTTCTATAATTATAGTTTTTACTTTTTTCTTTAAAATAATACCTTTTAACTTATAAACTATATATTATTTATATAAAAACCTATAAAGTAAAAAAAGCTTTTATAAAATAGTTAATAACTAATTATAAAGTATTAATTATAAAGAATTATATAATTAAGTTTAAAATATTAAAAGATTAAATTTATACCTTCTTTTAAAAATAAAGTTCTTTTATATTTTTACTTTAAATAATTAAATACTATAAGTATATTAATAAATATATAAATATAAACCCTTTTATAATAACTTATAAATAATTATTACTTATTATATTAAAAATATTTATACTTTTAAAGCCTTAATAAAATCTTTTTAAAATAAATATAATAATATAAATCTCTTTCTAATATATATTAATAATAGATACCTTATAAAAGTTTATAATATATTAATAAAATAATACTTAAAAAATAAAAGGTAAATTATTAAATTAATATAATTAAAAATAAACTAAATAATTACCTTAATTAATAAATCTTACTAATTATTACTAATTATTACTATTTATTTATTAATATTTTATTAATTATATAAAACTTTTAAATTTAAGTAATTTAATTAAATTTAATAATTAAATTTTAAATTAAAATAAAAATAATTTAAAAAATAAAAAATTACTTAAATTAAAATTTAAACTTAAAACTTTTATTATAATAAAGTTAAACCTTTATTAAAGTATAAATATTTTATATCTTCTTTTATTTTAATAACCTTTTAAGTTAACCTAAATTAAAACTTAAACCTTAAGGTATATTATTATTATACTATTTTAATTTAATTAATAAAAGTAAATTTAATAAACTAAAAGAAAAAAAATAAAATTTTAAAAATATTCTAATTAGTATTATTAAAGAATATAATTTATATAAATAGATTAAAAATAATCTATTTAAGGAAGGGAATAATATAAATTTATAATTAATTATATAAATAAACCCTATAAATAGCTAAAACTATACTTCTATAAGCGCCCTTTAATAGCTAATTCTTTTAATTAATAACTTAACTATTTATACCTTTAGATGTTAGATTCCTTATAAATTCTAGTGTTCTAATACGTGGGTACGGGGCAAGATACACACACATTACACATCTGAGTATGTAGAAAGTCTCACTCTTGGCAATTGAAGGTGGCACAACCTCTCCTCTGTTTTTTAGATACTTTGTGTCATATAATATTCTATAGAGAAACTCATACCAGAAGTGTGCTGGGAATTGGCATCTGCTCGAATCTGCAACTGACATCAGGTCTGGGTAGCCCCTGCAAGCCGTGAGAAAGTTTTCTGGTCCAAGCTTCCCCAGGATTTGGCAGCTTTGCCTGCCCAGTGCTGAGCTCGGCAAGGTCCTGATCCCTGTCAGAAGGCAAGTCAATGATCACCCCAGAGCTGGGAGCTCTAGGCTGAGATGCAGATTATGGCCTAGCTGCCACACCCGTCACACACACGGTTGAGCCTCCACTCTCCGACACCCCATACCCACCTCCCAAGCCTTCCTTGCTCGACAGCGCAACGAGCTTGCCCAGTATCGCCCACCATGTCCAACCGGAGTCCCATGGAGGAGTACGCGCAGCGCCTGCAGGCCATGGCCAGGTCAGGCCGCGGTGGTGGTTTCCCTGGTGGCAGGCCCCCGCCAGGAACCGGCTTTGCCCTGACCGGCGCCGTCGCCCTCCTGGCAGGCGGCTGGTTCCTCAGCAATGCCCTCTTCAACGTCGACGGTGGTCACAGGGCGATCAAGTACAGGCGCATAAGCGGTGTCAGCAAGGAGATCTACAGCGAGGGTGAGTCCGGCGGCTCCGGGCCCTGGCGCGCCAGAGACATGGCTGACCATGGCGCAAATAGGAACACACTTCATGGTCCCGTGGTTTGAGACTCCCATCACCTACGATATCCGAGCGAAGCCCCGAAACGTCTCGTCGCTCACCGGCACCAAGGACCTGCAGATGGTCAACATCACCTGCCGTGTCCTGTCAAGACCGGACATCAAGTCCCTGCCTCAGATCTACCGAACCCTCGGCCAGGACTACGACGAGCGGGTCCTTCCTTCAATCGTCAACGAGGTGCTCAAGAGCGTGGTGGCCCAGTTCAACGCGAGCCAGCTCATCACACAGAGAGAAATGGTCGCGAGACTGGTCCGCGAGAACCTGTCCAGGAGAGCGCAACGGTTTAACATTCTGCTGGACGATGTGTCGCTGACCGTACGTGTCATTCCTTGCCCCTTGGGCCATCATATCGTGTTTCACGTTGCTAACACATGCACCAGCACCTTGCATTCTCGCCAGAGTTCACAGCTGCCGTGGAGGCGAAACAGGTGGCACAGCAGGATGCGCAGCGCGCGGCCTTTGTCGTCGACAAGGCCCGCCAGGAGAAGCAGGCGATGGTCGTCAAGGCTCAGGGTGAGGCGCGCTCTGCGGAGCTGATTGGCGAGGCCATCAAGAAGAACAAGGCCTACGTGGAGTTGAAGAAGCTGGAGAACGCGAGGGCCATTGCTGCCATCATACAGGAGAACGGTGGCAAGAACCGGTTGCTCCTGGATGCTGAGGGACTGGGGCTCAACGTTTTTGAGAAGGTCGAGGGAGAGAAGAAATAGGCTCGACGATGATGCGTGGGCTCTTGCCTCGTCGAGCGGTAGTATGTCCTTCACGTCAAAAGCGCCTGTGTAAGATTAATACGACTCAACTTTGCCCAGGTACAATTTGATGCCTCAAACTGTAGGAACAGCCCGCCTGATGTCCCAAAATCCCGGAATGTCTGCATCGAGCCCTCCACAGTGCCCATGACCAGTGCACAATTGCGGATGGGTCTTGGCGTCGAGATAGTCAAGCCGTTGTACATTTATACGGTAAATGAAATAGATCTGCTCACCTCAGGCACGGGCGTCTGAGCCCCACCATCGGTGCCTGGTCCCAAGGTCAGGGTTCAGCCGGGGCGTGCCCCTCAATGACACACCCCAGCGGGCAGTACTCACCTCTGAACCCGCCGGTCATGACCCGCCAACGGCGAACATCGAGCAACGAATCACCTTTACCACCGACAACTGGCCCTACAACACGCCCCAGTTTCCAGAGAAAGCTTCGATCCCAGCAGACAGCTTCTATCCAGGAATACAGAGACACACCGAACAGCCACCCCTTCTACCGACAAGATGCAGATCAAGTCCGCCCACCCCTCCGAACCGCCGGTGTCCGTTGCCTGACCTAGCTGACTGTTCCACTGCCAGGGTCCGAACACTCACAGGCAAAGAGATCGAGCTCGACATCGAGAGGGACTACAAGGTTCGCACTGCTCTTTCAATAAGCCCTCTCCGCCGGAATCTTTTTATGATCAACCTCTAATACCTCTTCCCTCTGAACAGGTCTCGACGATCAAGGAGAAGGTCGAGGAGAAGGAGGGTATACCGCCCGTCCAGCAACGTTTGATTTTCGGAGGAAAGCAAATGTGAGTCTAGCACAAGCGCAAATCTGGACTCCTCATAGACTACACCACACACAACAGGCAAGCCTGTGCTGGCGCAGTGTCTGGAGCAGAAGGCGAGACCAGTTGAAGGAGACGGGACCAAAGGGCTGACCAGAGTCTGCCTGGGACAACTACAGGGCCGATGACAAGACCGCCGAAGATTACGCATTGGTCGGAGGCGCAACGCTCCATCTCGTCCTCGCGCTGAGGGGTGGGAAGCAATAAGGGGACCACGCGTCCGCCCTGGTTCCGCCACCCCCCCCCCCCCGAAACGAACGAACTACGACGTGGAAATATGAGTGATCATGGGTAGACGAGGGCGGCCGCGGCTTGCGTGGGGACGGTGGCCCCTAGGCACATACGAGAGCAAGCGATACCCGGGTCGCCCGGTGTAGCAACGGTGGCGAGACGGATGGCTATCACTCATACATCTTGGGCACGACAAACTGAGCAGCTGGAAGGAGAGCCTTGCTCCCTGGTTTTGTGTGATGGCGTTGCAGGAGCGCAGCAGCGGATGAAGAGAACTTTAGAGACCGCACGCCTTGGAACACGTCCTTGCGACGAGACGGCACTGAATATAATTTTGAAATTCAAACTGCCACACACTGCGATGCGCCCCCGGCTTTTTAAAATGCGGTCAACTGCGTTGACAACGAGTTCGGGACTTTGAATTTCAAGTATGCGCAATCTGTGATTTTCTATGTAGGCGAACGGCTCATCAATCCGGTATGCGTTCGATACCGCCCTGCTCAAGTGCTATGTCACCCAACAGCAGGGGCATTCACCAATTAATACTTTGTCCTTCCGACTCCTTTGAATATGTCCCTGAACTCCTTGCCAATGGCGTCTTTTTGACGGGAAATGCCTTTATAATATCCTCCATCTCGCTAATGCCTCCCCTGTCTTTTCGAATGACGTCCCTGGCTTCTGCGTACTCCCTTTCCGCTCCGTTTCCGTAAAGATGTTGAATGAAGACAGTTCAGACTGAATTTGAGCAGCTCTCCGCCTCGGGGGTGTGATGCTGTAATGTCCAATTGCTCCCCGGCGCGCTCTTCAGCGCTTGCGGCGCATGAAGATGTCCACCTTCTTCTTCTTGGCGGATGGGTGCGCCGCCGACCGTCCCTCGCCAGCGGTCGGGGCGTCGTCAACCTTACGCTTGGGAGGCGAGTCCGGCCTGGGCGCGTGCGATGAAGATGCTGTGGGCGGCGTGTTCGGGCGCTGCGTAGGCCTTGCCTGCTGGGGTGCTGGCGAGGACGAGGACCTGCTGCTGAAGGACGATCGTCGTCCGCTGGGTCCAGAGGCCTCAGGCTCCGGGGAGCCAAAGATGCTCGAGGCGACAGATGGGGAGCGAGATGATCGCTTGGGAGGCGCAATCTTTCTAGGTTTGTGCGCCTCTATTCCGGGCGATACAAATCGCGACACATCTGTGCCGTTCCGAGACGCAGCAGTGGCTCTCGGGGGCTCTGGACGGGACGACCGCTGCGTGGGTGGTGATGCTGACTGTCCAGCAGAATAAGACGGCCGTGTTCCCGCTGATCGTCCTGGCAGACTTGCCTTCGTCTTCGGGATACTCTGAGCCGCAGTACCCGGGCCCGGCTTGCCAAACGTCTTAGTAGTGACCTTGGTCTGCTGAATAGTGGCGCCATGCGGGCGCGAGAAGAGACCTCTGGGCTTGCTCGGGGTGGTGGATGGCTTCGGCTCGGACCTGGATGTGATGGGATGGTGACTTCCCTCTACCGATCCGGACGAGCCTGGCCTGAGCTCCTGGTTGCTCATGGTCTTTGGCTGGACCTTGGGTCTCTTGGCAGCGAGGAGCCTGGATTCCATCTCGCTGCGATCATCGTCCTCCTCGCGCTGCCGCTTGGTCGCATTCGACGAACCGGGAGGGACGAACTTTGGCTGCGCTCGGATGCGAGCCTCGGCCCTCATCGACTCGGGAGCCTGAGTAACCTTGGCCAGATTCCCAGTCTGCCGCACGTTCTTGGGAACCGACAGCCTCTTTCGCGCTGCCACCTCCAAAGCCTCCCTCTTCGCCTTCTTGACCGCATTCGAAGTCCTTCCGCCACCTCCGAAGGTCAGGGTCGCACCGGGGCCGGCACCTTTCCCGCGGCTTCGACCAAAGGCAAGCCCGCCCGTGGGGGCCTTGGGGAGCTTTCTGGGGTCACCAATGGCTGTCTTGTTCGCCATCTTCATCTTGTTGAGACCGGCAAATGAGGCGCCGAGCTGTTCCAGTGCGACGGCCTCTTTCTTGCGCTCCTCCTCGGCGTAGTACTCGTACACCTGGCGCCATGCCCGGGGGTCCTCAGGCTCGCGGGGGTCGCGCTTCATGGGCACCATAAAGTCCCGCTTGCACATTGCCTCCCATAGCTCCGAGTCCTCGCCAACGATTTGCGGGGAGTTCTCCTCGATGACGGCAAGCTGAGAGGCGTTCTTGATGTGCTTGAGGATGGGGTCTTTCACCCTCCAGTACGGTAGGGTCGAGACATAGTCGACCTGGTCGATATGCTTCCGGACCGTGGCCTGGCAGAGCTGAACCAGACTCTTGACGGGCATCTTGGTTACGTTTTCCGGCAGCGAGACGAGTGAGTATCAAGGCAAAAAAATGACGGTGAAGTAAGAAGGGTGAGATCAAGTCGCAATTGATGAACTTGGATCTGGGCTTGGGCTTGGAGAGTATTCGACCTGGGGCTTTGGGCGAAGTTCTCTGCAATGGAGTAAACGGGTAATAACGAGCTTCTGTAGATGATCAAGTCTTTTATGTAGCTGGGGCTCAGGGCTGAGTAGTTGGTGAGGAGGTGGGAATTGGCCGCCTTGAAGTATTAAAGGAGAACAATGGAGGAGGCAGAGACGGAGAATGGGACGGGACTTGATTGGACTCGGCCCATTCTTCGTTGCTCTGGGTTGGAGGGGGATTGGCTATGACGGCAGAATATAGAAACAATACCAGAACTCATGGCTGGTGGCTTATTGTTGGAGCTGTTGGTATTCGTTCAGTTGTGTGGAAGTGAGACGAGATGAATTGTACGTAGTAGTGACTCGGGAGATCCAGGCCTGCGGAAGAGCCTCGTGGCACATGTCACACCCCTAGCTCTCCCCCCTGGTATTGTCCGTGACTGCGTAAGGAGCATGGAGCCGGCGGTGGGGCCCCTTTGCCCAGCCCCAGCCTTGCCGAGTTTCTGATCGGGGATGGCGCACTAATAAGCACAGCAGGTATTCTCCGGGCAAGCCCCGTTTGGCAGTTGATAAGTTGTCCGTCTCCTTTGGACTCGGCCCGTGATGCGTCCCACCGGAGCCCATTGTGCTTGAGCTCTACTTTTTGGCTATGATTTTGATATGCACAACTTGATCAACATTCTACAGTCTCAAACAACGGCTGTTGCCGTATGGGACACCGATTTCTTTCCCAACCGCTGCAACATCTTGTAGTTTTCAGCGAGCGATGGATGAATCAAGGATCACGATGTGCCACATTCCAAGTGCCCAGCTGGACACCTTTCAGAAGCATGGAGAGTTCGTTATTATCAACCTGTGCTTACTTAGTAATTAGGCTGGAAATTCCCTCCCTCTTATAGTCTTCTGTCTTCTGAGAACAAACAATATTACAGTCACGTACTCAATTACACTGCGAGTAATATGAATAATCATAAATAAACTGGCGCGTAGTCACATTGACGAGGAAGCCTCTGTTCCAACCAGTGGGTACCTGAGTACGTGTAGATACTGTGGTAGGTGCAAGGGTACAAGATACAAGGGTACAAGGGTTCCCTGGTGGCAGATCTGTAGCTCTTCTAGCGCCTGTTTGCCTGCCACCGTCGGTCTGTTTGCCAAAACGTCGGATTTCACCTTGCTCATTTGCAATTCGTCACGCTGTCTCATGCAGGCAGGAGCAGTCTACTGCAGCACCTCTGGTCTTTCCTAAGGGCAACTGAAGGCCACCAATTCCAATCTCAGTAACACTGCTGCAACAAACTCGGATACTCAATCCAAATTCTAACACGGCCGACCATCGAACCCGACAACAGCTCTCACCAAGCCGCAGCCATGTCGTCCTGGCAGCTCCTCGACCCGGAGGAGGAGAACGAGATCCACAAGTCGCGCCTCTTCAGCGTTGAAGAGCGGCCCTTCAAGCGTATCACCAAGCGGCTCTCCACCATCAATGGCCTCGCCAACTCCAAGATCCGACAGACGGTCACACCTCCGCCCGACGCCACAAACGCCAGCAACGGCGAGGACGGCAGCGCCTCCGAGGCAGTCGACTTTGCGCAGCTCAAGGAGGACATCACGTTTGACTTTGCAGCCTTCGACTACACGATCGGCCGGCTGCAATTCCTCCAGACCGCCAATGCCCAGCAGCGCGACAAGTACGCCGTCGAGCGGGGCACCATCCTCGACACCTGCGCCAAGGTCAAGGACAACACGGCGCAGCTGAGGGTGCAGCTCGCCGCCGCACAGGCCACGCGGGCGCAGAGGCTACAGTGGGACGCGCTGGCACGCAAGATCAACGACAACAAGGCGCTGCAGGAGCGGCCCAAGGCGACGGCGGCGCTGGAGAAGCTGGAGGAGGAGTGCAGGCAGCTCGAGGCGGAGAGCGAGCAGTACGCCGTCACGTGGAGGGAGAGGAGGGAACAGTTCAGCAGGATCATGGACGAGAGCATGAGGCTGCGCCGACTGATCCGCGATGAGAAGGAGGAGGTCGAGCGGCGGGAGGGCATGGACGAGGACGGGAGCGGCGAGGGCGAGGGCGCGGCGGATGGGCACACACCACGGCCTGGTAGCGCAAGTGGGAATGCGACGCCGCGACCCGACGGGACCGGGGTGGCGTCCGCCGTGCCGAAGGGTCTCGGGGATAGTGGGGATGCGACCCCGCGGCCGATGTCTGTGGGTGGACGGACACCGATGCGGGACAGCCCGGCCCCGAGCACTGCGGACGGGCTCAAGCCGAGACCTGAGATTTCGGGGAACTTGTCACAGTCTGGCAGCCGGTCGGGGAGCCGGGAGCCATCACCTTCCAGGAGCGCCGAGCCCGACCCGCGCCAGCCTGAGGGTGAGGATGTCGAGATGGGCGAGACGCCACGCGAGGACCTGGCTTCCACGCCGCAGATTACCGTCGACGGCCAGAATGTTGAGGACAAGATGGATACGTCGTCGTGATGCTACCGAGGGCTGGACTGGGATGCAAGAGGACAGGGACGATGCGAAGTGGTCTGGCACGTCCTGTTGGCTGTTTAAATATGTGCAAGATACCCCGTGGAATAATCAAAACTGGCGATGTCCAAAGCTGGTGGCAGACTCAGCTCGTGCGAAGCACCTTATTTGTCCCTGCCCCCGTCCACCCGTATATGTTGCAGCCATCCGGATATTGGAAAAGGGGTCGTCGCATTTTGGCACCCTTCATTGGCCCCCTATTTGCGACCTCATGAACTATGATCCAGTATATCTACAACCGCGGTGAGGGCAATGCGAGCCCTGCATCTTCTCTCTGTGCGCGTTCCGAGCACTTCCATATTGGGTCCTGGGGCACTTGTCGGAGGCCAGTCCTCGCCGCATCGGTCTGTCGATAAGTTGCCTTCTGGAGTCTTCTAAGCTAAGGTTGCCTGGAGATGACGTCGATTTTCAGAACCCAAGAAGCCTTATGATCTCTTAAACTGTAGCTCTTCCCTCCAGAAACAGTTTGGTCTACCTGTCAGTCACGACGCGACCTGACTGATCACAGTGACGTTGGGAGTTCTGCGTGCGTGTCGAGGCGATGCCCACCAGTGCCGCGACTCAAGCTCAGGCCTGGGCCGCAATGACCGAGCCATGTGAGACGCTCAGAAAAGGACCCTACGCCTCCGTCTTGAGGGCGTCCTGGCCCTGCTTCAGTACCTCCCTCGCCTTGACCAGCTCAGCCTCCGCGCCGGCGTCACCACTGCTCTCGCCGATGGCGATCTGTTCCTCCAGCTTGGCGACAGCATCTGCAATACGGCTGCGCAAGGGGCCGAAGACGTTCCTAGTCTCCTCGGCGGCTTGTTTCTGCGGCGGAGGTGAGTGAGTCAACAATGCTTTTCAACGGAAATTCCGGGGGCTGGCAGACCTCCTGCTTAAGGACGTATTCGGCGTTCTCGTCCAGGTCGGCGCTTTTCTCGCCGATGTCCTTCTCGAGCTTGGCGATGCGGGCCTGCTGGCTGGCGAGGTCCTTGTGGTAGTAGGCCTCCTCCTTGACCAGGCGCTGGACGGATGAGGTGGCGACAGCGAGGGGCGTCGGGGGTGCCATGTTGGATGTAATTGCGTGGCGCTGGGCAATGTGATGACTGCTCAAGCATTCAATAATACAGGCTGGCCTGCTAAGCTGAGGACTGCACAGTTTCCGGTGGGCAGGGGTGTTGATGTCGGTTCTTGAGATGTGCTGGGTTTGTTTGTTTGCAGCCTGTCCCAGCCGTAGTACGGTGTGTACGGAGTACTGTGGTAAACATGCACAAACAGGGGTCATGCTACGGAGTATAGCATGACTGTCCCGTGCGCCCACTCTGCCACTGCAAGGCCTTGGCCCAGGCATATCGTGAAAGCCTTACGATGGTGGATTAGTGTTAATAAATGCTCGTCTTATATACGAAACTTGCATTTCCAGACGGCAAGAGAAAACCAAAAGCAACATCTGTGTACAACGAACTCGGGGCTCATTTTCCGGGGTTCCAGGGTAGCAGCATGATGGGCCCTGCAGCACGTGTGTTGATGCAGTCAGGCAGTGGAAATACGCACTTGAGACTAGGCACATAGACACAGGTACATGGGTGGCCATGCTTTTTCTGCGTTTCAACCTCAGCATCTCTACCACAGTAAAGGCCTGGGCACAGAAACAAGATGCTCACACCCCTGAAAACCGACGGGAGAACTCGTCGAAGAGCCGCACCTACCCTGCTACCCTGCTACCCCGGTTTCCCCGCACTCAGAACTCCTTTTCGACCACAGGCTCACCTATACTATGTAGTACGGAGGACATGCCAATGAGACTAGACTTCCCCACGTTCAGATGCTTGTGGCATTTCTCGTCTGCCTCGGCTGCAGTCTGGTGCAGACCGTGAAGGGGGGAAGCCCTCTTCAAAGGTCGGAGATGGGGCCTGTGGAATATTCTTGCTGGTGCCGCACCCACTTGCAGGATACTCGGTAATCTATTCCAGAGCCACAGTATACTCAAGTGCTCTGGGAAGGTGGGATACTCCGTCCAGCCCTGACCCTCCGCAGTGTGGAGAGCTGTGCGAGCTGCTATCCGATTATGTGCAAGCGCCATCTTGGGCTCTGACTCCGGTGCCGACTGGGTCCAGATGTCAAGAGGGAGAGAGAGAGAGAAAAAAAAGAGACACTGGGTGACATGCAAGGCAATGCAGCACGATTGTCCGGGGTCGATGAATGCACATTCTCGTGCTGCGTGCTGCGTGCTGCGTGCTGCGAGGTCCAATCCAGATTCCGCCCACACACGTTTAAGGTGCTGCTGCTGCTGCTGCATCCAAGGATCGTCGACCCGCCCGATGCCGATCCAGTCTCATGCAGCCACACATTGCGACAAACTGACCATGTCCGGTCCCAGACGGGATGCTCCTGTCAAGTACCCGTAGTCACCTTTACTCTTGGCTACCTGACAATACGACTCCACCTTCCACCACTACTACCACCACCACCACACCTCCTCCTCCTCCTCCTACTCCTACTCCTACTCCTCCAATCCGGTGCACACAGGAGTCGGACCTCTGAATCTGCCCGGACTGTCCTGTCCCTCCTCCGGTCCACCTCCCTTCAGTCTTCAAATAAGAGACACACTTCGCTCGTTTGGACTTCAATGCGAACTGGCTGACCCGACTACTTCACCACCTCCACAAGGGGCTCTTGAAATCTATTGGCAGTAGATCACACCTGAAACCATACAACATCTCGGCTGGTTTTCCCTCTTTCACGTCCCGGTATCATATCCTAATAGGTGCACCCGCCAATTGGTTCATTAATTCTATACCAAAGTCAACTCCCTCGCCTTGGGAGACAAATCTGTGGACTAGTGAGGGCCATCTCGGACGCACGCGACGGTTGATCGCGCCAATATCACCATTGTATAATCCGCCCACGGTTCCCATACACTCAACTCTCAAAAATGGGCCTGTTGGAGGATGCATGGGAGCTTACGTCTCCCAGGGCACTCATCGCTGCCGCCCTCGGCTCCTATATCATCTACGCCTGTTTAAACCGGCTATACGAGAACTACCGTATAAGTCAAATTGGCCCAAGGGCTCTGGCCGTCTCTCACAGGCTGCCTTGGGGCCTGGACTTTGTCTACTCGGCCGTCCAGGCCACCATACACCACAAGAACCTTGAGAACTGGCAGGGGGCCTTCAAGAGGACCGGCGCCGACAGCGATGGCAACGGTGCATTCACCCTCGAAGTGCGTGCCTTTGACAGGCGAATCGTCTTCACCGCGGACCCCGAGAACATAAAGGCAATCCTGGCCACGCAGTTCGGCGAGTTCGGCAAGGGCGAGCCCTTCCACGTGGAATGGAACGAGTTTCTCGGCGACAGCATCTTTGTGACCGACGGCCAGATGTGGCACACGAGCAGGCAGCTGTTGAGGCCCCAGTTTATCAAGGACAGGGTCAGTGATCTTCACTGCTTCGAGTCGCATCTCGATACCTTCTTGAAGGCCATGGCGAACGGAGGCCCACTCAACGGGGAGAACCAGCAGGTCGACATGGCCGCTGTCAACGGCCGGGTCATGGATATCAGTGACCTCTTCTTCAGGTACACGCTGGACGTGGCAACAGACTTCCTCCTGGGCAAGGATGTCAAGTCCCTCAGGTAAGAACCCGGTTTACGAACGACACAAATGAGATGCGACCTGACAATGTACTGTAAAAGCAATCCGCGGCAGGAGTTCGCCGACGCCTTCAACGAGGTGCAGCGCATCCAGAACATCATCACGCGGGCTGGCCCCGGCCTCAGCGCTTTCATACCCAAGAAGCACTTCCGGAAGTGCCTGGCCACGATGAACGAGTTCGTCATGGAGTACGTCCACAGGGCCCTCCTCCTGACCCCCGAGGAGCTGGCGTCCAAGACCAAGTCCGACATGTCCTACACCTTCCTCCACGAGCTGGCCTCGTACACGCGGGACCCCAAGGTCCTCCGCGACCAGCTGGTGGCCGTCCTCCTCGCCGGCCGCGACACGACCGCCTCCAGCCTGTCATGGACCATCTACGAGCTGGGCCGGCACCCGGAGGTGGTGGCCCGGCTGCGCGCCGAGATCCTCGCCACGGTCGGCGAGCACAGGACCCCGACCTACGCCGACCTCAAGGGCATGAAGTACCTGCAGAACGTCATGAACGAGACCCTGCGCCTGTACCCCGTCGTGCCCTTCAACGTGCGCGCCGCCCTCAAGGATACCCTGCTGCCCCGCGGCGGCGGGCCCGACGGCACCCAGCCGCTCGCCGTGCTCAAGGACACGCCCGTGGGCTACTCCACCCTGATCATGCAGCGCCGCGAGGACCTCTACCCGCCCGTCTCTGAGAACTTCAAGCCCGTCCTGGAGTTCTCGCCCGAGAGGTGGTATCACTGGCAACCCAAGCCGTGGCAGTACAGTGAGTGTCTAGCCGCAGCCGAGCTCTACTCTTCCTCCCGTCTTGCAGTGTGGTAAATTCTGACCCGCGTGTGCACACACAGTTCCTTTCAACGGCGGCCCGAGGATCTGCATAGGACAGCAGTTTGCGCTCACCGAGATGGGCTACGTATTAACGAGGCTGTTCCAGCGGTTCGAGAGGGTCGAGAGCTACATGGACCAGGTGGACGGCGGCGACCCAACTCTCAAGGCTGAGATAGTTTTGCAGCCAGGCGACGGCGTCAAAGTTGCATTCTTCCTCCCCGGCGCCTCCAAGGTCTGAGATATTGACTGGCACGGTGGCAAGGGCTTTGAGTATCAACGAATCGTAGCGTTCCTATCCGGTTTCTGCCAGATCTTGTGTCCACATGATTTCAGTACAAATGGTCATGCATTTGGTATGTAGTTACTGCTAGCATGGGAAGCTTGTATGCCCGTAATTATTCCCGGCAAGGGCTGGTTGACGTTCACAATACTTTGTACATGAATACAAGTTGAGAGTGGCTCGAACGGGGAGCCGTATAGCTTGTTCAGTGAGGACATTCGAGCCCCAGGTAGCCATGTATTTGAAGAATGCAAATGAACCATTCTCTGTGGATTCGTCCTTGTCTCCGCTGATTCCCTCTCTCAAGCCATTTCTCCCAAAAAGCGCAGTGAGGTTACGTATCTAGTCAGACGTTTTGTCGAAACTCGCAGCGACCAAGACTCATTCCTGACCTCCAGATGGTTCTTCCAACTCGGAAATTGCAGCGCTTACCTTGCGTTGGTATGTCTTCGGACGGATATGATAAAAGCGAAACCAGTTACCTTGTGCCCTTCGTGGTGTACCTCTTCAGCCTATACGATGTTACAATCTGTCTCAGAAGCAACGTAGGTCCTGCAAGGGACTTTTGTAAGGCGGACACCGTGTGATAAAGACGCTCTTACAACGGGCATTTTACATACATGCTTGTGAAAATCCAGCAGACAGAACTTGTCGACGGGCACAGGCTTAGGATCCTCTCCAATATCAACAAGATCTACCAAAGTGTCCACTATACAGCCAAAGTATTTTACACATATATAGTACCCATCACCAAAATCTCTCACATGGTGTTTTCCTAGAGACTTATTTTTTATTGGACGACGTTCTCGAGAATAGCTACCCATGGAAGAAGATACTGAGAACGTATGTCCTCTGCAGTAGACCTTCCTGCAGAGAAAAACAAACGGCATGTCACCAAGCCAAAGTATATACAAGAATATGTTTTCGACCATTTTTAATACGGCTGTGTTATGATAGTAATAAAACATGTGATGAGAACCGAGAAAATGAGACAGAAGAGCACGCTTTCAAACAAGATGACCACGAGGGCATGAGGACCGTGGCTTTCTCTGGAGTGCGTAGCTGGATTTTATGCAATACCATTCGCTTGCAAAGGGTGCGTTACACGCCATCGGAATTCTTTTGTCTGTAGCCATGTACAGACACTTTTCTATTTGCATTTCACAGGGTATATTTACTCTTTCGCGCAACTGAGGTTCGAGGTGTCTCGGCGTCCTTGTCACCTCACTCTGAGGCATGGACCATTGCTGGAGGTTGCATGTTTTGTTGCGTTCCAGGTTTTATGCATGCATACATTGATATAAGCCCGCGTGTTCAGGGAACAGTCCAAGCGTCTCCGCCTGAGGACTTTTCCCGGAGAGCCAATGGCAACTCTCAACCTGGCCGTCCGTAGCTTGACAGGGCAGGGGATGGTCATATGTAGGTTGGCGCATCTTAGCACGCATCTTTTGTCTGGCAGAGGTTCTGCCAGCGCGATGTAATTGACGGATCCGGATTCTCAAGACCCTTCAGCCCAGGCCAACAGCCCAGGCAGCATTCCCGAGCTGCTTGATCAGATGACACAAATTCTCAACAATAGGCGCAGCGGTGCCATTCAGGAAATTCGCTCGGAAAACCTCCTCGACAATTGCCATGGTGAGCTTGGGCTCCTCGGCGAGGCTCTCCGCCGCGACGCTGCCGCCCCCAGCGCTCTCTCGGCCATTGCCTTTGCCCTTCTTCACAGGCCCGCGTATGGCGGGCCTGCCCGTACCGTACGATGTAAATTGAGCAGTCTCGCTCATCTCGGGGCCGTCCAGATATATTACAGGCTCGTTTTGGTTGTAACCTGGCTGCGGTCCGGCCGTGCGCCTGGTTGCGCGGGTAAGCACGCCCCACGTCCATATGGTCAGCGCAGCATGATGTACAGCGACCGAATAGAAGTCCTTCAGGTGGCTGGTTGGGAATTCCTTTGCCCATCTGAGGATCTGTCCTGCGTGCCATAAAGAGCGGCGGGACTCGGCGTCCTGTGCCCAACGTTGTAGAGACGGGTAGATCCTCTTGGCCTGCTCGTCGCCCTCCTTGCCTGAAAACAGCTGCAAATCCTCCAGGCTAACGTGAAGATTCACAAAAAGGAGGTTAAGCACGACTTTCTCCTGGGCACTGAGCATGTGTGGCCAGTTCTTCAATGCAGTGCCTTGGAACTGCTCCAGAGCCCTGACAAGTTCCTGGTGGCGGGACTGTAGCAGTGTATTCGGGTTTCCTGCTGTAGACGGGGAGTATGCCGACCACCGATAGATGGTATTCATCTGCCGATATTCCCGGATAAGGGACCAGAAGCCGTGGAGATAGATGGAAACGGCGTATTGGACATCAAGGCGATGCTGATCAATCGCCAGGAGGTTGATGTCGCGCAAGAGGTCGCCGAGTGAAGGCAGCCGTCGATCCTGACCAGCATTTCTTTCAAGGTAGTACATCTTCCATTCCAGGGCGGTCTTTGCAAACCAGATCTCCCTAGCCTCGGGGAGCGGTAGTGTTAGTTCCGCGTAAGATATGTGGGGGTTATTCATGGACGTCATGGATGTTTGCGCGTCTCGGAGATATAAGTGAAATATGAGCCTGTACCGCTCCGTCAGCATCTGTGAACAAGGCTCTTGGGAATATATTCTCACCTTTTCCAAGACTCCCGGTGACACCACGTCTTCCACTTCTCTTCCAGCACGGCCCCGTCGTCTGCTGGGTCCACATGGATGAGCGGATATGCAGACCTTTGGAAACTGCCTCTGCCCCTGATCATTGCGATTGGAATGTTCAAATCTGCAGTGTTTCTATCAGCACGTAGCAACATCAAGACGAATTCTACTTTGCTTACGGCATTCAGCGATTTCCATGCGCCTCCTGTTGCCACTCCACAGTCCGATGTCTTGACCCAAGACAAGAGCTTGGACTAAACTCTGATCCTGAACTTTCGAGTTGTTGTCCTCGAACCTGTTAACGATGGTGACACCTAAAACGCTCATTAGCACTCGGGATTTGAACAGAGGATTATGGCGTCTGCTTCTTACGGACTGCCTCCTGTAAAGCGAATCCAAACTTCCTAAGGGATTTCACAGGTGTCAGGATCCCACCAGCTGACGCAGCAACTGCTGACCATTCAGGGCATTGGGCATTTAAGGAGAATGTTCCAAAATGGATGAACTCCGAGACCTGGCACAAGTGCCACGCTAGGAATGTATGAACCAAGGAGTCCATCACCTCAGTCGAAGGGAATGACGACGCGACGCGGCTCAACATAACATTGTTTTGACAAGTACTCAGAACAATGGCGAGGATCTTGTCACGTCCAGATGAGTGCAGCTTGTCATGGATGATCCTGTCGGGTTTTAGTTGTGTGGCATGTATATCAGCCAACGGGAGACCGCTCTTCTGGTTGTGGATGTTGTCCCTTTGCCCGTCGGGCATCCACCGCCAGGGCGAATTTGTCCATATTTTGACCAGGCGCTGGCGCATGCGAGACATATCCGCGGTGTCCTCGGGCTGGTTAGAGACGTAGTCGGCCAGGTTCGGGTCCGTAGCAAGCATGCCGTGAACGTCACCTATATTCCAGTGGTCGAGCATGCCGAAGTCAAAATCATTCATATCCAGGTTGGCGTCGTCGCAGAAGTCCAGTACAGCAAGGCCCTGCGCCTCAACCATTTTTTGAGAGTCCATCTGCTGCTGTTGTTGTTGTTGTTGTTGTTGTTGTTGCTGCTGGTGCTGGTGCTGGTGCTGCTGGTCGTAGAGAACATCTCGCAGAAAGTCCGAGAACGGCATCTTGTTCATATCCACCAGGCTCTGATTTGGATACGACCCATGGTAGCCACTCGCATTGTCTTCATCGTCCATAATCAGTGAATCTGCCTGGAAACCGTCTGCAATTGCTTGCTCGTGTTTGATAAAGAAGACGTGATAAACGCGGGTAAGAGGAAGAAGATTTAGAAAGAAACCGATGGGCAAATCTCACGGAATAGGACCTAGTCTCGCAAAGTATTCAAAGCAAAGTAAGATGATAGAGAGGGCATGAAAGTCATTGATGATAGGTTACTTTGCCAGCAGGGGCCAGAGATGGACGCGAGGAAAAGAGACGACTCACTTTGGTCCATGATGGTCTCAGGGGTGGGTAGTTGGGCGGCCTCAGCATTGATTGGTGGATTGTTGGCCAGGATGGAAGGGCTGGTACCGGTCGACTGGGCGTGCACAAGATTCGTCATCGCAGGCGCGGCAGGGTTGTGGGGCCCATGTGTTTGCATAGCCTCAGCCGCATTGGAGTGCAGCGAACTCGATCCCAAGTGGTACGCGCTGGGAATGGCTCCGTGGCCGGCTGGAGCCGTGGGCGCAGAGGAAGTGGGCGTGGTGTCGCCGGAGGAGTGCGCGTTCGCCGAGAGGTGCAAGAGATGCATCGCAGCAGCGGAGCCCGCCTCGGAGGGAGAAGGGACACAGGTCAAGTTGCGGTTGCGACACCGTGTGCACGGTTTGGTCTCTTCACACTTGACGCGGGCTTTTGCGCAGGCGTTGCAGGCGTGGGCGACGCGGCCGGCGCCGGGGGACGAGTTGATGCGCCGCCTCTTTGTCCCATTTCCATCATCGTTGTGGTTGGCACGGTGCCTCTTGAGCAGATCAGCACGCGCAAAAGCCTTGGAGCAAACCTGGACCATGAGATTAGCGGCAGGACAGGGATTTCAAAGAAGAAGGATGAGGCCCCTGAGCGGGAAGAAGACGTACGTCACAGACGAAGCGCTTCCCGAGCGTGTGAGTGGCTATGTGCCGCTGGAGATGCTCGGGGCGAGAGTATCTCCTGAGACAGTGAGCACATTGGTAGAGGCTGATATTGGCGGTATGGCCACTGGCCGGCGTGTTGGAGGTGGCACCGGCCACAGCGCTCCCGCCTGTGGTCGAAAGAGCACCAGGAGAAGCGGCAGGGGTGGCGGCAGGCGTCAGATGAGAAGTACCAGATGCAGCGGGCGAGACGCCGGGAGGTGGTGGGTATGTGTAATTCCCGGGCGAGGAGGTGGGCACTGGTTGAGATTGGGAGTGGGAGTGCTGCTGAGACATGGAGGAGTCGGCGTGCAGGAGGTGTGAGAGTGACGGGTTGGTCATTGTCCGGGCCTTGTTGCTGCCCTCAATCCCGAAGCGGGCTCCGGCTTGTCCGGGTCCGTACCGAGACCTGGGGTCTGCTGACGTCCGGGGTGGGCGGAGGGGCGGAGGGGTGGAGGGACGGAGGCGGATGGCGCAGGGACGACCCAACGACGGAACGGATGGCGGTACAAAAAAGGATAGGGCTGGGCCCAACTGGACCGACAAGCGTGACGTGCAGACGGGCCGGGAGGGCGTCGTTGGAGCAGGATGCAGGCAACTGGAGAATGGGTCTCAGGATCAATCGTCGGGAGTGTGGGAGACAACGGGCGGGATGGCGGGAGCGAGGGCGGGTGGCCGGTAATAAGGGGGAGGGCTATTAGTCGAGCTGTCGTAGATAGGATAAAGCTGCACTCCTGACAGCCCCGGCCTGGCGAATGACGAGACCTGGGGGAGTGGGCCTTGGAGCCCAAGAATAGTCGCAAGCCCAAGAATGATGCCTGCTCCCGATGCGTGGTTTGAGTATGGCCGTACGTGTCTCAGCTCTCCCAAACGGGGAACCAGCTTGTTGGACGTGTCGGGCGTCTGGCCGAGCATGTGCCTGCCTGTGCCTGTGCCTGCCTGTGCCTGTGCCTGTGCCTGTTGTAGCGTACTGTTATGCCCAAAGGGGAACTGACCGTACCACTGCATGTAGGTGGTGACAAGATGCTGTTGTGCCGAATTGGGGGTGCAAACGTGATGCGATGCTGTCGACGGGAGAGTGGGACGCGCAGTTGGGTTGGGGCTCGCTGCGGTTACAATACGGCAGGAGCTTCCCCTGCCCTGGCCCGAGGAGCAGGAGCTCTGAGCTCTACTCGGCTAAGCTCTTCGTGCTCGGGCGAGGCCCCTGCCGTCCGCCTCGGGTTCGCTCCACGAGTCAAGACAGGTCCGTGGCAAGAAGACTGACTGACAGCTGAACAATTACACGAGATACTTTGGTGCTGTACTGTTGTACGTCCAAGACATACAATTGGTGATCCAAGATCAGAGGGTCTAATGCGGGACGGGCTGTAGTCTGGGCTCAAACCAAACCGGCACAGGACTCAGACTCTGCCATGCCAGCAAGCTCGGCCGAGCCAATCTATTCCGGGAAAGGCGTTTGTTGCTGTCAGGATCTACGCCCGTCCCTGATCGACAGTGCGCAGGTCCTCTCCCTCCTGCCAGATCGGAATCGACCGCGGAAGTCCATTCTCACCAAGCCTTGCAAGCATTGCTCACGCCTTCTGGTGTCACCGTCAAGACACCAGAGCCAGCAACGTGGCTAGGGTTGTCCATTTTACCTGCCCTACCGCGGACGCTCCGAGTGCCCGTGATCCATGGTCCATGATCCATGGGTCGTGTTCCACAGCCGATACCCACCCAGGTGCCGTCGGGTTAAAGCCCCGTAGGTTGGCTGGGCAGGAGCCAATTGGACCTGCACAAGCCCACCATCCGCCTGTTCCCCAGCTAGTGGCTGACTGCATTACAGAATCCAACTCGGAAATAAGAGGATCTGTCAACGCGTGGCCTGCGGGCAGCATGCAATCAACCCGCGTAAGGGGAGCTTCCCTCTGGGATCCCGCGGGTCACGAGGCTGTGGAATGCCGATCCCAAGATCTGGACCACACACGGTCGTGCTCTTCCATTCCAGCCGAATCGCGGTCGGCTGGCTAGCGAAGCACCAGCTTTGCGCCAAAGCGGTGCCTTGTCCTCCCCGACAAGAGTCCGGGCGCCGAGTCCTCCCACGCTCGCTGGCTCGTCAAGCTGCGCAGACTGGTGGCGTTGGTAGATCTCGGCCGTCACACCTCGGGCGCCGATAGTTGCACCCCAGGATCAGCTGGTAGCCGTCGATAGCGGAGCTGTGTATGGCGACGCCAAGATCCTGACGGGAGCAAGTGGCTACTACGCGAGTGTGCAATGTCACGGACCCTTCTGGGCAATAGATCCTGCCATTAGGGCGTGACCACTGCGGACTTCTGATATGCTGTCAGTCACTATTTGGTGCTGGTCGCCGGCCACAACAGCCTGTGGCAGGCCAGTTGCACAGACTTTGTCCATGACTTTCCCAGGACGAACCCATCGCCGGGTGTTGTGGGCGAACGCGTTCGTCGGGGCTGAAGACGACATCGCTATGCGAGTGCGACAAGTCGTAGCGGTAACGGACCATTGGATTTTCCTCACCTTGTCGGCGGCGTTTAACAGGTGTGTGTGTGGATTGAGACCCCCAGGGTTATAAGGTTAAGTAGGCAATTGGAGCCTTTCCAATCCGCGCCCGCTTCCAGGGGGCTTGTCGCCCAAATCAGAGTTTCGAATTCTCACTATCTCTCCCGTGCTCATCTCGACTTTGATGTAAGGAAGTGGTTCTGCGGCAAGATTACGTTATAGCCCCGAATCTCAACAACTCTGTAAGGCAAACCCACACTGCCATTCCTGGTCATTCCCTTCTTCTCCAACCTCCTTTTCAATCCAGATATGTGTAGCCAGAGCTATACCTTCACCTCCCGATACCTGTTGAGGCAAGGCTGAGCCATCGCGTGGGGTAACCTGGCAGCAGTCAGAACCTAAATCCCAGGCCTGTCGTGTTAATTCTAGGTAGTGCTGTGCATTTGACGCAGTCCTGCATCACTGACAACCTGTAGCAGTTCCCTAGCCACGTCCCGAGCAACTCTATCCTCGGAAAGTGGGCCACATCCCGTCCGTTCACAGCAGCTACACTGCTTTGTGAACTCGAACACTCACTTATATGAGCGATAACTTGCCTTGTCTGAATACCATCTGTACCCCGAGACCCGCGGGAAGACCACGGGGAGTGGGCACTTTTCCCCAGACTTTGGGCGGCGATCAAGCGGGTGCCGGCTCTTTCCCCAGAGTATCAAGAGCTTGGTATTCTCGCTTGTCTCGCCTGGGAATTAGCCCCTAGCCCCTCTCGTGTCTTGTGAGTCTTGTGGGGTCTGGGGAACCGTGAAGGAGGGCGGCAGAGTCTGTTACTGGACCGGAGTCTGGGTAGTCTTCCAGAGCAGCATACACTGCTGCTCTCGCTGTTGATTGTGACAGCGGCCCTCTCGGACCCTACTTGACAACTGCCGCTGCCGGGTTCAGTCTCCATCCTCAAATCAAAAGCAGTGGGTGTGCACAAGGAATCTGTTTGCTGCCGACTTCTCCCCAATCCATATACCAGATTGCACTCCAACTTACTACCGTCTTTGCTCAATGCCTTTCCTATGAACTTCACAATAGCGCTCCGGTGAGAACACATCAAGACATTCCTTGGCTGAGGCAGAATGGCAGGCGACAATATCGCACCGGCCCTACGAGCGGACGACATTGAGGATTCCAAGACCGAACATGTGAGGCAGAGAACCCTGGGCAACGTTCGCCTTCGCCATCACGAGACCAACGAGATCATCCTCATCCCAAAGCCAAGCAATGATCCCAATGACCCGCTGAATTGGTGAGCTGACTGGCGGTTGGATTTATACTTGGTGTGCCTGAGAGCTGACCGATTCAGGCCGCAATGGTACAAGAATTGCATAGCCGTCCTCGTCTGCGTGGCTATCCTCATGTGCAATTTCCTCGCGGCAGGACCGACCGTCACTATCGTCAACACGACCGTGGACTTCTTCCCGGCTTCGCCTCCCACCGTCGATCCAGCGGGTTTCAGTGCGAACATCTCCAAGATCGCCTACTTCTTCAGCACCACTGCGCTGCTTCAGGGAACTGGTAACTTCATATGGGTCCCTCTAGCGAATAAATACGGTCGTCGTCCTGTCTATGTGGCTAGTTATGTGAGTCTCGGAATGTGCCTGTCTCTGTTTCTCGGAAGTCATCATGTCCCTGGTGGTCAGAGGCTCGGAGGCTGGCTCGAAAGTTCAGAGCGGCTTGGGAGTTGAGCCTTTCAGGATGTCACGGGTGTACATCCTGGTGACTGAGTTGTATCCCTACGCGGTCCTGAACTTTGCCTCGTCAGTGTACTGTCTTGTACGACGATAATAGGCTTCGACTTTGGTGCAAGTGCTGACTATTTTGGAAGACTTTATACCTGGCCACCGCTATCTGGGCGATATTGGATCACTCTTATGGCGGGTTCTTGGCTGCGCGGATCCTGATGGGCTTCGCCTCCGGGGCAGCGGAGACCATAGCACCTGTGACCATCTCGGACCTCTTTTTCCTGCATCAGCGTGGTACCATAATGGCCCTCTACACTTCTTTCCTGTCTGTCGGTGTGGGCTTTGGTATGATCATTGCTGGGTAAGTATATGAAATGATTGGAATGGGAGTAAGCCCCATCTAATGCGTATTTAGCCTTATCACTATCAACAACGGCTGGCGTGTGATTTATGAGGTAGCGGCAGCCATCATCGGGTTCATCCTCCTCTTCGCTTTCTTTGCATTCCCTGAAACCGCCTTTTTCCGCGAGGACGCAGCTGTTGGTGATGGTCAGCCCCCGCAACGGCTGTCAAGCGGGAATGAATCCGAGAAGACTCACCGGACTGCAGCTCGCGTCGCGGACATTGAAGCTTTGTCTCAATCTCAGCAAAGCCCCACCAAGAAGAAGAAGACTTACTTGCAAAGCCTGAGTCTCTATAACGGCACCTTCACCTCAGAACCTCTATACAAGATCTTTGTGCGCCCCTTCGGACTAATCCTCCTGCCTCCTGTGCTCTGGGCGGCCCTCGTCGAGTCCGTGACTATCGGCTTCCTCGTTGCGGTCACCTCCAATGTTGACCCTGCCTTCCTGGCCACGTATAACTTCGAGGCCTGGCAGGTCGGCCTCTGCTTCATATCCGCCTGCCTCGGCTCCGCGATCGGCATCCCTGCAGGCGGAAAGCTCGGTGATGTGGTGGCAGACCATTTCACGCACAAGAACGGTGGCATCCGGGAGCCTGAGATGCGACTGCCTGCTATCCTTCCCAGCCTGGTCACGACGCCGTTGGCCCTGGTCCTGTATGGCGTGGGTATCCAGAACAAACTACATTGGATTTGCCCTACTGTTGGATTGGGTCTATGTGAGTGTCAAACTTGATGCCAGTCGTGCACGAAGCACGGAACTTACACCGAAGCCACCAGTGAACTTCTCGATTGTACAGGCCACGAATATTGTGCTGGTCTACGTGATTGATGCTTACCGGCCTGTCGCTGGCGAGGTGACACTGGCTGTGATGGGTTTCAAATGTGAGCGATCCTGTTTTTAATAATCTCTCAGCGCCTCATTTACTCCAAGGCTAATGAAAATTTGCGCAGCCCTCTTCGGCTTCCTGCTCTCGTTTTACACGAACCCATGGGTCAACCAGTCGGGGTATCTCAACGCGTACGGCGCGATGGCGGGCATCTCAGCCGCTATTCTCGTCCTCTGGGTACCTCTGTACGTGTGGGGCCGGCATATTCGGCACGTCACCTGGTCGTGGCCCGCCATTTCCTACGTCCACTGGAGCGAGGATCGTGAGGTTGGCGAGTGAACAGAGCTTTGTGTCTCTGCTAACTTCATCTGTCGTTGTCCACATGTATTTGTGCTGCGATTTGTATGCTAAAAAGTGTCGAGATTCACAGCTGTATGCATATTGTGCGGATGGGCTCAATTTTAAATCTATTGAAGTGCACCTGGGAAACTCGAAGTGAGTTAATAGCATCATGCTCTGCCACACGACTCACTCTCCCAATCACAGTGACGGAATCAAGTAAGATCTTGTCATCATTGCTCATCACTAACCACGAAAAGGGCCGATCTACTGGAACTGGTGTGATATAAGGTTCCTCACGAAGCTGTCGACTTACACTGATAACCCACCGTCCAAGACCATGTTCTGTCCCGTAACGCTCTTATTCTTCACGTATGTTAGAACCTGTTCCGCAACGTCTTCAACTGTGGCCAATGTCTTCAGCTTGGACGCCTCAGTCATCGCCTGTATCCTCTCGGGAGGGAAACTCAGTCCCCATTCCTGAATTGTCAAGCACGTTAGAAGTGGGCCGGTTCTTTTTTTTTTTTTTTTTTTGTTGGAAAAAAAAAGGCAGACTTCTCCCTTTTACACAAAGAGACAAAAAGCGGTGCATACGGCAGGGGATTGACTGACCGTCAGCAACAAACCAGGGCTCACACTGTTCACCCTCACCTTGGGTGCAGCGAGCATGGCCAACGCCTTGGCAAGATGAAGGTGGGCGGCCTTGGTGACAGAATAGGCGAGGGAGCTCCCGCTGACCTTGACGCCGGCCAGGCTCGCGGTGGTGACGAAACACCCGCTCTCCTTGGGGCCACCGTCCTCGTCGTCCCATCCAGCAGAGAGATACGGCTTCGCCGCATGCATCAGCCACAGGTGGCTCTTGACATTCACGGTAAAACACCTGTCCCAGTCCTCGTCGACCATGTTATCCTCGAGGTCGTAGAGGTTCCGCATGTGGGTCCAGCCTCCATTGCTGAAGACGACGTCCAGGCGTCGCTTGCCCTCGCCCTCGCCCCCGCCGCTGGAAGGGCACATGACGTCCATGGCCTCCTTGACCAGCCGCTCGACGTCCGCCCGGGAGGCCAGGTCCGCCCTGACGGCGTGGTAGTCAACCCTCCCCTCGGTGGGGGCCAGGGTGCTGATGGATTTCAGCTTGGAGACCAGGTCCTCGGCGCGCTGGACGTTGTTGGCGTAGTTGATAACCACACGCATGCCGTTGCGGGCGAAGAGCTCGGCAACGCAGGCCCCGAGGCCCGCTGAGCCGGCGGTGATGAGGGCAATGGGAGGGCGTGGCGAGGACATGGTGAAAATTCAAGCTGCCTTGTGAGCTGCCTGGAGGGTGGACTGGGAGAGAACTGCTGTTTTGCAGAGGTGAGGTTGTGATATGGCTGGACGTCTCCACGAGTATCCACCGCAGAGACGCTTTTCACTCCTCTCTTTCCCTTTTCGGACAGGAGGTGCGCAGTGATTCGCTGTGTGTGAGACGGTCTTGTCTTAGGGGGATCTTGGGTTGTCAAGCCTAATACTGGGGTTCCCCGCGAGCTGGGCTGGTTGCTTGAATGAATCGCAAGTTCATCGGGCGAGAACGGGGTCGAGAAGGCGTGAGTCCCACCTTGAGCTCGGCCGGGGTAGTTGGGCGGGGGCTCCGTTCACGGATCTATTGACCAGGCCGACTTACAAGGGGTGCTGCCCCACGCGAGGTCTAACTATTGTGCTGTGGTGGATCCACACAAATACCCTCCACACTTGCGTGCCTGTTGTGCACCCGACTCTCGGGTTCGCGCCACACCTGTCATACACACAGAGAACCTTACAATGCATGTCAGAGCAGGTGACAACCGGCAAATCAACGGAATATGCAAAGCATGTTCGGGGATCTAGGCTGGCCTGGTCCGGCCTGACTCTTGTCACTGTCGCATGTTGCCCTCGGCAGAATACTTGTTTCTGTAAACTTTAATTATCCATGGCAGTTCAGAAACCTCCTGCCTGCATGGGACGGAAGAGTGCTGTTCCAACTTTCAAGGTTATGGGCAATACAGTACGGGCTGTTAAAGGCTGCAGTCAATATACGGTACTGTTATACAGCCCTGGAGTGATACACCTCCCGGCTCTGCCGTCCCCCCACCTGCCCACTTCCCGTACGCCAGCCCAGACGGAACTAGTATCCACTCTAGATCTGCAGTCTTCCGCGCTTTGGCACAAGATATTCCTTATTGCGGCAGTCGATGACAACAGACTAGATCACCACCACCTCCAGTGGCCTCCCGTGCTCTGCATCTAGGCGCCCCCCGTTGAAGCGTGTTCGGATTCAGCTGCCATGCCGTGTGGTCGCAAATCCGCCCCTCAGAGTTCACTACTCCCCTTCTGGTGGAGCGTCGAGACCACTTCCCACAACGGCCGACGACCAGACAACCCCAGAGGTGGATGCTCAAGGGAGCTAGCATTCATCCCCGTCCCGTCTCCCACCCAAACATATGCCCCACGTACGATCCGGTGGGCGGCCCGGGAAGCACCAGGTAACTTAGGCGGGATTGCATATGGTCGCATGTGTTAAGACCGACTGACTTTCGTGCCTGGGTTAAGTCCCATTGCTCCCAACATGTTTATCCGCTATTTCGTTCGGAACATGTTACTTACCCTCTATAAATTTCCTCGGTCTTACTTTTGGCCCAGCCGCCGGTGAAGCGCTCTGATATGGTTCCCACGCCTTCGTGACCACTCATGTATATGATATCCTGTCCCGTAACATTCTTCACTTGCTCGGAAACATACAGACAGGACGGAATGCCTCCCCGCATGTAAAGGCCTATTTCTTACTCATTACAAGCCGTCTTCTCCCTTTGGCAGTGTACCAAGAATTGTCACTTGTCTTGCGCCTGGCCGCCTACTCCTAAGCGTACACATCTCCAGAACCATCCTGCGGTCTGCTCGCTACTCCCGGCCTTGGCCCTGTCGGCTCTCCGGATAACGACAAAGCACGCTGCAAGATGGAAAATATCAAGAGCCTCGCCAGCAGTCTCAACGGGACCAGCCGTGACGGAGAAGCCATCAATGGCACACGAACCCAGCCTTCATCTGGTGCAAACAAGGTCGGACCCTCGAGTCCCCTAGTCGATGACCACCCTACGCCGCTTAAGGTCATCATCATCGGCGCCGGAATAGGAGGCTTGTCGGCTGCTGTTGGCCTGCGCAAAAACGGGCACCAAGTCGATGTGAGCACCAGGCTCGATACGCGAGGTTCTTCTGATACGGCACTGACATTATTGGCAGCTCTATGAACAGTCAAGATTCGCCAATGAGACGGGTGCCGCAGTGCATTTGGCACCAAATGCGAATGGACTGCTGAGGAAATGGGGCATTTTCGCAGAGGACTTTGGCGCCACGCTGACGTGTTACGTGGAGGAGCGCACCGAAAAGGGCGAAAAGGTCAAGGACATTGACCTGAGGGGGATGAACGCACAGTGGCAGCACCCATGGCATCTGAGCCACCGCGTCAACCTGCACGAGAAGCTCAAGAAAGTAGCCACGGGTGAGGACGGTGTTGGAACCCCGGCAAGGCTGCACACCTCTAGCAAGATCATGAGCGTGGATCCTGAGAAGGGCGAAGTCATCCTTGCCGACGGAACGACTGTTACTGGCGATGTCATTCTAGGGGCTGATGGAATATACGTAAGTCCTGCTGACTTACATTCTTGTTGGCACACCGCTAATTTTCCTGTAGTCGAAATCGAGGTCTGTCATCAAGGAGGCAAAGCTGTTTGGCTCGGGCAAAGCCGCTTTCCGCTTCTTGATTCCGAGGCAAGCCGGTCTTGACGATCCGATTACGAAGCCTCTGGTGGAAAGGGGGAATAATCTGGTGATTTGGTATGGCGCAGATCGCAGAATCGTCATGTATCCATGCAACGACAACAAACTGCTCAACTTCAACTGCATCCACCCTGAAAACGAATCTCATGCCACAGCCAGCGATGGTAAGTGAGTCCTGTCATGACACTGTGTCTTTGAAGTGAGTCTGACGAAAGCAGAATGGAACAAGGAAGCCGATTTTGACCAATTCCTAAAAGTGTTCGAGAACTTCGACCCAGCACTCCTAGCTCTGGCCAAGAAGGCGGACCGGGCAGCCATTAAGGTCTGGCAGTTGATGGACATGGAAAAGCTGCCCACATGGACAAAAGGAAAGCTTGCGTTGCTTGGGGACGCTGCCCATCCATTCACTCCTCGTAGGTGCATAACAGATATATTTCAAGAGAGGCGGTATTGTGCTGACATGAAGAGCTATGTAGACCAGGGTCAAGGGGCTGGTCAAGCCATCGAAGATGCTGCAACTATCTCTATCGTGCTACCCAGGGGCACGTCGCCCGAAGCGGTATCAGACAGACTGAAGTTGTATGAAAAGATTAGATATGAGCGTGCGCATCAGATCCAGGAGTATTCCCGCCAGGCAGGCAAGGACTGGATAGACGGCAAGCCTCAGATCGACAGTAAGAGCAGAGACATGCACATTTGGAAACTGGTTGTGACTGACAGCGCGATCCAGTGATGTCATACACGGCCTACAACTTTGGCCACGATGAGTTTGACAATTCCGAAAACATCTTCAAGCGTTGGAAGTGGAGCCAGAAGCCCAACATGTACTGGCGGATGCCGACTGCTTTCGGGCCATTCCCAGGACCACGGCAGGACGCCTACGGCCGCTCACTCCGGGATGGTCTTCAGAGGACGTTCAGCACTGTCTCGGTCAAGTTCAAGACGTCGCGGACCTACCTCGAGACACTGTTCCCCAACTCGTCGTTCCGCTTCAAGAGCCCATCGTCCGTCTGCCAGGCGTCCATTTCCATGACAGAACTGGACAACATGGCGTGGCTGGGCGGCAACGGGTACCGGCACATGGGACTGTACATCCACGGGGTCGAGTACGTCAAGAAGGACGGCAGCACGATCCCGGGGACCTACATGCCGGTGCTGTTCGAGTCACTCACGGACCCGATCGTGTCGGGCCGCGAGGAGCTCGGCATGCCCAAGCTGTTCTGCGACATGGACGTTCACCGGCGCGGCGGGTCGGTGCGCGTGGCGGCCAGCTGGCGCGGGGCCAAGTTCATCGATCTCGCCGTGACCGACCTCAGGGAAGATGACCCGGCCTCGGAGGCGGGGACCATCGGCGGCGAGGACGACCACGGGATCCTGGTGTGGCGCTACATCCCCGCGGTTGGCCAGCCCGGGGTGGCGGATGCCGAGTACGCCGTGGTGGTGCCACACGCCGCTGAGGAGCCCAAGGCGACGGTCAAGCAGGTCCGGCGGGCGCCGCTCGCGGGACACGGCAGGAAGGCCGGGGCCAAGATCGAGATGGACGGGCTGGACTGGGAGGCTCTGCCTACGCTCCACCACGTGGCGGCAGCGCTTGCCAGGGTTCCCATCTACGAGATCGTTGGCGCGAAGGTGGTTGAGGGAACGGGAGTGCCGGATGTGAGTGCTGCCAGGAGGATTGAGTGAGTGGGAAGGCCGTCCACGGGTATCTGGGGTTGATTATAATGGATTGAGCCAGTAATCCGGAACCTTGGAGGGTAATGGACTTGAAGTTGGCGTACATGTGTAGCGGGCGTGTGTTGAGCATGGAGATAGCAGTATCAGACAAGACAGATGATCACATCAATGATACGACAGACACTCTCGTAACCATTTGGCGTGATGTGAAGGTTAAACATATCGTCCTTGACCGGTCACGGGCAACCGAACAGTACTAAATCATACAATAGGGAGCATGATAACGGCTAAAGCTACCCCTACCTAGCTTTCACGAATTTCACCACTCCCCTCGGGTGTGGTTTCGTTTTAATCCCCATATATATAAAATATATGTGGCGCCTTCATATAGTGGTAAACGCTCAAGACCCAGCGTTTGAAGAAATACAGTGTCAATAACAGTGGAAAGAGAATACAGTACGTGGTACCAACCCCCTCGGTAGATCTAGTGCCCACTTAGAAATAAAATGGCCCGGGGGGCGCTCGATCCCGACGAGGAGTAGTCCTGGGTCCGCCCTGTATCGGCCCCGCGCTGCACCCACTCAGGCTTCCCCGCCTCCACCTTCCCGACGACGACGAGCCATGGTGATCGGAAACTGGGTGGGAAAAGGGGGCTTAGTCGGCTGCGTACGAGATCTAAAGACCGAAATTATGTGAGGGGCAGGACGTTTCTCCCTCGGGAGTCCAGGGGCTCTCTATTCCCGCCGAAGGACAAAGGGTCGTGTTTGTTCGTTCCAATGTCCTTAGTGTTGATCGAGCACCGACTGGCCTAACCGACAAGTCTGCCTCGACTTATTACAACTTGCCCCCAAAACAAAGCCAGAGCTCTCCTCTATCAGCCTGCAGACATCACTGGACATTAGATTAGAAGGAGAGCAGCTTTCTCAAGTGCTGCGCTGTGGAACCAGTGTCCACCTTCAGCTACCTAGGTACTGGGTCTTCTGGCCAGTATATACACTTACATTGCCATTGGAGCCATATCAATACTAGCTAAGCATTTCTCAAAATGGCTGAATCCAGCAAGAGCCCTTCGACCCTCCCAAACCCGAATCGGTTCATCACCGACCACAATGAGCAGGGCCTCGCCGTGTTCAACACGTCGCTCGCGGAGCCCATCCCGGCCCAGGTCATCAACAACGGCGACACTTTCTACCTGGGCTACACCACCTCGGGCACTCCCGTCGACTTCAATAACAACGCGGACGTGGACGCCTATGCCAAGCACCTGGCCGACCCGCCCGGGATCGTGGTTCCCGGCGGGTCGGTGCTGCGGATCGTGGACCTGCGGCCCGGCGGCGAGAGCCCCATGCACAGGACCGTGAGCCTCGACTACGGCGTGGTGCTGGAGGGCGAGATCGACCTGGTGCTGGACTCGGGCGAAGTGAGGGCCATGAAGAGGGGCGACGTGAGCATCCAGCGGGGCACCAACCACCTGTGGAGGAACAGGAGCAAGACCGAGTGGGGAAGGATGCTCTACGTCCTGCAGGACTCCAAGCCCGTCTCCGTCGGGGGCAAGAAGCTGGGCGAGGACTACGGTGTCGGCATGGCGGGCGTCAAGCCGTCTGGGAATTAGGACGGTACGGGCTGGTTTAGGGACACTGCCGGGCGCCTGGCTCAAGCCAAACACCAGTTCAACAGAGCTCTATCTCAAAATAGATCTTTTGGACGTATTTGATCGTAACAACTTGAGTAATCACATAGAAATTGCCCGAAGCTACCTAGGTAGGTTTACAGGTGAATCGGCCCAGGTATTCCATCTACACTACTTGAGGGGGTCTTGAGCGCTTACCACCATATGATGGCGCCATGTATGTCCTCAGATGTATACGGAATAGAAGCAAAACCACATACTTACATAGATGTTTCACTTAGTTTTAGAGTTTATCCATATAAAATTAGTACTTGAAAGACAAACAAGCTACCTAGGAAAGCTTTCCTATGGTGTTTCTAAACTAACGGTCAGCCTAGTTCAGTCATTTCATTTTGTAAACTTTGGCGGCATACACTCAGATGGAAATGATTTGTAAACAATTCAGCTACTTGGATACTTATAAATATGGCCCCTTTCGTCGCAGTATGCCGGGTCGAGGCCTCTATCCAAGGAAACAAGTCTACATATAACGTGTCCGGCAACAATACCTTTCTTTCAAATCCTAGAAACTATCAACTAATAAAAGCGAGTGCGGCTGTCTGCTGTTACAATACAACTCTGCGTCCAAAAGAAAGTGGCATTGATATCTCATCTATAACAGATTCCGGTCAGCTGGTTAGCATTTATCCACATCTGAAATGGGTGGACATCGCATATCTGTCTCTGCATGGTGGTTGCCAATTTCAAGGCAAGGCTCAGGGCCGCTGTCGATTGTTCACACACAGGTTGAAGATGCTACGCTGGGCCTATTTCTATCATTGGTGGATCATAAAGAGGGAAGGACCTTACGATCTGCTCTATACCACAGTCCACCTTACCGTTTAAGAGAATGCTGGCCAAAGCAGGCTAGCCACGTAATTACCATTCTTCTTCTGAGGATCCCCCCGTCTTTCATGTTTTGGGGTGTTCTAGACTGCATCACTTCGGCATCCACAGCAAGTGGTTAACTAACACCTAACAGACGATCCAGGAACTCCATAGGGCAGGGGCTGTCTGGGGGGATGTAAAAGCCGTTAACATCGTCATTGACAAGGATAGTAATGCATGGGTTATTGATTTTTGAAGGTGGGTGTACTGAAGGTTGGGTAGATGAGGACAAGTCTGGGACAAAAGAAGGGGACTTGCAGGTGCTGACGAAGATACTGGAACAAATATCCACCACTGGGACCTCTGAAGAGGAAGCTATGATTTGTACGCTAAACGTCAGTGAGAGGGACTCAGGAGGCATGGGTTTATTGATTGGGAAACATTTGGAGGAGAGAGGCTTGTCTGCTTGTTGTACTCCGTACCGTAATGCCCTAGGGTAGAAGTGGGCAGCTCCACCTGGTCGCGGGAGCTAGAGATAAGCCGGGGCAGGCCCATCGATAAGCAACGACGGTGCTTGGCATGGTCTCGTGAGGCAAAGTCCAGGTCCACCACCACTCCATCTGAACGCCCGTGGGCCCCTCCTAACAGCACATCATGTCATACTGGTCTGTCTCGCGATAGAGATGATTCGCTGTAGCCTCGCCTCCCTCCCCGGAAGGCATGTTTGAGTTTCCACGAGTGTCCGTGTTCCTCAGATGGAAACCCCAGGTGAGTTGCCCCTCCGCCCCTGATGATGGGTCGAGGTGAATTCTAATCATGGCCGACCGTGTAGCTCTCGACATTCATGAGGCAGACCCCATCCCAGATCCTTCCCTTCGACTATATGACGACGGCTGCGCCCTTTATCATATACATTTTTCGTGCTTGTCATGCGAGTACGCCCAGTACACCTAGCACACCTTCTACCCGACCACGAGACCATTCTCTATTGTGACACACCACCCCTGGCGAGGGTTCGAGAAGCATAAATGTCGTCACCCGACTACTCCTCCGACTCGTCCTCGGGGCCCTCGAGCGACCACAGCAGTCCGTCTCGAGTGTGCCCCTACCGTAACGCCCGCTTCCACGACCAGGAATGCTCGAGATACTTCGACTGCCCAAGCCACCAGGTGGAGAGGGCGAGATCGGAGGCCGCAGCGCCTGACAACAACCACCTAGAAGATCGACAAGATGTGGACGAGGGGGATGCAAGCCATTCCAGCCGAATATCACCACAATCAAGCGAGGACGAGCCTGCGCGCGCTGGTTTAGAGGCAGACCCGGAGGCCGATAACGCAGGGCAAGATGTGATTGACCTGACTGTCTCGTCACCATCTGACAACCAGCCGAGCCCCGAAGAATCTCGTATTGCTGCTGTCTCGTCGTCAACAAACAATCAGTCGAACCCCGAAGAGTTCCAGTTTGGCGAGGCACAGGATTCGGATAATGAAAGAGGCGGAGCCGAATTACTTCAGCAGGGGGGAAGCCTGCGGGACCCTGTGGTGATCGATCTCACTGCGGACTCATCAGACGAGCCATCTCAGCCAGGGCCTTCCAGTTCAAATCAAAACCCTGAACGTGCACTGCCTACACTTCCACAGTCTGCATCCGCCTCGAGCATCATATCCCACCGATCCGCAGGCCCTGGGTCTCCGTCCTTTTCAAGGCGACCTGCCACGCCACCGTCACCACCACCAGCCTCCCGCAGGAGGACATCTTCAAATGCCTTCGCCGCCACTAGGGCCGTTCATCAGCCACAAAGACCACCAGAGTCTAGGAGACCTTCGGACTTGGTTCTTCCAAGGTGGCAGCCCGACGCCGAGGTTACATTTTGCCCCATCTGCCACACGCAATTCAGCATATTCATTAGGAAGCACCATTGCAGGTTAGTGCGCCGGCACGTCATGAACTTGCTTGTAGCTATACTGACTTTTGACAGGAAATGCGGGAGAGTAGTTTGCAACTCGTGCTCACCGCACCGCATTACTATTCCTTATCAATACATCGTTCATCCTCCCGGGACGCCACGCCCAGGAGCCCAAAGGCATTCGTCTTCTTTCCTGAGCGGCGAAGGAATGTACGCCGATTTCAGTAGCCTCGGCGGCGGTGAAAAGGTCAGGCTTTGCAACCCATGTGTACCTGATCCAAACACGAATCCACCAGACTCTCAGGAATCCCCGGGCTCCAGAAGGATCCATAGCAGATCACAGAGTGGCGCCTCGGGGGTGGCAACACACGGCCCAGGCCTAGCGCCACAGGGCCGTCCGACCTACTTCGCGACCCGAGTTGACGATCCGTACGGGAGGAATAGAAGCGTCACCATGGTTCGTAAAGGTCTCTAATAGCTGGGTGATTTGTGCTGACTCCTTGGTTGCAGTTGCCAGACGGCTCTCGACAAGCTTCGGGCAGTCGATCTTACCAATATCAGCCCACTCAAAGCAGGATTCTAAGCGGGACGCCTCCCACTCACTATCCCTACGCTCTGCCCTCAGCAAGCTCTTCCTACCGGGCTATGAGACACCGATCGATGATCGATGCTGGACAGTCTTCGTCCTCCATGGCAGCGGCTAGCAGGAGACCATTGCCGCCTGACCCGCCCCAAGTAGCAGAGGAGGACGAATGTCCCGTCTGCCATCGCGAGCTTCCTTCGCGAGACCTGGCGAATTTCGAGGCTCTAAGAGAGAGGCACATTAATATATGTATCTCGTCGCACAGTGCATATGGGACCCCCAGCGGCGAGGGCTCCAGCATGGCACCCAGGAGGACAGGTATGTTTCCATATGTCGCCACAGAGAAGGACTGTGTAGACAGTGCGGAATGCACAATCTGCCTGGAAGAATTCGAGGTCGGTGACCCCATGGCAAGACTCGAGTGTTTTTGCCGGTTTCACAAGGACTGCATATCGCGATGGTTTGCCAAAAACCCGGGCAGGTGTCCGGTACACCAACACGCCATCCCCTAAGATAATCCAATCGGGGGTGCTCATGAGCCGTGGTCGACGCTCACGGGAGGGTGAGAAGTGTATGGCGAGGGAGTGCGGCTGGTGGACGCTTTCTAGGACCCACGCATCTGACCGAGTCTTTCTGCTTGCTCCATTTAGAATCTGGGTCATTGAGAGCGCTGCATGGCGTTAGGGGCTAGTGTTGATTTCCTTTTTGGTCCGTCTCCCTTGTTTTATTTTCTTTCTCCACGCACATGTTGTCTTTTCAGGGCAAGGTGCTTGCCTCTCCTCCGGAATTGAATTCCTCGCCCAGACATCAGCTCAACTCGAAGGTTTTCATAAACAGCATGGAATTAGACTTGGCGGGTTGCCAGAGAAGCCCTGCCCACCCGCCAACAATCATCCGCTCGCTCTTTGGTCCAGATCTCAGATCGCGAAAGAAACAGGCTGCTGAATACTGAAAGCGTCGACCAATGTGCACATGTTTCTGTGGGTCTTGTCAGTGCCACCGTGTTGGCCCTGTCCGTTTCCTATGCCCTGCTAAGAAGGTCCGAGCATCTCCACAATAGTACACACCCCAGTTGCTGAGGGGGCATGCTCGACGGCGGACCACGTGCTCTTCGTCTTGCATTGACAGAGACCAGAAGAGTAGAGGCATAGAGGCTTCCTTGTCAGGTCCGAGCTTCATTATTACGTACAGAAACTGTTGTCACCTGGCCATATTTGTAACAGAGACAGGCTTCCCCAGTGCATCCCGCCGCGGCTACCGACGGCTGTGGGGCAGATGGCGCCTTGCGTAGGGAGTACAAACAGGCATGCGAACCCACTCTTATCGTGCCGGGGCATCCTTATCGGGTTGACTTACACCGGAACGGCGTGGCTTGCCTCCATTCTTTGAATTCCAGGGCAGGACACATCACAACAACACAGACACAGCATATGGATTGAATCTTTACCAATTGGAATTCGTCTTGGCTGGAGTCACACCCAAATATTTCCACCAGGTCTTCAGTACAACCCAATTACACCCTCAAAGTCGTATCGAATTATGAACAGAGGAACCACGCTCCGCGGCTTGCTCACCCCGAGATCGGTTCCCGCACCAGGCTGTCACAGTCGCATCAGTCATGTCTATACCGCACGCCGTTTGATGCATGGCTCCTCCAAGAGGCCTCACGAAGTCCTGGGCACCGCTGCCAAACAGCCAGATGCGGAGCCCTTCGCAGTGCAGAAACCTAACCAAAGGGTGACTGTTAATGATATCAAGGAGCGAAGAGCCAGGGCTGGCAAACTGGTAGCGGGCGTCGCGGCATACTGCGATAGTGATATGTTCAAGGCTCCCGTAAGTTCTCTAGGGCCACTCAGAATCCCTCAATGAGCATGACTAAAGGATATCTCCAGTCCGTCGGTAAGCCACAGGCCAAGAGATGGGATCGTACGTATTGTTCCCAGCCTTTTCTCGAAAACGTGCCCTTTTTGTACTGATGTGGCACAGATCACCTAACGAAAGAGTCACTCTCGCGCCGCCCATGCATGCTCAAGCAAGCGGCAAAATACCTCAAGAAGCCCGGGCTGATCTCGCTCGGCGGCGGGCTTCCTAGCCCTGAGCACTTTCCGTTCGAGTCTCTGAGCATGAAGGTGCCAACTCCGCCGGGATTCAGCGAGGAAGCCACCAAGTCGTCAGGCGTGACTGTGACTATCGGCAAACACGACGCCAGGGACAACCCGGATTCGGAGTATGACCTCAGCATCGGACTGAATTACGGTCAGGCAACGGGGTCCGCTCAGATGGTCCGCTGGGTGACGGAACACACGGAGCTGGTGTTCAACCCACCCTATGCAGACTGGCGATCTTGCCTGACCGTCGGGAGTACGGGGGCCCTGGAGCAGTCGCTGCGGATGTTCTGCGACAGGGAGAGGGGAGACTCGATAATGATGGACGAGTTTGCCTTCTCTACCGCGCTTGAGACTGCGGAGCCACTGGGTATCAAGGTTGTCGGAGTCGCGATCGATGACGAGGGCATGATACCTGAGTCGATGGACAAGATGCTGTCGAAGTGGGACCCGAAAGAAAGGGGCGGTGCCAGGAAGCCACATGTCGTGTACACGGTCCCGTCGGGGGGGAACCCCACGGGCGCGACCATGGGCGCGCAGAGGAGGCGCGAAATCTACGCCGTGTGTCAGAAGCACGACGTCTTCATCCTCGAGGACGAGCCGTACTACTACCTGCAGATGGAACCATATAACCGCGGGGGAAAGTCGGCCGCCGCCGCGGCCCCGGAGACTGTCGAGGGCTTCCTCGACTCGTTGATCCCCTCCCTCCTCAGCATGGACACGGACGGGCGCGTCCTGCGCATGGATTCGTTCTCAAAGGTCGTGATCCCGGGATCGCGGCTGGGCTGGGTGACCGGCTCCGAGCAGATCATTGAGAGATATATCCGGCACTCGGAGGTGGCCAGCCAAGGGCCCGCCGGTCTCTCGCAGGTCGTCCTGCACAAGCTATTGGACGAGCACTGGGGCCACGAGGGGTACCTCCGTTGGTTGATGAACCTGCGGCTCGAGTACACCCAGAAGAGGGACAACCTCCTGAGGGCCTGCGAGGAGCACCTGCCGGCTGAGATCATCAGCTTCAGCCCACCGGCTGCCGGCATGTTTGTGAGTCAGAATTTCTTCATGTCAAAGCTCTTGTGTGAGTACTTTTTGCTGACGGCTGATACACCCCCCATAAGCAATGGTTCCGTATCAACTACGAGCTCCACCCGGACGCTGGGAAGCGCAGCATACCCGCGATAGAGGAGGAAATCTTCAACTCGTGCATTGACAAGGGCGTACTGGTCGCGAGAGGCAGCTGGTTCACCGCGGAGCACGACAAGCCGCCCAAGGACCTCTTCTTCAGGGCAACCTTTGCGACTGCCTCGGCCGAGAACATGAACGAGGCGATCCGCAGGTTTGGCGAAGCCGTCAGGGCGAGCTATCGTATGTGAGCACCAGCTGTGTGTGCAATTGTCAGCCGGAAACACAGGTTTTCACCACGAGGGCATGGTCCTGATGTCGCTCCGAAGCTTAGGAAGGCCGGATGGAGTAGGATTCACTTGGCGTAAGCGGGTCGGACAGAATCTATATAGCCTTGCATTTTCATAGCCTGGATTCGGTCTGCCCATAATTGACGGGTAGGATTTTGATCAGTGCAAGAAAATTCGCTGCCTAGGCGACGACTGCTGACCTCCAGCCACGGTGTCCTACCAGATATCACATGCATTATTACCGCAACACTGCCACATTCAAAGGACTTGAACAATATGAAGACGGAGCCCCTGTGGCGTACCTAGGTCCGGCCAGTTATGCCTAAGTATGATAGGAGGTTGTCCCACAGGATGTTACCTTGTGTCTGAAACAGCATCCATCACTTCACCAACAAGTGCCGGGAAGCATGGCTGTGTTTTCTACTTAAGTAGGTAGGTGTGTTTCACACTTGATTTATATATTCTTTAAGAGCTGATGTACATACACCGCATCGACGAATACGTTTGCACCGTTGCAGGCATCACTTCTCCACCCGGTACATGCCCAAGGGCCCATGCGAGTGGTTGCCAGCAATTTTGCCCCTGGGTTCTAGTAGTAGGACGCGGTGTAGTAATATGCTCGAGCCCAGCCTTCTTCGGGTAAGTCCCCGCGGCCCAGGTTTCCAACCGTTCAGCCGTTCAGGCCGTTTTACGACACAGCGTGTCTCATTCGCTGTCTTTCCTCTTGGAGAAGATGTCGGGTCTACCCGCTTCCGCACCCAACGTTGCCTTGACCACCAGTGTAGTAGTCGAATTAAGTGGCGTTCGGGCATCGGGGGGTTTCCACTGTCCGGCTGACCATCACGAAACAGGCGGTCGATGCACGTACTCGCTTTATCACCGTATAGCTCGTATTGGCCTGCGGCAGTTTGAGAACCGCGGTCCCAGCACAACGATTATCTTGGCAATGACGGCCTCACACACTGACTAATTTCTTCCTCCGAGACAGGCTGGCCTGACCTTTCTATGTAAGACTCCCAGGAGGAATAACCAATAATCTCGCAGTAAGCCCGTACTTCCTCTCACTTGGGCTTATTACCCATTCCGATAGTAATCCCTGCAGCTGTGCGCCCTTTTCGGCTCCTGCCAGTGGGGCGTGCAGGGCTCCGACCGCACGTCGTTTGTTTATGTGCCTGTTGGCAGCCTAAGTACGGCTTTGTGTCGTTCAAAGTTCTCAACTTTGCTTCTCATATCTCTCTTAAACAATCATTATCCGGGGAATTATATGCCGGGAAGAAATAAAAACATTCCAGCGTCTTGCGTGTGGCCAGCACCTCGTACTGGGTCTGCTAGACAGGTGCACATGTGACTTGGACGAAACCAAGTACCTATCCAGCGGAGGACGAGTTCATCCTATGGAAGATTGACGCATGACATTGCGATTTGACAAGCTTGCCTAGTGCTCGAACAGATCAAGTGGGAGTGGTCCCAAAAGATAAGCCATGTCTGCCAAAGATGGCATCGATGTGGCCGCCGACAGCACGGCCGTCCAGCAGCAAGCCTCCGAAGGCGAAACCACCAAGCAAGCAGCCCAGAAGGAGAGACAAGCAGTATGGGGTGACTACTTTCGCGTTTTCACGTACGCGAAGAAATGGGATTTTGTCCTGATGGTCGGTGCCGCAGTGGCTTCGTTGGGAGGCGGTGTTGTAAGTCCAGTACCGCAAGTTCCCTACTGACCCTTGAAACTGACGGTTCCGGCAGACTACTCCTCTCATGAACGTGATTTTCGGCCGACTTGTTGGTAACTTCACATCGTTTGGCACACCGGGATCAAGCAACACTCGGGTGAGTCTTTCTACCTCGTCCCTACGCAACCCAGACTCCGCAGGGCCTAACAAGACTTTGTCAAGGCCCAATTCGAGCGAACGCTCAACTACCAATGTCTCCTGATGTTCGTTCTCTTCATCGTCCGCTTCACCCTCAACTACATCTCCAAGTTCTGTTTCCGCCTGATCGGTCTCCGCATCTCTGCGGCCATCCGGCTCCATTACCTCTCGTGCCTTCTGTCTCAGACTGTCCACGTCCTCGACTCGATGCCGCCAGGGGCGGCGGCTGGTACCATAACTAGCACGGCCAATGTCCTTCAGATCGGGATATCCGAGAAGCTGGGCACGTTTTTGGAATTCGCATCTTGCATCGGTATGTCAAGCGAATCCGCGGCTCCTTGTCCCCCTGACATGCCCTTCAGGTCAGGCTTCCCGGGCGTACTGACTGCCCTGATGCTCTACAGCTATCTAGATAGCAACTGACCTGTTCTTCCCAATAGTTGCCTCGATTGTTGTGGCCTTCACCTTCTCGTGGCAAGTCACGCTCGTGACGTCCAGTGTGGTTCTCTTCATCGGCATATCCGTTGGCATCTTGCTGCCCTTCATCATCAAGGGAACCACCCGCTCGACTGATGCCGAGACGAAAGCCGGGGCTGTTGCGACTGAGGCCTTCTCGGGCATAAGAATGGTCTATGCCTGTGGAGCTCAAAACAAGATGGGAGATAAATACAGCTCCTGGGTCGTCGAAGCCAAAAAGGCCGGCATGTACACGTCACCTTTCGTTGGCCTGAACTTCGCATTAGTGTTCTTCGGGCTCTATAGCGCGTTTGCTCTGTGTAAGTGCATATCGGCTTCAGAATTCTCTCCACATTCCGAATTCACTAACACAACGGCGGTAGGCTTCTGGTACGGAACCAGGGCTGTCGTTGAAGGGGTCGTGGATGGCATTGGCTCCATTGTGATTGTCTTATTCTCGGTCTTCCTCATGGCAATTTCACTCGAGAGAATGTCAGGGCCCTTGATCGCAGCCAGCAAGGCCACTGTGGCTGCCGCAACCTTCTTCGCCGTCATCGACGCACCGAAGCCGGAACGGGGCACTTTGAAAGACCCGGATGTGTCTGCTGATGGGGATATCGTTTTCGAAGGAGTCACTTTCGCTTATCCTGGAAGGCCTAACACCAAGGTCCTGGACGACCTCAACCTCACCATTGAGGCCGGCAAGGTAACTGCCATTGTCGGGCCTTCGGGGAGCGGCAAGAGCACAGTCGTTGCTTTGGTAGAGCGCTGGTACACTTTACATTCACAGGCAACAATCAGTAAAGCGATCGAGAAAAAGGCCGAGAAGAAGAACAAGAAAGCACCTGAAAAGAAGCCGAAAGAAAAGAAATTCTTCTTGTCTCGATCAAAAGCCAAGGACAGTGAGACTGATACCAGAAACCAGCAAGACCCCGAGGCGGCGAAAGACACAGCCATAACGATAACTCCGGATGAGCAGGGCTCGAGCGAACCAGTACCACTGAGCGGAAAAGTCGTCACCGCAGGGCATAATTTGGACGAGATCGACGTCAAGTGGTGGCGATCGCAGATTGGCCTGGTCCAACAGGAACCCTTCCTTTTCAACGACAGTATCTACGCCAATGTCATGCATGGACTAGTCGGGACACAGTGGGAGAATGAGCCATTGGAGGCCAAGAAGGAGCTGGCAAGAGACGCATGCAAGGAGGCCTTTGCAGATGAGTTCATCGACAGGCTACCAGATGGTTATGAGACCCAAGTAGGCGACGCCGGCCTCAAGCTGTCCGGTGGGCAACGCCAACGGCTTGCGATTGCTCGCAGTATCATCAAAAAGCCCAAGATCCTTATCCTGGACGAGGCGACCTCGGCAATCGACGTCCGAAGCGAGAAGATCATCCAGGCCGCCCTCGACAGAGTGTCAAAGGGGCGTACCACGATCACGATAGCGCACAGGCTCTCCACCATCGCCAAAGCCGACAAAATTGTGGTGATGCAGAAAGGAAAGCTAATGGAGCAGGGCACACACGAGACTCTGCTGAGTGATGAGGCTGGCGTCTACTCTGGTCTCGTCAGAGCACAGAGACTGACCCTTGGAAGGGAAGATGACGCAGAAGACAGTGACATCCTGGAGGAAAAAGAGGCCGAGGAGATCCAGGCCATCCTGAGTCGTGAGAAGTCGGCCTCCAAGGCCCTCGTCAGCGGAGGCGAGGCAGAACTCGAGACTGCTTGGAAAAATCGAGGCCTCACTGGCAGCTTTGGTCGACTCCTCTACGAACAGCGCAGCCGCTTCCCCTTCTATGTGCTTATACTCCTCGCAGCGGCCGGTATTGCCTCTGGCACCCCTATCCAGGCTTGGTAAGTGCACTCGATACGATAATTACTCGATCAGAAGAGGAGCTAAGTTTCTGTAGGCTCTTCGGCCAAGTAATTCAAATTTTCACGTTCATCTTCTCGCCATCCCGCTTCCTCCGCGAAGCCGAGTTCTGGTCGCTGATGTGGTTTGTCGTTGCTATCGGGCTGGGCTTCTGCTACCTGGTGCTGGGCATCGTCGCCGTAAATCTCCAGCACTTCATCTGTGCAGCATACCGCCAGCAGTACTTCTCCGCGATTATCCGGCAGAAGATGCTGTTCTTTGACGACGAGAACAACTCAGTGGGTACCCTCGCCTCAAGGGTTCAGGGCGACCCAAAACAACTCGAGGAGTTACTGGGAATGAACATGGGCATGGTCGTCAGCTCTGTGCTCCAGCTGTGCGGCTCCCTGACCATCGCGTTTGTGTTTGGGTGGAAATTGGCTCTAGTGGCAACATGCGTAACCGTTCCGATCGGTTTGGCCTGCGCTTGGTACAGATTCAAATACGAGATGGAGTTCGAAAAGTTGTCTGCTGAAGTAAGTCACCTTTGGGTACATTCCTTCCAGATTGTCTTCATACTAACATCTGCAAGGTCTTTTCTGAATCCAGCAAATGGGCCGCCGAAGCCATCGGTGCCTTCCGTTGTGTCTCTTCCTTGACATTAGAGGACGAGATTATCGACAGGTATCAAAAGCTCCTTGATGGGCACGTCATGTCCGCCTATCGCAAGGCTCGTTGGACGACACTCATCTTCGCCCTGTCTGACTCTCTAGCGCTCGCGTGTCAGGCCTTGATCTTCTGGTACGGCGGGCGACTGTTGGCCAGCGGCGAATACCAGGTCCTCGACTTCTTTGTATGTTTCATGGCCGTCACGCAGGGAGCAGAGCAAGCTGGTGTAGGCTTCTCTTTTGGCCCCAATGCCGCTCAGGCGAACGCTGCGGCAAACCGGATCCTGAGTATCAGGGAGAGTCGAGGGGAGAGAGCCAGCTTGGTTAGTGATACAGACGAGGGCCAAAAGGCCATTGAGGTCATCCCGGACAGTACAAATGGCATAAAGATAGAATTGCGGGATGTTGGGTTTCGCTATCCCACACGCCAAGTCCAGGTCTTCAAGCATCTCAACATCACGGTCGAGAAGGGCCAATTTGCGGCTCTTGTGGGTGCCTCGGGCGCTGGAAAATCGAGCACAGTGGCCCTCCTCGAGCGCTTTTACGATGCTCAACAGGGGAGTGTACTCTGTAATGGGAGAGACATCAAATCAGTGGATGTGCATGAGTATAGGAAGCACATTTCCCTGGTAGCCCAGGAGGCATCGTTGTTCCAAGGTATGGTTTCATACGTGGACTACATACATACAGGATGTTACTGACATTGTTGAGGCACCATTCGCGAGAACATTTTAATGGGGGTTGATGCGTCGGAGATCAGCGACGCCCAACTACACCAAGCATGTCAAGATGCTGCAATCCACGACTTTATCATCTCCTTACCTGAAGGCTGTATGTACAAGCTTCAATATTTCCACCAAGGCCTTTCTGATCATTGTGTGCTGACACTCTGCAGACGACACGGATGTTGGCTCGCGTGGTGTTGCGCTGTCAGGTGGTCAGAAGCAACGCGTCAGCATCGCGGTAGGTGATCCGTACAGAATCCAAGTAAACAGCAACTCCTTGTCTGGTACTGACTTCATCCTCAGAGAGCCATTATCCGGGATCCAAAAGTTCTCCTGCTCGACGAGGCAACGTCTAGTTTGGACTCGGAGAGCGAGAGGCAAATATCCGCTGCTCTCCAGAAAGTAGCCATAGGGCGAACAACTGTTGCAGTGGCCCATCGACTATCTACTATCCAGCACGCAGACGTGATCTACGTTCTTGGGGAAGGGAAGGTACTAGAAGTTGGGACTCATGCTGTAAGCAGCTCTCGGACACAGTCTTCTTACTGTCAAAAACGAATTACTTCTATCTTTATCATCTCCCTTCAGGGTTTTATCAGGCCAGTTCTGTTCAGACTGTGGCTACAAACTGTCTTAACGCCCCAACGCCTGCATTGTCAATCACTTTTTGGTGGTTTGATAGCTGACTCTGGATATATAGGAATTGTTGAAGCAAAAGGGAGTGTATTATACGATGGTTAGTTCACAGGTACTCATGACATATTTTGGACTGTGGCTAATGTGACTTGTGTTTCAGTGCCAAAGTCAAGCTCTTGACCGGTAAAGATTGTAGATATCGGGTGGGTTCCAAGGTTATAAAAAAACAAATGGAAGGTGTTTAACTGGCCGGCGTTAAGAACGAATCAGCTATCTCTGCTCCCAAGGGCAACTCTAATCTCAATACCCAGACTTTACTGCAAAGAAGATACTCAAGTTCTGCGTGAATAAGTCCCTTTTAGTGAACGTCAAATTTCCATAATGTGCATCGTTTCAATTCTAGCAACAGAATTGCTGCTCAGGATCGCCTTGTCTCCAATGACAGAAAACAACGGCAGAGAGGAGTTGTTTTGGCCCAGCCGAGGCTGTCTTCAGATGAGCCAGCTCAGCCGTTGTGGATGTGCTACAAAGACAAAAACAGCCCCTAAGGGTTCTTCCCGAGCCCAGTTACTCCAGGTAACAGGGAAATTTCGTCTGCGCTATACTCGAAAGTCAGAGCGAGGACGGTTCTGGTTTGCTAGAATATCGGCTCCAGATCCTACAGTCACAGCTGGAGACTTCCCTCTCATGTCACCTCTTGTGAGCTTTCCTCCACCGCATTGTGAACTGGGAAACCCTTCTTTGAAACACTGGAGATGCTATGAGAGTGACTGTGCTGTAAAGTACACTAGCTTCTAAAATTGATGGAGCGAGGTGGCCTTCAACAAGGACATAATTGGCACAGGAGTATGTGCATAGCACAAAGTAACTTCGCTCAACTTTGCTGACACCGTTGCGTACTTAGATACTAGGGTTTTTGCTGCTGCCTGGGTCGCCGAGGGTTGTTGACATCGTTGTCATCATCTCCTTCTTCCTCCTACAATATGCTGCAGATAAAGATACTCACTAGAACATTGTCGATAAGGACATACTTCCAAGTTTAGCTTTACGCATAGACTCAACTGCAAGATTGTGCCCCTAGGTAAGTCTGATGCTCGCTCAAAATATATTGTATTCTATAAAGAAGGTGGAAGTCTTCCCACTCTGAATTAAACGGCTGGATCTATATGAGTAAGTTAGTAGACCGGTCTACACATAACCCCACTAATATATATAAGGATTTTAGATACCCTTAAAATTATTATTTAACTTTAAATTTAAATTCTTTAATAATTATAAATATTATTTTAAAACTAATAATAATATTTAAATTTTTGTAACTTTAATTATAATATAATATAATTTTATAACTTTATTTTTATTACTTATTCTACTTTTATCTTCTAACTCTACCTTAACTTTTATAAAATATTCTATTAATACTTCTTTTTCTAATTATTATTATATTAATAAATATTTTATTTAAATTAAAAATAACTTTTATTATTTTTAAGTCTTTTAGTAATTTAAAATATTAATAAAACTTTCTTTTACCTTTAATAATAATTATATATATAATTAATTTATTAAGTTTTTATTAAATTTTATAAAAAAGTTAGGCTATAAATAACTTAAAGGTTTATCTTAATTTATATAATTTAAACTTAATCTTATATATTTAATAAAATAAATAAAATATTTTTAAATTTATTAAAGTTAATTATTTATTAATAAAATAAGTTTCCTTTTAAATAATATTAAAAGTAATAATATTATTATTCCTTTATACTAACTTTAAGTTAAAACTTTATTTTAATTTTTAAATTAAATTTTAATATTTAATTAACCCCTTTTAATATATATAATTATAAAGATATTTTTATACTTTATAATAAATATATAAAAGAATTCTTTATAGAAATTCTTTATATTATATATTATAATAAATTAATTTAATTTTTAATAATATTAGTATTTTAAATATAAAAATACTTTTATATTAAGTAATTAAAGTATATAAAAGTATATATTAGAAGAAAATAAACTATATTTAATATAAAAGTATTTTTATATAAAGTCTTTAATTATATAAGACTTATAATTATTAAGGATTAATATTTATTATTACTTAAAATTATTAAAATAAATAAAGAGTTTATATATTATCTTTAACTATTATAAACTAATATTATTATTAATTTAATTTATATTTAATATTATAAAGTTCTAATCTTTAAATTAATTAAAATCCTTTTAAAGAAACTACTACTATTAAATTATTTTACTATAAAAATAATTAGAAATAAAATTAATTTTCTATCCTTTATATAATATTTAATTATAATAAATTAAATATAATTAATAATTAACTTTTTAATAATAGACTTATTTTTAAAGATTTAATTATTAAATAATTATTATTATTACTTTTTAAAAGTTAATTTTATTTATATTATTTTAAAATTAATAAGGATATTAATAATTTTTAATATCTTTAATTAATTAAAAACTCTTTATATATTTAAGTATAATATTATTTATATATTTAAAGTTAACTTATATAGCTTTAAGAGTTTTTATTTTAAAATTTCTTTTAAAACTTATATATTTAATACCTTTTAATAGAAATAAAAGGGTATTAAGTAGTTAATTATTATTAATAATTTAATAAATAAAATATTAAAGGAGTTTATATATAAATAAATAAAAATATAACCTTAAATAAAGGTTTAATTAATTAAAATATATTTTATACTAATAATAACTTTTAATAAATAAAATTAATATTTTTATAAATTAAAAATCTATTATATCGTATTAATATAAATATTAAGAGATATAGTATATTTTATATACTTTATTCTTATTAATATTAATCTAATAATTAATTATAATAATTAAAAATTAAGCTTTAATAAAGAGAGATATACTCTTAAGTATAGAAGAAAGAGAGAAGTTAAATAGTATATTTTTTATATTTATATAATTTAAAATACCCTTACTAGATAGGTATATATCTAAGTGACTCTAATTATAAGGATGTAGATAACTTATATATGTTGGTAGGGTTGTGTGCAGACCGGTCTATTGACTTATATGATGGTTATCTTGTTGATTAAGTCACCTACTGTCTTAAGATGCCACATACATTTTATATGTATGGGGATTAAAAACGAAACCACTTGTTGATCAAGTCAATTCACTCAAAGCACTGAGCAATCGAAAAGCATACACAGGCATCGGCATTGTCATTAGCAGCTTCGCCTTATTATATCCCTGGGACAACCAACGCGGTGGGCTCCCGAGATCCCCGCTTGTCACTGACTATTCTTGGTCAACCTTATCTGGTTGTCAATAATGTCCTACATGAGGAAAGGGAGTGTACACAGGAAACATACTAAAAACCCCGCTGCCAGTTGGTCTTGAATAAGAACAATTAGACTTCAAGAGCGCTTGTATCAAGGAAGTCTCTATTTCGTGATCTGCTAGGCCCAAGTCTAGTCCACAGTGATTACACCGTTTATAAATGTCTATACTGATTAGGCAAACACCCTCACGTCTTGACCCAAGAATCCGCAACACCCTCATCCCATCCCCAAAACCTCCATATCCTTTCCAGTGTCTGATCCGGATGAGACATGGGAAAGTCATGACCTCCGGGCACAGGTTCAGCCCAGAAAACATTCTCATCCCCGCCTACCAGAGGCAGCACGTCTTCCCTATAATCCTCATCATTGACTATCTCATCTCCCACTCCGAAGATAAAACATGTCGTCCTGGGCTCCCTCCTCGCGATCTTCCTCCACGCACCATGCTGGCCGATCATCGGTGCATATCTCAACGTGCTCATGAACGCCGGCACGAAGCCCGCGTGGTTCCTGACCTGCCAGTTGACGTACTTGAGAACCTTGCGCTGCAGAGGGCCCGGCGCCTCAGAGACGGCAGCGTCGGCGATCTCGCTCGTCACGGTTGCCTCGATGGCCTGGTCGCCTGGCAGTTGCGTCTTGGGCATAGACGCGCCGCTCGGCCCGCCCTTCGGCTTCCTCTTTGCACTCTCGGCGATGGGCTTCTTCAACCTCCACCTCGTCATGATTTCCACCAAGCCGTCGGGCACCCACCCGCTCCTGAAGATGATCTTGGCGACGGCGCCGAAGTTGTCCTCCCGGATCATCCCGGCCGGTGCGAGGAGGATGAGCGACTTGACCATGCCGGGAAACGCCGCTGCCAGGTGTATAGAGATTCCTCCTCCCAGCGAGTAGCCCACGAGGTGGAATCCATCATCCTCTCCCTGGCCCGTCCACGCAAGCTCGCTCGAGGCTAGTACGCACAGGGCCTGGCTGACGTAGAGTCGCTCGTCGTGGGGCAGGTCGCCAACGCCGTCTGAGTAGCCCCTACCAAACAGATCAAACAGTAGGACCCTGCACCCACGCTCGGCCAGCCCGTGTGCGATGTGCGTGAGAGTCACTGCCGAGTTTCGAGGTCAGCTGTCAAAGCATAGACTAGGTCTCACATTCGAATGATCTCGGAGGGATGGATGATGTATAACATGCCCCAAGGGATAAGTGAGATCAAGGGGTCCTAGGAACTACTCACTGCACGACGTAGATATGCCATGTATCAGGAGGACCTTCCTCCCAGAGGCTGGACCAAACTCATCTAATCAGGTCAGTATATCGTTTCAGCTACCTGAACATAGGGTTTACAGATGCTTGAACGTACAACACCTAACCGACCCGTACGGGGTCGGGACATCGCGCGCCCCGGGAAAGTAGTCTGGCGGATATAGAAGATCCGACTTCTGCTCAGGGGATAGGCTCGATATATGAGAGTGGAGCGGGCCCCGGAGCACCGCGGGACGTCTTGGGTGGACGACGCGGTTCAGGATGGCGTACAGTGAGGCTGTCGTGACTGCCGTGGTGAACACCAGAATGCTCGTTTCGGGGGCCGGGAGGGCCGTCTGAATGGCCCTCTGTATGAAGTCCATCTTGAGTTGTAGTCCGTGTTGGGCGATGACACGGAGAGCCCGGGTCCTGGGCGGACGGATATAGAAAGATGCTCCCTGGGGTCCGCCCTTGGTCTGGGCTGAACGGGCTTGGCTCAGCTCTGTTTACGATTATTAGGACAAGGAAGGCCGCCTCCCGCCAAAGAGCAGAAACGTTCACCAGAGAGGGTTTGGTAGAGGTTATTTCACACGAACAGCTGGACAAAAGGGAAACATAAGCATGCATCAAGGTGAGATCAAGGCAGCAGTGACGACGGTGGCGGTGCCTGTGTTGGGATTTGAGTTCACAGCCAGCTGATGTCAGGGGTACGGGGTACACGTGGGCTCCAGTAGCGGCACTCCTCCAGGCCATGTGGCCGCACCTGAGCACCCGCTTCCCGCTGAGAGTACCCAGGTACCCAGGTACCCGCCCACCTGTGCCTGACCACCTGCACTTTCTACAAGACAACTCCCTACAGTCTGACGAGTGATAAGATAGCACGTGCTGTCATTAACTTCCAAGGTTATTACCATAACACGATACCAAAATCCAAGTATGTACAGGAAGGTATAAGGTCCCCGAGCATGTCTTTGTTCATGCTGTCAAGTACTCGTCAGAGTAAGTCAACCGCTCCAGTGCCCTGAAGATACTGATGGCAAGTTGAACGAGGACGTCCACCAAGGCCTCCAAAGTGCTGAGCGCGATAACCCCCACCGGCTGCTCTTCAACCCCCGAAGGCTCCTCATCCTAGGCGGCCGGGTACTCGCAGCCGGTCGCGTTCGGGTACTGAAGGCACCACTCCATCTGGATCGGGCTCGCTCTGATCCCCCTGCTCACCAGGCGCTCCCTCTGCGCGTTCAGCCTCGGTGCCGCCGTGACCTGCGAGCGGTTCTGCCCGCCCGCGTCGGTCCGTCCCGACCAGAGGACCTCCCCGGCGGCGCCGGCCCTAGGCCACACGAGCGTGTCCAGGTTGTTGCTGTCGATGGTCTCGGACCAGACGGCCACCTCGCCGCCCAGGACGAGCTTTGCCTCCGTCCCGTTCAGGCCCTCGGCCGGGTCGTGCGAGTAGACCAGCTCCCAGCTCTTCGTTGGGCCGCACCAGTCGTTAAAGGGCGTGAACTGGTCCCAGATCTCATTGCCGAAAGTGAGCCACTGGCCGCGGCCGCAGTCGAGGTACTGCATCACTTCGTGTTAATGTCGTCGCTACGTTCGCCATCAGCGTTTGCGGACGGGAGGACTCACCCAGAAGTTGTAGTTGCTGTCGATAACCTTGTGGCCTTTGGAGGCAATGTCAGCAACAGCACCGCCGCCCAGCCACGACTGCACTACCACGTCCTCTCCCAAGGTGACGTTCCACTCAGTCACAAGCTCCTCCCAAACCGTGGGGATCAGACCGGCATTGCGAACGCGGGTGTGCTGGTTGTCAACAAACGTCTGCAGCAGCGGCTGGAGCACCGCGCTGTCGTTGGTGTTCAGGCCGGGGTCGAATCTGGAGTCGTTGGCGTTCAGCTCATCTCCGCCGGTACCCCAGTACTTGGAGTACGGCGCGACACGCGGGAGAATGTCGTCAAACAGATTGCCGAGGAACTCTTCGACGTTGGAGTCGTTCAGACGGAAGGCGCCACAGGGAGGCTGCGCGCAGTAGAAGAAGTAGGGACGCGCATCGTAGGCCACGACGAGATCCGGGAAAGCCTCGCCCACAACACCAATGTGACCGGGCATGTCGATCTCGAAATATACCTCCACCCCTCGGGCAATGCCGTACTCCTGGATAGCCTTGATGTCATCAGGGGAGTACACTGATGACGGGTTGTAAGCACCCTTGGCGGTCAGCTCGGGAATGCTTGGGATCTCGAGGGGCCAAGACTGCGAGTCGGTGACGTGCACGTGGAGCTTGTTCAGCTTGTTGTACGAAAGACCGTCGATGGTACGCTTGATATCTGCCACGGGGAACCAGTGCCTCGCCGTGTCCAACATAAGTCCACGGTGCCCGTAGACCGGCGAATCCTCAATCTCGATTGGGGCGTTGACTAGATACCAGGCATCACCCGCGGAGTGTTCATAAAAGAGCTGGGTGAAAGTCTCCAAGCCGTGCAGGACGCCAAAGGTTGACTTGGAGGAGAGCTTTGCGATGCCATCCTCACCGATGCTCAGGCTGTAGCCCTCGTCGACGTCTGTGGTTGTGGGGTCAAAGGTAGAGTTGCCGGCGTCCAGGGTGATTTCCAGACAAGAAACGGGCGTGGCGGAAGTGTTGAGCGCGGGCTCATATTTCGAGAGCGAATTCCGTGGAACAAGCACCCATGGCACAAAGTTCTGGTTAAAAATGTTGTTCATGGCCCTGCTCACAGCGGCAGCTGTGATGTCAGCGCCGGTCAGGCTGGCGGGCTCATTGTTGGCCTCGAGGGTCAGCTGTGCATGGAAGGCATTCTTAGTATACAAATCATCTTGGGAGGATAAGGAGCTCTCTTGAGCAGGCCACCGTACAGATTCGCCGTTGTAAGTGACTTTAACGTCCTTGTTGATGAAGAGGGGTGTGGAGCCAGAATTGAAGGTGGGCTGGGGTATGGGCCACAATCCTCCCAGGCCCTGAGCGGTGACAAGGTCAAGGACCGCGAGGAAAGGTACAAGCAACCGCGAGGCCATCTTGGAGTCGAATCTGCAGTGGGGGCCCCCCTTCAAGAGTGCGTAAAAAGAGGACGTGGTGTGTCGAGTTGTTTCTGATGGAAAAAATAAAACAAAACAAAAAGCCAAATGAGCGGGTGGGCTTTTGAGATGCGGTGAGGAAGCCCGACCGGCAACAAACGGTGGTTTGGAGGGCAGCCAGTGAAGTATTTGGCTGTCGAAATGGTTTGTGGGCGGAGTGAGTGACTGGGCAGAGAAAACAAAAGCAAAGCCTCAGTACAGGAGGTAGGTGATGGTCTCGCGTGACAAGGTGACGGGGACGGGGTGAGAAGGCGAGGGAGTGAATCGCATTTATTTATTAGACTTTAAGATTGTACTTGGCGACCCCAGTCAGATGCAGGGCTGGGGGTGTTGTACAAGATCCTGGAAGCGGCGGGAGCATCAAGTGCAGTAGTGCCGATCAACGTTGGTTCGTCAAGGGTAGAAAGGGCCTCCTGGGCCTTTGGAGGGCGGACCTTGTTGGCAGGTGGGCCTCTTCCAAAGATAGGCCCCCTTTGAGCCCCTTCTGTCCTCCTGGCCCCCGAGTCTGCTGAGTGTTGACGGCTCAGGGTACGATGACGGGATGGCGGGATGGCGGGATGGCGGCGGGGCGTTCCTCTTCCTCTGGACACGCGCGCGCGAGACACGTCCTGGGGGGGATCGTGAGGTCAAGCTCCAGGGCGTCGTGAGGACAGGCGCAATGTTACGTTGCTTGAAGCATGCAGAGATGGTGTTATAGTCTAAGGTAGGCAGAGAGCAAGCAGGGCATAAGTGCCGGCCAAGAACTGTGGCTTCCCGGCGGAGAGCAAGGTGTGTGGGTGACTACCCAGTACACTAATACGCAGTTAGTCCATACCATAGAGGCCAACTGATGAGTGCACGTACTCCGTATGATAGCGCCCGTCCGTCTTCTGCAAGCCACCGGCTGGCAGGGGCTCGTTGGGAGCCGGGCAGGGGCCATTTTAGCAGGGGCTTCAAAGGAAGCAGGAAGTACACAGTAAGCAAAGCTTGTCCGGGAAACAAATAAAAACGAGTCAAAGAACCAGGAACCCTCTGCCCGTGCTGCCGTGTTCGGATCCAGAGTGCGGACTGTGACCCACCAGCGTTGATCTCAACCTCAATCATCGACGAGAGGATGCGTAGGACGGTCCAGCAGAATGGAAATGGACGGGCTGACGGGGTGGATGAATGACATGGGATGGAGGGATGGCTCGGATGGCCCTTGGCTTGGGTTGCGGTTGTGGCACATAGCGGGGATCCAGCTGGGCGTCATGCGCGAACCCTCTGACCCTCAGCTCAAATCTGGTCGGCTCTGGAAATACGAGTGTGCCAGCAGCCACTGAAAGAGTTGAAACATGTTCAGCTGAAGGCAACGCTAGGCCGCAGCTGCGGGTGCTCAACGACCGTCGACCACTCACCTGTGCCCTGTCAGGTCAGGCCTGGGACAGGACCAGGGTGCCTAGCCTTCAGGGTCATGCCACCCAGGCAGCCAGGAACCTGTGCATCTGTGTGTAACGTCTGCTGAGATGGCCGCACATGCAACCACCAGAACACTTCAGATCCAGACGTCAAGATAGGCCTATCGCCATCGTCCTTTCAGATTGCAACCGCTCCTTCCTGGCCCTCTCCAACTCTGAAATGTGAACCCATCCTCCCAAGGCTGCAGAAGACGAACTTGAAGCGGTTGCTAATGCCCTCACCCTCTGCCATCCCACCACCTGTATATCCTCTAGTCCAGTTGGATGTTGCCAGGGAATGCGTGAACCTCACATGTTTCATACACTGAGTGTATGCATGAGTTTTGGTTTCCATAACGGTACATGTGCACGTGAGGCAACATGCAGATGGGGACGATCACATACAATATGATCGTAACACCGCCATACCGGTAAGAAGAGGTTGACTGCTGTAGCTCACCTACTTCTGGTTGTTGGGAGTTTGTTCTATATACTTTCTATCAAGGGGCCCCCTGGAAGGGCAATTTCCTGGGACAAAGTCCTAGAAGAGGCTGCCGTACGACTGGGAGGGACAGACGTCGTGGCCGCATTGTGGACTCCAAAACAGAGTTTATAGTTTTCTAGTACTTTCAAGAAGATAACATAGCATCTGGATCTTGCCCAAAAGTTACCTGAGCCCACATATGAGCGGCGTCGGTGGTCCGAGACAAATGTATTGCATGACCATACTGCTATAAGCGCTAAATGGTATCAAATACAGGGCCATTGAGCTTTTACCACTGTATGAAGGGATCTTCCCCTTCTGTATACGGGCATGTGCACGAATTGAAAACAAAACCGTTCATTGAAATGTTGAGTGTGATCAACTCAAGAACGGTGGACCTCTAACCCCCCCCCCCCACCAGATAAAGACGCTTCACCTCAAAGTCCTGTGTAAATATGCCACCAGGAAGACCATGAAGTCCATGGGTAATGTGCCAACTTTTCTGGGCTCTCAAGTATGTGGCATGAGAAAAGTATAGAGAGCCCGACAGAAGCTCCAGCACGGACAGCTGCGAGCTGGTACAAGCCCCTTGTGCCATGTACCACCAAGTGTCCATGTTCCTCGAGTTGCAAGCTGATGCTTCCCAGGGGGTCTATCTGGGAGTACATGGGTAGTCCATCATTAATGTAGTCAAATTTTGGGTGTCAAACCGAGCAGGACCAGCACACATGTCTCAATCATCCCCTAGCAGTCCCGACGATGGGAAGTAGGTCGGTAAAGAGATCATTTAAGATGTCTTCCATCACTTCTGGCGGTCATCATTTATTCCTGCACCTGCTTTCTTCAACCTGTGGGGCCCATTAAGCCTTTCTGATGTCCAATTAGCTTAGGCTATGGTATAACATGTAAGTGCTGGTACAAAATAATGCAACAAGTCAGAAGATGGCTATGATGGTATCACACTTATGTACTGCTTGGAGTCCCATGCCCTTCCACTTGGAGGTGTGCTCTTTTGATCAGGGTTTATAGTGGTGGGCAAGCAGTCACTGGATTCGTCTCAAAGGCAGCACATCTTCTGTTACCACATCAAGGCATGAACAGATCCTATTCACAGGAACAACCCTAAGGTAAAGCGCCTCTGTATGGCCGCCCCTGGATCGGAGTAGTTGTCAGTCTTGCTAATAAACCTAGACATGACTAATGTGTATTGTCTGGTCTGGACCAAAAATTTGCAAGTACACCTGTACACCTGGGCAGTTGGAAGCATCCCGTTCACCAGGAACCGAACACATTAGTAAGTGTTCGCCTAGCCTGGGCACGGACCAGGACAGAGGCAAGGCTGGCACGTCAGTCCGTCCGCTAGCGCGATGGGAGACTGACAACCAAGCAAACTTCACAGTCGAGTGCAAAACACCTGTGGCTTCACAACCTCCACTTTACAACACCCCTTGCCAAACCAGCAACCCGCGAAACTCACCGGACAGCCTTTCTTCTCAAGGCCCGGACTGGACCTGGCGACTTGTGTCTGGCCTCTGCTTTGACTTTGAGACAGAGCGAGCCAACAGCTCCACGAACTGCGACCGCACATCCCTCGGTCGCACTTGTCCCTCTCACCAATCCATTGTTGTCAAGGTCGTGCCGCGAGCCCCCTTGCCATCGACTACGAGTGCCTTCTTCCACCCGAGCCAGCCTTTGTCGCTGCTGGTTTCCAATCATTTTCTCTTCTTTGCCACAAGCCATACTTCCCGCCCCCGCCGTCTCTTGCCTTGCTTCGTCTCGCCTTCCACCTCAACCTCTACTTCGAAATCACCCACAATGCCTGTCTCAGTCCAACTGAACACGCCTCTGGCCGATGCCCTTAACTCTGCCATCCAGCCAAAGCTGGAACAGTATGGCTGGGCCACTGGCGGTGCCGACGATGCCGCCCTTACCGAATACATCATCCTCATGCTCGTCAACGGAAAGACACAAGAAGAGGTCACGAGAGAGCTGTCGACAGACCTCCTCGGCCTGGACCCCAACGATTCTGGACTTCTCGAATTTGCGAATTGGCTCTTCTCGACCATCGATGCCTTCTCAGCTCAGTTTGGCTCTGGCGACGCGCAAGGCTCGGCTGCGGCGGGAGCCGCCCCAGCGGCGTCGGGCGCCCCTGACGAAGACCAAGAGATGGACATGAGCACAACTGAAGGTGCCACGGAATTCAACGCGTATGTGATACCAAATATCTCGGGGAAAGCCAGCACAAGACTAACTCCTACTAGGCCTACAGGTCCAAAAGCCATGCGTAACGGTGCCGACAGAGGGCGCGGGAAGCGGCTTGTAGGACAACTGAACCGTGCGATGGACAGGACGCATGAGAACGTCCTCCACCGCGTGCGCGGCGCTACCGGGAACGAGAGGATCAACTCACATACCCGCACACCTCCGACGGGCCCACGCATGGGCACTGGACGACAGCCTCGAGGGCCGAATCAGCGTGCAGCCAACATTGCCCACGGCCTTGCAAACATGAACCCCATGGCCAACGGACCACCCGGCATGAATGGTGGGGGCATGGGGCCCATGAATGGCTGGGGGATGATGCCCGGCCAGCCCCCACAGTCGGATCTGTTGCAAATGATGGAAGTTCAGCAGCAGATGCTGAACCAGATGCAGCAACAGCTGATGATGCAACAAGGCGGTGCGGCAAATGGACAGGGCCGTGGAAAGTCGTTATTTGAGCGGACACAGCACCCCAACCAACGAGGCAACTTCCGAGGCCGCGGCGGCCACCACCAGAACGGTCGCAACCACACACATCAGTCAGAGACGTCCAGGCCAGACTCGGCTGAGCAGGGCGAGGGCGATCAGGAGATGTCCGGTGTGAAGCGCGAGGCAGCAAACCCCGAAGAGACTGTCTGTCGCTTCAACCTGAGCTGCAACAACAAAGACTGCAAGTTTGCCCATCAGTCACCTGCCGCGCCTCCGGGAACGACGGTCGACGTTCAGGATGTCTGCAATTTCGGTGCAGCTTGCAAGAACTTCAAGTGTGTCGGCCGGCACCCTTCGCCTGCCACCAGGACGGCACACCAGAGCGAGCAGGACTGCAAGTTCTGGCCCAACTGCCAAAACGCGCGCTGCCCGTTCAAGCACCCGTCGAAGCCGCCCTGCCGGAACGGTGCGGACTGCAAGACGCCTGGCTGCGAATTCTATCACAACACGGTGATGTGCAAGTTCCGGCCCTGCACGAACCGATATTGTCAATTCAAGCACGAGGAGGGCCAGCGCGGGTCGTTCCCCGACAAGGTGTGGACGGCGGATGGCGCCAAGGAACACGTGAGCGAGCGGCAGTTTGCAGATGCGAAAGCGGCGGAGGAGCAGGTGATACCGGGCTCAGGAGATGACGCGATGGGCGGCACCGAGGCGACTGTGGCGGGCTAGAAGCCTAAGCTGTGCGTCATTCAGGTGCAGTCGGACTCTGAATCGGATGGGTCTGGCATGGTCGAGTGAGGGGGGCCACAGGGGACGGCAGGTTTGGGATATGTGTACCCTGTATTATACAAAGATATTTTCATTTTCACCAGGGTGTTACAGGTCAGGGCAGATAACCGGCCACAGTCGAGAGCCGAGTGGAAGGCGTTGGGAGGCTCAGTCAAGAGAGAAGAGGTCAAGCAAGCATTTGTGGATTTGAGAGAGAGTGGGATCACACGTCCATGCTGGCCCTGGCAGTCAGGAGACGACGACGACTCGAGTTTGGAGGAGATAGCGCCATGTGTACAAGTTATTGATGTCGAGGCCCTGGCGCCTCCCCACCCATTTGCTCAATGCTCTTTTGTGTGAGACAATCGTGCTGAAGAGGCCAGCTCGTCTCTGTCTCTAGCTCGTCCACCGGGCGGCGGTTATTACGGCATAGGTGGGTGCTATTCTTGTGCACGAAATTCTCGACTCCACACCAACAGGACCTCGGATCATACGCAAAGCTATTTCAGGCAAACCGATGGGAGACCAACAGCCGACTCATCAGGGCCCGAGGCTCATTCCTTCGGACGGAGAGGCACACAAGAATGGGCGTGCCCACAAGTCCAATCTCCAATACGGACGGATCTCGGGGGCAGAAACACAAGGACCGACGTTACGGCCTAATGTACTATGTAGTCTAGTAATAATAAGCGCCCGGTCAGACAGCGTCACAGAAGCAACGGCTGGGGACGGCGATGGGGAAGAGGAACGAGAGCCGGCCCACTTGCCACCACAACCACACTTGAGCTTTCCCCGCAGGAGGCCAGCCCCCCTTGCCCCCCCTCTCCCCCCAAGTCGGCGTATTGACACGCTGGCCCCCCCGCGTGCAATTAGGCCGGGGGGACTTTTGATGGTCGCAAAGTTCCCCAAGTCATCGGCGTCGGCCCCCTGTGCCACTTTTTGCCAGCCACTGCCAATGCTTTCTCCCACCCCCCCAAAAGCTCCGCTCGCCGTGCGACGCGTTCCGAGAAATTTGATCGTGGCAATTCCCAACGGCGGCAGGGCAATCCAGCTCAGCTTGCGACCGCATCTCTTCCATCACCAATTGACCGCCGCGCATCGCGCACACCAGCCCGTCATCGTCGGATAGCTGTCGCCGGCCCCAATTCGCCACCCCGTCTCTCGCATCTGCCGCCCTCTCCCGCGCCCTCCACCCACGCAGACGACAAGCGATCCTGCCCGTCCGGCCCGGTCTCCCCTTGCTCAAATCCCCCCCCCTCTCTCCCACCAGCCACCACCTCGCCCGTCCTTGCCGCGCCCGCGCGCCCGCAACCACCGTCAACTGTCGCATCCCGCAGCTTCCTATCGCATTCCCCCCTGACCACCCTCTCACGCCAACATGGCTGCCCCGCGCAAGCGAACCCGTGAGATCGACGAGGCCAGCAGGGCCGAGTGCCCCTTCTCCGTGCGCCTCATCGACCCCAAGGACAGGGACCCCAAGAAGAAGCGCCGCAGGAGGAACGACGACGATGCCGACGACACCCACAGCAAGATCCCCGTCCAGATGTCCCCTTTTGCCCCCTCCGGCAAGTTCAGGAGCTTCGAGACCATGGACATCCACTACATGGTCGAGCCCTCCAAGAGGTGGTCCGAGATGACGAGATACAACAGCTTTGTCCGTATGTTACCCCCTGGTGTCTCCCACCTGGTGTCTCCCACTCGGTCTCTCCCGCCCCAAGAGCCCGTAGGAGGAACCCATGCGTGTCTTACTAAGATGTCCGTCTCAGTCAACGGATCCAAATACTTCAGTGACAACTATATCTTTGTCGCGAACGAGGACACCATCGAGCGTCAGAAATCCTTCGCCAACAAGGAGCAACTCGGCCCACGGACTAAGAGTAACGATGACTGGGTTGCCCGCATTCTCGAGATTCGCGCAAGCGATGAGCATCATGTCTACGCACGCGTTTACTGGATGTACTGGCCAGATGAGCTGCCACAGGGTACTCTTGATGGGAAGAAGACTGTTCAGGGCCGTCAGCCCTATCACGGCCAGAACGAGCTGATCGCGTCCAACCACAGTAAGTGACACAAACCGTGCGTCAAGGGGGTCATGAGCTGAAGCTGACTTTTTGTCGCAGTGGACATCATCAACGTTGTCTCGGTCACTCAGCAAGCGACCGTCAACCAGGTGACCGACGAAAACGACGACCAGATTCAGAGCGCGCTATACTGGAGACAAGCTTTTGATGTCCGGACCCAGGAACTCTCGGTAAGCATTTTCGCCCAACCTGGTAAGCCGGGGGGGATATCACCGGAGCTGACACCTATCCCAGGCCATCGAGAAAGTCTGCAAGTGCGACCAGCCCGGAAATCCTGACAAGGTCCTGGTGGGCTGCCCCAACGAGACATGTAAGAAGTGGCTCCACGAGGAATGCCTCAAGCATGACATCCTGCTCAAGACGTACGAGGCCCTCGGCGCCGACAAACCACACAAGGCATCCGGCGTCAAGGAGGAGAAGGTGGAGGAAGAGGAAGCCAAGCGCCCTCTCAGCCCTGTCGAGCCTGGCACCGGTGCCGTAGCTGCTGAGCTCCCGATCCAGGTTAAGACAGATGGCGAGGGGGAGACAGTCAAGGCCGCCAATGACTCTGTGGAGTTCAAGGAAGAATCCACGGCCGCCACCGAGGAAGGTTCGGCGCAACCGCAGAATGGCCGCGTGTCAACACAAACTCCGACCACAGACGCGCCAGCCCGCAAGGGCGGCCGAGGGCGGAAGAAGGCGGATGCGAGCTCCGCGAAACCGTACGAGGGGCTCTTTGAGGCGAACTTCAAGGTGGACCAAGACATGTTCGAGATCACGGACCTTAGGGAGGGTATCGAGGGCGGCGACAAGACATGGATGGAGGATGTCAAGTGCCTTGTCTGCGGCACGCGCATCTGCTGAAGCACGCAACTGCCCCACAGCGCAGCGCGGGGATTCTCGTGTGGTGGTTTCTCATTGGGTATGATTTTGTTACGGGGTTGCATTACCTCTCATGATACGAACCCCTTTTTCTTCAGTCAGCTTCCGAGCGCCGAGGGCGAGTATGACGTATACCTTGCTTGTTGAACAGGAGGAGTACGGACAATGGCAAGTTGTGCTGGTTTTTTATTTTTATCAAGGGCGTTCTTTGGAGGGGGAGCAGGCAAAAGGCTCTCATTAGAGTTACGTTTGTACATTCGAGAAGGGGACGTTGTTTGCCCACAAAATGAATATCCTGTCCTTAATTTACATACAAACTCCTCCACGCTCCTTTGTACTTGTCAAGTATTTCCCGTCGTGGGTAACTTTCTCGTGTCTGTAATCACTTGATGCCCATCTGCACAGGGCTAATCTAAAAGCCATAGGAGAATACCTTCACTTGAAATTCCACAGTTCTACTGTTAGATCAAAAGAGATGTGAATCCCTGAACTGACAAGATTTGAATTTCACACTGGCCTCTCCAAAAGACTACTACGAACTAGAGCCAAGATCTGCATACAAATCACACCTCATACGCCCTCGCTATGCTCACGAACAAGAAAAAAAGACACAAAGAATGTTACGAAGACAAAGATGGCCACCGTCGCGTCTCAGCCCCCGCGGTGTTCAACATCAGCATCATGGCTCAGCATCGCGTCGCCCTCGCCGGTCCCGGGCTCCACCCGCTCGCCCGCGTCGCCCTGCCCAGCCTTGTAGCCCTCGATGACGGCGGCGAGCCTCTCGGCCTCGAGCTTGCCGCGCTCGGCGTTGACGAAGTAGATGAGCGGGGCGGGGAGGCCGACGAGGCAGGCGAGGAACCAGAAGGCCGGGCGGATCTCGCCGGTGGCGTCGATGATGGAGGCGACGATGAAGGGGCCGAAGACGCTCGACCCCTTGTCGGTGATGGCGTAGAGGGCGTAGAAGGCGGCCTCGGACCCGGGCGGGATCAGCTCGCCGTACAGGGCGCGGCAGTAGCTGCTCAGCCCGCCCAGCACGAAGCCGTACACCCCGGCCAGCGGGAACATCTCCCAGGGCTGCTGGAGCCCCAGGACCCCCCACCCGCGCACAAAGGGCAGGTAGCCCAGCAGGCCATACAGCGGGATGAGCTCGAACAGCGCGATGCAGCTCAGCAGCGTCTGGTGCGGCTTGAGGCTGAACCGCCGCGAGATGTAGGACCACGACAGCGCGCCCGCGATGCCAAAGGTCGTGGAGATGACGCCGATGAGGCCCAGCGCCCAGGGCTCCATCTGCAGCGTCGTCTTGGCGAACAGGATCGCCGTCGACGACGTGGTCGCGATGGCGTCGGAGAGGAGGAACCACGCCGCGAGGAAGAGCATGATGTCCAGCAGCCGCCGCGCCAGCGAGATGGTCTTGAAGAGGGACTTCCATGCGTACAGCGTGTACGCGACGAAGGCCCTGACGCCCTTGCGGTTCTTCTGTGCGGGGAGAGGCGGGCCGGGCCGGGGACGCAGCCACACGGCGGCGGGGATGGTGAAGAAGGCCCACCAGGAGCCGATCATGAAGAGGACGACTCGCAAAGACCAGATCGAGCTCCTCATCTCGATCAGGACGAGGATGGCCACGCACTGCAGGAACAGCCCCGCGGCGTAGCCTATGCCTATCCCCTTTGCGGATATCTCGGTCGACAGGGCGAGCTCCACCGACGTCTGGTCCTCGTGGGTGAGCACCTTCCGCAGCCGGTGCGTGTGCGGGCGCTCGTATTCGTCGACCAGCAATGCAGTGCTCGAGCTGCTGTCCCGGAATGTCTCGGCCTCATCGTCATCCTGCGAAGGCTCCAGCCGCTGAGACTCACCGTTCGGCAGGGCAAGATCAGGGGTCGATGTGCCTTCGGGATACAGCACCTTGGGGTGGTAGCGGACAAGAAGCGGCAGAAAGCTGTTCAGGAGAACGAAAGACGCCCCAAAGGAGACATTGCTGACTATGGCCAGGAAGGCCCCAAAGATGTACGTGCTCTCGGAGACGAATATGTAGAGCATGACGCAGGAGCTGCCGAGCCAGGCAAAGGCCAGGAGGAGCTTCTTGCGGTACTGGCCGTGGTCCGCGAAGGAGCTGATGCTCACGACAAGCAGGGCCTGCAGCAGGACGCTGGCGCTGAAGGTGTACATGGCGAAACTCGCGGTGTTGATCTCCATGCCCAGGACGTGCACGACGCACTGCTTGTCGTCGCTGCTCTTCTCATTACTGGGGCCGCATGGCTTCCCGTTCTTGAGCAGGACGCCATTCTCCCGGGCGAGGCTCTCCAGGAGGATAGGGATGAATGAGCCTGGGAGTGTTAGAGACCCACAGGGCTGGCAGAAAATGGGTGGGTGCAGTCAAATGACATACCGATAGCTATCACTCAGTCAGAAGGTCTGTTCTCACCTGCACGGGTCCGGGCCGAGGAGTAGTTTACTCACCACAAATGACGTAGGTCTCAGCCGCGAAAGCATACATGTACCATCCCCTCAACTCCTTGGGGCTCGTCTCTAGAGGGCGAAGACTCGGTTGTTAGTGTGTGAAAGCGGCAGCTCGCAGTGTAATCTAATGTAGGACTCACGCCTGGTGTCCTCTCCGGCGTAGCGGAGGGGCGGCGTTGGAGGGTCCGGGCTGTGATTGGGCTCGGAGTCGGAGTTGCGGTCCATGTCCTCGGATGTAGGGGAGATGCTGGCGGAGCGCTCGTCATCGGCCTCGAAAGAAGAGGAGTGGGAGAGAAAAGAGCGCTTGGAGACGTGGGACTGTCTCGAGTATAGGCGCGGCAGAGGTGGAGGGCGTGAATCCTCATTCCTCGGGGCCATAATACTGCGGGCGTGCGACCTGAGACCAAGCTTATTTTGGGAGGTGGCGACGGGGCGTGTGGGCGTGCTGGCGTGTGAGCTGGCCTGGCCTGGCCTGATGGGGCCCTTGCACAAGGTTAGGCGAGGCCGTCGGTGTGTGCGTGTGTGCGTGTGTGAGTAAGAAGGCGCGTGGGTGGTGGGTGCGCTGCGCTGGGTGTGTGTGAGAGGCAGGCAGGCAGAGCGAGAGTCAGCCTGTGTGGAACGTCAGGCCCCCCCCCATGCACGCACGTGGAACGCCTGTTTGTTTGAGGGCCCGGGACAGCCTAAACTCAATTGCTGGGGCTTTTCTGGCTGGCTCTGGGCGGCAATTCGAGCAATGTGGCCTATGCTGGATGGTGCAGGCTGAGATGGATGTTCGAGGCCGACGGTGGCAGGTGTCGAGCATGTCCACGGGTCCACGGGACCGACGGAACCAGGCACCACCAACTGAGGGGACCCGTGACGAGGGGGCGGGTAGATCCGCTGACTGGACTGCACTTACAGTAGACCACTGCGCGCTACTTGGACCCACCTTCATCACTGCCTGTCTTCAATCTTGTCTCAAAAAGGCCCATGACTTAAAACAAGGTAGTCTCAAATGCTCTCTCTCTCTTCTTGGTCGACAAGCCTAGTGTTTACATGATTCCATCGACGCATAAAAACACATACTCCTGCTGACAGTAGAGTTGGATGATTCACAATCCACATGTGCAGTAACCTGCCTCAGGTCTAGTTAGTGTCTGTTCTAGGACAGTCACTTCTAGTAGTAAATGCTTGTCTCAATCAAGAATTGGTCAACCACTGAAATCCCACCAAAGTCTGGTGGCACTGGGGCGTAGTGCTTGGCCCTACATATGTATATTGCTCTGCAGTTGTGGACCTCGATGATGCACAGCCTGCCCTGATGCCTCTTTCGATCATGAGAAGCCTCGCCGTCGGAGCCCAAATCTGTCAGGAGGAGATCATCACGGCCCAGAGACCCGGGTGCCTCGATGCCATGTTTCAACCAAGGCCGCAGAAGTCCTTGTCCGATCTCGTCAAACATGACCTGACATATACTCTCCTTCGGTGTGCTAATAAATAAAATGCACCAGAGACGATCCCGAGAATTCTAACATTGGATACGTTGACCTAACCTCCTCGGATACTGGTCGATTCCAGCATAGCCTCCATCATGGGCCTATCAACACACGGTTAGCACACACTGTCGGCATTCAAGACCCCACTGAATGGTAGCTCTTGGTGTCAAGGCAGAACCACTCGCCCCAGGCAGCTTACCCGGGTCAACTAAAGACAATTTGGATAAAAAGGGCCTATTGGTAGTCTGAACTCACACCCGTCTTGGCTCTTGCGACGGCAAATGCTCAAGTACCCTTGTCCATGGCGCACCCCAGTCCTACAAGCAATTCCTCGGATTTCACTTCAATATCACGGATCGTCACTGCCGAGCTTGCGCCCCAATAGGCCCCAAGAACAAAAGTACCGATGTTGCCATCGACGTCCCGTGAGGTATCTCCACCTGTGAAAGTGACCGGTTCTGGAAGCGCTTTGATGTATAGTCTTGTTCCTGGCGCTGAGTCTGGCCACTGCCATAAAAAAAGTCGGACGACCATCTCCGAGCTCAGGGGTTTACGAGGTAATTATGTTTGAGGCTGAAGGGTCTATATAAACTCATGGCTTCGCAGCCAGTGAATATGTATGTGTGTCGAATAAGAAGCACACAGACCACAAGTCGCCCAAAATGAAGTCAGCTCTGCTCTACCTCCTCGCACCTCTTCTGGCTCTTGCTGCCCCGGCGGCGGAGCTCGAGGACCGTCAAGCTGCCACCAGCATCGACGCGCTCTTCAAGGCCAAGGGGAAGCTTTACTATGGCGTCGCCACGGACCAGAACCGCCTGTCGACTGGGAAATCGGCTGCTGTGATCCAGCAGAACTTCGGCCAGGTTACGCCTGAGAACAGCATGAAGTGGGATGCGACTGAGTCCTCCAACGGGAACTTCAACTTCGCTACGGCCGACTATCTTGTGAACTGGTGAGTCTCTTCCTTTGTTACGCAGGAATCATTAATCAACGACTCTATAATCACCCTACTATATCTTACTGCTCTTATCCGTGAGAGGTCATACATGCTGGGAACATGTGGAGTATCTGGATCGTATTAAGAAGCACATGCCTCTCAGGATGTATCATCAATGAAAAAGGAGACATGAACTGACTGGTTCTATAGGGCTGCCCAGAACAACAAGACCATCCGTGGCCACACTCTGTGCTGGCACTCGCAGCTGCCAAGTTGGGTCAGTAACATTCGTGACAAGGCACAACTGACCTCTGTCCTGGAGAGGCACGTCACGACTGTCATGACGAGGTACAAGGGGAAGATCAGGGCTTGGGTAAGACGTCTTTTTTAATGGGTTGACTAACGTTTCCGGGAACAACATACTGATGGGTGGCTTCCAGGACGTGTGCAACGAGATCTTCAACGAAGATGGCTCCCTTCGCTCGTCTGTCTTCTCCCAGGTCCTGGGCGAGGAATTCGTCTCGATCGCTTTCAAGGCTGCGCGTGCGGCTGACCCAAGCGCCGTCCTCTACCTGAATGACTACAACCTCGATTCTGCGAACTATGCCAAGGTCACCAATGGAATGGTCAAGAACGTCAAGAAGTGGCTTGCGGCTGGCATCCCTATTGACGGAATTGGTAAGTTGTCTCCTTTATACAGCTTCGGCATACACTACGTCAGCCAACCAGGCCAAACGTGTTGTATATTGTCAGGGGAACAAAAGCTTCATACAGTCCCGCTAACATCGACACTACAGGCTCCCAGGGACATCTATCAGGTGGCGGTGGCGCCGCATTTGGCGGCGCTCTGAAGGCACTCGCTGCTACAGGTGTCAAGGAGGTCGCCGTCACAGAGCTTGACATCCAGGGCGCGCCTGCGAATGACTACAAGCAGGTCACCCAAGCATGCCTTGATGTATCCACATGCGTGGGTATTACCGTCTGGGGAGTCCGTGATGCAGACTCCTGGAGAGCTTCTACCAACCCCTTGTTGTTTGACAACAACTTTGGTCCAAAGGTGAGCATGAATTCTCTCCACTCACAGCCTCCCCTCTTACGATATCCTAAAATGCACGAGACTACCCCTTGACTAACACGGAACAGGCTGCTTATAATGCTATCGCCGATATGCTGAAATAGGTCATGTTGATGTGCCCAGGCCTGGCCTATCTGTAGCTAGTGGGTCTACCACACTCTAGACAGAAGTCCAGTATCATGGGATACTGGCTTGCAAAATATAAGCATTGGTTACACTTCGTGTGTATTGCATGTACTATTAATATAAACCGTGGCGTTTGTTCTGTTTGTCGAGACCAACTGCAAGCCCTTTTCGAGCACTGGGAGCCATTCATCTAGGGCCAATCAATTTTCTAGATTCGGTCAGGGTGAACTGTGTTGACGCCCTTCTGCGGTCAAAGGTGGTCTCCCATGGGAGTCTATCTAATAGAATATCTGTCGGTTGGCTTAGCTTATGTGTAAGAAGTGGTTGAAGTGGTGTGAATTGGTGATAGTTAGAAGGTCTGCCTAGTAGGCGGTGAAGCACCCAGTTGGGTTGACCAGACCTGCTAATTAAGTATAGTGGTCTGTATAGTGTATAGGCCTACTAGCCTTATAGTAGTTAATCTATTATAGCCTACTAATTTTATATTAGTAACTTTTTAGTCTTTTAAAATTAAGGTTTTTTTCTTCTTTTTTTTAGTTAATTAGAGAGCTTTATTTATTAATAAAGTAGTTTTTAATTAAATCGCTCTAATTATTTAGAATTATTATTAAATATATAATTGTAATTTATTTAATTTAAGTGGTTTAAAATACTTTAAATTAATATTTTATAAATTATTTAAATTGTTTAAATTTAAATTATTTTAGTAAGTAAAATTAAGTTTAAATTATTAATTAATTATTTATTAGGCTATTTATTAAATAGTATTAACTATTAATATTTAATTAGTTAGCTTTTTAATAGTTTTTTCTTTTATAGTAAATTATTATTTATTTTATTAATTTTTATTTTAATTAAGGATTTTATTTTTATTTAATTAGTTATATAGATAGTTATAGTATTTTTTTATTTAAATAGAGTATTTAAATAAAGGTAAGGAGGGTTTTAAGTAGTATTTTAATTTTTAATTTAATATAAATATTATTAGAATAAAGATTATTATAAAGGTTTTAAGAAGTTTTAATTTAATTTATTTAAAATATTTTTAATGTAATTCTTAAAGATTTTATAAAATATTAAAAGTTTTTATTAAGATAATAGTTAAGGTTATTAATAAATTATTAAACTTTATTATTATTAATTTTAATAATTATATACTCCTTTTATAAGTATTATTAATATATTTTTAATTTATTTTTAATTTAAACTTTTTTATTAGGGTAGTATAAATAGAAGTACTATTAATATATACTTATAATAGCTATAAATAACTTTATTTTTAGATTTAAGGTTATAATAACTATATTATTAAAGTATTTTTATTTAAATATTATAAAAGAGAGAGAGAGAGAAGTTAAAAGAGTATATAAAAGTTATTTATTTAATTACTTACTTAATTATTTACTTAATTAATTATTTAATTAATTATTTAAATAATATAAGATAAATAGATAGATAAATAGGTTAATTAATAGATAGCTAAATAGGTTAGCTAATAAGTAGTTAAATATTAATTTAAGGGTTTAATAGGTAGACTTAAATTATTAGTTATAAGAGAGAAAGAGAGAGTTATTATAAGAGAGTTATAAGACTTATTTAATAAAGGGGTTCTATTTAATAATTAATTATACTTAGGTAGTCTAAATAACTTACCTTTTAGAGAGACTATAATAATAATAGTAATATTATTAATTTATCTTTTTTTTTAAATTATAATAATAAGGTAGTTTTATTAATTTATCCTTTATAAAAAAACTTAATATTTAAATAACTTAAATAATTTACCTTACTATTAAAAGTTAATTAGTAATTAATTAGTATTAATTAGTTTAATTTATATATAAGAAGTAATTAAAGTAGTATAAATTAGTAATAGTTAGAAGGTTTATTTAGTAGGTGGTGAAGCGCCTAGTTAGGTTAGTTAGACTTACTAACTAAGTATAGTGGTCTGTATGGTGTACGGGCCTATTAGCCTTGTAGTGGCTAATCTACTGTAGCCTACTAATCCCATAATATTATCCTAACTAGGTATAAGAGGGTTTCTAATAGGAGCCTCTCTTATTGGGGGGGGAGGGGGGTTGCCCACAGTATGAAGGCGTCGCATACGACTTCGGGTGCACATTGAATAAAATCAAAACCAGCTAGGTAGTTTTTTATTGCAAGACCTGTTATTTCCAGAAACTCTTTCAGAGCTGCAGTGTTAGCTGGACCTATACCCGAGCACCAAATTCCCTTCCGAAGCCTTTTGGTGCATCCATTCTTCATACCAGACTTGCAGCACTGGAAACATTGAAATCTTCAAGTTCTTCTTCCTCAACCTGCCTCAGACGACACACACGTGGCCTCTGAAGATACAGATGTCCTACTGCTTTTTAGAAAACCATACCAAAAACCATGGGACGGTCTGCTTTTGCATCGGCTGTATTCAAAGAAGAAGGCCGCCTTTCAAATAGATTCCAGCTTTCTGTTGGAAATCTGTCCCCAAAACACAATATGATTCTATATTTGGCCGGAATCCAGTTCAAAACGCTTCACTGTGGATTGAAAACAATTCAACTGATTCGTGCTCCCAATTAAGCAGTCTCTGCCCAATTAAGCTGGAATTGAATCCCAGAGCCCCATGTTCATCTAGGAAGCATTTCCAATAAGATCGGATATTCACACCCGCAAAAATAGAGGGTACACCCAAGCCCCAAGGAATAAACTCCTATCAAACAACCTCCCACAGGACAACCTCCTACAGGACAATTTCCTACAGGACAACCTCCTATAAGACAACCTCCTACAGGACAACCTCCTACAGAACCTCCTACAGGACAATTTCCTACAGGACAACCTCCTAGGACAACCTCTTATAAAACAACCTCATCTAAGATAACCTTATTTAGAATAATATCCTATAGGATAAGCTTACAATACAACTAGTTTAATACTAACCTAAGTACTTTAATCTCTAGGCTGCCTAGTATGGGTGTACCCTTCGTTTTGGCGGGTGTGAATATCTGGTCTCTTTCCAATTGCTTCTCTGTGCCGAACACCTTTTTAAGAGTCTCTTAGGAATGAGCTCGATGGTCCTACAATGGGCTGTTGAACAGACTTTGTTCAAGTTCACCCCGACCGAGATCGGCAACGCACTGGACATGCTCCCGGAGAGCGAGGAATTTGGCAACGGAGATGTCCAAATTGGCTTGCAGGCTTTCAATGATGTAGACGAAATCACCAGCACCTACATCACACCCTACCGAGACAAGACAGGCGCGCCAGATCCGAAGCAGATACCCTTTGAGAAGCGTGTGGAAGCTCTCGCTCGCATCCTCATCACTGTCAGTGAAGAACTAAACGTGCTGACTGACCAATATCGGTCCGATGAGGAAGGGCAGGCATTCTATGCACAGCGCAAGGGACCGACGGAGGAACGCATTCGCAGCCTCAACGACATGCCGTACTTTGGTCTACCAGACATTCCGTTCGATCGTCTGCAAGACCCCGAACTTGGTCCGCTTGAGTTCAACGGAAGAAAGGAGCACGTGTGTGAGACATGGACTCGAATTCTGACCCTCCTGCGATATGCCAACACCCGGGTCTCGAAGAGCAAGTACAACATGGCTGGTTGTATCGGTAATTCCTCGGAGATTCGGAGAAGCAGCGGAACGAGCTGAGCCGTGATGCACAGCGCAAGCTCATTGATCAAGGAGGGAGGAAGTGGCTGGGCCTCGACGAAGACTGGAGTGAACCGTTCCTCGAGTTGCCTGCTTGGATGCGCCCTACAGGCATGGACGTTGACAAGACCAGGGAGATCAAGGAGAAGGACCCGAATCAGCCAGCGCAACGGCCCATCAAGTTTGAGGCTGTCTGGTTAGAGGATTTTCCTGGAGAGAGCCCAGAACTCGGCCCGAAATGCAAGCAATTTTGGGCGGACAAAGGCTTGAGAGAAGAGTTTGGCATTCCGGACCACGTCAAAGCCCCAGAGTTCGCCTTTCCGGGCAGGCGACCAACCGCTCGCGATCCTCGGGACTTCCCTGATTATTCCCTGATTATCCCCAATAGAGGGACAGTCTGCGGGCTTAGCTATTCTTAATCGACTGGAAGCTCGACCTTTACCAGGCATATCTGATCGACAGGAAGATCAGCAAAGGTGCCGTTTCACCGGAGCTATTGGCCAGTGGGCACGAGGAGTCGGCACCCGAAGGGGAGCCACGCTGCGTCTGCATTCTTGACCCTTCGGGTGAGAACCCACCTGTGGACTACCATCGACTTCTTGACCTGCTTGAGAAAGGCCAGGAGACACAGACCATCGCGTTTTCGTGTCAGCTATTGAAGGGAAGAGACCGCAGGTATGCACATGGGAGTCTACTCTCACTCTTCTGTCCCCAAGACCGAACGCAAATTCACCAATGAGAATGAGGGAGAACTCCCTGCTCAATTTAAAGAAGACTAAGAGAGACAGCTCTAGCAGCTGTCATTGCATCGGCGACAGAAGCATGAGCTGAGCAGTCGAGTATTGAGACAAAAATTTGAGACGCGGTGAAATTGAAAACTCCCTTCAGAGTCTCCTCGACAGAATCTCCCCCGGTATTACTTTATCGGTTTGAAAAAAAAAAAAAAGCAGAAGGCTCTAGGCCGGATATCATTGAAGCAACAGAAAACCCCACCAGAAAACATGGCCCGATTGTTCAACGACCAGGTAGACTCATTTCTTGAGAACGCCCATGACCTTGGCCTTCAGCTTGTCAGCCAGGCCCTTATGTGTGCCCTTCTCGTCGCCCTCGTTGTGGGCGTGATGAACGTTGCCCTCGCCCCCCCTACCAGTGTGGTATTCTTGGTTCTCAGTAGAAGGCCTGGTAGCCGCCTCCGGAACGACCTCCTTGTCCGTCCGGGGAGCGGCAGCGTTGGTATCAGAGATGTTGGCGGCACCTGGAAAATCTGTCAGACAATTTTCGGGAGCCAGAGAAGAGGACACAAAAACATGAGTGCTGCTCTCCCGAGTGTGCGGTGTCGAAGTGTGCCCTGCCGAAATATCTTGCCCCGCTGGTTTTCTAGCTTCCTGATCGAGCAGATCACGCCACATTGCCGGGCAGGGTTTGGGCACGGCAACTCGACCGGTGGTAACAACAGAGATAAGGGAAGTAGGGCCCGACGCATATCGACTTGTCCGTGCCGCCCATGAGAAACATCACGTACCTCCTCGCCCTGTGCTCACGCCGGTGCCGGCCTCGCCCTCACGCACGACCTCGCCATCCGTGTACTTGGTGTCATCCGGGTACACATTTCCCTGCCCACCTCTCCCGTGGCTCACAGGGGCGCTCATCTTGATGCTTGTTTGGGTTGTAAAGGTGTGGGTCCTCAGTGGAGGGCGCGGGTACAGTTCGCAGTGACTGGGGTGGAGTGACTGAATGTGTGGGGGGGAGACCTTAGCTTCAGCTGGATCAAAGGCGGCGGGAGGTCGAGGCGGTGGAACGATGGGGGACGACAGAATAAATACAAGTAGACTCGGTTATCAGCTGCGGCTAGAACCAAGGTCGCATGGGAGTTTGATGACCAGCCTCAAAAAAAAAATATGACAGCTGCGAGGTCGGTTGGAACGTCATGGGTGCATCTACGGCCAGAAAACGTGGGCAGCTATCCCACGTTCCTAGCAGAGATAGGCCTGCGTGTGTCAAGTGAATTTGCTAATAAATGAATTGGCCAACAATTCTGTACCACGCTCACAATGCCTGATTGCCTGGGCACCCAGCACACTACGGCATCGCCCAAGGCTCCTTCCCAATCCCGCGAGTGACTGTCACATGGCCCAGACCCCAGCCCAGATCTCAGCATGACTACCTATGTACCTAGGTACCTGCAGACTTGCTTTCTCTGGACTGGACATGACATGCTATTCCAGAGAATGATCTAGTTAGGCCTCTCCCTTATATTTTCTAACTCTTGCGAAATACTAGCCTATTCTGAGTGACTGCCATCACTTGTTATGACGTATAGGCTGATAAGGCCGACTACAGGGATAACTCAGGTAGCTTCCGACAGGGCTGGTACTGGTATTGTCGAGAACGGGCAAGACAAAGAGCGCATCGGATTTTAAGACAACTACCTCATTACCTTTCAGGCGGCGAGTGATCTGGGCACTTGGAAAGGTATTCGATCATCCAGCTATTGTAATTCTTTTTCCAACCCAAGTAGAGGACGTTCTGCCGAGCTGGGCTTGCCATTTCGAACGTGGGCCAGCCTCCAAGCACCATGCAGCGCGATGCTCAAGTGTTAGAGCGGCCTGTGCGTCGCTCTTGGAAACATACCTAGGCTTGCTAGGTACCCAACAATGAGTAGAAAACAGTAAATACCTACCTAGGTACCCAGGTAGACAATGGACAGCTTGAGACTACTCGAGACTTCATCATCTGCGAAGCGTAGGTATGATACTCTCATCAACCGTCTCTGGTAGCGACTTGGGATGCCTGGCACGTGCAGACGTGGAGTAGTAGAGCGACGCGACACAAGTTTCATGCAATTAATTCTCATATACTACACGCGTGCCTACCCCACCCTTTACGCGCTAGGTATCCCTCTGGGCTTTGAGCAGCGTCCCCTTCAGTAACGAATGCACTTTTGGATCGGATTTGAATTTCCTTTCAGACTTCAACCTCCCAAAACGCCACCACCCAACCCGGTTGAACCTCAAAAGCACAATTGTTTGCGTATCCAGTCAACCTACTACTGTCACCATTGTACTTGAACCATGAGTTCCTCCCCCTTCACCTCGCCCGCGCGCGAGGTTGTCCCTGCGACTAGCAGCCCGCCTGCCGGTCTCGAGGAAGACCCGATTGCCATCAGCTCCGACGACGACGACCTAATGCTGCAGGCCTCCTCCCACGTGTCGCCCTACTTCACACAACCCACTCAGATCCTCAGTAAACCGGCAATCAAGCCGATTACCCAGCCGACCCAGCCGACTCAAGCGACGCATGTCACGCAAGCCACCCAGATCGTCAGCGACCGCCCAAGGCTTGGCCTTAGTGCCACCGTCAAGAAGTCGCCGTCCACCTCGCCTCAGTCTAACGGCACCAGAGTCGAGGTCCCTGCATCCTCGCCCTACCAGCGACCGGCTCTGCCGTCTGCCTTCTCGCGGTTGATGGCCCCTGCTGGCACCTCTTTCAAGCCTCCCCCCAGGATCAATACCAAGCCCGTCCCCGAGTCCCCGGTGAAGAGACTATCTCTCAAGCGTGACTACGCCTCGGACGATGAGCTAAAAACATCCCCCACTCAATATGCTGCCGACAGTTCTGGCGACGAGCGGCCCGCGCGAGGCGACATTCAGCGGTCCTCCTTCCAGCGTCAGCAGCCAAAGTCCGAGTCGCCTGCCAGTGCCTCGCTCTACAAGCACCAGTCTTCCAAACAACAGCTGGCAAAGGTATCCCGCGGGTTCAAGTCCTCCTCAACCACCTCGCCCTCTAGCTCCGTTGGCTCACAGCCCTCGGCACAGCCTTCTTCCAGGAGCTCCGAACCCTCTTCAACCCCTTCGCCACCCCCCAAGCGCAGACGACTGGTGCGCGGTCGAAACCCAAACAACCCCCCGAGTTCCTCGCAGATCGCTCAATCAACTCCTCAGCTGGTCAGCCTGATCAGCGATGACGACGACGAGGACGATGACGTTGACGATACCTCCAACGATAAGGACGGTGGAGATAACTTTGTCTTGGATCAGCGGGACGAGTCTTCCGGGGATGAGAGCGAGACAGACGGCAGATCACCCGGGAAGATTACTTCGTCCGCGGCGTTGGTGGGATCCAAGCGCAAGGACAAAATACTACAGTACCTCGGGGTCTGCTCTGTGGAGAGCCTCATGGCGGACGCTAAGATTCAGCGAGACGGTGCAAAGCACATGATCGACAGGCGACCATTCTACACAGTAGAGGACATAAAGGCCGTCACCAAGTTCAAGACGTCGCGCGGCAAGAAGGTCAAGTACGCCCTCGGTCAGGAGGTCTTTGACGAGCTTGTCCAGTACATGAAGCGACTAGATGCAATCGACCGGGTGGTGGAATACTGTGATGGTCAGGGCTACAGGATCAGGACCAAGATTGGCTCGTGGAAGATGGATCAGATGGGCAAAACGAAAGGCACATCCGTGGCAAACGACGACATCCTCCCGTTCCCTCGCGAGCCAAAGGCAATGCGGGACCACTGTACCATGCAGCCTTATCAGCTGTTCGGCATGAACTGGATGTGGCAGTTGTACGGTCAGCGCTTTGGAGGCATCCTCGCTGACGACATGGGGCTGGGAAAGACCTGCCAGGTCGTAGCGTTCATGGCCCTGCTCAAGGACCAGTTCGACGCCGGTTACTTTCAGGAGAGGCCCTGGCCCAACTTGGTCATCGTCCCACCCTCTGTCTTGGAGAACTGGGAGAACGAGTTTGAAAAGTTCGCTCCCGACCTGTCTGTCATCAGGTACTCCGGCAAACCTGGCGAGCGCGACGAGCTTGCGCTTGACATCCGGGCATCGCCTGAAGAATATCATGTCATCCTCACCTCATACTCGCAGATGAGCCGTTTTCGGGATGTGAGCGCCATGAACAAGATCGGCATCAATGCAGCAATCTTCGACGAAGGTCACAAGCTGAAAAACCCCAACGCCCAGATCTACAAGGACCTCATCAAAATCGACGCAGCCTGGAAGCTCATCATGACCGGTACACCTATTCAGAACAACATCATGGAGATGGTTTCGCTCCTGAATTTCCTCTCCCCAAATGTTTTCCTTCGGTACAGCGAGCATCTTCAGGAGCTCTTCGTGCAGAAAGCATCGCTTCAACAGGTGTCTGAGGGTGCGGTACTCCTGAGCGACCGGGTCAAGCGCGCACGGAGTATACTGGAGCCGTTCATCCTGCAGCGGACTAAGGAGCAGGTCTTGACCACCATGCCTGCAAAGACCCGCAAGGCGGTCTACTGCGACATGGACGACAGCCAGAAGGCGCTTTATGACGACTTCGTACAGAAGTTTCGCAACGCTAAGCTTCACAAAGCCGCCAGTGGGGGCCGCAAGAATGACATGAACAATCCATGGATCCAGCTTCGCAAAGCCGCCATCCACCCGCAGCTCTTCCGCCGCTTCTTTACCGACGAGAAGTGCGAAAAGATGGCGAAGGTCTTGATGAGGTCTGTGGACCAAGACATTTTGAGGCAGCCGGATCTGACACATCTGACGAACGAGCTGAAAAATGAGTCTGACTTCCAGCTCCACCTCTGGTGCCGTGACTACCCTTGCATCCGCAGCTTGGACTGCCCCGAGGACACGTGGTTGAAGAGCGGCAAGGTCCAGAAGCTCTTGGAGCTCATCGGCGTATACCAGAAGCACGGCGACCGGGTCCTCGTGTTCTCACGTTTCGCGATGGTCCTTTCCATCCTCGAAGAGTGTCTCGCACAGGCTGGCATCAGACACCTCGTTCTGCAGGGAGAGACCAAGGTTGCTGAGCGCCAGCAGCTCATCGACCAGTTCAACGAGGACACCACAATTACAGTCTTCCTCTTGACGACCAAGGCGGGCGGCACGGGAATCAACCTGACTGCCGCCAACAAGGTCATTCTGTTCGACCAGTCGGACAACCCACAGGATGACATCCAGGCGTAAGTCTTCACATATCACACCAGGCTATGCTACGACTGGTTTTTGCTGACTTCGAGAAACAGGGAGAACCGTGCCCACCGCCTGGGCCAGCAGCGCGAGGTAGAGATCAGCCGTCTCCTGTCCAAGGGCACCATCGATGAGCTGATCTACAAGGCGTGCCAGCGCAAGCTGGAGCTGGCCGGCCAGATCACTGGCCATCACGAGGAGATCTCTGGCGCAGATGTAGAGGCCGAGGTCTCCAAGATACTTCTCAACGAGTAAAGAGTTGTGAAAAAGCAAGTCCAAGAAGGAAAAGAAAAAGGAAAAAGACAGAAGAGCATTCATAAAACGTACGCGCAAGGCAGCATGCAGTTGGCGTTGTAGACAGGCGTCGGGTTTCTGATTGCGATACCCTCCCCCTTGCATCTGTTATAGACGCGTGTAGACTCATTACAATGGTCAATAATACGATAATCTCACCGTGGCTCCTCTTCGTGATGTGTCTCGCGTCATGTATACAGAAGAGTTGAGGGCAACTAATGTGGCGAAGCGCTGCGGCCGTCGTATTGCAGCCGTCAGCTGCTCTGGTTTCGAACTCGCATGCAAAGGAATAGGATGCATGCAATTAAGACATGATTCCTCTCGTACAATCTGTACGGATTCGGACTTCAAATAATCTTTCCGCGCTGTAAATGGGAAAACAAGACCGCTCAATAATACACTGGAAGTAGTGGATTCAGGTACCGCTGTGTACACAGCATGTTAGTGCTGAAGTGGGTTTTGAGCGAGGGCCAAGCCGCCCCTCGGTCCCACTTCACTCAGGTACGTCGCCTCATCAGCGCAAACCCATCCACACAAAGCACCGAGTGAGTGAGTCTCAAGCCCTCGCCATCGACTCAAGACATCATCATCACTAAACCTCCCTCACCACGTGCCCTTCCCCATTTCCACTCGTACAGAACCCCGGACCTTTCCCCTCCAGCTTTGACTCGCCCCACATACATATCCGCAAAAAGACCCAGCAAAAACCATGGCCACTCAGAGGATCATCTCGACCGAGAAGACCATCCTCGACAAAGATGACATGGACAGCGGCAGCTCGGGCTCAAAGTCCAACATCGCCCCGGCGGTGCCAATGTAAGTCTGGGCCTCCTTCCTCATGCCCACCTTGGGTCCTTCCTGTTTCCGATGCACTCGTTTTATCACCGGGCCGGATGGCAGGGAGGAGGAAGCGGCTATGACAGCATGCCCTCCTCTCTAGGATCTCATGACTGACATTAAACCCCCCAGGGACGTCATCGTCAAGCTGCTGGCATTCACCTTCGCCATGATAGTCGTCCCCATCGGCTCGTACTTTGCGACGGTAAACACGGTGTTCAAAGGTGAGTGCACTGCCTACATATTCAGAGACACACACACCAAGTGGCTAGCTGTTGACCACACCAAACAGGCAACTCAACCTTCGCGGGCGCCACGGCGGCCATCATGGCCAACGTCGTGCTGATCGCGTACGTGATCGTCGCCATGAGAGAGGACCAGTCAGAGCAGTACGACAAGAAGGAGGGCAAGAAGGACCGCTGAGGGGAGGCGGGGGGGGTTTCCGATCTGCTCGCTTGGCTCCCCTGCAGGCAGGCCAATCTTTTGTCTGCAGCACTTTGGGACCATCAGGACGTGGCACGATACGTGTGTCTAGCTGTGAATTATGTAATATTTTCCAGCTGCATGCACACGGTAACTATGAAAGATTTCATAAACAAAGGCAAGCCGATCACGGACGGGCGGTGTGTATATGTCAACATCAATGGCAGGTTTAGTTTGCAACTGGCGTCGGATATGAATTGTAACATGGGTCGCATAATATCCATCCTCCATGTCAGACCTAGGGCGGAAAAGCACCTGCGTGCATTCGACACACAGGACACAGCATATCACAGGGTCATAGGACCAGACGTTATTCGCTTTGGGCTTCAAAATGTAGCCCTCCAAATGACATTGCAAGCCGCTCCATCCAGGCAGAGTGAGAGGCTGCCTCTATCCGAAATCAAGTAAAAACGCCAGTGCCTCGACAGGCACGCCCCTTGGCCCCTTGTGTGTGCTGGCCCCGTACTGCCTCATTTCTGTATAAGGGAATCTCGACTGCGAATGAGCGTTTAGATTTGGGTATTATCCGTTCCCAGACTGGCCAGCCCCCACTCCCCGGTTTTCCCCTTCCAGGCCTATGCCCTGGACCCCAAGCAAACCGTTCCTATGCGGGTAGAGGCGAAAAGTCAAAGTGCACCTGGCATTCTCATACAACGCTTCCATCGCTTTCCATATATACTCGTGTATCCCGTTATGTTCCGACATCGTTGGCGCGAAAATCGATAAGACTTATTTGTTCATGAAGTCCTTCAGCTGTGACTATCCCCTGGTGGAGACCGACCTTGTGACACAATTGCTGTTGGTGCAAAACAGCTCCTTGGTCCAGAAGTTCTCCTCAACCGCGAGAACTTGCGTAGGATAACGTCTTCCTGGGTGGGATGCTGTCCACGGCAATCGCAATTCTAGCTCATCGATGACACCATGGCAATAATTCCGCTGCGTCGCTATTACGGCCAGATTCAGGGCTCGAAAGATGCAATTTCTTTTGTGAGGTCGGAATAATGTGTGGTGAAAATAAAAAAAATGTGTAGTTGGGTATTGTTATCTCGTAGGTTCGTGAACACTTTTCCTGTTCACTGTGGAGACATCGCGTCATGAAGCTCGAGGTGGTTGGGCCGGTGAGGTTCGGGGCGTTCGCTTTCGGTTCGACTGGCAGGTGATCCGGTATCCAAAAAGGCTGCGAGCTGTACCTAGGGCTGAGTGTAGCTGTCGCTTGAATATTGCTTGGAGTGGTGACTCGAATGGTAATGATTGGGTCTCCCAATCCAACGGCCGCCAACGCTTGTTCTCGCCGTGACCCGGCCGACTTCCTCGCTTCGTCATGCCGCCGCCGCGCAGTGCTCCCCCTTAAAGACCCTTGCTTAGGCGCTTGAACCAGCTCTTCCGCTTCTCGCCCGTGTCTGGTCGTTGTTGCGATTCCTGTGTCGTCGGTTTTCTCAAAATAGCCCCGTCTTTCCTCGGTACCGATGGGGGCCCTCCGCCATTCTGGTACCCATACTGGGCAGATCCGGGGCTTTGGACGCTGAATGACGATGCTTGATACTCGGGTGTCTGGCTGAAGCCTATGCCGTAATCATTTATGGGTTCCGGCTGGCGCCTTGGCTGCTGGCGCTCAATGGAGCTGTTGTCTGAGCTTGTTGGGTCCGTCTGATAGCCTGCTGGCTCTCCCGAGGCACCAGAGCCCGAAGCAACCGTTTCGTAGGATCGCTGATTGTTGCCCTGCCCGTACATATTCGCACCATTTTGCCGATTCCGATACTGCTGTTCAGGGCCAGGACCGGGTCCCATGTTGCGTGGAGGGGGTCTTCTCCGTTCGGGAGGGCCCCATCGATATTGGTCTTGATAACCATCCCGTGGCGCGCCGCTCTCGGGCCGGAATGTCGACTGTGGCCGACTGTTGCCATAGTAGCTGTCGTGTGTATAACGGCCATTGTCTGTCAAAATTTGTCAGTTGTGTGCTTCCAAGACGCAAGACGGAAGTAAGGCTCGAGCGGAGGGATCGCTTACTGCCACCGCCGTAGTAGCTGTTCCTCGGGTTGAAAGTCATCACAGACTCGTTGTCTTTAGTAGGGAGAAGTGTGAGTAATTGTGCCATTTGCTTGGGAGGGGGGGATGGATAGGGGGAAGCTCCATAGCTTTTAGGCTGGGATATGGTCATGGCACCTCAAATCAAAGACCAATTCTGGTGAGCGCCTAGAGCAAAAGTTCATGTCTTCCCCTTGAAGCATTCCTACCAAGCAAGCTATGGAGTTCCAATGGAGCGAGATGTACGTGTTGGAAGTAATAGGCAGGGGTAGTTGATAGTTACCTCCTGAGTTGATCATAGAGCTCCTGTAACTGCCCTCAATGGCGGCCTCGAATGCACGAATTGTGTCCAGAGGCCGCTCCTCTCGCCATCGTGTTGGATTGGACAGGTCAGGGTCGGCTGCAACGAGCCCAATTAGCCAATTGTTGCGCAAACGAGCAACGCGCAGGGCGTGACAAACTTATGATATTTCCAGATTGGTCCTTGTGCTGGAGTCCGCGTAGGCTCTGCAGGTTGTTCTGGGCAAATGCAGCAATGGCAGCTAAAGTTGAAATGGTCAGCGCCGCTGTTGAACACGGCCTGGGGATGATGTGGCAGGAGGGCAGGAAACGCACAAGGCTCGGCCTCGTTCATGGCCATGGTTGGATCGGCCTTGCTATGTAGCCTCTGGCGCTCTTTTTCGGTGTGGCTCTCGACCAGGTGCTCCTTCTTGCCGTCGCTCTTCTGGGACTTGTCGGACTGAAGGCTAAAACCTCTGGATCTGGGGCGGGGCCTCTGGGAGTTTGAGTGAGTCTGCTGCAAGGGCTGCTGTTGGTAGTGGACCTGAGGTTGTTGCTGGGGATTAGGGTAATTGTTGGACTGCTGGCCCGGGGGCGCAGGCAAGGGGTGGGTGTTATATTGCGACGCCATGGTGACTGTGCAGGGGCGGGCGGGCGCTCTGTAATTGTGCGTCAATCGCTGATGGGAACCTTGGAAACCGGGGCTCGTCGCGGCGGTGATGGGTCTGGCAGGGTTCTGGAGCGGATCCAACTGACACAGGACCCGCAGATAGAACGAGAATCCGATGCGCGTGGATCGACAACTGCGCTTTGTCGGTGTTGGCGCGTGTGCACCAAAGTGGAGACGGACTGGGGTGTGGTTGAGTGGTCGAAGGGCCTAGATAAGAGCAGGAAGGGCGGTAAAGTGGGAATCGCAGTACTGTGTAGAGTCGCGATGCGGATGCGATGCGATGCGATGCGGAAATGAAGACGGCGGGCACAGGAAGGGAGGAGGGCGGCAGGAATGCGACTACTCTAGGTAGCAGCGCAGCAAAGTGGTGTGGCGGGCCTTGGTCGCGTCCAGGACAGAGACCTTGGAGGTTGAAACGGCACAGCGCAAGGAGAGCAATGCAAGCTCGCAGGCTTGTCACAAGTGGCTGGGTGCAGTGCCGAGAGGTGCAGCAGCTTGAAGCAGGCGCGCACAGTCGCCCCCTCAACAGGCCCTCACCTTGTTGCGCCTTGTCGACCTTGTACCTCCGTACCGTGTATGCACGCTAAATTTAAGACGGCCTGCTGCCCGTATCCCAGCCGTCGGGAAGTCCTGATTGCCGTGTCGACTTTGTTGTTGTTGCTCGTGAATAGTGAATACAGTCTAGCCGTGTTCGCGGCCGATTTCGATGGCAGGGTGGGAGAACAACGGGCGTCAAAGAGAGAGGCGTCCCGGTGGTGTGTAGGTGTAGATATAGATATCGATTAGTACGGGCGGCGGACGGACACGGGTCATGGACCAAGACCGACGAGGACGAGCTACGCCTGGATCTGGTTCCGGGGCAGCCGCACATTTTATTCTCCTGGGCTCAGTCGTGACATGATGTGACTGTTGATGGTTTGGGGGCCCCGGCTTGGGTCATGGAATCCATTGGCAGGTGTCAATTCGTGCTCACCATTGGGCGGGAGGGCAAGCTTGGGGGCGTGACGCGGCCCAGGGCCAAGTAGATGGGAAGACATTCTACTTTGAATGACTGCCATATGGTCAACCCATTTGGTCTACCCGCGCCATCAGTACCCGAGTACCTTACGACGTGGCTGTCCGCAAGCAGACAGTACAGGTCACCCCACGCCTGCCCCCCTCGTCACCACTCGGGTAGTGGGATGACTAGCATCCATACTAAGTACTCAAGTATACAGCACACACTAGATCTGGTCTTCCCAAATCCTCAGCCTAGTCCCGAGTCCCCAAAGCCGACTACAATGGGGCAGCGTTTCATCCATCGTGCAGCCGTGCAGCGGTGCAGCCGTGCTTCGGTGGCAGCTCTTTGCACCTCCGGCTGTTCCTGGGCCTTGGTAGCTTGGGGCCTTGGGCCTGCTTTGACTCTGCGCTAGCCAAGGCAGGGCAACCAAACGACCAGCATCTTAGCTGCAGCACAGCTATCAGACGTTTCCAGGTTTCCAGTTTGTCCCGGCTGCCTCGCGTCTTGGTTGGGCATGGCAGGGTGCACTCCTGTGCCAGTCGCATATTCATTCAACTCCGTCCTCCGTACAGTCGAAATTCATTCCCCCTTGACACCGTGGAATCTCTGGAATCTCTGGGAATTCCCAGGACTCGGAGGGACGGCAGGCCCTGCAGTTGCCGACACATGGCTGACGTCAAGCCCTGTCGATCCACGTCCCACTCAGACAAGAAAGTACCCAGTAACCTTGTACCTGAAGCCGGCCTGGTGTGTGGTGGTTTCGCTAGTCCGGAGACATCTGAAACCCAGCGTTTAATTGTAATGGAATCTCCTGCCAGGCCCAGCGGGTCGACTTACACGGTCGATCGTGGGGTTTTTGACAGGCCGACTTGACTGGGAAGGGCCTGAAAAAAAACGGTGGTTGACCAGGGTAGGGGCTGTCCATCCGAGGTTGGCGAGGACAAGTCGCCTGCTCGCCTGCTCGCCTGACTGTGGATCCGAACACACCGATGGCACACCCTCGGCAGCTCTGGAATCCTCTGCGATATTTGCTGGCCCAGGCCGACTGATCCGTCCTGTCCGTACGGAATAGACTACCTATCGCCCAGAGACATTTTACGATACAGGCTGACAGGTCGACAGGCTGACAGGTTGTGGCAATGTACACACCGCTGCAACCACCATCTGCACAGCAGCCAGGGGCCTGTGGCTGCATCCATTGCATCCATTGCGCCCAAAGCAGTACAGCAAAAGGCTAATCCTCCTCGTGTTGAGCAACAATGGCACCCACCACGAGGCGAGCATGGCAGAGCGGCATGGCAGCGCGGCCAGTAGCAGTAGTACAAATCAACCGGGTCGACGCACGACAGAAGGTCTGCAGCTGTACGCACAGAATACGAGCACCAAGACAGGCCTCGCACCCAGGCACCTTGGTTGCTTGGGCTGCTCGTGGGCATTGGCGCCAACGCTAGCCATGCACTGCCTGCATCGAGTAGGGATGGATATTGAAATTTCAATTTTCGAAATATTTCAGTCAGCCAGCTAGATTTCATTTCACCAGGTTAGGTAGGTCTAAAAGGTTTTATAGGTACCTCTAATCTAATAGGTCTTTTATATAAAAGGAGGTAGTTTACTAATAATTAATACCCTCTTAGGGTTATTAAATTAGCGTTCTAAGCTATAAATTACCTTAACTTTATATTAATATATTTTATAACTAATCTACTTAAGCTTTTAAACCCTTAGCTAATAATATAAATTCCTTATACCTAACTAAACTACCTATAGGGTTAATTAAATCTTTTAAATAAGTTAATAGCACTAATTACCCTAATTAGTTTTATTTATTATCTTTATTTAAATAATATTTAAAAAATTAATCCTTTAAATTAAAGATTTCCTTTTAAATAGTTTAAATCTTTTAATTAATTAGATAATTAAATATATAAAAGTTTATATAAATAAATATAAGCTTATTAATTAATTCCTAACTAAATTAATTATATAATTATAAATATATAAAGTTTATTATAAAAATAATTACTTACTTAATATAAAGTTAATAAATATATTAATTAAGTATTATATAATATAAATAATAAAGGGTATACTTAAAGTAGCCTACTCTACCTATTTCTCCTTAATAAATATAATACTTTTATAAAATAAGGAGTTAGAACTATAATAAAACCCTAATATAGTTTAAATCTTATATAATTAACTATAATAATCTTAATTTAATTATATAATATATATACCCTAACTTATTCTATTACTTATAATTACTTAAATTTATTAAAAGTATTATTAAAAGCTCTTAAAGTTAAATAAATAAATAGCCTAATATATATTAATAGTCTATTTAATAAAATAAATATAAAAGATATATAAAAGTACCTTCTAATCTATCTTAGGCTATTAATTATTAGCTTTAAATTATACTTACTACTTTTTTATTTCTAATTAATATAGAACTACTTAATAGATATATAATCTATTAAATTTAAATTACTTTTATACTATTATAATAAGGTTAAAAATTACCTATAAATAGTTAACTTATTATTAAAAGGTTAGTTAAAAGGATATTAATAATCTTTTAAAGACTAGTACTTTAATTAGCTTTAATTATTAATTAATAGGGTATCTAGATATATACTTCTACTTAAATAACTAAATTAATATAAAAACTATAAGGAAAATATATACTATTAAAAATTATAAAGTAGCTTATTAAATATCTTAATAAATAATAACTATTAAAAAAGGTTATATAGTTTTTATACTATTAAATTATTATATTTTAAAGCTAAGTATACTATTTTTTAAGTATTAAAAGAATATAATTATAAAAATAACTTAATTAAAAGTAACTTATTAAAGTATTATAGTTATAATATTTTTAATTAATAATTATAATCTATAAGAATTATAAAGTATATTTAATATATAGTTAAGTTAAAATAAAGTTTATAAATTTTATTAATACTTCTATTAGGTAGAATTAATATTAATATAAATTAAATTAACTTTATTAAGATTATTATTAATAGCTAAGTTAATTAAGAGTAGAAGAAGAATTATTTAATTAAAAGATAAATAAAAGATAATATTAATATTAATAGTCTTTTAATAGAAGGCTATTTAATTTAGAATTTTATAAATAGATTAATAGTTTTATTAAAAGAGATATTATTTAATTTATTAAAAATAAAGTTTATATAAATTATAATAATTAATTAATTTAATATATTTTAATAATAATTTTTATAGATTTTATTAAAAAATTAATAACTTACTTTTAATTAAATAGTATAAAAGTTAAATTAAATAAATAATAAGTTATAAAGTTATTTTTATTTTTATATATATTAAAAGATTACTTTAATATAAAATAAACTTTTATAAATATTTTTATAATATTTTTATATAAATAGGTTTTTATTAATTAAAAGAAGTTAAAGTAATTTTACTTACTTTTAGATATTATAAATAGTTAAAAATAGGTTATAATTTATATTTAAGTATATTCTTTTATAATAAATATTAGAGTAGATTTTATAATTATACTATTTATAAATTATTTAGGACTTTTTATTTTATTTAAAATAGGTAAAGTAATCCTTTATTTTAAAGTTCTAATTAATAAGGAAAGAATTAATTATTTTAGTAATAAAATAGGTTTATTTTAATAATAGTTAATTAAAAGTTTAGTAAAGTTTGTTAGTAGGTCTACTAGTGGAAAGTGCTAGTGGGTAACTAGTAAGAAAACTGGTAGGTAGGGTAGAATACTTAACTGCCTATCGTTCTAGGTATAGTAGGTTACCTAAATAGGCTTAGCGTGGTTTTCGCTTTTTTTTACAAGAGGGCTTGAAATTTTCAAATTTCTTTTAGAAGGGTAGGTGGGCCTGACTTTTTACCATCCCTAGCATCGAGGAGCCTGGCAGCCTGGCAGTCTGCTTGCCTGCGCAGGTGCCTGGCACCTCCTCTCGTGTCTTCCTCCCTAACAACCCCCCTCTTTCCCAGCAGGCCATTCCGACACGCAAAAGTTAGTGTGTGAATATCTCGGTCGTGATAATGCGCCGGGCACATCAGGAGGAAATGCTGAGACAACACATCGGAGATCGCACTCTCGACCCCCGCAGCCCCGTCGCGCCTTTCTGCTCGTCTCATCTCCAACTGCGATTCCACGTGCTGCATAGCAAGTCGCCGTTTGTCAAACCTCAACAAGAACTCTATGGTTCAGCAGCTGTCCGGTCCGCGGACTCGGACCGGAGGGCTAGCCCTTGTACGCTGCGCCTCAGAGCCTTGCGTAACGTTTGTGCAAGGCCAAGAAGCTGCTTGGTTGATTATGATGACACTGGTTTCTGGCCATTGGTCGTCTTCTTGGATCATAATTTTCTCTCTGTCGGGGGCAATTATCGAATGAACTCTGTGCCTAGCCTATTCTTAGCCGGGCGCCACCCTGAGGAGGGCAAGGCAAGCCTGAACACTGCATCAAGTGCACGAGACGACTTCGAAACACTCTGTTTCCTGCAATGCGTCCGTCCACTCTGCCACTTTACTACGAGAAAGCAACGCTTCGTCTGACACTTCACGCCCGGGCACGGAAGACACGACACTTATTGTTCCGCCGCTCCATCGGAAGCGGGTCTGCGAGGCGGCAGAACCTTGGAACCTAGAATCGCATGGCAGCACGGCAGCCGACTCCACTGGGCTGAAGGCCCACTGGCTCTTACCAGCTCTTCTGGTCCGAGTGCCTGGATGATCGGCAGACGGTCCTTGCTAACAAGGCAGGGGGTGTGCCTGACATGACGCTCCCTGTACCAAACAAACCAGGGGGTTTTGATCGCGGCTTGACGTGCACAAGTACGGAGTGCGGGCAACTCTCGCACCCGGCCAGACCACATCCGTGGCCGACGCTGCCATGATGCCGGCGGGCGGTGCATCCAGCGCCGTACTGACGCCGGCCTACGGGCCCATGGCCACCAGTGGCCGCGCATGAACAAATTCTGACCAGAAGTCCTTTCGG